CGGTGCTGGTTGTTCCCAGGTGCAGCCTCGAATTGGAAGACTGGGTCCTCTCCCTCTTCCTTGGCAGTGATGAACAGGTGATCATCTTTGGACATTTTGGATCATTCATGGGGCTCTGAGCTGAAGGTAGAGACTTCTGAGTTTCTATCAGAGGCAAATGGGTTGAAGACAGTAGAGGGTCGACTGTCTTCTGATTCCATAGTGTGTGTGGTAGTCTCAGGTGGTGCTACCATGTAACATCAATTGACCAGATTGCTCTAGTTGATGATTTTTTGCAAATCATTGGGCCCTGTGAGAGGGCTGTATAAAGACTTTGTTGTTAATACAAGAGAAAGGGAACTATTGATAGTTCCTTGAGTTGCTAACTAGGCTAGTTCTTCTCCTCCCTCTTGAGGGACTTTGGAGCAGCACTTTTTTATGCTTGCTCCCTCCTTTGGCGGGGCATTGGCATGAGATTTCCAGCCTCTGCCAGTGTGGTCCCTCTTGCACCAATCGGAAGTGATTGGCGCTATGCAATAAAGGGACAATTAGTCCTCTAACTACGGGGCCGCCATGGAACCGAACGACTTTGACAGGTCGTCGGCGCGGCGGGGCTTACATAATCGAACTACTGTTACGCGCTGCGCCATACTTTGGCCATACATGGCTACATGATGACTATAGCTATATATGGTGATATGACGACGAGACGCGTCGCGAAAATCTAAGTTCGCAATTGCGTGCGAATACCAAAGGACAAGTCTACCTTACAACTTCCCCCACCAGATGGGTGTCTTTTCAGACTGGTGTAATGACAGTAGTTTGTATTGCACTATCCAATACATCCCTTAACCCCTAACCCTAACCCTAACCCATATATGCAGAATAGGCTGGTACATTTACATCAGTAATATTCCTGCTCTGGTAAGATAACTCTTAAGAATATATATGGATTTTTTGGACTTTTTTTTTTTTTTTTACTTTTTGTGAGCAAAACAGAAAAGGACCTGGTGATTTTAAAATCCTTTGTTCTTATGAGTATATGAAACAATATTAATTAGGAGACCTTGAGGATCTGACCATTTTTTGTCAAACCCACTATTTCAGACCACCTCATAACCCTAACCCTTTTCTCACACTTTACCTGAACACTTTCTAATTTTTTTGCAGATATGTGTGTTTTAGACCGTGGCCAACAACTCTTATTAAGGTCACTTTCAATTCTGAATACTTGAAAATTTTTACCCACATGGGAACACCTTTGTAAACCCTAACCCTAACCCAGAATCTCCTACTGCAACAGTAAATCACACCCATCAAGCTTGAAACAGCCCGCGGTTTCCATTCTGGAAGAACATGATCCAACTCCCAGCAACAGCACCAAGAACCGCACCGATCATCCACCAGCCGCTGGTTTCTGCATCATATCGTTTCCCGACCTTCCTAGGAGACACCAGCGCAAAGACCTTTCCTTGGAGTTTCGCGATCACCTCGTCTGCGGCTCGGTGGCCCGATTGTACTGTTTCAAGCAACGTTAGCGACATGGACACGTAGGGTCAATAGGTACAACGATCATCTTTAAAAATACCTGCACCGTCCATGTAGCCGCACCACTCGGTTGCGGTTTCTGTACCCGCAAAATGAATGTTGCCCACCGGACGACGGGATTCAGTCCCGTGGCTTGTCAGCACGCCGGTCGTCAAGGATGCCACCGGACACCCGCCACTATAAAGCTCCTTTCCCCAGTCCATTTCAACAACCTCGACGGGCTTCAGCACTCGCTCATCTCCCACTAGTCTATATAAATGCTGCAACACCTGTTGTCTCCTGCTATCCTCGTCTCCGTCAGCCCACACACGACCCTGGGCAGACGTGACAAAAGCAGTCATGCACGGCACGCTTCCGTCATCGTTGGAGGAATCAAATACGAGGGAGACGGGGCCAACATGAGATACCATTTCTCCGCTGAGACCAAGATCGCGCCAGAATGCAGACTCGTAGCGACAAATCATTTTGGTAAAACAGCCCATTGTCGAGGCTTTCTGGAGAAAATGGGTTTTGGAAGGGGGCAGGGGCGGAGTGAAGGTCAATGAGGCGAGTTGAGGAGGTGGGAGGGCCAGGATGACGGTTTGGGCATGATAGGGTTGGGAGCTGGATCTTGTGAATACACGAGTGGAAGACGAGGAGGAGACGATGGCATGCACGGGGGAGTCTAAGAGGACGGTCCCCTTTGGCAGCGCTGCGGCGAGGTTATTGGAGATGCTCTGAGCGCCTTGTGTGATGCGCATCTTTTGGGCGCCTTGGACTTCCAGCAGTGACCGGAGACCTTTACCGGAATGGCAGTAAAAGAGGAACCACAACAAGGAAATGTTTTCCGGGTCGACACCGAGCACGGCACGGGTAGCCATGTCGAACATTTGGCGGGCCTGGGAGGTCCACAGGTTTCTCCGCATCCACTCTGCCAGTGTGACGGCATCCCACTCGTAGCTGTCGACACACGCGGTCGGATCATCGAGCGGGACTTTTGTTGCCATTTTCTCCAGCTTCAAGATGGCCCACTGAACATCGAGCAAAGAAGGGATGGATATGGAAGGGATGTCTCCCTCGTACGAGGCAACGTTGCCGGATTTGAGTTCGATGAGGGTTTTTCCTGAGTGGTGTTGAGGAAACGGGGTGAGGTTGAATTCAGAGACGATGGCCGTGATGAGCGGTTGTGTTTCTGGGTTGATCCACATTCCTCCGAGGTCGATGCTGTAAGGCGGAGTAGTAGTGTCATTGATAGGTTTGGAGAGCGTGCGGCCACCGACTCTGTCGCGAGCTTCGAGGACCAAGACCTTTAGGCCTGTTCACCGGTGATATGGATATGGAGGGGACAAATGAGGTGTGTGCGTGTGTGTGTGGCGCCCTACTACAACGTACCGGCCTGTATGCACTTTCTAGCCGCCGTGAGACCGGCGATGCCCGCACCGACAACAATGACATTGTACACATGATGCTCTTTGCTGGTGGTCGAGTTCTCGTTGGACATTTTGCGACACGCTGGATGATGGAGACAGAGCGAGAAAGAGACAGAAAGCGAGAGAGACCGAGGGTTCCCTTTTCCCCTTTTATTAGATCCTCCTCCATGCTCAGCCAAAACGGACTAGTAGTTTCCCCCCCTCCGGGCACCCTCCGGGGGCGGAATCCAGAACTCAAAAAGGCTAACTGCCCGCGAAACGGACAGGCTCCGGATGCGGGCAGACCGAGCGGAGAAATTGTAAATTACATTTGTTACATAATCACGGTAGCACAGTTCAAGTGTGAACAGTTGGCGCAAAGAAGCTAAAGTTGTGGTCGCCGCCCCCGTCATCTGAAAGGTAAGATGGAAATTCCTTCAGGACAAACTGGAATCTGAATATTATATATATTACTGAATCTATCGGGTTTCTACCATGTTCAGACGTTCAGTCTTTTTGACGACATGCACCACGTCCACTCCCTTCCCGTCTCGCCCCAACTCGGACATTCCATGGTCCTTTCCTCCAATCTTGCCGCGGGCAGGTGTCACCCCAACACGGTGCGCCATCTGCGCTGCCTTGCGCACGTCGGCTTCCGTCAGAGAGCCAAGCGCCAGTGCAACCTTGCTTCCTGCCAACCCGCTCGACAGCGTCTCCGCCAAACACGCATACATCAACCCCTCGGGCGCCAACCCAGCAGGAAAGTAAAACTGCTGCTGCTTGGGCATGCTGCAAAACCCTCCCACAATGCACACTACATCGGGTCGCTGCACAAACACGCTCGGATCCACTACCGTTGGCGCTGATAGATCAAGTACTACCGCTCCCCGCTTTAGGTGCTCCGACGTAAGGACGTGTCCGTGTGCAACGTTCGCCGCTGCCAAAATCACGTCTGCGTCTCGTACCGCACTCATGTCCTGCGTCGCAAGAATGCCCTTTTGAGCAAGTCGGGCATGGATCTTGCTGCTGCTGGTGTTTTGCTTCTTGTTCTTCGTGTTGCTTTGCTTATATTTGACAAAGGACAAGAGCCCGTTGGATCCCAGTGGTTCCGGCAGATGCCGCGTGGACTTGTGAAACTTTGCCAGCACCCGGTAAAAGGATAAACTCAGGTTCTGTTGGAAGCTCGGGCCCTTGTTCAAACCGTGCGCGAGAGGTTTCGTCGTCGTCGTCCGTCGCCCTCCGCGCAGTTTTGCAATCTCCTCGGCCACCGCTCGGAATTTGGGTGCCTCCTCCACTCCCTGTCGGTGAACCAGCGTCACAGACTCAAAATGGGGCGCAATCGTTGCTGCCAACACCGATCCAATGTTGCCGGCTGCGCCCACGACCGCGACTTTGAGCTTACTCGGGTTCATTTTATGGCTGTGCAGGTGCGCCGAGAGAGCTTCGATGGCAGAGGCGGTCGTCAGCGAGTTGCCCGTTGTGGCCGGGCAGCCCGGGACTTGGGGAAGGAGTGTGCCGTTCAATGTCACTATGCTCGTGAATGCCCCCAGTCCGACGACTTTGGACCCTCTTATCGCTTCTTGCAGGAACGCTCCACGTACACGCTGCGCTGCATCCACGTTCCCAGTCCTCAGGCAATGCTCAAAGTACGCTGCGCTCCCTGGCAAATACACAATCCTCAAAATAGTCGCTTGCCCCTGATTGCCTTCCACAACCATTTCGTGGATCGACATAAATTTCTCCGCAGGAAAGTATGCCGATATCCGCAAGAATCGTTCCACATCAGTCCGAGACAAGCGTGCAAAGAGTGGGTCGGCTTTCACCAGCGAGTCTGGTCCGAGGGCATGCGAGAGGAAGGAGGTTACCGGAAGGTGTTTGTATTGACGCCGGGAAGCGAGATTGCGGTTGGTATTGGGAAGAGAAACCGTTTTGTCACCTAGAAGACAGCCAGAGTGGGTCCACATATGGGCGGTCAAGTCCACAATGTAACCCTGCACAAGAAAAAGAAAAACAAAAGAAAGCGGATGTTTCCGATTCGTCATTTAGTATGCGCATTTGGGCAGAGAAAAGAATACCACAGAATATGTATGTATACGGTACCTTATCGATCAAATGACATGCATGGTCGATCCCGCTCATAATTTTATCAGCATAGTCGGGTTGGGCAAAGCAGCTTGGCTCAATTCTCAACACACCAGTAGCACCCAACGCCGCGCCGACTCGTACGTGGTGCCGGTGTAGGAGGAAACTGGCGAGAAGGTAGCCGACGGCATCATAAGTGGCGAATACCTCCAAAGCATTCGGAAGCGACTTTTCAAACAGTAAGCCGCCCAGCTCGACACCCATAAAGAATCCTTTCCCACGCACGTCCGTCACGATGTGAGGATACTTTGCTTTGAGAGCACTACCCAATTGCTTCAACCGCGTCTCAAACTCTTTAGAACGTTTTGCAAGTTTGCCGTCGGATGCCTCTTGTTGCAGTGCTTTGATCGCCGCCAGAGAAACACGACTCGACAAATCGTCCTCGGCAAAAGTGGAGGTGTGGACAATGGTGAAATCCTGTTGCCAGCGATCGCTGCGGACCATACAAGCAGCAACTTTGGCCAACCCGCCTCCGAGAGACTTGCCAAGCAAGATGTATTCGGGTGGAAACTCCCGCTCTCGAGGCATCACTGCGGTGCAAGCCAATGGGGCGCCCGTACGATACAGGCCACTTTGAATCTCGTCTGCAACGATTGGGACATGCCCGTCGCGGACACAGCAGGCGTGAACAGCAGACAGCAGCTCGCGGCTGAGCGGATGAATACCTGCTTCACCTTGTACAGGCTCGTAGATGAACGCTACAACCCGGGAAAAGCGCTTCAGCACGGGATGGTTGTCGTTAGCATACACGGGTGGAAGTCGAGTGCCGGGTGGTTTGCCGGGAATATCAATCGCATATCGGTTGAAAATATCCGAAATTTCTTGCACGCTGGCATTGCGTTTCAGATGGACGACTTCAAAGGCAGGAGATGGTGCTTTCATGTCGCCGCCGTCACGGAGTAGGTGGTCGAAAGTCGAGGCGTACATGGCACGGAATTGGGATTTGAAAGTGAGTCCCAGACTTCCCGCCGTTTTGCCGTGGAAGCTTCCTTCAACGGCGATCACGACTGGCTGGAGGTTTGCGAGAGCGTCTGCAGCGTAAGGATGGAGGGTTGGCCCTCCTAAACGGATCAATGCCTCGTCGGCTCTTCGATGCCAGTCTAGTAGGGCGTGTTTGATGGCGGCTTCGACGGCTTCCGTGCCAGTATTTACAAGGATGGCTTTGTAGGCTGGAACCTGTTCGCATAGCCATTGTGTCAACTGCCAGTGTCCAGGAAACAGTGGAAAGCCTTTGCAAAACGGGCCTAGAACCTACCTCGGTCGCCACCATTGTACTACCCTCACTCTCAGACCGGTTCCGACTGGAATTGGGCGAAATATCATCGTCATCCCTTGTCCGCCAAGCTTCCTGAACAAAGTCGTTCAGGTGTTCGCCGAGCTCTTCAGCGGCATTACGTCTACGCGAAACATGTCAAACTACCGCAAACCAATGGGGAAACGTGAGCCGCCCTTGACACATACCTCGAAAACTGTGCATGCATCACCGCGTTCTCAGTCAGACATTTTAACAACTCTTGTTTGGGCGCGGAATGGTTATGGCCGAGGATCGTGGACCCATACCCGCCAAGAGCATCCAGAACCGCAATCTCTTCCTCTTGCTTCTCATCATGTGCCTCTTCTTCTTCTTCAGCCGACTTTTTCCCAATTCTATGGACAGCCGGAAGATGGGGGCGGTGGTAGAGAACGTCACCTTCTCCTCGATGATAATGCACGTCGAGGTTCAGGAGAGACATGAAGTCCGCACGGACGTCACGGACCACGTTGGTGGGAGGGGGTAGGTTGTTGGCGGTCATTGGTTATGGAATTGGAACGGTATTAGTTTCTTCTTCTCTTTAGGTCGTGCTTGATGGCTGCTATGGTGGTTGCGTCTCAAGGGGCGTGTCCTAGGCGGGATTTTTTATAGGGTCCAGGATGGCGATGCCCCAGATCGGCCTCTTTATTCTCCCAACAACTTCCGCTTAACCACGAAACTTGATGGAGAGAAGTTGCACGTTGGCGATGGAGCCCTAATGGCGGGAGGCTGAGAATAAATCCCACTGTCGGCCCGTTCTCGCCCAACGTGTTATAGAAGAAAAAAAATTGGACGGCTTTGAGAGCGACACTGAGCGACGCTGAGCAACAGAGAACTTGCATCGCGCGACGTTTCGGAGTTTGCCTTGACTGTGATTTCAAAAAATGGTGGGTTGAGTGCAGCTAACCAGATGAGGCGAGAGCGGTTGAGGACCGAGGGAAATTGGTTGACTTCAGCCTTCATCCTTGCTGAGCAGAGGAGGAGGCGAGACCCGGTCGGAAGCCAGAAACCTTGATCCATCTGGAAAAAGTAGGCAGTTTTTGTTGAGTGCAGCTAACCAGATGAGGCGAGAGCGTTTGAGGACCGAGAGAAATTGGTTGACTTCAGCCTTCATCCTGGCTGAGAGGAGGAGGCGAGAGCGGATCCGAAGCCAGAAACCTTGATCCATCGGGAAACAGTAAGCAGTTTTTTTTACGCGCGCGGACAAGCTCAAGTCTAGGCCAAAGGTCCGTACTAGAAATCGTTCCCGCCTGTCACTGCAAAACTCTGTCGCGCCTTGATGAGCTTGAGGTTAAACTCTAAAATATAATGACCAAAATTTATAACTACAACTACCTAAGCATTCTATTTTGATTCGCAACCACGAGGCATCTACCCAATCGCAGCGCCGCTTACATTGCCGCGCTTGCAAAATATGAACGCAGGCGGGCTCCCCACATATAAAAAGCAAAATGGACGATCGGCACCCAGGCCCGTATTCTGTTGCTTTCCGTTTTTTTGGCGCGGGTTTGGCTGGGGGTTGTCTTGGATGGCGCAAGATTGTTTTTTTTTTCTGTCCGGTGGGACTCCGTCAGCCCCCATTCCAGCGGGAAATAGTTGCAGTTGCTGAGTTGCCGAGATGAGTGGCCCACAGAGCGCAGGATGGATCCCGACAATACCACAGCCCCAGTACATAAGCCCCAAGGAAGCCGTGCCCTATATACAACTTAGCTCTTGTTCTGCACTTTCTAGTTCCGAAATTGTAGGCTATTCTTGCTTTAAGTTGATGAACAAAGTATGTCCAATATGGATGCCAGCGTCTGCTTGGCAGGCAACACAACTGTCCCTGTCATTATCTCAGATCGCCACGCCTGCGATCCCGGATACTACTGCCCGCATGTCGACAGCAAAAACCCAGCGTCCTTACCATCTTACTGCGCTCCGACGGATGACTGTCAGCTGCTGAGGTTACAGGGAAAAGCTTGCCAGGTCTGTACCAACATTGCAAACTGAGCCCTGCTTTTGTCTCGTACGGCCGGGTTTATCGAATGAATTTGTCCGCACGTTTATTGCATCAGGCGCAGGGATTGTATGAGCCCGTTGTCTGTCCTTCTGGGTACTACTGTCCCGATTGGAAGACGATGATCAGATGGTAAGCTAGTGGCGAGTTTCCATCTCGGACGCTTGCTCACTTTTTCCCTCACCCATTCCTTTGTAATTTATTCCATAGCCCGTCTGGATATTACTGGTGAGATCTTGTTGGTTTTCGCCTTTCACGAACTTTACGTTTTTAACCAACGAAACTTGCCACTCACTTTTTCTCGGTACGCAACCTTAATATACCAGCCATTCTGGATCCAGCGCTCCAATAAAGTGTGACAGTCTTTCGATCTGCGGCGAGGGAACGCATTCGCAAATGTACTATGGCCCGCTTATCTTTGCTTTGCTCCTCGACTTTGTTCTTTTTGCGTTCGTTCTGGCTCGTCGTGTTGCCGCTTTGAAGGCATCAGAGACCCCCTTGAGCGTAATGTTGCCAGCGTGGTCCCAGCGGTTTCTGCGAAAAGACGCGGATGTTAAGGAGACGGAGAACATGGTCGCTCATCAGACGATTCAGGTAATGGGCAGTTGTTTCTCTCTGTTACATCTTTCGGTGGTGTTATACTCATGTGGTATGGGACGCATATCTAGCTGGACCTTATTAAAAAGGATGACCCCGAGATTGTGCCATACAGCCCCCGCGAACGGTCAGTCATTGACACCTCGTGCCTTGTCAAGGGCTTCAGCCGAGCGTTGGGAGGCCGAACGGATCTTAGCATGAACTTTAAATTCCGAAACCTTTCCCTCGTACTTCCTGATGGCAAGCCGATCCTGAGCGGAGTGACCGGCGAGATTCGCCCGGGGAGAATGACGGCTATTATGGGTCCCTCTGGAGCAGGTAGGTGGAGAGTTGCGGCATCCATTTTTATCGACCAATACTCATCAAATCTCCGCCACCTGCTTTTTCCTTCCCTTTTTCCTTCCCTTCTTGCAGGCAAGACAACATTCATGAACGTCTTGATGGGAAAAGTGAAGCGCACGGGCGGTACACTGTACGTCAATGGCCAGGAATCAGAGATGCATGTGTTTCGAAAAGTTATTGGATACGTCCCCCAGGAGGACATCATGTTACGTGAACTGACTGTATGGGAGAATGTACTGCATTCCGCCAAAATCAGGCTTCCCGGAGACTGGTCAGCAAAAGATGTCGAGGAGCACGTACATGGAGTGCTGTCGGCTCTAAAGTACGTTCTGCCCATTGTTTGCCCCATTTGACTATAGCTGTTGATGGTTATCCTGTTATTGACGTGGTTACTTTTTCTTTTTTTCTTGAAGTCTGTCCCACGTCGCCCACACCATCATTGGTGATGAAACTACGCGCGGCGTTTCTGGCGGTCAGCGTAAAAGGGTCAATATCGGCATGGAACTCGCGGCGGTTCCGCTAGCCATCTTCTTGGACGAGCCAACCTCGGGGTTGGATGCCACTGCAGCCCTTGATGTAGCGGACATCATGAGTAGTCTTACCCATCTCGGGCTGACACTCGTAGCTGTTATTCATCAGCCCCGAGTGGAAATCTTTGAGAGATTTGATGATCTTTTGATGATTGCCCCTGGGGGTTTAACGGCGTACCTTGGCCCGGTGAACGAAGCCAAGACGTATTTTGAGGCTATGGGATTTCAGGTTAGGCACCTTTTGCTCTCATCCTTGGAAACCTATATGCAGTGTTTGGGCATTTGACCTTTTGCCAATTTGTTTCCATCATTTTTAGTTTGCTCCAACTGCAAACACCGCCGACGTTCTCATGGACATCCTTTCGGGGCGCGGGATAAACAACCTTCAGAACATAACTGTTGACGATCTAGTAGTTGCTTGGGAAAAACGGTCTGCCGGCGATGGAGATATCGACGGTCTCCAATCAGTATCAGACACAGAGTTCCACGAACATGTCCCGACACTTCGGCGAACACGCGGGGCAAACATTTTCTGGCAAATATATCACTGTCACAACCGCTACCTTGTCCAACAGGAACGTACTCTGTCCAGTTTAGTTCTCGAAGTCTTTGTCGGTACTGCTGCCGGTTTGCTTATGGGTGTCGCGATGGCCGATCAAGGTGAACTCTACTATGGGGTGTGGAAGCTGCCGTACACGAAGATGAGTCCAGCCCCTCTGGAGTATATTGTTGCACTCTACGGGTTGTTGATTGGAATGAGTATCGGGCTTGCCGGTGCTCCAGCGGGTGTAAAAGTTTTTGGTGAGGAAAAGCCGGTCTTTTGGAGAGAAGCTGCAGCCGGCCATTCCAGATTTTCCTACTATGTTGTAAGTTTTCGGATTTCGCTCAAGTGTTTGCTCTTTACCATACCGAGCTGTGTCTAATGCATGTTGCGGCATAAGGGTAAAACCATCGGCACCGTCTATCGTTTCACCCTATCTTCCCTACATTTCAGCGCCGTATACTACTTCTTTGCTCAGCCTTTAGTACCTTTCGCGATTCAGTACGTTTTGATTCTCCTTCAATTTTTCGGGGTGTATGGTGTCGCGGCTACGGTATCGACTATCGTGAAAAGGGACAATGCGGCGCTCCTGGCGGTTGTCGTTGGGTTATTCCATGCTGTATTCTCCGGGTTCGGTCCGACCCTGGTTCAGGCGCGGGACTGGGGCATCGACTTTTTGTGGGCGATCAGTTTCAACAAATGGGCTGCTGAGGCGCAATGTAGGTTATGCTGCCATGTTTTCCCCTGTGCCTTGTCCAGCTTTTACACAAATGACAGTATTGACCTTGGGCCTTTCTGTTCTGGAAAAAAAACGACAGACTCGGAATCCATCATGCCGTTTAAGGACGTGTATTTAACGGAAGAATCCGCTAAGGTATTCGGATACGTTACCGGACGCACCACACTGAGTGTTGTGTTGATGCTTGCGATTGGATGCGTCTGGCGCATTATTGCGTTCGTGCTGCTTACTTTTGTTAATCGGGATAAGCAGAGATAAGATCTCTCCTCGGATACTATACCATTCGTAGAAATATTCTAGAGTATATATGGAAGCTTGTTGAATGACGGAATTTTAGGTGGGCGGTTAGGAGGAGGGTGGAAATTCTATATCCGAAGTTCTTGTACTTCGGGACTTGGGGCAAGGTAGCAGGACAGTAGAGATTGACCTGGTTTATTAAAAGGAGTCGTTCTCTGAATAAAATCTGGACCGTGATATGCAGCGTTTCCTGGAATGCTGGGAATTTGGCGGTATTGGCTGTTGTAATGATATAATGGTACGTTTTTTTTTTCATTCCAAGCATGTTCACTCTGGCAAAATCAAGCAGGCCAAAACGTGGATATGGGCGTGAAATATCACCTATGCCACTCCCCGAGGTTCTCCAGTTTTGTGGGTGGTGGGCTTGGATTTGGTGCGCTAAATGACCGCTGAGTGACTGTTCTGACTTACATTCGTCACATTGAAATCTGCAGGTACCGTGCTGGTACATGCGACGTACATCGGCTTTGTTCTTTAAACATGGCAGATGACGCTCATATATGGCCTGTGAAATATATCCTGCCGTCAAGACATACGGACGCAATCTATCCTTTCAAATGAATGGGGGTTGGGGCTAGCTCTGCTGTCTTTAGTACAAATTAGTCAAGTGCTACTCGACCAAAAAATAAAAATGAAACTTCGCAACAAAAGATAACCAGTTATTTCATGCATATTATCGCGGCCCATCCGACACAGAGACGGAAACAGTGATGCCAATGCAAGGCGCTGATAGAGGAACAGAAGCTCCACCACTCCTTCCAGATACATCAGGGTTAGGCGGTGATGGTCCGGGGGCATTCCCAAACCTTTTCTTCATATATGGGGCTCGCAGAATGGGTTGATAACATCCTGGTTATATTTAAACGTAAGATTGGTATAGAGGGAGGAGAAAGAGTGTCAGTTTGTTTATCTTTTGATTAGATGGGTGAAAAACAAAAGAAAAGATAAACATACACAAATACGAAGCATAGTTACTTGTCCTCTCATGTCGAACTGGTCCATCGTTGTAGACGAGATCAAACCCGCCTACACGGCTTACCGTCGCTCCAAATCCACTACATCAAAGCAGTCCTGCAACATGGCGTGTTTTAGGTCATAGTCAAATCAAGCTTCTGCTGCAAGCGATGGCAGCAAAGCGTTGATTTCCAGCAGCCAGCTGTTAAGAAAGAATAACATGAAGTGTTCAGATCGATCAAATTCGTTGTTGATAAAGTGAGTTGTACCAAACTAACTGATGGTTTTAACTTTCGGAATTAATTGATTGATTTCATTCGAGATTGTCATGGGACAGTAACTTGGATGACTTTGCGAGTTATTAACGTATTAACAAGACCAAAATGGTTCTAGAAAGCCCTGAATCTACGCTACAAGCTTGTTAAAACACTTTCTGAATTAGTTGCTTTATGCGCCCAAAATCAGTCGTTAATTGTGTTATTGTCTGCATTTGTGTTGTCGAAAGCCTAGTTGTTGCAACGCGAACGATCAAGATCTGATCTATAACGCGTCTGGTCATGTGGTTAATCGACGGTACAATACGTTTATATTGTGATATACCCGCATGTCCACCCACACCGAGACGAATGCATTAACACTGCCCCAAAAATGGTGCCCCATTGAGCAACGGTGGTGGTGGAGTGGTAATAGCGTGGTATATCAGCCATCCCTCGGGGAGTCACACACCACTGTAATATTGAAGCTATGTCTACTGACGACCTGGTAAGAATCACATAGATACCGCGAAAAGCATAATAGAGCGTGCCCATGCGATGAAGAGACAAGCACCTCTTGGCGAAGCCCACATCCCGCCCGAAGTAGCCGATTTGGATCGCGAGTGGCAGGACGTGGTTGAAAAGGCAGCACCCGTGTTCAAAGCAGTTCTTCCCGACGTCCGCGTTGCACTGAATATGTATCTGGCATGGGTTACAGGAGCTCAGCAGATTGCCTTGGCCATTGCATTATTGGTGCACGACATCTTCCCCAGGCCGGAGGGCGTGATCTATCCGTTTTCATTGGACACCGGGCCGGAGCCCATTGAATGGACCGACATTGTGTCGAAGGTTACGGCGATGGAGCGATGCACGCGCACCGGCCGCGCTGTGCTGGGTTTAATGATCTCGGACGCGGCGAAACGTGTGCCGGATATTGGACAGGTGGTATTTCTGGTGCTCAGTGATATGAACATAATTCCACCAGAGAATGCCGCCTGCCGCATGTTGGTGGCGGGAGACAGACTGATTGGCACACACGCTGTGGAGGATATTTTGAGTTGGCATTCTTATGGCAGAATTTCACGAGCTCATGAACCTGCGGAAAAGGGAAAGGAGCGGGCGCCGTTCCTTGACTACATTATCAGGTGTATATGCAGGAAATATAGCCACTAATATGCAACCCTAAGTAAACCCCAAAACCCGAGAACACCCTTGTAACCCTTACCCTAAAATGTATTGGCGACCCAAAAATACCACTTCTTCCTCAATCCTATTTATGGGCGGGTATCCAGCAACGACCCCCCTTTGTTGGATTTCGGCAAGGTAGTCCTGTTTTAGTATTGAGAGACCCACACCGTCCATCGTCATATACTGGTGCATGCCGGCCACGCAATTGAGAAAACTCGACAGAAGCTAATATGTTTCGATTTTCTTCCTCATAACGCTTGATCGCTCTCATCAGATCTCCGATTCGTTGATTGGCTGTATCTTCAATCTGTGACATTCGTTCCCTAAATTCGCTGATTTCCCTCCTGTGAGCTAGTTCTCGATCGCTTATCTCACGCTCCAAGCTTTCTACCTGTATTAGGTTCAAGTGCAATCGGTAAGTACATGCGGCGAATACCGCGTTTTACGGCTTAAGTATACCTTCCGACTGTAAATCTCCTCCAAGATTCTCTCCTTCTTAATTGCTGCATCCTTTAGCTGCTGCTCCCAGAGTTCTTTCTCCTGTTCCAGCTTTGCCTTGAAAGCATCTGACTCCAACTTCCGCCTTTTTTCTAGTTCTGCTGTAGAAACTTCTTGCTGGTGCTTATATGCATCGAGGGATGCTAAAATCGCTTTCATTTCCTCTTCTTGTCGGATTTTGTCAAATGCCACCATTCGCAACTTATGCTGATCTTCCAATCTTGCCTTTTCCAATGCAGAGAGACGGAAGTGTGACTCTTGGACTTGTTCATCTCTTCGAAAGATTTGTTCATATTTCTCCAATACCGTAAGTGTCCCTGGGCCCTTTGCTTCGTCGCTGTACTTCTTTTTGAGGTCTTGTATGGCAGCGGCATACTCGTCGAAAGACTTGAAGCTCTTCGATTTCACTTTCTGTTCCAATTCCTGGTGGAGGACTTCCAGCAAGTTTCGACAGTAGTCTATGCTGATTTTGGTATTCAGCTCAATAATTTTAAAGAACTCCCCACCAACAACTTTTTCTCCGTCATTTTGGTACTCGGCCAACAAACTCTGAAATGAAGAGTGTGAACGGAAGCCAGTGGGAAGGACGACCCCATGTTTCTGATACCTTCAATTCTGCCAAGGCCTTTTCCTTTTGTGGGCCAATGGCAATGCTCATGAATTCTTGTAAGGCATCCTCCTCAAATGCGTCATGATAGTCCTCCAAGACATTGAGTTCTACAGGCAATTCTGGCTCGACCGACCGCTTCATGGCCATTTTGTAAGATGCGAGTGCTTGTTTGATCGCGTCCTGGCACGCCATATCAGAGAGCATCTGCCAGGCATCAGCCACGCACGGCGTTTTGCCCTCGTTGATTGTGTTGAGGTACATAGTTGCTAACTGTAGAAACTCTAGAACAACGAATTTAAACCAGTTGACCTACCATGCAGGTCTATAACAACCGACCTTTGCCCGTAACATTCACACTGCCTCCATCCGCACGGGAGCAAACGCTTTTCAAAGGCGCATACACGAAGAGATATTGTCTCACCTTCACAATCTTACTGCGGTACCGAGCGTCCAGCTGCATCCACTCAAGATTCTGCGCGTCTAGTAGCAGATCATCAGCAACTGGTTTCGGGAGTACTCGCAATGTCCGCCTCGGAAAGGATTCACGTAGAGAAATTCTCAAGTTGTTGAGCTCTCGCTGCTGTGCTCCATTGCCAGGTTGAAGTTTGAGCACATTTTCCAAATATTCATCTTCAGTTAAGGATGTTCCCGCGACCGTTTTCATGTCCAGGAAATGATCGCGAAGGACCCAGAAAAGACTAGGAAAATGGATCCCTACCGTATCGTTCCCATTTTCACTCCCGGAAGCCTCAGTGTTGATGTGATCTGCAAGATTGACAATGAACCTGTGGAAAATGCTGTCGTCAGACATGCAATAGCGAAGTGAATGATAAATGTGCCCCCGGAAACCCACGATAAACTGCTAAGTTCTTTGATATTCAAATTGGAGCCCGGTGTGTTCATAACTAGACATGAGCTCAACAGAACTCCGATCACGAATAATTGAGCAGTGTATTCCTCCGTGTTGTCTGTGTCATATAGGCCTTCGCTGTCCAAAAGGAGAATTATTCGACCGGTTTCCTCTTCTTTAAAAGCCCAAAGCCAGAATCCGCGCGTAACTGCACACACCGTCCTGCCAAGCTCAAATCCTGCTTGTTGTCCCATCAGCTGGTTCATCAGGAATGATTTACCATAACGGAATACCCCCACTATGGTGATCACCACCACCGGTGCATCCAACTCGCTAAGGATCTTAGCAGCCTCGTCCGTTATCGTCCATTGGGTTCTCCACCTTGCATTTTCAGGCGCCTTGTTGATAATAAATTGGACGGGATCGGCGTGAAGCTTTGTCAACACTGGGTTACTGTTTAAATTTTCCGGCGAGCGCTCGGTTGTATGTGGTGATGCCTTCGGGAAGGATTCAGCGATCTGGCAAGTTAAGCAGTAGTTTTGACAAATACAAAACCTTGTTACGGTCGTCAGGCACACCTGAACTATGAGGAATATTTTGTGATGCCTTCAGGAAGGAATCAGCGATCTGGCAAGATAAGCAGTAGTTTTGACAAATACAAAACCTTGTTACGGTCGTCAGGCACACCTGAACCATGAGGAATATTTTGTGATGCCTTCAGGAAGGATTCAGCGATCTGGCAAGTTAAGCAGTAGTTTTGACAAATACAAAACCTTGTTATGGTCGTCAGGCACACCTGAACCATGAGAAATATTTTGTGATGCCTTTGGAAAAGAATCAGCGATAATGGCAATGCAAGCAGTTACTTTGACAAATAAAGAACCTTGTTAGGGCCCTCGGGCACATATGAGCTGCCAGGAACGGAAGTTTGAGGCATACTGTATGGTGGACATGGCGTAGAGGGTTCCGAGAAATGTTCAGGCGCAGATGCATGAGTGTTAATGACTTGCAGTCCAGTGGAGCCATTAGGCTTTCGATCTTTGTCAGCTTCCCCAATGTGGGGGTACTGTACTTCTTGTATCTCTTCGTTTGCCTGGACTGTGATCAACGGTTTCGGTGTGACAGTTACATTCGCAGTGTTGCGCTCCTCTTTCTCCGGAGTAACTGTGTTATGTTTAGATGGTTTTCCGCAGCAAGCGGATGCCGCAGAGCCCATGTTGATCGCGGTTGGATGTGTCCAGGATAGAAATGTAAGGAATGGACATGAGCCAAAGTCGGCTGCAATCCGAGTTATCTCATCCCACGCCCTCTGACATCATGTAAGTTCCGGTCGGACGTATTCAGAGCGCTAGGGTTTTATGCTTAACTTACGCAAATGCATCAAACAAGACATTCATTACAGAACACGTAGTCTTCGCACAGTTTGGACTGTAGTCAAAACCGCTTGACTCAATTCAGCGGCATTTCCATCAACTGTTCATTCCATGATGTTTAGCAGCCACTTCTGCAATGTCCATTTTTGCAAAGAGATATCAGCAAACTCTGTTACTAGTGTATAGACTTCGACTGCTTTGACCATCACCATCATAGAATATGCCACGCTTTCCAAAGTCAAATAACTTTGTTGGTCGACCGGGACTTTTTTGGTTTCAAATAAGCTATATTCTCTGTTCTTCTTCAAAGTATGCTGAATTGTGGTAAAGTTAACTTTTTCTTTAACAGCAATACCTGCCACGGATGCGTCAGCATTATGCAGGGCTACAATGGCAGCTCATTTGGCTGGTTTTGTCCAACAGCAATACCTGCCACGGATACGTCAGCTTTATGCAGAGCTTTAATGGCAGTTCATTTGTTTGATTTATGTCGGTGGTCGGAATGTCGCAATCTAAATGTATCTGTGGTCATCTCGTCGACAGTCCTACATCATGTGCTTGCATGAAGTAACTCCGAGAAAGGAAAAGGTTGAAAAGAAACAAGTGTTCAAGGTATTGTTCCTTTTCCTCCCCATTTGACGACAGATTTGATTTTGGATGAGATCTACATCATTGATATCTGGCGTTATATGAAGGAATTTGAGATAATCGCACACTTCACCGCACTGCATGGCAGCGTCCAAATATTCCTCCAAAGTATTTCCTTCTTGCCTGTGGGTAGCTTCTGGCATTGGAGGTTCCGAGCAGTCATCTGCACTCTGATTCAGTGGAGATGATGGGAGAATCTCATCATCTTCGCGACTTGCATGAACACCAATTGCTGCATAATCATGCACAGGGGAATCCCAACTGCATTCCAAAAGGTGACGAATCTATTGCAGAGAAATGCCTCTATGTTCTCAATCTCGATCTCGAGATGGGACAATTTGGATGCAGTTTCGCATCACCGACATTTTTCCTCATTTCGAGGGCCCGAATTCTTATTCGAACACTCCAAATAAATATATACATACATCCGAACGAAACCTATGTTCTATAGATATATACACGCAACGTTTGTACAATATATACATGAAAGAAGCTTGAGGGATCAAATCTGTCCTATCTTTCCTATGACCACTAGAATAAGTATCCGTCTTGCCAAATAGCCATATGTACGCCGCCTTGTGCTTTTCGTTCCATGGCCGCTTTGTTTGCGTCCTGGACGAAGGTTGATGGGCCACAGATGAACACTCCTATTTTTGCGGTACTGTCGTCGGTGCATACAGCGTTTATCGTTTCTATGAATATGCGTAGGCAAACAAAGAGGTTCTCATGTTAAACTTTCTCTTTAGGAAGCGCCTGTTCTTGAGCAAACCTACCAGTAAAATTTACCCGCGAGTGGAATACAGGATATGGTATGTCGATGTCGACGTTGGAATCGTCAATACTAAAGCCAGGCCGCGAAACGTCTATGCAGTTCACTTGCGTTTGATGAACGTGAATACTCAATGCGGGATTGCACCGTCTGGTCAAGTCTGCGGAAGAAGGGCCGCCCTTCAAAATGATGCGAAAATGAATTCTTCTGACATAAATGCTTCCATACCTCGGAGGACCGACATTGTTGAAGAGCCGGCGCCACCCACTGACCACACAATCCTCACAAGCCTGGCACAGCTCCCCGCTTGGAGTGCTGCTAACGCAACTGCGACACCGGGTGACAAACCAGTTCCTCCAACCAATATGAGCACAACGTCCATAGATGCTGGGTCAAATCCACTGGATCCGAAAGGTCCGTCGAGATTGATACGGAAGCGCCCAGCTTCAATCTGGGCGGAACGGGAGATGAGATGAGCGGCAAGCTTAGCGGTCCATTCGTTTTGTTTCTCTGAAGGCATGAAGATGAATGTCGCAGTGGAGCATGAATCGCTTAGTATTGACGCTAGACTGTTGAGAAAGTTTCAAGTCGTGAAATTAGTCAAAGTTACGAAGGGCCGTAGACTGGATGCTGGTGACGCTACCTGAAAGGATGCCACTCTCTCCGAGAAATCTCCGGAAAATTGATAAACATGAATTGGCCTGGTACGCTCCTCAATGCGAGATCATTCATCTCAACATCAAACCGCAAGTATCCTATATCCTCTCTTACGACATTACGGATAATGTGGGAGGAGGTGGATGCCTTCCATCTGAACATCAGGTCGATCATATACATTCCGAGCCCAGTGATCGTGTAATAGAAGGCCGAAGGTGCATGAAGGTACGCGAAAAACAAGCTGACAAAAACGACAAAGTGTGTGAAGTAAAATAGATTGAAGTGCTTTCGTCGGACGTAGGAAAGGGATGTCAGGATGACGGGAATCAAAAACAGGTAGGAGGCGTTGCCGAAAGGTATTCCCCAGCTATTAGATAACCATGGACGTTGTCAGATTCATTTACAAGATAGGAGCTAATTTAACCCAGCGGCGATGGCGCCAATTACTTACTTTCCCTTTCCCCACCTCAGAGCCATTGCCGTATCTCGGTTCTTGCTCCCGCCGGGGATGTTGAACATGTGATTCCAAACAGTCTAAAATACAGCGATGTTAGTAGGAGCTTGAGATTGTGCAAAGGCAAGATGTATGCGAACGTTACCGAGGTGGGATCAGCCGCCGCTGACCAGACATAGAATATGAGGTGAACAGTCGTTGTGATGAATACAAAGTATCCCATCCATCTGTGAAAGCGCAATGCATGCTGAAAAGATATGCCAAAAAAGATTTGCAGGAAGGAGTTTCGGGCCACTGGAATCAGCAGCATTCCAAGGCCGAGGTCGAGCATCCTCCCAGTCACAAGGGCTACAAAGTACCCTGGGATGCGTTTTGGGGTATCCGTCAGCCAGTGGTATGCTCCGTCTTTGTTGCTAAAGACTGAGTATCTATAAGTTGCTGACCAGTACCTGCAAGGAAGTACATTAGTACAATGTGCCGCAACCACCGTTTAAAGCGGAGCATTCAGGTACGAACCCCACATTAAAGAGCATCATTGCACCGGCCGAGAGAAAGAAAAGCATTTCTCCTTTGGTAAAGCCAGGAGCAAAGCCCCCCATATCACAAGGCTTCGATAAACATTTTCGCCACGAGTCGTGCTTCTTAGCAGCAAGGTAAGCCATTATCGTCAGCAAGATCCAGATGTAGAAGACGGAAAAATTGACTTGAAAGGTCCGAATGATGTCTGAATCGCCAATATCGTGACAAACGTCAGCATAACAATGTAGACTCTGCATGTACAGCCCAAGCAACCACCCAATGGGGACCATGGCCACCCCAGCAGCGGCTATCCCAACTTGGCCAAAGGTGAATGTAGTATACGGGCGGTGGAATTGAGCAAAGTCATCAGAGGTGTCGGTCGGGAAAATCTTAATAATTGGGATAAGGCTGTCTTTGTCTTTGCTCTCCATGCTGTGAATGTGGGTGCTTCCGCGCAGTGTTTATGCTGGTTTGGCTATAGCGCTAATTTATATATCTTGCGCTTGCAGGGCTCAGATCGGTGGCTTAGTTACGCGAGGAACGAGGCAAACGATGCTCGTTTCATACGCGAGAGTCCGTAAACAAACACAAGGGTGATGCATATTTGCTCCAGATATGAGCTAACAGATCATTGTCCGCAATGAAAGCAATGGTGAGGCAACGACACCCGTTCGTTCAAACGCCATTGACTCCGTTTTACGCCGCTTCCTTCAGAGCTGTGGCCGCAGGCTTTTCTTCCTTCAGGTGAAGAACCGGTCCGCTTCCATGTGAAGAACCCGGTCGTCTTTCATGTCAAGATCCGGGTCTGCCTTCCCGTGAAGAAAGAGTAAGATCTGGAAAACTAATGAACGGGATCGATAGGACACTTGGATAAACATCAAAACTTCAATTCGTCCATGGAACTTTCATGTCGGCGGCACACCATGATGCAAAAGTGCCGCACAAAACAGAAGAGCTACTCGAGCATAGGTTTGAAAGAATTGTCTCGCTCCCAGCAGTTTTCGCAGCGGATATTTGCGCAGGGCCAAACCATACAGATAATGTCGCCACTAGTGGGTTGCGGTCAGGCCAAACTTATGTTGACATTATGGGTCCTTATCTATTGCAACTCGACGGACTTTATCAAAGATTTTTTCCTCGTCAACTTCTTCAATAATGCATTTGCGGGCTTTTACAACTTTCGATGCATGCTTGGAGTCCTGCGTCATTTAGACCACTGTTTTAGCTCGCAAACGGTTGTGGCTGGAGATTTGGTGCATCTTTTTTATTATCGCATCTTTTGTCGAGTCGAGAACTGACCCGAGGGGCATTCAGAGGAGCTTAGGCTTTCTACCGAGAAAACATAGTCCACTTATTGGTGGGGATCAGCAATGGACAAGATATGTATATTTAGTTGCTCTGAAGTTCCACTTGTTTCGCTACGGTATCTTCTGTCACACGATGAACGATTTAAAATATGTATAGTAGTATATTGGTTTGAAAGCTTCAGTCGTCTTCCAACGCAGTCTATGGCTTGCATGCAGGACCGTTGATGTCCTCAAAAGCTTTTATCTATGAATTCACAGGAGGAAGAAGCAGGTCGAAAACTGCGATCTTCATCATCCTCTCCCACATTATATCCAGAATCATTGTAATGACATATCACCTTGAATTCCATCCCAGGATGAACCTGATGGCATAAATCGCATCTGCGGCGATAGTAAAATGGGCGTGCAATGAGGCGGAATTATTCAAGACGCTTCCAAAGACCCTGACCTGCGCTAGACCTAGTATGGAAACTGGCTGCCCGTTATTCCAGTTGTGTAATTATGTCGGACTATGTGGTTGCGGCACTGGTTTAGAACCTATGTTTCCCCAATGCAAACAGCAAAGAGGCGTGCTTCGTTGCCTGTTTCGCATCCTAAGTGTCTCATCGGGCTACCATGCTCCTGCGTGCGTGGCTTTTGCCATGTTTGCCTTCGGCTGTACATGCGTTTGTCCTTGCACTATTTTCAGAAGCGTATTATCCACTTCGGGAATTTGCTCAAATGTGATGTGCACATCAATTCTGCAATGCTCACTAGTTTCTATCACAACTGAACCAGTCACATAGAGGAAAGTACCCCGCTTTTTTTTCGTAACAAGGGAAACAAACCCAATCGCTGTGACCATAAAATTATGTACGAGTATCTTCTCGACGGAGATATGCGGTAAGGCCCTGCTTCTAATCAAAACTTGAACCACCTTTATTGTAGACAGCTTAAGACTGTTCTGGCCGGTGTGGTGAAGGAAGACGCCATATATGCACTCTTATGCTGGTTGCGGACTTCGGAATGCCGAGATGTAGTGGTGGTCGCATATCAGAAGGAAGCTCCAGTGGCAATGATACATGTTTTCCTTTTTAATTATTTATCATCCAGAAAGCAAGAATGATGGCCTTTGTGGGCATATCTTTTGTAGCTTTTACTGATAAAGTGTGCATGGCAAGTCCATCAGGAAAATCTGCGAGCCTCAATTTCCGTTGCGTTGACGAAGGCTCCGCTCAAACAGAGATTTAGGCCAGGAATCTGTCGTTCTCCCCGCTAAGCTCCCAAAAGGCAATGCATATGTAGTTCCCTACATAGACTCTATCGAAAGCGCCGCTTTCTGCACCGAGCTGTAGAGTTGCCGCGATCGGTATAGCGCAACCACAGTTTGAAAACTCGATGTAAACATTCGACAGGTCTTTCTTTCAACGAGGGATCCCGCCGTGGGTTTGTTGCCTTCTTGGTGAAGGCAAGGTCCAGAAGGATGAATTCGCAAGCATGGCAAACTTTAGTAGTACGTCCATGTTCCGAAATCGCCAAGACATTTGCTGGTTTGGTCCTCTGCAATGTCGGCAAGGCGAACAATCCGTCAATGTCTTCGGGAAGTCAACGACATTTAGGATTTGTGGCTACAGCATGATCCCACTTTTCTTTTTTTCGCTAAACCATGAACAACGGTTTTAGAATAAGATATATGTTGCACGTTTTAAATGCTTACCAGCTTCGTGCAGCTTGCATTATTTACAGACCACCGAGTCTAGTACAAATTGTTGAGAGTATTCTATCGTCAAATACCTCAATAGGTGACCGGTTATGGCCTTTTGCTGATGCAGCGACGGGCATACAGTACTGGGATCACGGCATCTATGTACTCATTCGCTTTCTTCCAGAAGTAAGTAAGGAGGTTATACTGGTTTGCCCCGGCCATGACAAACATTCCTGCGCCAATTGCCCTAGGCCAAGCATGACCCTGGATATGCCGCAGAAGAATGCCGCTTGCTCAACTTCCAATTGGATGTCAGTCAATTGGTCGCATACATACAGGACACGTTTGTGGAATTTGTGATATTCCTCCGGACATCCAAAAAAAACACCGCAAAGCGTGTGGACTGATACACTGGAAATATGAGTTGCAATCTGACGATGTCTATGGCGTGCTGTGCGATACCAAGGATCCACCATCTTGTGAGTCTGACAATAACAGTGCTACGGAGATATCAGCACCTTTTTCTCGGTCTCTGCAAACATTTATGAAGAGCCATGCACGCCTGTCGCCAATCATCTCAATACACCATCTCTTTCACCCCATTTTTGGTGGCCCCGAGGTTGTCTACGCGACCTGGCTATGGCAAACAGGAGCCGGCTGGGTACCTATCGTCTAATGTAACATCTCCATAATTATCCAAAACACTACACGGACAGCCCCCTTCTAGAAAACAAACAAGTCTAGAACGCAGAATCCGACCAATCGTGCATGTCTCAATGCGCCTCTTGGCAATGGGTTGCCTTTGCCCTGACAACAACTTAGTTCCTCGACCATGTAGAGATCGGAGCCTTCGGAAACAGTCTGTCAGGTTGTCCTCTGGGATAGAACATGAAAGCGTCCCCGACCTCGAGGTTCCTGTCGTCATGTTGAGACTAATGGAGACAACTCATGAGCCCGTTGCACCTCTAATCTTCAAATACCAAGAGGCGGTGGAGTAGGTCCTTTCCACTGGGTGGTGCAGAAGTATGGAATCATCGAGAGACCAATAGTCAAATAAGTTGCGCCTTTGGGTGCTGTGCTCGCTCTCGAATGCCCGCCCATCTTTACCTACACTCTCGAAAGCAGCACACGATGATTATGAACTTCCGGCGGAGCGCTAATGCCCAAAGATGTTCTTCAGGAATAGAACGCAGCGCTCTTGGTTGATCTCGTATCGCTGTCCAGCGGACTTCGAAGATGTCCCCCAAGGGACTCGGAAGGAGCAAGCATTCACCTGATATTGCCATAAAGAGGGTATCAGGGCTACTGGAAACTTTCTGGTAACCACAGGAAAGGCTACCCGAAGACATTTCCACCAACCCTAACCTGATCCGCATAGTTTAATATCTGAACAGCCAGTGCTTCACTTTTAGGACAATATTGGTTGCTTCCAGCATATGATTATCACAAATTACCGCCTTGGGCGGATTTGCATGCCTTGCCCTTCCGATGCGATTCTCGTGTATCGCCCCATTACGTCCAGGTTTCTTTAGGTTCCTCAGCCAAGATTTTGTGAGAGCTACGTAGAATGCCTCCCAAAGATTTTTATTCTAGTAACCTTACCCATTTAATTGGCATCAGCAACCGCAAGTGCAATTATGAGAACGAGATGGACTGCTGGCAGGCCGGAAAAGGAAGGGTACTTCGACAAGATCGTAAGGAGCCGGTTCAAGGACCTTCAGCTCAGAGTCGGCTGGATTTGAACTCGCCCAAAGGTGGCTATTACATAGTTGGTAAGTCTAGTCGTTTTTCGTGCCATGACCAAGACTTTTTGTGATGAGCTGCACGATTTATGCGGACCAGGATTAGAATGTTTGAACGGCAAGGTTAGATTGGAAGTATGTATACAGTAACCAGAGCATAGACTTGAGTACGGAAACTTTGCCCGCCCCGATATCTTCACGAACAGTTATTTGTTGAGCTTCCTTGCTCCCGGGGCGATCCAGTCAATCTGGTCCAGTATTGTTGGACACTAATAGCTGCGGCCTCCAACAGTAGGTTGACGTTTGGCAGTGAAATCTGATGCCAGTGATCTGGGTGCCCAATAGTAAATTGCTTCTATCATGAAGTTCATGAAGTAGACAGTTGGAACTGATGGTGATAACTTCCGGTTCCACCAGCTATTCCACACAATTGCAATTGTTCGCTCGGAGTCTTGAGCGGCCTACATCAGTACACTATTTATTCCAAGAGCGCCGTTTCTAAGCTGCCCCATTGGAAGGCAAGTATTCAAGGGATTGACTTTCTACGTCTCGTACATATTCCTTGGCTCAAGGTCTGAACAAATACCAACTGTCGCTATAATGGAGAGGGTGCCCATGCACTAAAATAATGTGATGACAACGTATATTTGTTACAAACGAATGTTGAAGCGCTCTCCCGCTCATGAGCTACTATTTCCTTAAAAAGGGCGCCCACTAACGGGAAGGAAATAAGGACTGTCTATGACTATCAAAGATTCCTATGTGGCCACCATCGATTCACCGTTCAATACAAGCTGAAAACTCTTCACCGCTCATGCCAACCACGGGATCCCTCGGACACCGTGCAATTTGTTGCATATCCTTCCGGAACATCTCTTCAGCCACCTTCATGTCGGCATCTTGAAATCCGTATCGAACTTCCAACAACTTGTTTGGAGCAGTCAAGCCTGGCGATATGGCTTGGAGCGGGTTCCATAGATGTGAACTGTGTCACATAGAACTGTAGAAGATCAAGTCATGCTCTCCTCTCTTGGTACGCGGAAACCCTGCATAAACTTTCCATCATGTGGGATACAGGACGGAACTGTGCCATAAGAGAACTATATTGTTCAGTACTGGCGAAAATCGATAGTTCGGCTCAATGAGCTGACAGAGAGGGTGCGTGCTTGGACGGATGGTCTTTGTGAACACATCAACCTGGTCGCTGTGAGATGTGCAAATGCGAATACCTGCCCATTGATACAAAGGGCAGAGGCGACTGTAATGGGGGACCTTACACGGAAAATGGAGCATCGGATGCACCCCAAATCACCACTGGTAGGCGAAGAGTCATGTCGAGGATGTATCGGTGTTTCTGCATTGTACGAAAGCAATTAACAAAGAGCATTGCCAGTTCAGCAACTGAGAGCGATAACATACATATTGTTTGTCTCTCTTCAAATACTGGCAATGAAGAGTGTGCGATAGTGCTCCACCAAATTCGCCGTCAGATGGATGCCGCACTTTGAGTCCCAGACCTCCCTTCATGAAGATCCAGCCAACACTGCTAGCCATTAGAATATCAAGGTACCAGGTCGGCTTCAAAAGGGTAAATGCAATTTCTTCTAGCCATGGGATATTGTCTACAATCGGAAACTCATGCTCGTCAGTCGAGGGCTTCTCCTGTAAACATGATCAATGTGCATGCTAAGTGATCACGATCAAGTATCAACGGCCGACGCTAGGTATGGCCCATCTTTAAAGTCAGACGCAACAGAAGGTCGCACCTAGCCCCCTACGCACCCAAGCGTTCTGTCACCTTCTCTGCGAATTTCCAAGCGAACTTTGTCGCCAAAAGCAGCAAATACAATGGTGACAGCATGAGAAACCCCCGTGCTCAATTTGGACAAAAAAGTGCTGGTAGGTGCAAGTGTTTGATACGATGCAGGCGTAATTTCAGGTGGAACTACGAATGGCTTCTGCTGCTGGCCTTGGTCTGTCAGAGAACTTATTTGACTGATTGTCGGGCATATCTTCTTTGGCAAGGGGCTTTAGAAATGGAGTGGCAGGTTGGGCAGATGGTCTTATACAAATAACCAAAAGTATACTGTGCTTCTTCTGTCAGCTTCAGCGGAGATATGATCCGGTGAAGCCATTGCATTTGTTTTGGCCCTGCGCAGAACACCTGAAATGTCACAGGAAGGTTGTATTATTGATATTGATGCTGAATCTTCGTTCAATTTCCGAGATTTGCAAGAGTACGTGAAAACTGTATAGAAAGGAAATAGGGACATGGCGCGACAGTGCACACGATGCACTCGCTTGACAATACGATGACACCGCAGGGTCGCTGCTCCTTGTCACAGATCTTCCCGGCTTTTGTTTTCATAATCACTCGGTATCTCTCCCTTCGTCTTCGCCAACAGGTTCATTCCAACAAAGAATAGCGCATAAGAAGAGCCTTAATGTTGTCTCCGGGTGAGCCTTACAATTCGGCATCTCCTGCCTAGATCTCTCGAGCTACTTGCTGTGGCGCAGATTATCATCGGAATTCTGCATTCCACTTCTGCATTTGCAGGACTTGATGTCTTGTTTGACAATGCTCACTATTGTTCTTTATAGGTAAAGGTTTCAAAAGAAAAGAAATCGCATCAAATCTACGCCTAACAGGCAGGCTACCTCCCTGCGTTTCTGGGAAAAGCGAAGGACGGAAGTGGATAGATGGAACAGGCGGGAGCATACTTGGTAACGACAGACACCCATCTTTGGCAACTCATGGGTTGTTTAATAGTTCTAGCTAGTACCCAAGCTCCGCATTGCATAATCCTTCCAGGCAGTGCTCCTTGCTGCTCTGAAGGGTTCGACCAACGCTCACGGCGCTCATTATAGGAAGGTAAACAATCAATGCTGAATCCGATTGACTTCAGAGTACATCAGACCACATTCTCCAGGCCCGCTACCCGCTGCCAGCGGAACCATATGCTCTGTTTTGTGTCGGAGTAAATTCCTTTAGCAGGATAACTGTTCTGTACTGCGCTAAGCAGGGCCGATCGTGAGGTTTGCCTGTGTCCCGACCTGCAACTTGCTCAACATTTACAATTACATTTTACAAATGGTTGAGGGATATTTCCTCTTGACACAGCTATACTTTTCAACCGCCTTGGGACAACATTTTGCATCATGACAGATCAAACGATCACATAGTCCATCTGACATCATATATCACCCTTCCTCTTCATCTTTCCAATCTTGTCTCTGCACTGCTGTTTGCTCTTGCCAGTTAATTCGTTAAACTTTTTCCAAGTTGCATCCATATTCGCCTTGTTTTTACGGTACAAGGCTGCTAGGAGCTGCGTCTCGTCTGTGTGCCACTGAGCCTTAGTGACCGATTTCTCAAATGTTGCGATGATTTCTGCATCGAGACTCTCGATGGTAAGCGCCTCTGAGTTCTAGAGTACAACAAGTGGGATCAGCAACGCAGATAGTCATTCGCATATACATTGCGTGCTGTATCTGACCTGTTCCATTTTCATCCGGGATCGCTGTATATGCAGTGGATCGACTTCTTTCGTGGAGTGCAAAGGTTCCTGTTTTACCGCGTCCATCTCATGAGAAGCGAACAAAGCGATAGCAGAAGCAGAGGACAGAGAAGGACTGTAAAAATAAGCAGTCACCCCAGGAGGGAAGCTTCCTGAACATAGCGAGAACCCCAGAAGAAAACGGGGGTCTCGCTTACTCATACTAGCTAAGCTTTCACACTGCTTCCAACCATCGTGATCTAGGACGTGGGAATGAGTAACAAAAGCGGAAGCTTCTTGACGGTTACTTGAAAAGGTATATGGCGCGAAACCACAGTACAGAAGGTAATCATTTGTTGTTTATTGGCTTACTATTCCAGTTTTTGCTGATGTTCGTCGGGACCGACAGACAGCATCTACGATCATAATAATATCATTTACAGGAGGAATTTGTCTCATAATTGAGAAGTCATATTCAGACGCCATCGTGTCGTGAAAGGCTTGATAAGTATCTACAATATTGCTCTGCATGGTGGATACATTAGCGATGCATCGGGTGTACATGACCGCAAAAACTAACTCACTGTAATGACTTTAATTAGCACAACTTCCGTTTTTCGATCGCCCAGGTAGTCGGCCATCTTGTTGACGGCAAAGCCGACATGCTCAGTGAGAGACCTTCGAAAAGCGTCACACACCTCCAGGACTTGCTCTTTGAAAGGAACGAAGACGCAGCAGGTACATGTAAGCGCGATGCTGGGCTCGGAATGGCTGTAGGAACCACTCAAACTTACCAGAGGTGCCAAATGCTTGCTTTACGAGTGGTTCTCGGGTCATGTCCGCGCGAGATCGAAGTTCAGACACCTTCACGAGCATATTACGAGTGTGAAGGGTGGATCAACAATCATGAATACAACAAACCTTCAACATGAACGCAGAAATAGGCTCCACGGCGGCTTTGGCGGTCTCAATAATGAATTCCTCGCACACGCGTTTGAGATCCTGGTCCACCAACTAAGATCATCCCATCAAACAATGGAAAGAACCGTAGCGGTGAGGGTGAGTACGGTTTGAATCCCGTTCTGTGTGAACTTGCGTTGAAAGCACCTTTGCACCTGCTTTGCATCCGCATAACTCTCCACAATAACTGGCGTTCCGGCAGACATTAGGCCTTTACCAATAGTAGATAATGCCTCTATGTTCCAGCGTGACCGTAAAAGAGCTGAAACCGCGTCTTGAAGGTGTAAAAAGTCCACGACTTCCTCCTTTCGTACAAAGTTGGCAGTGTACGGTGTTATATGCTCTCGCAACATCAATAAGTTCTTCATCAAAAAGAACTGTCCATCAAGCTTGGTTTGCTTTCCCGAAATTGTTTCTGCGGCTCCAATAAGTGATCGACGACAGCATTCCACAGCTTCCTGTGCGAGATCTTCAAATATTGGATTTGGGACGCATCGATAGAGCTTTCCAAGAATGTACAGCGTTCGGTGCATGGTTGGATACCATTCTCCCCCACCAAATACCAGTTTACCAATTGCACTTGCGCTTGGCTCCTGCTCTTCTTGAAGTCTTGCTGACTCATCATACTCGCCACCAACGTCATCTTCGTCAGATGGAGGATCCACTTCTAAAACCGCTGGAGATGAAGGTTTCGTTGGGCTCAGCACGGGTGCAACGCTGTACGCGGCTTGGATTGCTGTTGGTTGCGGCAACCCTCTTCCTCTCGCTAAGATCGCTAGTTCTTCATCTCTAGGTGTGAACCCTTCAATTTCTTCGCGAATATAGGTTTGACTTCTAAAAACTAATCGCTGCTGTGCATCTTCCAGGATAAACTTCACAACTGACTCGATCGGTTGTTTTTTCGTTTCCTCTCTTTCTGTCTCTCTTTCTTCGTGGGTTTCCACCTGACCCAGAGCTACGTCGGGAGAACCAAGGTATATGTGCAGTGTTTGGCATAACTCCGAAAGAACGTCTATCCGGGATTCTCGCAAAATGAGGGGGCGCAGTGTATCGTAAAGATACGCAGAAAGAGAGTCCAAGTAACCCCTAAGTTGAGTAAGCTTGAATACGTAATGCTTCGATGGACACCGCGATCACCGAAAAGAAAGCGCCAAATTTGGCTTACTCGAATTCTTCCTCGCCAAGATGAAAATATTGATGAAAGAGTGCCATTTCGTCAGCACATAGTCGCATGATGTAAGCGCAACCACTTCTTGACTTAAGAGATAGAGTTAGCTAGGGGGCATAGCGATACTGCCGTAAGTCACTTTGGGGGACTTTTAAACTATATACTTACGATCGCCAACACGTCACCGCTTTCCATAAGAGCCTGAATGTGCATAGCAATGTACGAACTCAAAAGGGTCTGCCGTACATTGAAGTAAGCGGACAGACAATCCCCCAAGAGCGCAAAGTACCTGTGACAACCCAACAGCCATTAGCAAATATGCATATCAGCAAGGTCAGGAGGCGACATACTCAGGATGATTTTCACAACGGGCCTCCAGTTGTGCAAGAAGAAATCTCAGATTAGGGGCAAGAGTGCGAAATTTCACATAAAAGAGGGACAGTTGCATGTTGGGCGTAAGTGGCTCATTTGGACCCTGATATGCCATGTTAGCATTGCATCCTGTACAGTAGGTATCAGGAAACGGTGTACCCTATTGGCGATCTTTCCTCGGATGTCGTTTGCCGTCAACCGCATCGTACTGACGAAGTGCATTTTTATGAGGGTTAAACCTCTTGTCATACATTGGCGGAACCTCATCAAGTAAAGTTCGGCATCCCGATAGTGCATCTGCGTTCATATGTTATCCACATCGTCTACATTAATGGGAGGGTCAAACAAACTTACATTGGCTTGGACAAATGCAATGCATTCGTCCAATCGCAGAAGCATTGGAACGAACTTGTCGTCCAGACAGACTTGATCTCCTGGAGAGCCGAACAGCTTTGCGATGGGTTCAAGCTCATTGAAATAGCTCAACCTGGTAGAAAGATGCTCCGCCATTTCCGCCAAATGCATTTGCTCTGCCAGTAACTTTTCGCAAGCAGTTTGGAGTGCTTTGGTCTTGTCCTCTACAGAGTCATAATTGACTTGTAGGCCATCCAACAGCTCGGCGGTCGATTCAACCTTCTTTAAAATCTCATCGCACGCGTCACGATAGGCGTACACCGTTGCGAGATATCCTCTGTATTCAGAGTTCTAGGCTCCGTCGAGATATTTGGCAGACACCCACCCACCCGGCACACATACCTGTATCCCTCTTCTTGACCACGTTCCATTTCTTCCTCAACCTTCTCGAACCAGTTAAAGAACTGCTGCGTGGTTTCAATCGGCTTCCGCAACCCTAATACAACGGAATACTTTGTGTCTTCTATCGCCGGCTCCACCTCATCGACTTCCTCGTCGCTCTCCCCCAGCTTTCACCAAATTAATACGACCCAAACAATTTGAGCGAGTAAGAGAGAGTCAATAAGTGCTCTGCGGTCATGGCTACCCAATACCAACCTCCTCTGGTATTGGCAAATGCGCACAAGCCTCTTGCAGCACCGTGACGGCTTTCTTTTGCACCTCCGTCAACAATAATCGGGAGTCCCAATTCTCCACATGTGCCCTTGGGGCGGTAGCAACTGCGGCCATTGTCGGCAACTACTTTCCCATCTATCATGCAAAGATGATATCTTTTGTTTGTTTTGGACACGAACCTCCAAAAACACGTCGTCCTTGAATGAGTCATAGCTGACCACGTTTGCCAAAGACTTCCCCACGTAGCGATCGCTTCACGATTTGCAATTTGCGTGAAATTGATCTTTCCCTCAAGAGAACGCACGCACTGAAACCACACCCTTTCCGTCATGCCATCGGACAAGGACACGTTGATTGGTATGCTTCATGAGGTGTCCTCGGTCCATCAATAGCTTATTGACAGCCTTTTTTATGTAGAGATGGGATTTAGCCCAGCCAAAGTGTACGGTCGTTACGACTAATGCGTTACTTCTGACGACAATGGTGGCATCAACTCTAACCAACCTGTTTCGAACCTTTTACATAGTGCTAAAGCCTTGCAGGTGACCAAAAATGCTGGGCTTCAGGTAAATATGCGGAAAGGAAATTTACATTTCAACCGCCGCCGCATAATTAACTCCAACTCTCATACTGAAGCCAGCTATGGACTGGTAGGTCCATGAATGTAGTTAGTAATGAAAAGTACTTGTGTTGAAGTTAAGTTAGGCTCTTTGCGCACGCCGAGGACCCAGATCCCACGGATGAAGAGCTCGCGTCAGGGAATGGTGGAGGTGGACGACCGGGTGATGTTGGCGGTATGTTGGAAAGCGTGCGATAGCTGTAGACGAGCCACCTCTTTATCTTCCCTTGCGCGATCCCTTTCTTGCACATAAAATGGTAGCTGAAGATGAAGGGGTGATATCACCGGAACAAGCAACGGCGCAATCATTGAAATGCGACGACTGCGGCAGACTTTTGCGTGACGCCGCCGCGGCCGAGTTCCACGCCGTAAAGAGCGGCCATACAAATTTCTCGGAATCGACAGAAGCGATCAAGCCACTGACGGAAGAGGAGAAGAAGGCGAAACTAGGAGAGTTGCAGGCGAGGCTTGCTGCTAAACGGGACGAAAAGCGACGCTTGGAAGCAGAGGAGGCCAAAGGTCGAGAGAAGGTCCGCCGGGCGACAGGAAAGGAGATGACTGAATTAAAGGAGAAGATAAAAGAACAAGAGATGCAGAAAGCATTAGAGGCCAAAAAGAGAGAAAAAGAAGAAGACCGGAGGGCCAAGGAAAAGATTAAAGCACAAATTGAGGCCGACAAAAGAGAACGCGCTCGACAGGTTAGAGGCTAATGATTGTCATATGAATATGGCGAGTTGCTCATATAAGCGCTCTTTACATAGGCAGAAGAACGCAAGTTAGCTGCGCAAGGAATTTCCACAACACAGCATCAAGTGGAAGCAAAGCCCGCTCCGGCGCCAGCTATCGTGTCGAAAAACTATGATGAGACACGACTACAGGTAACGGCATTCCTTGGACAATGTTGGCGGGTTTGGACCAACGTCATGCTCTTGCAGATACGCCTCCCCGACGGCGCTCCGATTACGCAAACCTTCCGTGCTGATGACCAACTCTCTGCCGTGTATGATTTTGTTGCAAAGAGCCGACCAGGCACCAGCTTCAAGCTTCTCCAAACTTTCCCTCGGAAAGTCCTTGATGGCGACGACCGCTCAAAGACGTTGAAGGAACTCAACTTGGTACCGAGCGCTGCCTTGGTGGCTCAATAGGTCATTGGATTTTTGCTGGAAATAAATGCACAACGGCCCACACTGGAGTGTTTCGTCTTCAAGCTATTTCGGTGCAGTATTCAGTATAGCCCTATGAGAGACGATGGAAATATTGGACGCAGGTCACAAGGACGACGACAGTCGATATCCGCCGCATCCAACACTGTGCGAGTAGTCCACTGCAGCCCTTGACAGGCGCAATTGCGTTTTGCACCAAAACCTTCAGCAATGATTTATAGGAAACAAAATCGTGCTGTACACAATGGTGCAAGAAAATGGATAATCAGCCGTTGAGCACTGTTGTAAAGAGAGCAGGATAGCGACGGGCTTCTAACATCGCTATTGTGCGCTCATCACGATCGCTGCCCAATGATGGAAACCACGAGTGGAATCTGAAAATCCTTGCATTTAAGCAGACGTTGTTGCCAGGACAACGTACATACAGTACCATGGTCCATAGGGTTAGGGTGCAGTGAGCTCAAGACACGAAAGCTAGTGAATTGGTGTAAACAAACAGATTTTACGACATTCATCAGAGTCTGACGAAAGTTTCTAAAGATATCGGGCATGTTGCACTGGAGTAACCCGTATCTAAGATTCAAGGTGCTCTTTCGGTTGGCTTGCAAATTCAATGTCAGGGTGCCTGCAAAAGCGTTTTGATTGAAGAGGAGAGCTGATCACTGTCGTCGAGTGAACATACAAAAACACCTCGACCAAGGCTGTCCATGAGAAAAGGCGTGTGGCTGTGCACTTGAACTTGGTGTACAATGGGGCAATCTGCTGCGAAGGGAGAACCTGGCCACTGCCCGTACGCAGTCGATCAAAGTGGGTGTACGATGGATCTCCCAGAAAGCATCTCCGTTCTACCTTCAAAAAGCGCGACTGTGGCTCTCCTGGGAGAACTACCACCCTCTGGTTACGGGAGTCTGCATGACTTACTTACTCGACAGCTCCAAATACTATTTCCAGAAACGCATGTTCCGCCCAGTGCTCTTGCAGGACTCCAAGTTGCTATAACTCGTTTTGAAGATTTTATGAGGACGAGACGAGAGTGCGCAACGTATAACTTTTATGCAGACCTTTTACCGCTCATTCATCGCTGGGCTACTGACTATAATGGAGATGAGGGTATCTGTGTGCGAACGCTGCGCCATGGAGAAGATGCGAGAACGTGCTTGACGAGAAGAACGATCCGCCATATCCTTGCACAAGCGTTTTTCATAAATGTGTTGCCACTGAATCAAAGCTACAGGGGGCGCTTGGGGGAGATAAGTTTTCACCGAATATACGTAGGCGGGGACGAGGTAGGCATTCATAGAACTCTGTGCCTTCTGAGCTACTTTGAACAAAACAAAAAAATCGATCAAACACCGCAAATGGGAGCGGAAAATGTGTCGTTCACTCGACGTACAAAAAACGCTATGCAAATTCCACAGTTTGCCTCGCTTGCCAGAAAGATCGATGTCACCCGCATTAACGTTCATACCGGACGCATGGAGTCGTCGGATGCTTCCGCAATTGTCGACTTCGCCAATAGGCGCCTGCACGTTCATTCTATTATCCCTTCCGCCACGCAGGAGGAGATATTATTTAGCTGCTGTCCAGAAGCATTTGTGGGATTGCTCTTCTGTGAAACCATAAGTGACGACGAGGTAATCATCATTAGCAATGTAAAGAGATTCTCCGAATATACGGGCTACGGAGATACATTCCAGTTTGCTGGCTTTTACAACGGCAGCCCACGATCCCATACTCTCTTGGCCCTGGATGCGTGTACATTCCGTCATTTTGATAAAGCCATGGTTGATAGGGATCTTCGCAAAGCCTATATGGCCTTCTCGTATGTGGCCTCTACTGAAACGGACGGTGCGCGAAAAATCACCACTTCGCACTGGGGTTGTGGCATATTTGGCGGAGAGATCCATTTGAAGTTCCTTCAACAAGTTCTCGCGGCATCGAGCGCCAATGTGGGATTGGACTATTCAACGTTTGGCAATGCAGAAGTGCAGGAGCGGTTCAAAGCATTACTGGCAGTGATTAAGCGTAAAGAGATAACCGCTGGACAGGTGTACGCTGTAATTTCTGGTTACAATGGGAAAAGGGAACACTTCTATGAATACGTCACGGCAAGCTTCGGAGCATAAAGAGGGTACATCATCACAGATCTCAACTGGAAACGACCGGGTCACAGGAGCATGCAGGTCGCCCTGGCTCGCGCAAACGTATGCCCGGTTGAGCAAAATTCGGTCACCAAACAGTCCACCTTGTGGCATTATCAGTCAAATAAAGATCTCTTTGTATATTTGCATATATATACATTCCATTTTTTCTATCTACAATGCGAGCTGACGGGCTCATTCATCACGACGCGGCATCTCCCGCTATTATCGTTGCCGTGATGGGCAATGCTGCCGTGGGTGTTGCCTCGTCCGTAACTGTCGTTTCTTCGTTAGCAGAAACTTCTGCTTCAGGTTGATTTACTGGATCCACTAATCCTGGTTCAGGTTGATCCGCTGGATCCTTTGATATTCCCTTCTGAAATGTCCAGTTAGAATAGACTATTGTATGATACATGTAGCGATCTACCCATGAATGACTCACCAGAGGCGGTGTTACCTCTCCGACTTCCAGCTCGCTAACAAGGCGTTGCTGGCTGTGATCGGGAGTGGATAAGGTTGTGCTTGACTGCGGTTTCTCCTCAACCTCGCCGGTAGATCCTTCCATATCCGCCATGTCCGTATCTTGTTGATTTGCCTGGGTAGCATCTGCGATAGTCTCTGTTGAGATAATTAGGGATCAGTAATGTGCTCGCCAACAAAAGTGCCTGCAGCCGCGCACCATTCTGCTCTGTGGTGCTTGTTTCCGCCCGTTTCCTTTCTTTCCGCCATTCCATCAGCAGGGTTTTCCCCGGTGCTTGATTGTCGATTTGTATTTCCACTTGTCTAGATCCATGAAAAAGGTACATATGGTGACGCATTGCCACGCGATACGAACGCCAGCTAAATCGCTATATAGCAGACATGTAAGTAATCGCAAAGGATTTGCAGGTGGGCAGCAAGATTCGGGCGCACCATATCCTTATGTAATGCATACTCTTCTTCGATACCTCCAGTTAGGTTACCACTATCGTCTAGCTGCTCATCCAGCTGCTCAAGTAGTGTGTCCAATGCCGGCATCATTCTTCTAATAGGGTAAAGTACTTTCAGCGCATCAAATTTGCCAATATCTGAAAGGTCGCGCTCACACCTTCTTTTTGCATCCCGCATGACTTCCTCTGCCTTGTCTCCTTGCGCCCACAGCGAAGTCATATGGTCACTGCCGAGCCAATTACTTCTCCTCACCGCATCTGAACCCTGGTGTGGAATCGGTCACTGAAAAATACTCTACTTCATTCAAGCATCCATTCCATAATCTACCTGCAATTTAGGTTTTGCTGCCCCTTCCTCTACCTTGATACGGGGTGTTTCGAAAGTTTGGCACGATCGGTTTTTCCATTCAATCTATCAATCCAAAACCAAATTAGTCGCCAAAAAACATACGGAAATGGCTAACCGATTCTCACCCAATTCCTTTCATGCGTAATAACGGTGCTCAGATTTCTCGCGAACAGTTTACCGTAAGGATATGTAGCTTCAGAGACGCTGTATGCACGATTCCGCGCATCCTTCACCCATGCTTCCTGCGATAAATAAATTTATATATGCTGTTTTCTCCTTCTGCGTTATAGGCCGTCAATCACCTGCTCGGACGTTAAGGTGTATGCCTGCTGCACGGCTTTGTTCAAGATGGAGTCCTTGTTCTCAGCAAATTCCTTTGCAACTTTATCTTTCTCATCTTGTGTCAACACCGACAGGTATTGCAAAATGATTGAAAACTGCGCCAAAATTTGCCGACGGAAGTAGGGATCTCGCAACTGCAATTATGGAGACGAGCCAATGTCTTGGTTATACAAGCCCACGCGAACCCGAATCATTGACTGGAAATAACATACCTCTAAGTCGAACAGATTCGGACTGGTCAAAAACTTGGGGAAAAAAAGTTCAATCTTGCCATTTGCAGATGGGTGTTTTGCGGCATCGATTTGCTCTGACGAGTCACTGGCTCTATGCTTCCTTTTTCGATCATGGGAGCCTTGTTTATCGTCTTTATGTTTTGCTGACTGCGAGGTGGTCTCTTTGTTGATGTCGTCAAATCTTTTTAGAGTCGCGTCTATCCCCTATAGCAAGCTCTGAGAATCCATACAGCGCAAAAGAAAGCTATCGTATGCTACCTTTTGAAATCTGTTGAAGTTGGCAGTTTGCCATAGAAGGGAGGGATTCGCAAAAAATCGCTGTAAATGCCAGAATATCCGGTATAGGCTTTCCTGACTGCCTGTAACACCAAACTACATTAACACGGGGTCCAGCCGAGCAATCTCGCGGCCTGCCTTACTGTTCAGTGCGTCTGCTTCGTCAATGTCCATGGGATCCTGTATGTCTTCGCCTTCATAATGCGTCTCATTCTTGACATTGAATTCTCCACGCAAATTGACACCTTTGGCATTCATTGTTCAGAATCGTATCAGGTCTGACGGAAGTAAGGTCCGCTTTTGCCTTACCAGATCTCTCGCTAAGAGGGTACACATTCGCCATGAACATCAAAATCCGCCCGGAAGTTACCGTATTTTTTGTTTTCGACAATCGTCGAAGGATCTCGTTACAGAGTCGCAAAAGCACCAACCCTTTTCCTTTACTTGGGTTTATCCCCTAGACCAAGACAACATGGTTATTAGATTGCGTTACCTCTTTGACAGAGAGAGTCAGTGCACTTACCACAGTTAATCTATCCGCACGGGTCTCCAGATACTCGACAACCCGCTCAGCACCGGATATCGTCAGCACATCGAGCAAGTCTTCGATTATATTAAAAGGAACGGTTTGGTCTTGAACGCCTAAATCCAATTTTCGCACCGGTGGTGGGTGAGACTAAATCTAACGAACAGTTTATCGTACAAGATGTCTGCCTACCAGCTTCGGTACAGTGCAACGCCGCGTCCAAGAGATCATAAAGGGCGGCGAATAGGGCATCATCTTCACGAGAAGACCTTTCCTGCAAGATAACGTCGCTTAATCTATATGAAGCATGCTTGCTCTGCACTTCAGACACGCACCACAATGTCAAGCATTATGGAGTTGAAGGCAGTGGAAAGCATTCCATGATATGCAGGCTCCACACTGAGCTTCTCCCGTACTGCTTCGCGAAACACTCGTGTTTTATCTTCCTTCGCCAACCCAGACACCTGCGCTAGCACATCCAAAAGTGCTTTTCGGATATCCTCTTCGGCCATGCCGTTTTTTCCAGTCGATCGTTTGAGATTTGACATTGTGAAGCTTGCCTTGAACAGCTGCTTGTAGGATCTTGTTGCCATACCAACACGTGGCACAGCCAGTTTGGACGAGCCGCGCAGAGCCGAGCGAAGGACGAGATCGTTGCGACTGATCCCAGTGGACGTTGGTTGCAAAACTCAATAAAAGAGCTTGGTACCTTTTGGACAAATGGACCCAATGGATACTGATGCGCCAACAGGTGCTTTGCCCCTACAGCCTGGCGAACTCTATCTGAATGGTGTGCATATTTTCTTAACCGCTTGGAGTCGGCTCGGTGGTCGTATTCACCTCTCCGCGTCACAGTTCTAGCACTCACCAACGAAGCGAGAAACATGCATGGTCTGCGACACCAGGACTATCAGCGCTATAGGTTAATGGTAGTTCTCCTTTACATTGGTAGATGTAAGTGCTAATATAAAATGTGATAAATTTAGGCAGTTTTGCGCGAACAAAGTGCAGAGGCTACGGAAAGGTTGCAACCTGGTGCAAGCTGGAGCAAAACGGCGGTTTGAGAAGAAGCCAGTGACCGCCGAAGTCGTGACGGGAGAAAAGTAAGCAGGCACAATACCGGAATCATGACGGTTGTCGCTGACCCATTGCATTTCCGAACACGTCTGAAGGCATCTGCAACTTCTACTCTTCGAGGCAGAACGGGGATGGGCGTATGCAATGGAATTGAAAGCAGAAGTGAGGGATGAGCCTCGGAAACGCTTTCATCAGGTGAAAAGATTAAAGAAGGCAGTGGAAGCTGCCAAGCGATTGCACGACATATGCCAGAATTGTCAAGCGGACAATCGAACGTTGTTGGATGTGCAGGTAGCTAGCGTTCTAAGCTATAGTGCGCTTGAGACCAATTATAACCTACCATCATTTTAAAGGCGTATGCCGCCACAATGGCAGGCTTTCTCTTTTTCGAGCAGCAGCGTTGGGAAGAAGCCCTCGATAAGTTTGCCACTGCACGGTGGGTACATGTACTCATATGCATGAAGTTAATTGCGCCTCTTAATTGGCCACTCTAGAGTCATATATCAGAGACTTGCAAAGGCCGGTACTGCTCAACAGGAGGCCCTTTGTCAGTCGGTGATTGACTCCATTGATCCAAGCATTCGCTTCTGCGCATACAACTTGAAGATCAAGGGCGCTCAGAATCTGGAGATTTCCTCCTTAATAGAGCAGACGAACGAAAGCTCACGATCTGAGTTACGTAGTCTGGAAGCGAGGGTGGGGGTACGATAGCGGTTTTGACGTAACCGATCATATTTTTCCTCTACTAATCACGTCAAACACTTTCTGCGCTTTTAGAGTATGTTGTCTGATATTTCCAGCGAAAATAATGACGGGACATTCAAAATACGGTGGCGGGGGAGGATAATACCAACCCGAAATGAAAAGTTAGTAGAGGCGATCTCCGAAACCGTCAAGACCTTCGAAGGCCTCAAAGGATCAACTCCTCGACCGATCTTGCTTGACGGCACATCGGATACTGCAGTACTGGATGCCCATTTCGAACGCTTTGAGAAGGCTCTAGCTAGTGCAGCTATTGCTCTCCATTTGGCCAAAGAAGATGTGAAGAATGACGAGGTGAATTTGAGCATGCTTATCTGTAAGGCAAAAATTTTGATTGTGCTGATTGGTCTTTTCGTAGCTTGCCACCGCAAAGGTCAAGTCATCGAAGGGCGACCAGAATTCGGCAAACCTGCAACTGGCCTTGGCCTATGTAACATTTCTACGTTTATCGATTTCCATTGACCGGAATCTGGAGTTGATAGAAGTTGCCAAAAGCAAGCGCCATGGCCAAGGGAGATTCCTGGCAAAGGGGATGAAGAAAGGGGCGAAACCCGAGGATATTGTAAGATTTTATGACGCGATCATTCAGGTATCAAGGATTTGCGCGTACTGCAATCCATCTCATTGGTCTTAATGTATTTCTTTGAGCGCAGGGTTTGGACGACATGAAGAAATTCGGTGTGGTTGATTCCGATCTAGCGTTGCACAGCTTTCTGTCCGCCCAGAGTCACATGTATAAGGCTCAAAGGTATATTCAGTTGGTGTTTATAACGATTGAGACCAGATTTTTGAATTCATGCGCTACTCCAGAGCTACATTCATCGCTCAAACATATTCCAGCCTTGACAAACATGGAGAGGCGCTTGCTTTGTATGAACGTGCTAATGAACATGTCGTTCACGCAAGGGCGCAAGCTGAAGGCGCTGCTCGCCATGACACGGGAGCAGGGGAGGACCTGCTACAGCTGCGGGATAAGATATTGCGCACAGAGACTGATATTCGGGGCGGCAAAATTAAAGAACAAGGCAAATGGTATCTGGAACAACATCAACGGGGAGTGTCTGTCGATGGAATTTCAAAGGGGATTCAAAATATAGAACTGAACGATGGATACGGCGAGATTCAGGTGAGCAACCTGAACAAGGAATACTGGCCCTATTCTCCGCTAATGAAATTGCCCCGAATAGGCCCCTGTTACCTCCCGCCTCAACACATTCATATCGGACTTTGATGGTAGCAATCCTAATCTGATCGCAATTCCCCCAAGTTTTCTACCAGCACCATGTAAACCGCTATTTTTCGACATTGCATACAATGGTCTTGACTTTCCGGTATCTAATATTGAGCGTCGTTCAACGGGTTTGGAGAGGAGGCGACGTGGTGAATCGGAGGAAGAAGAAAAAGCCAAGGGGATTATGGGTGTGCTAAGTGGTTTGTGGGGACGGAAATAATACGTTTTGTGGCCTTAAACACTCTAAACACTCGGCTGCAATGGCGAAATACACGATATGGGGAATGACTAGAATGTGTCTGTATATTACTTTCGCTCTTGCATTAAGTAATCGAGGGCTTGATCTCGGTCATTATTCTTCATCACTAGTGCTTCCCGTATCCGCTCTCTTGGAAAGCCAAACTCCGCCAACGCTGTATATGCCTCCAAGAAAGTCCTCTCTTTCGCGATGTCATGGTCATATAGACCAATTGCAACTTGAATGTCATCCCCTTTGAATCCTGCATGCCGATGCTCCTCAAATGCAATAGCAAAGTCGAGAATCTACATGCCAAAAAGATCAGCCGAAATATACATTTTCATCGCACTTGAGACAAATCGACATTTAACCTTCTTTTCGTCCCTCGCATGATTTATAATACCTCGTTCAACTGCCTCGTGACTGAACCCCATTTGGGTAATTCTCAGAAATGTATCCTACGACAGAAGAGCATCAATATGGGTAGTAACATTTTTAATGCAATAGCTTCACAAACCCGCATGTCAAAGGGAACCCCCGACGGTATGTCATGCCCCAGTGCCAGTTGGTTCTGAGCAGAAGAACCGGTCGATATTCCCGGGAGAATAGGATACTGCAAGGACTGACGCTTTCTGGACGATGACGATTGCCCAGGGTTATTAGTTTGCAAGCCAACGGGTTTTGGTGGCGGTGGTGGACCAGACGACTGGCTTCCAAGACCAAGGTCCGCCATTAGGGCTCTTGCACGGCCCACAACATCGTCATATTCTAGACTTGATGTCACAGAGTGATGACCAGCTAAGGCATCTAACCTCGCATTTCTGGTAGGCAAGGCTGACCACCGCTGCTGGGCGTTCCCTTTCCTAGCAGCAGCGTTGCCATTTGGTGCAACCGATGACGTTCCTCTGGATTCAGGAACACCCATAACCTCTTTTAGCATTCGCAAGTCGTCATCATCATCTTCCGTGCGCCAAGGGTCTGGGGGAGGGAGACCCTGCTCAAACTCCAGATAATCAATACCGGGATGCTTCCGCGCACTGTCAGCTACGCTTGGATTGCTTCCGGAACGTCCACTATCTGATAGTGATGATACTGAGCCTGCCAATCGATTGCCTTCCTGTTCAGAGAGTCGGCCATGAGAATTAAGAGCTGAAGCATCCAAAGGGGGAATTGGAGAGGGCGTTTTGAGTTTTAAATCTGTCCGTCCCAAGGCTGCGGGCGAGCTGGACGCTGATGTAGGTTGCATTATCTCTCCATCAACTGCAAGCCCAGGGGCCTGCCTTCTTTGCTTTGCTAGTTTGTCTGCCTCCAGTTTGCGCTTCAGTACATCCTGGGCAGCGGCCATAAGCTGTCGTTCCGTTTGAATGCGATTTGCTTCCTCGAGAACGCCGCGCTCGAGAGAAAAGTCATAGTTGAACTGCCCAACCAAAGAGCCGTTTATTAAATTAATGATTTTGTCTTGCGCTTTCAAATCGTTTGGCAGCCCTACATTTTCCACAGTATTGTCTTCAACGTCCAAGTAAGTGTAAGGGAGAGAGACCTATACGTTGTCAAGCCACACTGGACTCGTCAGAGTCAGGACAAAGCTGACAATTTCCAGTTGCCTTGCAAACTTGCCTGATTCGTTGGGCGGTAATTCTTGGCAACGACGGGAACGTCGCTAAGAGGAGGGTAGGCCACACCTGGGACGAGGGAATAGCCAAAGATCAGCGCCGCTTCTAAAGACCTCCACTGTCATCTCTCCTACACCAAACCCACCTTCAGTCCACGCAGACTGTCCAACTCCGTTGATGTGATTCATGTCAAGTAGCAAAACACAATGTTCATTAACAAACACAAGCGTAGGAAAACGATGTTTTGTTTGGGGAAAGAGCGCTGAGGGTTTGGCCAAGGCGAGTGACACGCGATATCAAAAGCGCGAATGCGCGGCTTTGTTGGGCTGGTCGTTTTGCTTTCTTGGCCCCAAATGCTCCCATCTTACTCTCGACAATTTGGCCAGACTCCTCAAAAGCAAGTACTTCGTTCCTCTTACAACCTCTGGGTTCATGATGATCGTTTCTCAAAACAGGACCTTGTAATCAATCCTGACTGTTTTCCTGGCTGTCGAGTCGGTGATCTCTTGGAAATCTTTCATCCCACGGCCCCAAATGGAACATCAAATACAAACTCTGGTGTAGGGAAACCATCTCAGTCTCACAGTACCCCAGGACGCTCAGCCCAACCCCAACAGAGCGTCTCTCCACCCACAAAACCTAGGACGCCTCATGCACCACATCGGAAAGCAAAGACGCTTGTCCTGCAAGTGACGTCGATAGATCGTGAAATTTCTGGCAAGCAGCCGCAGTTGCAGGTGGGCTGAGCCTGTGGTGGGTGCTCGGCGGAGCTGTTGCTGGTGAACCGTTTGTTTTACGGTTTGAGCTGACGCCCCGACGGCATGTTCCCCATCTCCAGATATCTATTGCCCAACATGTTGCTGCACTTTTCGAGCTTCAGGCACGGACGGATGTCATCGTTCGTAAAGTAAGTGGATTCTCTATCTTCCGGAGGTATATCGTCATGCTAACTTGCTGCGTGTCGCAGATTGACAAGGACACTGTAGCTGCAGACTACGTTGAGCTGAATTTTCGAGATCAATACGTTGGACGAAGCGACATGTGGCGATTAAAGACCATGCTAACAAACAGTTGCGTATATCACGGCAAAAAGCTATCTTCACTCGGCATTCGCGCCCAGATCAAGGATATTGTAGTGGCAGGAAAAAGGGTAAGCACCGCATACGGACATTCAGCAATTAACTGTTTTAATAATTAGAATTCTTTGGGAAGTTTGCATGCGGGTATATTACGGAAAATACAAAGACAATCTTTCGATCCGAAACGGCCAAATATTTCATCTTCATTCAAATGAGCAAAGAAATGTGGGAATTCGATGAAGACGGGGAACTTTATTTCGAAAAGTGCGTGCATGGATTTTTACCGCAACTGTTTTCAAAGTGGAAGGAAGGCGGAACAAATCACGTAGTATCCATCGTTTTATTTGCACGTATCCATTACCATAACCAAGAGGAGCTTGCGTCAGATAAGAGGTCCTCTTTGTTTGAGGATCAAGCTGAAAACGGCGATAACCACGCTGTGCCAATACTCGTAGACACCTCTGGACGAGCGTATCGAGACTTCTATCGAGTCGTGGTTGATTGGGAGATTCGGAGCGAGTGGTCACAGGTGCTCATCCCTTTGAAGAAGGAATTCATTTCTTTTCAACGCGATGTGCTCCAGCAACCTACCGGAGACGGCTCAACTGTATTGTCCGGTTCGAATTCACCAGCATGTGAGGGAAACATTCTCGAAGCGATTAACCTGGCTCTAAATCCCTTTGATCGCCACTACATTGACCGAGATTTATCCCGCACCGGCCTGAGTATTGTTATTATAACCCCTGGTTCGGGTACCTTCGAAGTGGATAAAAAGCTCCTCAGACTCACCGCGCAGCGAATGGTGGACAACGGAATAGGCTTAGACCTGGTTTGCTTAAGTAAACCTCCATTGTACACAGTCCCTCTCTTTCAGTTTCTCTCAAAGGACTGGGCAGGGATCTCGGGTTGGGCGATGAGCAACAGTGGAACAAGCGCTGACACAGAAAGTGCGATTAGCGGTGAAAAACGATGGGCTACTCCTGGTCCTGGCGCAACGAATGGTCGATTAGTCGATCGGTCATTTGAAAAAGTAGGGCTTGGGGTTGGCGGTGCCGGGGTTAATTTTGCCGGAGGGGGAATGGCTGGAGGTGGGACCGCTCCCGGTGCGGAACGAAGATTGGAAGCGTGGGATCCTCTTTATTATGACGATCCGTCTCCAAGCAATCCTGAACGCCCCTTTTTTATGATGCCTAATTGGGTGATGTGTAGCTTTTGGACGCGCGACGACGAAAACTCACGATCCGGATTTACGCTGCGCTGTAAGATGTATGAAGTGCAGATGATGGGTGTAATGGAACAGATTGGCTCCGCCATTATAGCACCGTATTTTGACAAAAACGCAAGTGGCGACGAAATATCTGAAAGTAAACCCTTAGCCTTAGACGCAGTTGTAAATCGTTCGGAGCGTTCTGCTGGACATCCTGAACGAGCCGGACAAGGCGGAGTTAGGTTTGAAATTGGGGGCGAAGATGACGATGACAGCCCAGCCGTGTCCGTTCAATCTGACAGCCCCTTTGATTGCGATCGTTATGACGAGCTTGTTTTTGCGCCCAGCAACCGACATAAACCCTTGCTCAAGCACCGATCAAACTCCACTGTCAACACTATAACGCTGGAGAATGATGCAACAGCCGGCGTTAAGGCCGGGCGAACAGGGCAGCGCACCGATGGGCACCAGCAAAGCATAGGGCCAAATCGTAACGCAATCACAGGCAATGCGATTTCGGTAAGTCCCGAGGGCCTAGCGTCTGCCACGTTGGCGGCCGTAGCGAGGTCAGGGTATCATCGCCCAGCACCGGGGGATACCGTCCGGAGTGTGGACTCGGATGGAGCTGGAATCCGGGCATTGCATCCAGGATCCACGTATTACTGCCCTTGGGAGGATGGCGATACTCTCAACGTCGATGAACGTGCAGCGCTTTTGAGAGCAAAGGCTCGTATTGAACAAGCGCGTCAAGTTGCGCCCGGTGGAAGCGGCACTGTTAGTCAACTACGACCAATTCCTTCCCATGGATCCTTCGCTCATGCGTTTCCCGGAGCAAAATCTGCAACTGGATCAGTTGACGGGCAATCCGCGGACAAGAAGGGTCAACGACCACAGTGGCTTGCAAATCAACAGTCAACGATTTCCGGATCCGGCATGGGAAGCAGGAAGGGGAGCCGGAACATATCAGATGGTTCCACAGGAACCCCGGACCTGAGAGGGAATCAATACCATCCAATCACAGGCTCTGCATCTTTTGAAGGACCTGAAATTCCGGCCGAGCACAGCATTTCCAGTCAGGGCGCTGATGTAGAGGATAGTGTCGCGGGACCGGCCTCCACATCGCTAGCCCCTATTCGAATTCATTCTGGGGGCCACATGAATGTGCGGGCAACTCGTGACGGTTTCTCCGGCTCTGGCTCCTATAAAGGCGGTCATTCGCCGCTCGCCAACTATGAATATCTGCGCCAGTACCCCAAGCTGTCCCCTGGGAAAGCACAAGCGACTGGCCTTGCCGCCCGAAATTTTCTTTTGCAGTCTTCCCTACGACCGAATCTTATTAATCCCTGCAACCCGAGCCGGAATGTTGTTCGAGCTACCAGTCAGCTTTTTCGCTGGCAACATGTTTTCCCGCAGATCCTTGCACCTACGCATAATGATATAGTTATGCATTGGAAGAGCTTGTCCACGCCTGCCTGCTTGCCGCTGACGACCGATTTCTTCCCCACCGCCGAAGAATTATCGGAGTTTTACGAAGAGTATACCTATACGGTATCTCCTGCGGATGACGCAACGCCGTATCAGTCGCGAGGTGAAGATGGGGCGGGTGTGAACAGTGGACGACTCAAGGTCGAGGCGCTTCTGATGGAACTCGTTGGTCAGCGGTTGGCACAAGGTTTTCAGTTGATAGCCTCAGGGCTGGGGGCTTCGACCAGCACCGCCGAAAGGCCAGAAGGCAATGTTTCTGGAGGAACACTAAGTCCTGTCGCTGGCCGTCAGAGCCAAGATAAGCAGGCAAACAAGAGACTCATTGGGTCATTTGCTGACGTCGCGCCGCGTCACCAACGTCCTTTAGCTCAAGGGCAAAGGCACCCTGCACAGCAACCGCAGCATCCGGTGCAACCGCCAGATGTACCGTCCAACGACGCAGCTTCAACTATACCAGTCTCGATTCCGTATCATCTAAGTCTGGGCGATCATGTTCACCGGCTATTTTATGATGCCTCTGGGCAAAACGTTGAGGTAAAGCGTTATGTTCGCAAAGTCACCTACTCTACATTCCCTATCCTTTACGCATGTGGAATATGGCCTAAGCATGACACTTTTTACCGTCCAAAACGCATGACTTTTACCTACCCACCGGTGACTATGTACAACTGGAACTACCTTGATCACCTCATATCGGGTTATCAAGAGGAAATGACGGAGAATTTGCGGTTCTGGCGTACGCGCTTTCTCCTCATTCCGCTCGAAACCGTGGCGGTTATGAGCCCATTTTTGAACCCACAAGGGGAAAACCTGGATGAGGAGGAAGTGAGACTTGTTGGCTTTGCAAAGTTTATTGAAGTGTTTGAGCGTGCGAGATGGGTTTCCCCGTGGGAAGAAGAAGAGGCAAAAATCAGTGGCTTCAATGGCGTCGGAGTGAAGACACCAGTCACCTCGAAGAAGATGAAGAACGTGAAAGGGGGACATAGACTGGAGATTCAATTGACGACCTTTAATACTGCAAGATTTGTCAGGGATGAAGTGTTGGGAGGCACTGAAGCCGTCTCCCCTACTACGTCAGGACATCCGCAGTCGCAACATCAGCATCTCCTACAAGTGCCATTGATACGACGTGGGTCGATCAGCTCCATGGCAAATGCTACTCCTGTGACGCCCGCCACATCAACAAACATCCCGGCTCATCCAAGTGTTTGTCCTTCTCCAACCAGTGCATTGACACGAACCACGCCAATCCAATTGATTGCTCAAGCAATTGCAGCACCTCCACCTATTGGGGTCGCTTTTTGTGACCGCCGGTGGCATTTTAGGCTATACGAGCGTGTCTTCATTGGTAGCGAGTGCGTTGATTGGATAATCCGGAATTTCACCGATATTGACACTAGAGAAGAGGCTGTCGAATTCGGCAATTTCCTATTGAAAGAGGGTCTGTTTGAGCATGCCAACAGGAAGCATAGGTTTTTGGACGGACATTACTTCTACCGAATCCGCACGCAGCATCTGAAGTCATCCAGCGGGACATTAAGGGAGAAGGATAAGGGACAGTCATGGTTTGCGACGAGGGGAAAGCCCGGAACGCCGGGAGATGGTGAGGTATCTGAAAGCAGTAGTGGCGCATCGGGGACGTCGTCTGGAACCGCCACACCTATTCATACGTCACAAGCTCAGCTGCATATCCCAAAGAAACCAGAGCAATATCGGCTATCTCGTCGAATGGTGATCGATTTAGACCCTCAGCGACGGTCGCCGAGGCGGGAGACTGCAGTGTTGCATTATGATACGGTGCATAATCCTCGTAACTGTTTTCACTTTCAACTGCATTGGCTTGTATGCAGTCCGAGGTGGATAGAAGACCTTGTTGGCGGCTGGGCGAGAGTGGCGGAGAAATGCGGCTTTAAAATGGTAGAGGCCGGGATTGAACAGGTAAGCTTCATGGACTGCTGCTCATTTACCCTTTGCGGACATTCCAATCTCCTTTTCCTAGGCGGAACCCCTTTCTGACGACAACCCATTCCAATCTGTCACCCGGATAATCCCCGCTGCTGAGCAACCACCGTTACCGCATTCATCGCTTCCATCCACTTTTTATCTCACAGAATTAGTAAGGAAGTTTAATTTTGTGCTGGATGTGGAGGCTGACTCAGCCTTCCCGCCGGGTTCTGTTACCTGGTCCTATGATCGAGGGCGAGGCTACAAACGCACTCAATGGGTACATCGGAGCGGCGTTGCCTTTGTACAGATTGGTACAGCTGAAGAGGGTGGTGGATTTTGGTGGGTGGCCAATCGAATGCATCTGACAGGCTCAGGCAGTGCGCCTGGTTTGGAGAGATCAGGTGGTAGCGCTAAAGACCTAAAGGGTGCCATTGAGAAGAATCCAGATCCAGAAACATTGCGGAAGGCGCTGACAGACTTTTGCGAAAGTGCTGACCAGGTGAAGGAGTTTTGGGAGGAGGTGAGAAGAAAGTTTAAGGAAATGTTTGGCAGCGCAAAGAGCGACGGAGAAAGCGATTCCCTCAATGCCAAGCTCGGGACGGATGAGCGTGTTGCGGAGGAGAACGTGATCTCCGATCTCGGTACTGCCGTCGAAGACGCGTTCGAGGACGTTGGCGACGATGCGGGGGCAACTGTTGTGCGAGTAGCAGCAGGTGATCCATCTATACATGTAGAGGTGCAAAATAGGCCGGAATCTCGGCCATCCGAAGGCGGCGAGGCGGAAAACATGCCTCTCACAATTCGCTCGCCGAGTATCCTCGATCCTCAGTTCTTCTCTCCACCATTTGGTCCAGCAAATACTTCAGAAAAAGAAAATTACCCCACAGCAGAGCAGAATTACCCTTGAAACAAGCACGAGGGCATGTAAATATGTATATACATGTAATGGTAGCTATTAGATTTGTACAAAGCGCCAATACTCTACAACGGATTATGGCGGTCGTTGATTATGATCATGCCGTCTGCCATACATATACATCTACCAAATTATCCACATCCCTGCTTGTTCCAGAGACCATTTCGTTCAATCGAAACCCTGATATTTTATGCAGTCCAGCCAAGAGTGGAAAGAAGTTCAGCTCGAAATCAACATGTTCTAAAGGACCGATATTGCCAAAGGAACGTTCACTTGGACCCATTAGCAAAACACTGCTCATTTTGCTCTTTACGCCATGGATACTCAATCGAAGGGTTTCAGAAACCAAATTATTGCGAAGTCTGCAGGTGACCGAGAACGGCCGCTCTGCATGAATCCTGTCTGGGGTAGCGATGACCGCAATGTCGTATGGTTCGATAGGCGGCACCTTCCGGCTTAGCTGGGCCGTCTGTAGTCTTCCTGTTTGTCCCAGATGAGTTCGCCACATGATATCCAATTTGCCTAATGTCGGTGTCGTTCTGGCCACCGAGTCCTGTGGCTTCTTTGGCTGAAGCATATATAAATACTGTCGTGTGTCTTGTGGGCTGAGATACACAGCGCCATCTTCGGTAGCACCCACAACGGGTCCAGCTTTGATGCCGCGAGGACCATCCACTGCTGCGCTGTCATTGACCGTAATGATTGTGTTGAGGTCGTGGAATTGAAAGAGTTCGTTTGCTTCGAAGCGCATCTTTTCCAAATACATCGTTTCATTAGCAACATTCTGCACCTGCGCCTCCAGAAATACTCGTCCGTCCTGCAAGCTGTTGACCTTCGTTTTCACTGCCAAAGGGTTTAAAACTTGAAATTTATAAAACTTGCGGAAAAATCTTCTCTCTCCGCTGCTCGTGGAATAGTGAACGGAGCACACAAGAATGTGAACTCCGAGCTCCTTAATTTCGTGATGTATAATGAACTCTGCGGACTGAGTGGGCAGCAGAGGGACTCGAGTGGCAATGGATGAAGAGAAAGATGTATCGGCAGAGTTGGACGATGCAACCGAGGTGACGCTCGCTCGCGGGGTGGCTCCACCAAGCGTATCTGCTAGCGTAAATCGTTGTGAGGCGGTTTGAAGTTCGGCTTTGATTCCGACATCCTGAACGGCAGAACCGCTCTCGTTGTTGACGCATAGATAACTAGAAAATGTTTCGCCTAAATAAATGTTCCCAAATGAGGAAGGAACCGTGAGTAGGTCGCTGAGACCAAAGTCGCGAATGTTGAGGCTGGAAGGTGGGAGGACTGGGGAGTTGAGATTGAGAAGATCGGCGATTGGAGGTTGCACGGGTTCTGAGAGACTAGTAATGTCATTTTCCGCGGCCTGTGTAAGCGCCGCGTTCGCTGGCAGAGTGGGAGCTTGTTCAAAAGGTATTGGGTTGACTTGCACAAAGGATGGGCGCGAAAGCCGCATCACTTTGAGCGAGAGCAGGTGAGGAGCGGTGTTTGTTGCCTCGCTCATTTCGACCGTGTGTTATGAAGAGAGAAAGCGGCATGGGGTTGAAGCCCAATCAACCCGTTTGCTGCTGGATCGTCGCCCGCGATGGAGCGTCGCGATGGCCGAGCGGAACGACCGCGGCGGCCGCGAACGAGATGTTGTCACGTGATCATCGACGACCTCATCACAGCGCCAGATGCAAGTCCTGGATCTAGAGTGTTTTTCGTGCAGCAGCAGCAGGAGTTTTTGCGTATGGCAAATTCGGGTCTACAGCGCCCAGATGATGCTCAATTTGGTTTTTACGACTTCATAACATGATCAAACTTAAAAATCACTATTCAAACAAATTGGCGTCCTTTGCACATTGAAGAGCACGACGATAGTACTGGTCATTTATGCTCATCTCCATCAGCTAGTTCTAAGTTTAAAACTGATAAAGGGGCAAAAGTTCAGGTTGGTTTATGAGAGCGGCAGCAAAAAACATGTCCAAATCAACAAGGTCGGTTACGCGGTGATCCCTTGAGGTTGCAGCTGAGGAGGTACTTGTTCACCAGCGGATGACAGTCGTGAAAAGGGTTGTTGTTGAATGTGTCCACTGCCACCGGCAAAGTCTTGTTGTCTACTGTATTCGTCAATCTAATAAAGCGTGGAGCAAGTCAGAAATCAAAATCAAGTCTTGTCCCAAAATCAGAAAGCACTTGCCTTCTCCAGGAGCGTTGTTGAATACCCAGGTGAGTAGTATCGCACGATTTCCTCCGGATAACATTCGTTGATTGTCCTGATGTATTCTCCCATTTTTGTGCCCGTCAATGCATTCGCACCTTGCTGAACCGTAACGCTTCCTCTCTCAAGAGCCTGCTGCTGGGCCAAAGTACCGGGCACGCCAGGCGCTGTGCCAGCATAGATGTTTGCAATCTCTTGAACTCTCTGTAATCCCCCGCTAGTCACAAACGCGCGACGAGCAGCAACGTCATGCGGCAGGATTTTGGCAAACTGTCCAACGACATACTTGAGAATATTTGGTGGAGTGCTATGAGGTTGAAGTAGAGGGTCTAGGGCGTCGATGCTCAACGTCTTTTCGAGGATGCATTTCAAGGCTCGTTTGGTTTTGGTTTTTAGGTCCGCTCCCGGGCCACTAGAGCCTTCGTCATTCGAAGGGGATGAACCGGCATTTGAACTGGTAAGTATCTTGAGGAGTTTGGGCAGTACTGCATGATCAGAAAGGGTCTTGGCATGGTCGGGAGAGTGACGACCAATTTGTCCCAGCGACCATGCACATGCAGCCTATTAGAAAAAGCGACTGGATAAATAAGAAAACTATGCATCGTCACATATGTTTGTAATCCATCAGTTGTCACCTTGATGTGCTCTTCATTCTCGACAGTCAAAGCCTGAGTGAGTGGGGGCACTCCCTTGGCGACAATCACGGCCAGTGCAAGAGTTTCTGAGAAAGCAGCCACGTAGCCCAATGTCATTATTCCAGGCAGGCGAGCATTACCCCTGGTTTCGTTGACGTAGTCAACCACAGCTGCAATGCCGCCAGAATTAACAATGAGCTGAGCCAGCTGGTAGCGGCAAGGTTCAGTAAGTAAGATCCTAATTCCTGTATATCAGCTTATCAACGAAGACGACTATGGTCCTACCTCTGGCGTATGCTTGGCAATTTCGCAGATCAAGGTCGCTGCATTCTTCTTGACATATCCATCCACATCCTTTAAGCAGTTCAGCGCATTTGGGAAGATCTCCCCGTCAACAACTGTTTCCGCAAGATCGACTGTGTGCTTTGCAATCTGTGCAAGCGCAGAGCACACCTGCCGCCGGAGCTTTGCATCCGGGTTGGCCAACAGGGGAACAATAATGGGTACTGTATTAGCGTCGACAACAGCCTGAGCCAGCTGGAGATCAAACAAAACGTCAAACCATGCTCATAATGACGGAAGTAACAACATTCGAAGCCCTACCTCTGGCGAGTGCTTTGCAATATCACTCAAAGCTGAAGCAGCAATTCGTCGCAGGGATAATTCAGGTTCCTGGACGCATAGTACAAGTAAAGGTACGGCACCGGCATCGACTACCGCTTGTGATAGATCTGACCATCGAAAAAAGTGCGATGAGGTTGAGATCAACCTTCTATCAGGCTGCAATCAAGTTACACTCACCACCATTGTGTCTGGCTATATACCCCAATGCCCATGCAGCAGACTCTTTGACGCCAGGATCAAACTCTTCCAAACAGCTTATAAGAGCCGTGAGAGCTCCAGAGTCGATTACGGATTGCGCCAGTTCCGGAGAGTGCTTCGCCACAGCTCGAAGAACGAAAGCGGCGGCCTTCTTATAGAAGCGCTGGAAGTTTGAGGAAGATTTCTTAGTTGGCGTCTCATTATGTCAAATCTTTGCTGACTTACATTCTGTTCGCTCAAAGAATAAACCAACTGGGGTAAGATATCTGAGTCCACAACTGCCTGGGCCATCTCCTCATTGTAGTTTGCGAGTCTCCCGAGTGCCAGAGCTGCAGCCTGCTGAATTGCTGGAACATTATCCAAAAGCAGTGGACGGAGCAGCGACATGACGCCCGCGGCTTGGAGCGCATCAATATTGCTTTCTCGGGAAGCGAGATCTGCCACGGTCTGTACAAACATGAGTCTTTCCTTTTGGTATTTCTCAAACACGGCAAACACCGCCCTGGTGTTTGCGGCAGTTGGAGAGGCTGCCATCGATAAATTCTGATCTGGAATTGCAGATAATGGTATGCCGCAGTCGCGCCAGAGTGTCCTTAATTGGATGCTTCACTAGCCGAAGCTGGTTTAATGCGAAAACGTTCACAGAGTGCGGACGATAAGAAAACTATCGTCACCCATACGTAGATAAATGTTGGGTTGCTACTTGGGGTCCACCATCATCGGGGAATTTTGTCGTAGCAATCAAGTGAGGGATTAACAATGATTCAGGGATACTGGGTGTGTCGGACATTTCGCTTACTAAGCAAAACACGCTCGGTAGATCGTCGTCGCATCGTCTCGCCTCGAAACTACACTTGTTTGCGTGGGCGCGCTGCAGTTTGCCCCGTCACCTCGCCTTGTGGCCAACGTCGCAATGAGAGACGCCAAGAGAGTCCATTTGCCTCTCAATGTGGCTCCCGCCGCGATGGGAGACCGGCCGCAGCCAATACTCAAAGCAGGAGCGAGCACAGATCCAACACCCGTCACACTGAATATGGCTCTAAACCATCAGCCTGCCGGAGTATCAAAGATTCAAAAAAACGAAGGAATGCTTAGTGGATTTCTTATGCATCCATCGGCTTTTATTGATGAGGATGAATCAGAGGCACCGCCTCCTCCGGTGCTGAACTGGCCAACTACTGACGGCATACCAACAACTCGCTCTTTCAAAAGGCCTTCTCGTGCCACCATTACAGATTCAGAGGTTAAAATTGAAGGGCAACCAGCGCTTGGGGGCTTGGCTGGTGCTAACTTTGGAGAAGTACCAATGCTTCCCGCTATGGATGCTGAAGGACAACCCGCGCTCCCTAAAATTCAATCAACTGTAACGGAAACAGACGTGCGGCCAGCAAGCGCAGGGAAACCAGACGCATTTCGCCAGTCGTCACGACCCACCAGCTCTATTCAACAAAGAATCGTCAAAAAGTTGCGACGTTCAGATTACATCAAGGCATTAGAACCAAAAGTTATGTTGCCATTTGCGTCTCGGCCTGGGCAGACCCCACGAAAGATTGAGATTGAGAGAAAGAAAAGGCTGTTCTCACAACAAAACATAGGCGACTTGATTCACAATGCTATTGCTCCCATCGGGCAAACCGCCAGCGTCACGCATTTAGAAGATGTCAAGGATAATGCAAAAGACCTATCGAATTCAAAGCTGTCACAGTCGCTTAGTAGTCCTGTAGCATCTACGACTTTTGGGGACTTTTTGCCTTTGGAGATCTTCGACGACACGGAATTTGAGAGCAGAGATCTCCATGAATGGCTTGATATGGAAACATACGGTGTTCAAGAAGAGCCACTCGTATCAAAGGTCGAATCAACGAGATCAAAGGCACAGAGGCAGAGGACCGCTTTCAAAACGGAAAACTCGATCCACTACGCCACAATTCCGGTGCCGGCCAAAGCGTTCCAAGGCGAGACTTGGCGAGATTGTGTTATGATCGCATATAATGAGAGGTCTGGGTTGTGGAAGGTGAAATGGCGAAACTTTAGCGGATGGGAACTCGCGCAAAGTCATGACACAGATGAGACAGAAGAAGAAGAGGAAGAGGACGACGACGAGGAGGAGGAGATCGAGGGTGAGGACCAAGATGAACCCATTGAAACCGAGGGGAGTGGGAGCCGAATGAAAAGTGCGACAAATCGAAGGGAGGCATGGGTTCATCGGTAAGGTTTAATGATGCTCACCTTAGATGGCCGTGGAAATAGTCTTAACGTTCTATCACGGATAGTATCAATCTCTTTTTTCTTGCCGAAGATCCTTTCAATTTTGCAAGGCGTGTTGCTGCCGCCTATAACCTTCGTGAGCAAGTTGCGCGTAGCCTAGTAAGTAGATATCTAATTACGCCTTGGTCCGAGGGGGTTGATGGCTTATCGAGCTCTCTGTTCATGCAGCGATATAACTTTTTTATAGATTGCATGCCCACCGAGCAGTCTATTCAAATACCGGGGTCTCAGCTCTCTCGCATATCTGAGATTGCCATGCAGACAGAGAAGCAACTCAGGCGCACTCTCAGCCAGCCAGCTGTTGACCTGATAATGAATGAAGTCAAGCGAGACTACGCACGGGCTATGAACAAGCAGCTTTTTGACGTCGAGGTAGCTGACGTTCAGTTCGCGCGCTAGATGTACATCGGTTTAATTGTCTGGATGTTCTGAGTAGGTTACGTCTCCAGAAACAAAGGGTGCATATGAGTCTCTATCACTGCCGGACCTGCAACAATCAGAATCTGTACCGGCGTAAGGACAAAGTGAAATCCCATATGCTGTATGTCAATTCATCCTGACTTTATCGTTGCTTCAGGATCCGAAATTGTGTTGTGCCTGCATACGATTACACAAAGCACCAGAAAGATTTCAGTTTTTCGACATTCCTTAGCAGCATAGAGGTCATTCGCACTCTATCCAAGATAAGGATTGAGTGCGACAAGCTCGCGAGTGGGAGCCTGTTTGTTGCGAACATCACGAAAACTGTTCGGCTGGATGAGTTTGAACAGACGCAGAATCAGAGCTTGCAGAACATGAAGGCATTTCTAAAGGATAGGTGAGAACTTCAATACTTGCTACCATAGACTTATTGATATGCACTTAACCAATTTCACTTAGCTGGGTTAACATGCTGAAAACTGCCTTGAGAACCGGCTTCAAGGATGTTGGAAAAGGATGGTACAATATGAGAGAGACCAACTTGGAAGTCTACAGGATCAGCAAACTGAAGAAGTTTATGACTACGGTCAAATTTATCATGCAAGATTCGTTACGGTTTCTTGTTTTGAACTCCCTTGGGGATTACATTCGGCTCATCAGCTCAATCAGCTGCCAAAGAGTCATTGTAAACGGAACCAACGATGTTAAAATCATTGATCCCTTCGTAAACAAAATTATGGCCGGCGAGAGCAGCACGAGAAAGCCCTTATTCATGATTGACCTCGTATTTCGAAACGGCAAGTTGCAGTACGGAATCGACTTTGAGCACTTTGAAAGTGTTATTCTGTCGATTTTTGACAAAGCTCTGTCGACTGTGGAAGGGCTCCCCGAGTTAGAGCCATTGGTACTTGATCAAATGTTTTGGGCGGCGAAGCCCACTTTACAGATACCGCACTCCAGGGAAGTTGGCATTGTGCAGCTCCGTCAACGCCTGGTGCAGGCACTCCGTGACGGCATCTCCCCACTGCAGCAATATCAAAAGCAATATGATCGCCACCTCAAAATGCTGAATTTGGATATTGCTCAGTATGCACAGCAGTACGAGGCCGAGGAACACACTATTGATGAGATGGAACGTGATATTGCGAAGCACTTGCAGGAATGGGAAATTCTAGACAAGGAGATACCTAGTCATCTCTCGCTCGGTTTGTTCTGGGTAAACTGTGAAAGCATTAGAAGCGCTCTCCGCAAGGATCTCAGCAAAGTTGTATTGGACATTCTCAGCAAGCGTAGCTCTCGCCTGGCTCAAAGCATCTCACAAGCCTTTGGTGCCGTCCAATCAAGGCTGAAAGAACGGCCGGTGAAGATCGAAGAACTCACGGAGCTTCGCGAGTACATGCGTTTAATTCCGGAAATTGTTCGAACACAAAATGGTCGCATCAGCGAGATGTTGCATAACTACGAAATTCTGGAAAAACATCGCTATGAGCTTTCAAACGAAGATTTCAGAGCACGATGGCAGGCATATACTTGGCCCATACGAATTGATGAGCTTGTCAAACAAACCGAGTCAGCTCTGGAAGTTGATGAGCAAGCATTCCTACGCAATCTCTCTGCCGACCAAGAGATCTTTAAGGAGCGAGTCCATACTCTTGGCACCATTATTGTCGATTTCAGCAAGCATACGGACCTTGGGCGACTGGCTGACATTGTCTTGGAGGTGCACAAAACGTCACTCGAACTCAAAGAATGCCAGAATCTTGTTGCGCTCTTTAACAGTAGAGAACGATTGTTTAATTTGGAGGTTACTCACTATGATGAGGTCACGCAACTGGGGAAGGACTTTGAGCCTTACAAAAGTTTATGGCTAGCCGCTAATGACTGGACCAAGTGGAGGAATCAGTGGCTCAACGGCAGCTTTCTGGATCTCAACGCTGAAGAGGTAGAAAAAAACTTAATGAACGCCTGGAGAACAATGTTCAAAAGCATCAAACACTTTAAAAACCAACCTGGGTGCCTGGCAGTAGCTACTCAGGTACGCTGCTTGACATTTGCTTTTCACGCATTCATGTACTATTGTGTTTGACCATTTCGAAACCCCTTTCACAGATGAAGGATGAAATGGACGAATTCAAGCCATATCTACCCCTTATTCAAGCATTGAGAAACCCGGGAATGAGAGATCGTCATTGGGAAAGGCTTAGCGAAGAACTCAACATGAAAATTCGTCCTGACAGCAACTTGACCTTGACTGACATTTTGAAGTTGAACCTTCTCGAAAGGGTAGACAGCATTGCAAAAGTTTGCGACACAGCCGGTAAAGAGTACTCCATTGAAGCGGCCTTGGATAAGATGGACAATGAATGGAAGAATATCAGTCTTGAGATCATCTCCTATAAAGATACGGGCACATTCATCATGAAGATCTCGGACGAAGTGATCCGCCTTTTGGATGACCATATTGTTATGACGCAAAGTATGAGCTTTAGTCCGTACAAGAAGCCTTTTGCGGAACGAATTGCCCTATGGGAAAGCAAACTCCGAACGGTCCAGGAAGTGGTGGAAGCTTGGATGGCCTGTCAACGATCCTGGCTTTATTTGGAGCCGATCTTTAGCAGCGACGATATAGTAACGCAACTTCCCGTCGAAAGTAAGCGCTTTACTACAATGGATAGAACGTGGCGAAGAATCATGTCACAAGCAAAGCAAAGGCCTGGAGTCATTGAATTTTGTAGCGACTATAAGCTCTTAGACTCCTTCAAGGAGTGCAATAAGCTTCTGGAGCTGGTATCCAAAGGTCTATCTGCGTATCTGGAGAGCAAGCGTATCGCCTTCCCCCGATTCTTCTTCCTTAGTGATGACGAACTGTTACAAATCTTATCGCAAACGAAAGATCCAACCGCGGTTCAGCCACATTTGCGAAAGTGTTTCGAGAATGTGGCCAGCTTAGAGTTTGCGGAGGACAATTTGATAATAGCCATGTATTCCGCAGAAGGGGAAAAGATCATGCTGGCAGAGCCTTTCTATCCGAAAGGTCCTGTGGAAGATTGGCTCTTGCGCGTTGAGGATCAGATGCGTCGTAGCGTGAAGAAAGTTATTATTGATGGGCTGGCCTCCTATCACCTTAAGCCACGTACGTCCTGGGTTTTGGATTGGCCTGGGCAGGCTGTTATTGCTTGCTCGCAAACCTACTGGACTCGGGAAGTGACGGAAGCATTGAAGGCCGGGCAAAGCGGCGTCAAGTCTATGTACACGCGTTTACTTGGTCAGCTCGAAGGTTTGGTTGGTTTGGTAAGAGGGGAGCTGTCGTTCTTGTCCCGATTGGTGTTGGGCGACTTGATTGTTATCGACGTACACAGCCGTGACGTCGTCAAGAAACTTATCGACGCTGGAGTAACAAACGAGAATGATTTCGAATGGATAAGTCAGCTGAGGTATTATTGGGAAGAAGATGACCTTCGAGTGAAGATTGTGAACGCAAACTTTCGGTGAGTACTCACCGTTTTAGACCCTTCGATATGTTTCTAAATAACTGGTCTTTAGATATGGCTATGAATATCTCGGTAACACCGGTCGTCTTGTCATCACACCCCTTACCGATCGTTGCTACCTGACTTTAAGTGGAGCTATGCACTTGGGTATGGGTGGGGCACCAGCCGGCCCTGCAGGCACTGGAAAAACCGAGACTGTCAAGGACCTTGCAAAATCATTAGCCAAACAATGCGTGGTCTTCAACTGCTCTGATCAGTTGGATTACTTGGCAATGGCAAAATTCTTCAAAGGGCTGGCAGCAAGTGGGGCCTGGGCATGCTTTGACGAATTCAACCGGATTGACATTGAGGTCCTCAGTGTCGTCGCTCAACAGATTACCACCATACAGAAGGCTGTCGCGTTAGGAGTAAACAGATTTATGTTTGAGGGTGTGGATCTGCCCCTGGATCCCACGAATGCCATTTTCATTACCATGAATCCCGGATATGCTGGACGTACTGAGCTTCCTGATAACCTGAAGGCTTTGTTCAGACCGGTAAGCTCAAAGAAATGTATTTCAGCAAACAGTGATCTCACAAGAAACGTTGGTCTTTTGTAGGTTGCTATGATGATTCCCAACTACGCCATGATTGGGGAGATCTCTTTGTTCTCCTTTGGTTTCAGCAACGCCAAAGTGCTTGCAGAGAAGATGGTTGCGACATTCAAGCTCAGTTCCGAGCAATTGTCATCTCAAGACCACTACGATTTTGGAATGCGTGCTGTCAAATCCGTCATTTCAGCTGCTGGAAACCTCAAACGCGAGCAACCAAATGCGGCGGAAGACATCATTATGCTTCGAGCCCTGATGGACTGTAACTTGCCCAAGTTTCTCGCAGATGATGTTCCTTTGTTTAATGGAATCATCAGCGACTTGTTCCCTGGCGCGGAACTACCCAAAATAAATTACGGAGACCTGCTCCAATCGCTCCATGCGACGTGCGAGAAACTCGGACTCCAGGCCGAGGACTCTTTCATCAATAAATGCATACAGCTGTACGAAACTACTGTCGTTAGACACGGGTTAATGCTGGTCGGACCTACTGGAGGCGGAAAAACGAGTTGCTGTAGAGTGCTTGCAAAGAGTCTGAGTGCATTGCAGGGTAAAAAAGCGCCCAATGGAAAAGAGTTTCAAAAAGTAAGACATGCAATTGGAAATGGAGAATATCACAAAGGGAATCGTTGACTCGGTTCTTTTCTTATCTCTTTTCTGCAACCAGGTCCGAGTTCATGTGCTGAATCCAAAGTCAATCACAATGGGTCAACTGTACGGTGAGTTTGACCCGCAAACCCACGAGTGGTCCGATGGTATACTTTCCGCTTTGATGCGCGAGGGTGTCGAAGACACGACTCCAGACAAAAAGTGGTATGTGTTTGACGGGCCTGTTGATGCTGTCTGGGTGGAGACAATGAATACTCTACTCGACGACAACAAGAAGCTGTGCTTGACAAGCGGAGAAATCATCAAGATGGCTCCTACACAAACAATGATGTTCGAAGTGCAAGATTTAGCTTATGCTTCTCCGGCAACAGTCTCCCGCTGCGGAATGATATATATGGAACCGGAAGCTCTTGGCGTGCTGCCGTTAGTAAAAAGTTGGCTAGCTAGCCAGGAGCAGCATCTTCCTAGTCAGCTTGCAAGCGTTTTCCGGATTACTGTCCAGCCCCTCTTTGACTTCTGGTTGGAGAGAGGCCTGCAGTTCTTGCGTAAAAATCTCAAAGAAGCTGTACCCACGACGAACGGCCATCTAGCGACGAATCTGATGAAGATTTTCTACTGCATGATTACGCCCTTCATGCAAACGGAGGTCGAAGTTCCAGGAGGTGGAAATGCAAATGCCGCAACTACACAGGTAGTGTACCACACAGCAATCTGTTCCTCTACATTGCGCCTACACACTTTATGCTCATATGGTGCTGACCACAGGCAGATGCATTGGAGAGATTCGTACAAATGATTGAGCCCTTCTTTCTTTTTTCATTCGTCTGGTCAGTGGGAGCGACTGTGGACAGGGAAGGCCGCAAGAAGTTTGATGCGTGGATGAAGATACAAATGGCTGAGCGACCGTTGGGCACACCTTTCCCGGATAAGGGCCTAGTTTACGACTACATTTTCGATCAAGAGCAAAGCATATGGATTGACTGGATGTCGTTCGCCCCCGAATTTCAGATGAATCCGAAGCTCAACCCAAGCGAAGTAATTGTGCCAACTATCGACACAATACGGAACACGTACCTGTTGCATCTCCTGCTCCATCATGGGTGTCATGTTCTGACCACTGGGCCCACCGGCACGGGGAAGACCGTAACCATTCAGGATAAACTCATGCGAGGAATGGACCAGACATTCATGCCACTCGTCTTCAACTTCTCAGCGCGCACCAGTGCCAATCAGACTCAAGATCTAATTGACAGCAAAATGGAAAAGCGACGAAAGGGTGTTTTTGGCCCGCCGGTCGGAAAACATTACATTCTGTTTGTCGACGATCTCAACATGCCCGCTCTCGATATATGTGGAGCACAACCTCCTATTGAGCTCCTACGTCAATGGATGGACTGTGGAGGATGGTATGACCGAAAGAATGTTGGGAAGTTCATGGAGATTGTCGACATCACGTTTGCTTGTGCAATGGGTCCTCCCGGAGGTGGTCGAAATCCGGTAACCCCGAGGTTCACACGGCACTTTAACCTTTTGACCTTTGTGGAGATGGATAACCCATCACTGCAACGCATTTTCAGCACAATTTTGGGATCCTTCCTCAATAGGTTCAACCCGGATGTACAAAAGCAGACCGATCCCATTGTTGCAGCATCCATTAGCATCTATAACACAATTCGCACCGAATTGCTACCTACTCCGGCAAAATCGCATTATACGTTCAATTTGCGGGATCTGGCCAAGGTCGTCTTAGGTGTCCTCAGCGCAGATCAGAAGACTGTGACGACCTCTGCCGACATAGTTCGCCTTTGGGTGCACGAATGCTTGCGAGTGTTTCAAGATCGATTAGTGGACTCAACCGATAAGAGTTGGTTCCTTTCTCTCGTAAAGCAGTCCATGAACAGTCATGTTGGAATGAATTATAGTGAGGTGGTTACTACAGAGCCGTTGCTGTACGGCGACTACATGACCCCAGGGGCAGACCCAAAGGTCTATACGGAGATCAAGGTATGCATACCGTCAGCTTCATGAGTGTGTATAACAAGACTCCTGACGACAACCTCTAGGATATGAAGCGATTGGTGAAACTAGCGGAAGAGTATCTCGATGACTATAATAGCACTACAACAAACCCAATGCGGCTCGTGATGTTCTTGGACGCCATTGAACATGTCAGTCGAATATGTCGAATCATTCGTCAACCGGGAGGACATGCCCTACTGCTTGGTGTAGGCGGTAGTGGGCGACAAAGTCTCAGCAGATTAGCCACCTTCATGGAAGAGTACGAGATTTACCAAATCGAGATCACCAAGAGCTATGGTCAAACAGAGTGGAAAGAAGATTTGAAAAAGGTAATCACATTTTGTCACGGTGTCCACAACGTTAATCCTAAAAGATGCTGTGGGTAGATTCTCTTCTGGGCTGGATTAGACGCAAAGCCCACGGTTTTCCTGTACACGGATACGCAAATCATCTCAGAGAGTTGTTTGGAAGATATCAACAATCTGTTAAATAGCGCGGATGTACCAAACATCTATACTGGGGAAGAAATGGATCGCATCCTCAACGCCATGAGACCTCTGGCTAACGACATGGCTATTACACCCACGCGCGAAAACCTCTTTGCACTCTACATCAGTCGTGTGAAACAGAATATGCATCTGATCATTTGCATGAGTCCAATAGGCGACGCATTCAGAACACGGCTACGTATGTTTCCCAGTCTCGTTAATTGCTGTACAATTGACTGGTTTTCCACCTGGCCCGAAGAAGCCTTGCGGAGCGTCGCAGCGAATTCTATTGCTGGTAAGTCATTCCTTCTTTCTCTTCATCTAATACCAAATTGACGTTGCTCTGCAGAAATCAACGATTTGGGCTCTGAGCAGGTCATTGATGGGATCGTGAATCTATGTGTGGTAATGCACGAGTCTGTACGCGAGCGATGCGTGCAGTACAAAGCTGAACTGAACAGAAACAATTATGTGACGCCAAAATCCTACCTCGAGCTTTTGGGCTTATACAAGCAGTTGCTTGACAAGAAGAGAAACGAATTATTGGCTCTTCGGAAGCGTACCGCCACAGGTCTGGAAAAACTACTCAACGCAACCAAAGAAGTAGAGATATTGCAAGAAGAGTTGGAAGCAATGCAGCCCATGCTTCTGCAAACCAGTCAGGAAACAGAGTACACGATGAAAAAGATTGCGGTGGACAAGGTGAAGGCAGAGGAAATACGAGAAAATGTTGTTACGGAGGAGGCAGCCTCCAACAAGAAAGCAGAAGAAACCAAGGCTATTGCTGATGATGCCAAGCGAGATCTGGATGAGGCTCTACCTGCTCTTGATGCCGCGCTGGAATCCCTCAACTCCCTATCTAAGAACGATGTCATTGAAGTCCGTTCAATGCAGCGCCCTCCAGAGGGTGTAAAGCTTGTCATTGAGGCCGTCTGCATCATGAAGGGCGTCAAACCAAAGAAGGTCGACGGCGATAAACCTGGAAAAAAGATTGATGACTACTGGGAGCCAGGAAAAGCCTTGTTGGCGGAGCCGCAGAAGTTTCTGGACGGCCTTATTAATTTCGATAAGGACAATATTTCTGAGGCAACTATTCAGAAAATTAAACCGTACATTGATTCACCGGATTTCCAGGTTCGGAGTCTCATCAATATTTTTGATCGACGGGCGGTCATCCTTTTCTAATCAATCTTGCCTTCGTACGCCTTAGGTTAGCGTTATTTCTCGCGTATCAAAAGCAGCGACTTCGATGTGTGCCTGGGTTAGAGCAATGGAAAAGTACTATTGGGTCTCTCGTTCCGTGGCTCCAAAGCGGGCCCGCCTACAGGAGGCCCAACAGTCACTCGACGCTACGCTGAAAGTGTTGGCGGAACTTAAAAAGAAGATGAGAGAATCGGAAATCAATATCAAGGAAATGGAAAAGAGATACAGTGAATCTGTTGCCAAAAAGGAGGAGCTATCCCGGAAAGTGGAAGAATGCAACGTAAAACTTTCTCGGGCTGGCAAGCTCATAAGTGGTCTAGGTGGAGAAAAGCAGCGGTGGGCCTTGACAGTCGATCAATTGGACACCAAAATTAGCAACGTCATAGGAGATATTTTGTTGGCCGCAGGAGCTATCGCATACCTTGGACCGTTCACAGCAGAATATCGGACGAAATTGATCAACGAGTGGACGGGGTCCTTGTTGCGGCTCAAGATCCCGCATTCGGAGAGCATATCCTTGTACGATGCCCTCGGAGATCATGTGAAGTTACGGGAATGGGAACTGAGTGGGTTGCCGAAAGATTCTCTCAGCAGGGATAATGCTATAATCGTCCAGAATTCCCGACGATGGCCATTGCTCATTGATCCCCAAGGTCAGGGTAACAAGTGGATTCGGAATATGGAGAAAGCGAACAGCCTAGATATCATTAAATTAACTGACAAGGACTTTTTGCGGACGCTGGAGAACGCCATCCGCTTCGGAAAACCAGTGTTATTAGAAAATATTGGAGAACGACTTGATCCTGCTCTGGAGCCAATTCTGCTAAAGCAGACCTTCAAGCAAGGAGGCAACACAGTCATTAAGGTGAAAATAGTCTATGTGATGGTGTCGTTTACCTTGGGTCAGCAGACACTGACTGGAGACTGGCTCAATGTAGATCGGCGACAGCATCCTTCCTTACCATGACGATTTCCGCTTCTACATAACAACAAACCTCCCTAACCCTCTTTACTCACCCGAAATCAGCGCAACAGTAACGCTGCTGAACTTCACCCTCGCGGCTAGTGGACTGGAAGATCAGTTATTGGCCATCGTCGTGGCAAATGAGCGGCCTGATTTGGAAGAAGCTAAAAATCAGCTGACAATAAATAACGCCCAGGTAAAGTAAAGCTATGGATTGTTGGCAACTCATTGGAATTCCGTGCTAAACAATTGCTGCTGGAAAATGGGTTAGATGAAGAAAGAACTCAAAGATATTGAGGATAAGATTCTATACTTGCTGTCATCTGTTCAGGGTAGTCCTGTCGACGATGAACGCTTGATTGACACGCTAGGTGCCTCGAAGGAAACCTCAGAAGAGATTCAACGCAAGGTAGCCGCCGCTGAACAAACTGAAAAGGATATCGACACTACGAGAAATAAATATACACCGGTTGCCGTCCGGACACGCATCCTTTTCTTCTGCATCACGGAGTTGGCGAACATCGATCCAATGTATCAGTACTCTCTCAACTGGTTCATGAATCTCTTCGTGTCCGCAATTACCCACTCGGAAAAGAGCGATGACATCGATCAGCGTGTTGCCAACGTCAACGAATACTTTACATATTCGCTGTTTTCCAACGTCTGTCGGTCGCTATTTGAACGGCATAAGCTTCTCTTCTCATTTTTACTGATCATTCGAATCTTGATGAATGGAGACAAAATTGATGGAGATGAATGGAGATTCCTGCTTACCGGCGGAACCGGTAGCGACAAGAAGATGCAGAATCCGGCACCTGACTGGCTCGCTGGAAACACTTGGGCTCAGATACAGAGTTTATCAACTTTACCGAATTTCAGTAATTTTGAGCAGGATTTTGCAGAGTTTATCGAAAGCTTCCGGATGATATTCGATAGCTCGCAACCGCACAAGGAACCTTTGCCGGGGAGATGGAACAATGCTTTATCTGCCTTTCAAAAGTTACTCGTTCTTCGATGCATCCGACCCGATCGAATAACGTCGGCTGTACAAGACTTCGTTGCGACTCAGCTGGGCGAGCGCTTCATTGAACCTCAAACGTCTGACTTACTGGCACTGTACAAGGAGTCTACTCCAATTACTCCTCTCATATTTGTGCTTTCTCCTGGTGCCGATCCTGCCAATTCTTTGTTCAAATTTGCAGAAGAGATGCGCTTCAGTAAGAAGCTGAACTCCGTTTCATTGGGACAAGGGCAAGGTCCACGCGCCGAGGCATTGATAAAGGAAGGCATGGAAAGAGGCCTCTGGATTTTGCTGCAAAACTGTCACTTGGCTCCTTCTTGGATGCCTACTCTGGACCGTATCATTGACGGCATGACTCCGGATAAAGTGCATCGAGACTGTAGGATTTGGTTAACCTCGATGCCAACACCAAAGTTCCCTGTGAGCATTCTACAGAATGGGGTGAAGACGACTGTGGAGCCGCCTAACGGTATCAAAGCAAATTTACTTCGAACATATGCTACATTTAATGAGGACTATCTGAACTCCTGTACCAAAGCGAGAGAATGGAAGAAATTACTTTTTTCAGTATCATTCTTCCATGCAGTGGTTCAGGAGAGGCGCAAGTTTGGATCGCTTGGCTTCAACATTCCATATGAATTTACAGAGTATGTCTTTTCATATTTATTATGCTACGCAACTAGCTCTAATATTGTCTTCATCCAATAGTGGTGATATGCGCATTTGCATTCGCCAGCTGAATATGTTCCTCGAGGAATATGAAGAGGTTCCATTCAAGGTGTTAAAGTACACTGTTGGAGAAATCAACTACGGTGGACGAGTTACGGATGACTGGGATCGGCGCCTTATCATGAATATACTGGAAGACTACTGTAATGCCAAGGTTCTGGAGGACGGGTACAGGTTTTCGTCAAGCGATCTCTACTATTCCATCCCGGCGGACAACTACAATGCATATAGAAACTATATTCGAGGACTACCGATTGAGGAAACAACGGAAGTTTTTTCGATGCATGAAAATGCAAATATCACCTTTGCCCAGAAGGAAACCTTCACCTTGTTTGATACCCTTCTCGCTCTGATGCCCAAAACGAGCAAGAGCGCAGGGGCCAAATCGCGTGAGGAGCAGCTCACAGATACAGCAATGTCAATTCAAAGCCGGGTTCCGAAACCTTTCCCCTTGGATGTTGTTCTTACGAAGTACCCGATCGAGTACAAAGAATCTGTGAGTAGGCTTCATTACGATGCTGTAATGATGAGCACTGTTTGACCTCAGCATTTCCTAGATGTCGACAGTGCTTATTCAGGAAGTTATACGCTACAATCGGCTCCTTGCGACAATTCATTCGACCTTGGTTGAGCTCATGAAGGCACTGAAGGGATTGGTTGTCATGTCCGAGGCATTGGATACAATGTGCAACAACATCTACATCAACCAAGTTCCCCTAGTGTGGGCAGCGAAAGCGTATCCATCCCTAAAATCACTTTCTTCATGGGTGATTGATCTAGTTGCACGATGTGATTTTATTCAAAAGTGGATTGACAACGGTATACCAACGGTATTCTGGATTAGTGGATTCTTTTTCCCGCAAGCATTCCTGACCGGGACATTGCAAAACTATGCGAGGAAATACGTAGTATCAATTGATGTCCTAAGTTTTGACTTCAAAGTTGTCGACATGAGATGGGAGGACATCCACACGAAACCGGGCGACGGATGCTACATCAGGGGACTATACTTGGAAGGTGCACGATGGGATGCTACAAAGCGAACGCTATCGGAGAGCAGACCCAAGGAACTCTACACTGAAATGAGCGTGCTATGGTTGCTACCAAAACCTAATCGAAAGAAACCCGAAGCAGGCATTTATGACTGCCCTGTATATAAAACGTTGACACGAGCAGGTACAGTTTCGTTCACAGTATAGTTTACCAAGTCGCTGACACTCGTCACTGACAACTGCATCCGTAGGCACTCTCTCAACGACCGGGCACTCTACCAACTATGTTTTGACCATAGAAATGCCAACAGACATGCCCCAGTCGCATTGGATCAAGCGTGGCGTCGCATTGGTCATGTCTTTGGGCTCAGGGTGGTAGCGGATGAGAATGTTTGTAATGTAATTTGTAAATAGATTCGACGAATTGATGTAAGGCGACGCACTGATTAAATACAACCTCAATGAAGACCCACAGCGCTTGTCATTTCTTGAAGAACGATATGTCTATACTTCTTCTCCAAGTCTCCCATGTACATTAGGTATTGTCCCGTGCTAAACAAGGCCCCAACGTGGTGCCCTTCGTTCAAAAAGGTGATCAACTCTTGCTCCCTTGTCGCGCGCAACACATGAGATGCGTTATGGCGGAGGAGAGAAATACAATAGTACACTTGATAATCGATGCCTAAAGCCATACAGAGTAGAACGTAATTGGCGATTTCGGAGAGTGGAAGCACGTTCCAAAATAATTCTCGAAGCCAACGTTGACATATCTTCAGAAGCGTAAATGGTACCATCACCGTACGCAAATTACAAGCGCTGTTATTCTTACCTGGCTTGGTGTACATCCACTGAGGGTGAATGCAGAAAACACGCTGGGAAGCTCTGTCTCAAGAATCCATTCTATCAAATGACAGCATGTCGAATATATCAACGGTATCTCAACCCGGTCTCCAGTTGAAGGTGTACATCCATACGATCGCTGCGGCCAGACATACATGGACGGCATAAAAGTAAGAAAGCCTATAGCGAATTCCGTCACCGTGGACACATTTCCATCAGTGAGGATGTACATGGTGGATAAGAACCAGTCAAATCCGTTAAATCCCGTGTCAGCGCTGCCGAGCATCGGTTGTGGGATGCGGTACGACTTGAGCATGCTTCTGCAGCGCTGCAGCAAATCCGTCAGATCTTGATGCACCGCTTCTTCGGACTTCGAAGGAAGGTATCGCATAGCGTAACGAGTCGCTAAACGAACACCTATTATGTCGCACTCTGTAACCTTCTTGAACAAAATTTAATTTAAGCCGAGGGTAACGCCTTTAGTAAAGCTTTTCTCTACCTCGCAGGTGACTTTCACATTGCCATCCGGCCCTATGCCGTTTGGCAGCAAATTCCAGCCGAACGCCGCCCTTTTGGATTCCGGTAGTTTTTTGAGAGCCCGCTGAATTTCTAGCAAAACAGAGCCCAATCCCAAATAATCGGCACTGAGGGCTCCGTTCCTAATAAGATTCCATGCTGTTTTCTTTATACCAGATGCATCAGCTTAACCTTCAAGAACGTCAGCTTACACAGGGACCTCACCTGCATGTCGCTTAGTGCGATATCAGTCGGGCTAGTATCGAGTTTGAATGCGGCTTCCCGTAGTTCTGAACTGTATTCGATAGGTGAGACCGTTAGTCTTCTATGGCCCAGATTCGACTTTATGACCTTTAGTTATATCATACCATGCTCGTAGCGAGGCTACTGATTGTATAGTTCTGTCCGGCATGTATTGCTTTGGGATAGGAAACTGGGTGACCATACAGGTGGCTCTGCTCAAGGCTTCGTGCAGTTGCGTGGGAGGTAGGATGCGTTCCTCTGGTCCGCCGACTGCGTAAGTGGCTACGAGTATATGTGTTCTCAATAGAGTGGCTTCGTCGATGACGCATGTGGATGTTCCATCTATTTATCTCATTTAGCGGCGCGCGATGTGAGCGAATGATCCGAAACCTGAGCACCTACCAGTATGGGCAAATCTCTGCATCGCAAGAAGAGACTCTTGGAATTTAAAATATGACTGTAAGAGAATAAAGGAATCCAGGGACGAGGTCAACAGCTTCAGAATCCTTAATCCGATCTTCAGCGGGGTTAGAATCCACTAGCGTGTTGTTTGCAACCGGTTTATTTCGATGCAACTTACCAAATGTGACTCCTCAATAACATCAGCCGGTCCGTCGCCAGCATGGTTGTCAGCTTTGCCTAATATGATGCAGTTCATAAGATAATGCAATGTCTCCTTTCCCATCGCTTTTCCATGTTCCGCTTCCAATATGGCAATCAAGCCGGGGAAAGATGCAAATGCTTTCAACAAATTTGCGATCATTTTCTTTGTAATGTGGTCATCCAGGGGCTCCGCATGAGGTATTGCCGTGTCGAGAGAGCCGTCGTATTCCAGTACGGCCCACAAATCGGAAAAAAAGGATCTGATTAATCCCGTCGCATACAAGGCCTGCATTCCTGGTTTTGTTGTCGATATTTGCGACACTAAAACCCCATAACCAAACTTTTCGCACTTGCTGACTTGCATCTTCTTTTCATATCTGCGCAATTCAAAAATAAATGGCACGAAAGGTGGACACTTTGCAATAGCATTCAACCTACCTATGAAACATATAGGCAACGCATGGCACCATTGAGCCACTGAGTTGCAAGAGCAGAACACCCTTTGGCGTTCCAGCAAAGTTCAGCAGATTATCAACGGCAATAGCACTCCACTCCTTTCGCAACATCGATATGTCTGCGTGTTGATCATTCTTCCACTTTGCATCCTCAAGTGTTTTTGCCAGTACCTCGTGCAGCTTGTACTGCTGTAAGCGTCGTAGTCCATCACACGTTCGATATAACTGACGCAGGAAAAAGACATAAGCTCCAACCAACTTGATGAATCTCGGTGAGGAGAAGGCGGTGGACACAGTTTGTTTTACTAATGCAACTACGGCTTCCAAAAGGCTCGTGGGATTGGGGTTTTTGTGCACAGGAAGACTAGTGTCGGCGTTGTTATCAGAGCAAACGTTTCCACCTTCCATCTGAAGAACGAATCGTCGACCATCGTCCGTCGCTACTATATTGGACAGAGTTTCGGCTATGTCAAGTAGAGAGCCTTCTTCTAGTAGCCGTGTTCCTTTCTTCCCTTCAGTCACTAGTCGAAGGGGTTCGATCAACTCTTGCAAGATATCATTCTAAGTGTTATGTCCCAGTTCAGAAAGAATCGCGCATTCAAGATGGGCGTCGAATCTTACCTTGAACAACCTCTGATCGCACTCCTTGTCAATTACAGTCACGTCCTTTAGTAATCGACTAATAAATTTGGACAACTTCAATCCTTCGACGTCTTGGTGCTTGTCAATGTCTTCCTGCCCATTGACACTAAGACCAGCTCTTGAACAATGGCACATAAGTTTAATCAAGATCTTTGTGAACCCGCGAATAGAAAGAGAAATTGAGGTTCCCTCCCCAAACTCCAATTCCGCATTTGTTGAATCTGTGAGCAATCCAATGAGAGCCGGTCCGCCACTCCCCAACAGTCCCTTTTCCACTCGTATAGGAAAACACTGTCTTCCTCCATCGAAAACTGATAATTTGCTCAGAACAACAAGCACATGCAGGAAGTGTGCATACTTTATATCATCCATAATAATTTTCTTCCGCAGGGCCAGGTCATCTGGATCCTCCGTCGCTTCCACGTCCATTACAAGGACTTCATCGGACGCTTGGGCCAGAGCAGATGCAGTATGCAGCAAAGTAGCGGCATGCCCGAGGAACTGAGCGGCAAAATTCGCTAGCAGACCGGTCTCCACGAACGCCGAAATGACCTGCGACCGTCCGAACTGGCTAATCATCCATTTTTCAAACCACGAGGCTCGTGTATCAAGAATGCTCAAGTAATGCAAAGGTGTGATGTATAACGCACTAGTATCTGTGGTCGCATCAATTATGGCGGAAGGAAAGGTACCAGAAGGTTTTCCTGGTGACAACGACGGGCTTAGAAGCTGGAATGTAGCTATCATGATGTCTTTAATGTGAGATTCAGGATAGCGGATCCAGCAGGACGTGATTTCCTTCTGGAATTGATTCAAGAGCCTAAACTGCACATGTATGATGAAGGAAGTAAGATCCTTGTCGAGTTTCAATCCCATACCAGTTCTAGAGCTAACCTTCCTCAGTGTGAGTTTCACTTTTGGGTCCTCAATAAGCAATCCATCAGCAATTTTGCGGTGTGGTCCTGTGGTGAATGCGTTCTTTAGATGCATCACCAGACATAGATAAATATCTCCTGTCATATGGGGCGGTGCCGCCTTGAACGCTCTGGCCAACACTCGTAAACCGACAATCACAACCCTGGTAAGAGGAAGATAGCTCGCATACAATTTTACAGACGTAGCGTTAACAAATGTTGCATGGCCTACCGTGGATCAGCGTCGCTCAAGGCAATGGCGAGACCTTCCTTTGTATCTTTCCAAAACTCTCCGCATAACAGGTCTGCCGATGGATACGATGCAAGTCTCTGAAAAGGGAAATAATTAAGTCTCAGATTTACAGATCTCAAACCCATGGAACATACGTGAATCGCGGCCACTCGGGTGTCGACCGAGTTATGCGCCAGCAAATTCGACGTCACCGTGCGAATATCGTCTAAAGCCGGCGAATGCGTCAAGGAGAGGTAAAGAAATCAAAACCCAGGTTAAGGATAACTATCATCTTTGTTAGAATATTTAATAGTAATGACTGAGCTAGCGGAGAAAGAATGAAGGATATTGAGCCACAAGTGCTGTCATTCGTTGAATTGCTCTGAGTGGAGAAATCAAAGCTCGCCCGCCTGTTTTCAGAAGTGCGTGGCTGCCAGGGCTCTTCGTTTCTTGCAGGAATGGCATTCAAAGTGTTCTCAGAATGCAAAATGTCGGTCACAGTGGCCGCCGCTTCATCAGTGACTTCTGCAACCAATGCGGCATAGTCCGGCGAGGTCATAATCTGTTCCACGACGGCAGGGACAACTCTTTCTAGATTTGAAGCAACTGGATGCAGATGTACTCTTAAACATTAGTCTAGACCGAAGGAGCTGTGAAAACCTGTTTTTGCTCCAAGGCCGGCCAATTTTCCCTGCCTCCTCTCTGGTGGGAAACTCTTACCAGCGGAATCCTGCGTCAAGCGAAGATGGGTTTCCAATGCTGGGGAAATGAAAGCATCTATTCGACGCTGCAAATGCCGTACGAATGCATATCGCTGTCTTTAAATATGTCAATTTGCTATGAAGAAGAACGCCAGGAATTGACCAGAATGTCCGTAGAAAACGCACGTGGAAATTCTCGTCCAGCCTTTCAAGGCCCACTAAAGCATCCAATCGTCTCCCCTTAGGTATGCTGCTAGTAGTAGCAAGGCATCTCCTCACGAATTCAACTGTCTCTCGTTTCGACACGTTTATGCTATTGGGTTGCGAGGTCATGGCATTCTGAGCTGCTACCATTCTCAGAGTCGCATCTCCAACAAGACCGCCTGGCAGATACTCGCTGCTTGCGGCAGCTTTGTCCGAGTCCCTTCGACGAAAGGGGGTGAACATTCGCCAAACCCTTCGTGGGCAAAAAAGGTCGCCTTGAAGAACGGTGAAGGAATCGCCCTCTGGCGGATGACCTAAGGCGCGTCGCGTCGTCCTAAAAGCGCGACTGCCAACCACCAACGCATCCCATCTTCCTCCAACGCTTCAAGCAGATATCTGGTTAAAGAAGCAATATAAAGCAAAAGATATTCAGTTATTCCTTGGATGAGATCCATTCGCCCTCCGCTGGGGCACTTCAAGCATTCCCCGTTCCTGATCTTGCAATAGATTTCAATAGAGGTTCGACCGCCAGTAAGGTGACCTAAATGGCGGCGAATGAACCGACAGGACGACCTAGTTCCTTAACCAAATTGCGTAGCAGTACACAGAAACAGTAAAACAGGACACTTAATCCATGATAGTCCGTACTTGCTTTTCCGCTGTATCTACTCTTACAAATATGATTATGCCATCATACGTGAGACTGTGTCAAAACCAAACCAATACTCCATTTCTATACTCTGATAGGCAGTACTATCACGACTGGGGTATGGGCATTTAGCACAGAGTAAGGTAATGCTGGAACATAAAGTTATGGCAAATTGTGACAGATGCAACTACGTACAATGGAAAACTATAAAAGAACAGCATCATCTACCCTTCAATACCGATGCAATCTTTTCCTTTGCATAGGGTCTGCTGGGAAGGTATGATCCCGCCACAGATACAGCAAAGGATAAACCAAGCACAATACAATATAACGGGAGAGGGAACGTGAAGCTGAACGGTAGGCTCGTGAAGAGGTTGAATTGCAGGGCCACAGCTAGCGCGATTAAAACACCTAACAACATTGCAATACCATCAGAGGAAGGGCTAACGGTAGAAACTCATTTCCGGTGCGCACCTGTAGTTGTTCCGATGATCGCGCACGATAAGATGATACAGACTGCCTCGTAAATGTAGACACGCTGTACACTTGTCACCTGTAAAAGAAATCGCACTGTGAGTCTCGACGAACGCAACCACAACCACAAACCACCACGCCGAATCTCTTTACCGAAAATCCTATAGCCCGCAAAACGCCAAATTCCCAAGAGTTTTCTCGTATGTTGGCTGAAAATGATAGCCATAATACGAAAAAGCAGAATATTAAGCCAACGATCGCAACTGTGGTGTGGGCCGATCGCATCAGTAGTCGTATCTAACCCAATTATAAAACAGACGGGTTGGGCCTACCAATGTAGAACAAGTACATAATATAGGTCGACGCCGACGTAGTCCCTTTAACTTGCTCCTTCAGTACTGCGACTTTGATCTGGTCGTTGTTTATGACGCTCGTCAAATCATTCGCAAGAGTGCCAATCTCGGTATCCGTCGCGTCAGAGGACACTGTGACTAAGAGTTTCTCTAGAGGGATTTTCGTCCCATTCATACCGGTGGTCACAGAGGCAAAATGCCCAATATCTCCCAGTAGCCGCTCGTACGATTGCATTGAAATAAACAGTTGGCCATCGTCTGACCCTACTTTTGTAAAGGAAGGGAGCTTTTTAAGGAAGGCAATTGGCTTGCATAGATACGAACGCCAAAATGAGTTCCCGCCACCATCACTGCTGGATGTAAACATCATGGTGAGCTCAAGTAGATTGGCAACATCAACATAGGAGGTATCCTCGAGCGCTTTCGACACAAGAACGGGCATGGCGGTGCGGTACAGCCGAGTGGTATTCGTGTCAAATTGTTCATTCGCCCAAGAAGCCGTCGTAACACCTATAGGAACAGGCAGCCTTTCGGCGAGGTCCCTCGGTAGGTCAAGGTAACTCCTTGGATCAACTTCGAACGTGAGTGCTTCCACTACATCTCGATGGTCGCAATTTCCTTGCACGCATTTGATAGGGCCAACGCTTTGATCGATCTGGTCTGGCATGTAATAGTGCAGCAATGAACCCGAGAGAAAATTCGGCTCCAGCCCATATATTTGAGCGTTTGGTGTACTCAACGACACAAGAGGGTAAATGTCGGTCCAGCTGACTGCCCAGAACTCATTCAGATCAAACTACCGATGTATTGGATTTAGATCATTACGCTCGCACTAGAAACGCCCACGGGCAATCTGAACTTACAGTTGCAAACGTGTATCCTTTGATCACCGTTCGTTGGGTTTGATTGGCGGCTCCAGAGACGGCATCATCCAGATAGCGTCTCAAACTCTGTTCTGGTAAGGGAGTTGACCACTCGGGAGCCGTCACCAAGATATCAGCCCCATATTGCCACTCGACCAGCTCTCTCAATGAGGTTGCTTGTAGGGTAAACATCGTCGATGCAAACACGATATATGCCAAGCACAACGTGAAGATCAACGTGGTCTTATTGTTCCGTCGCCTGTGGGCCGCCAAATTCTTGCAAACAATGTGAACCAAGGCTTTATCGACTCCTCGAACGATCACATGCGCAAGGGTAACTTCAAACCAATGCTGCAGAACTTGCCCTAGCAAAATGGCTCCAAGCAACATGCCTAGATTACAAGCATTAGCGTTCCACTCTGATCTCGCGAAGACGGAGTCCCAACTTACCCAGTAATATAATAGTCATGATGCGAAAGAATATTTGCAAATCTTGGAAGACGAAGCTAAGAGGCACGATATAGTACACGAGAAAGCCAACGACAATCAACACCAATGCGATTATCATCTCGATCGGCGACAATCCCAATTTTTCCAGTTTCTCAACCCTGACGGACACATCATTGATAGAGGTGCGGAAGACGTCCAGGGCGTCTCGGAGCGTCTTCCCCAGTGCCCGGCGAGTGGGCAGAATCATTCCCAATAAGGGTAACAAAATGCCAGCGCAAACTCCCAACGAGATGGACGCGGTACTCAAAGATGCATCTAGCGGGATGTTGGCGAATTGGGATAACCCGTACGATATCGGAATAAAGGCGACATAGCTCACGAGAAGCCCAATCAGAATGGCCGGCACCGAAAAATACAAAGACTGCGTTGAGAAACGTTAAGGAGGGGGAAGGTGGATAGCGTCAAAACGAGACCGAAGCGGTCCTCATACCTGAAAAAATAGCAGATTGATCAAGTTGCGTTGACGCATTCCAAGGCTCCGAAGCATCCCGTACTCAAATGTCTTATCCTCCACATCCGTTAGAAGCAGTGAAAAAATCAATAGGATTGCTAAAGCCAGAAGGACGATGATGACCGTTAAGAGCACCTTGGATCAGGGTTAGGGTTAGGATTATACTTAGCTATACTTTCATCCCTGTTCAGACTTACTTCTCCGAGGAAAATTTGCATAAAACTAGTGGCTTCCAAGGCTGTCAAGAGTACTGCTGTATAGTCGACCGGCGCTCCCAGACCGATATTAGTCGCAACTTCATTGGAGAACCTTACAACATCGGATTTCCGCGACTGATCTTGTTTCGAGTAGGTCGCCATGCGATCTTTCATGACTGCAATCACCGAGGTTACATGCTCCTAGTTCATTCAGTGAATGAATCATTTATGCATTCTAAACGGCCATGAGGGCGGTAAACTAGATACGTACCCGCAACTTTACGGTCATGTTTTGGAACGATACGGCATTCCCTTGAGCAACTAAAGAGCCCAAAAGCAGTCCAGCTACTTGGCTATCAGGGTTGCTGCTAGTCATTTGACTGCCGCTGATAAAATCATTGATCATCTTCTCCACTGCCTCGAGGCCCATTATCGCTACATTTCCCATTGCACTTGGATACTTCCCATGAGGGGCTTTGATTGCATCCACAACTATATCTCGGTAAATTCAGCATGGAGACCCTCATTGTATATGTTATAAGATCGACATCTCACCTGTAAACTCCTGTGTGAAATTGGTCAATGCGGCCGTTACAATTGCCCATGCTTGATCGGACGTGACATTTACATTCCCATTTGAATCTAAAAAGAGATCGTTATAAGAACAGTCCGTCATATATTCGAGCAAGCGGTTCTCACCTTTAGGAAACGAATTCGAAATAGAACTCTGTTGAGAAGGTGGCAATAGTGAGAGGGTAGTGTTTGACACAATGAATCCCGATGCCGGTATAAACCCTGCAAACGGATTGCTACCGCTGGTGGAGGAGGGATTTGTTGATGCGGTACCATTATTGACATCTGTCTGAGACGTTCCACTATTCGTCGACGAGCTGCTGGAACTGACGCCAGACAACGACTTGTCACATGTTAGCTATGAGTATCTCGAAAGATCAGAAAACTCCCTCACCTTTACAACATCCGCCAGAGATACGGTCAAATTCATTCGTTCACCTGAATTTGGTTTTACTCTCATTTTCTGCAATAAAGATGCAGTGACAGAGATCTCTCCTTCTTTAAGATCGCGGTACGGCCATGACGAACCAAGCCCTATTTCCTATTTCCAGCAATAATTCCATCATAATATTTAGCGAAGATCTTAGATACTCATGCTGACGGCCAGACCAATCGTCAAACAAACAAACCTTTTCCAGTGCATAGTCGAAGGCCATCACATATACTGGATTGTCCGGTTGATTCGCTTTACGAAGACTGCCTGGAAGTATCCAGCGTGGCGCTGCACCTGCAACATGCGGTGCTGAGCTTAAGGATGTGTTTATAACTGTGTAATTGAGCAGTATGGACGGTGAACCACTGCTCAAGGTGGGTGAGAGGAGCTACAGGGCATTCGCTACAGATGTTTAGGTCGACATCATAATGAACTTCAAAGCTATATCAGCTCTGCCTCACCAAGTCCCATTGTCCTGCCTATTCGACATTAGCTATGGTTACGAGGTTTACATCTTTTAAGCGACATCAAGCACTAACCGAATCTTCGGAAAATTTGATAAATATGACAGATGCACGATCAATAATATTCTGAATTAAGCTAATGGCAGAACATTAGGTACTAGATACGCAGCTGACGACGTCCTCGTCTTTTCTGATGTACCTCAAGAAGGCAACCGTTAAAAACACTGTTAACAAGCCGATCGAGAATGAGCGCTTCCTCTTGGCGGTTTCTCCAATGACATACTCGGCAACAAGCCGGATGCTGCCTAATTGCCACCATAGCCGGGGCAGTAAGGTCCGCCTTACTGAACTGGTCTTTGCCATGGCACTGCGGTGAACACCATTACCGTTTGCTATGCCAGTTCCGCCCAGATGTTACGCGTACGCGTCCTAAGCTTACGTAACGACACTTAGCAGTTGGAATCGACGCTCGGAGATAGAACATACTGTGGATGCTTGAGTGGACGTGCAGATGCGGATGAAGCATTGCTGAACGAAGTATGTACGTGATAATAGAGCCCCACTACCGCGACGATCTACCACATGATGAAGAACTACTGCGGGATGGCGAATCCGTGTACGATCCCCGTGACGCACGGAGGCGTGGTCGACTGATCATGAGGATCTTGAGCGATTCGATTGTCGAGTCGAAGAGGTCGTGTCCCGACGAATGCGACTACGCTCACCACCGTGGTGCCGACGGGTCTCCACTGCGTCGAGATTGGTATGTCATTCTGAAGGTGGAAGATCCCGATGACAACGTAAGATCCTATGAGTCACCCGACCTGGCTGGCATGCTGGAGTGGGGTAGAGCGACACGCCTGAGGGATCTGAATGCGAGTTCCTTACATGCCGTTAAGACTCCCACCATCGCCTACGCCAAGGCCGGGACACGCGACGAATGCATATCGTTCACATATACCACCTGCCTACCATATGCATTGATCTTGCTAAAACAAGTCTGTATGCCTGGTCACCACATAAACCTCTACTTGCCAGACGACTCTCACCGAAACGGATACCGAATACAGGTCATCTGCCATCCAGATGGGATGGGGCCCACGTCGCTGGCCAGGGAAGATACGATTCTCGGAGACAGACTGGGAATATGCAACGGATACCACTCGAGCCTGGCTTCGATGTTATCCATAGCGGTAGTGGAGCACCCAAACCTAGATGACACAGAAGGATACGGGTTTGCTTGGGTGTCCCTGAAAGATGAGGGGACAATGGTGAAGTTCTTCGCAGATACCATAAGCAGGGCGTGGTACCTGTATCGCAGAGACAAATACATGCTGGAGTCCAAGTCTCCTTGGTGGTTGGCCTCCCTGGATAGAACCACTCCATCACGCGGCGTGCGAGGGGGCGCAGAAGTTGTGGCGTGCGAGGGTTGCATGTGCATGAGAGATGTGACCCTACTGACGGCAGAGGACGTAGTTCTGGCGAGGTCACCTACGCGGTCAGCCAGGTTGCGGGACATGCACAGGAAAGGATGTGAGAACATAGACGAACTTGCCGAAGAGTCGATACCTTTGCTGGAACTATGCGTCAGACTTAGGCCAGTCACTGGGGAGTACAACCCAGCTGAGAATCCCATTACGGAGTACGTGATGCCGTACATGGAAATTGCCAACAAACAGGTGCACGATCACATGCTGCTCAAGAACGTAGAGTTGTTACTGGGTAGATATACGCACAAGAAATACGGCTATACGTTCAGGTTCATGACGTAATCCAGGTGCTTGGTACTCCTTGATGTTTTACAAAACAATCTCGCACACTGACCAATCATCGATAGAAAGACAGCAGAGAGTTCGGTCGCATGAGGTAGATCGCACGACGGGGTCGGATGCTCATGGAGAGATGAAAGAGTCCGGCCAAGTGCGTACCACGGGAAATTCGGAACGACGGCGTCGATCGAAGTGAATCGCACGGGGTGGTAGGGACGACAGAGGTAGCCAAGATGGCCCGAGGGGCCATCATGGCCCGAAAGGTTCAGGTGCTCGCGGGGGCGATGTCTTGGTGCCAAGGAATCGGATGCGGGCGTGCGATGTTGGAGACTGGGCGCATTTGGGCCGACGGAGGAGTGGGGACGCGGGCATAGGGATGCATGTGGGCCGACGAGTTCATCCACAATGTGCATGAAGTAGCTTGGATATTCTGAGACTCTTTCTGTAATGGAAATGCCAAAAGTTGCAAGGATAAAAAATGATGATGCGTCGGTAACATGAAGGAGGATTTGTGGGGCGACTGTCAACTGGCAAATGTGAGATGCATTTGCCAAGATTTGTCGCTGATTTACACCACATGTTGATGCAACACCCGCCTCGTCATCCTAGTCTTAAGAACCGCATTCTATGATCTATGTTTCATTGTATGCGCAGCCTCTTTACTATACAGGGATGATGCAAGTGAAATTTAAAAATGATAGCTCGGCCTTCAATGTACAATTCCAACGGATCTGCTAAATCGCAGTGGCACGGGAGTTTGGCCGATCAGGAACAAGGTGAGCTACAGGACAAGCAGAATGAGACAGCAATTCTTACGGAATAAACGAGCAAGGCAAAATCACCTCTCAGGGGCGCTGCGACGGCAGCTTGGTCATCTACTTCAACTTGGTGCAATTTGCCTTGAAACTTGTATGTAATCCGTAGCCGCTTTTGCTCCCCCAGGCAGGGATCATAAAACCCAATGATGTTAACCTGCTCGATTGTAACAAAGTCTTTAGCAAGTCGGTTCAGTTGTCAGCAAAGGTCATGTATTGATATTACCTTGGAATGGCCTCCACTGACATGGAGTTGCGAGTTGTTGACGAGTGACTGCACAGCCATTGTCACGTCGATGTACTCGAGGTGGGCATCATTTCCGCTCGCGCCCTCTTCGCTTATCGGCCCAAGATTTTCAAAAATATCCTTGATGCCCTGCATTGACAACGCTCGTATAGGCGCCAGATCGGACGGTGGCAGCTTTCCGTACAACGCCTCCACAATGATCAACCCATTACGACTCTCTTCCGCTTCCACTTTCCTCAAAACCGAATCCTTCATGATTCTAACTGCATCGTCTGCCTCTTTTTTTCGTTGCGCGAGAATTTCGGCATTTGCAGCACGTACTTGGGAGAGCTTTTGAGCGAGCCTGTGCTTTCGACGTGGACTGAAATAAAATTTGTCCAATGCCACTGATACGCACACGGGTAGGACGGCAGCCCAAAACGCAAGCTTCATGTCGAACTGTGGAGAAAGCATGATAGGGAGCACAAATTTCTGACCGAGCCGAGCAAGTTTCAGGCGGAATGTTACTCCACCCATACTCACGCAATCGACCCCGAGCCCGATACGACTATACTTTGTAATCTTTTTATCACCGGCAACAGATGCCTGGGCGCCGAGCAGTGTTGAGAGCGTAAGTGAAAATCGGCCGCGAATGCTCCGAGGAAGCACCTTGAAATAGCTCAGGCTGATGTGCGAGTGCGCCACTCCAACCTGTACATCTACATTCCACTGCCCACGCTCTACTTGCCGCATCACTCCTAGTGAACAAGCACTCCGTTCGCGGAAATCTTGATCAGCGCCCCAAGGACCAAGTTGCCATTCACCCGTACGGTACGTGAGGTAGCCCGTCGTTTTTGTGGTAATTCGCCGTCCGAGAACACCGACTAATGTTGGCGGACCAGATATCGTCTGGCTTGTTGCTGTTATAGTGGCGAAGCTAGTTTAGGAAGAGTTCAGTACTTTTTGGGATAGAAAATACTGTTTCCCAGCAACAAAACCGTGTGTGGTACCTATCGGAAGAGAAATTTTTGACTAGCTTGCCCTGCATCATCGGGCTTTGCCCTATTGTGCCTGATACCTGTCAATGATTTTAGCATGATAGACTAGCAAAGGATCATATTGAATCAACGTACCTCGCCCCACATTAATGGCGAGATGATATGCCGCAAAGTTCCAGTTACATTCCCAACTCCGATTCCGTTTCTAGCCATCACGTCCCCATTAACGATGAGTGTACTCTGTTGAGTTATTTGGGTCTAACAGAGTCGCGTGAGATCTTGCTCAAATGTGCTATCTTCTCAACGTAGACAAACACACCTCCCATGAGTGCTTAACAAAGGCTTGCGTCACCTCAGGCCATTGAAGCACGTCCGCCAAACCTCGAGATTGAGTATTCACAGGCTCGAATCTACCCAGCGGTAATCTCCGACGATGTCTGCTCCTCCATACATCCGCATCAAAGATTGGAGAGGCGTCAAGACTCAAAAGAATCTCTCCTTTTGATTTGACCAAGGTTTCCGCTGCGATCTCTTGTCGCTGTCGACTTTGGCGTTCAAATTCTGCACGTATTTCTTCCCGTGATTGACCCCTTGCACCAACCTCCCAAGACATTTCTGCAGCATCTGGTCCATAAGTGTCGTAAATGTGGCGTTTTACTGGATCGCTGAGTACATCGTGGGCTTTCTGTATCTTTTCAAAGCGGGACTCTGCCGTTGCTTTATCTTCCGGGCGGTGATGTTTGTCGGGGTGAAACGTGAGACATAGGCGCCGATATGAGTTCTTAATGTCTTCCTCAGTTGCAGTGCGCTCAACATTTAGCACTGCATAGTAATCCACTGCAGAGGGGGCATTTTCCCTTTCTATTCTCTCCTCGGCCGTTTCCAGGTCTTCCTCCTCAAAAGCGTCGTCCACGGCAGATGACCGTCTCTCATCCGGGTCGTAATCATGGGGATCAGTCGCACCTTGCGCGTATGGGTCAGAGGGACTTGACGACGACATGGGTTTCTTCAAGACTGATCTCCCTCGTCCGGCGGCTGCTTCGACAGCACCAAAGCTGCGACCCCAACTGTCGAAACAATGAGTCATAGCTCTGAGATCACGTGTCGAGTCCGATACGCCAACATTCGGACGAATGCGAGAAATCCCAACGAACCCTCACGCTGTTTCCCCTCGTCGCGCCATCGCCTTCCTTCTGCCCAAATCTTTTACATTGCTTTGACTTGACGCGAGCTTACGGTAGGTTTTCTGCAAAAGGAGATATCGCGAATAGTTTTTGCGCTGGTGATTTAGTTTATCTGACGGGCGCCAGCAGCATCCATTAACACCGTGTCCCGCACTTGCAGTCAACTTTTGAGAAAGCAACACAATGGGCGAATCACGTACAGAGCTTTTGGCCTGGTTAAACGATCTGCTCCAGCTGGGCTATACGAAAATTGAGCAGTGTGGCACTGGAGCGGCACACTGTCAGATTATGGACTCGATCTATCAAAACGTGCGTAACGGGAACATGCCTGTGAATCACGCTGCGACACGCTGCAGTATTACATATTCAGACATTTTTCCTCTTCTACAGGTGCCTTTGAGTAAAGTTAAATTCCAAGCGAAGCATGAATACGAATATGTTGCGAATTTCAAAATTCTACAAACCGTTTTTGACAAGCACAAGATAGACAATGCTATTCCCGTGGAACGTCTTATCAAGTGCAGGTTTCAGGATAACTTGGAATTCCTCCAATGGATGAAAAAGTATGTACACAATTTAGGTCAAATAAGTCTTCTTGTATTTACAAAGCTCATCAACTTCATTCCAGATTCTGGGACCAATATTACCCTGGTGGCCCGTATGACGCGGTTGGCAGACGAGGTGGAAAGCCAGCTGATGTTTCGATGAGGAATGGCTCTATGGCTAAGGGACCGGCCGGCACACCTTCTGCTGGTATTAAAAAGTCACTTTCAAATTCATCAGTCGGTGCACCTGCGAGCAAGGCTGCAAGAACCGTCACACGTGGCGGTGCACGAAGTCCCGCTGTTGGGGCGGGCCGTGACCGAACAGCAGAGATCGAGGCCGAATACCAAAAGGCACTGCAAGAGATGCAGCAACAGATTATGGAGGCGAAGGTTACCGTTGAGCAAGTTGAGAAAGAGCGAGAATTTTACTTTTCAAAATTGAGAGAGATCGAAATCTACGTCCAACAACAACTGGAAAGCCATCCAGGGCCAGAGACAGAATCGATTTTGAACTACATTTCGGGTATTATGTATAAGGTAAGCTCTCAGAGCGAACGCGATGAAGCTCTTCGACAGCTGATGGGTGTTTCATTGTAGACTGAAGAGGGGTTTGAGATTCCGGAGGGTGGTGTTGAAGGGGAGCAAGAGGATGATACTTTTTGAACAAGTCCTATGTGTATAGTTTCTATATAAGTTAGTTGTACGTGGGGTTAAATGATCCATCATACTGCGCTTGGAGGAGCTGTATATGGGACTGAGTACTAAGAAGCACATCGACTTGGCCCTTTGTTGCCATCGCTGTGCGAAAGGGTGCCAAGATTCCAAGACACAGTGCCAGGCTCTTGGAGTGCCTGACGGATAAATCAAAACAGTCGCCGCTGCAGCGACAGGCTGATAACGCAAACCAGGGGTGTCTTATGTGTCACGCTTTCTTTTTTTTCCCGTTTGAATACCATATCTTCAGCGTAAAGTCTGCTGAGCAAGAGCAAAGAATTGGCTCAACCGGGTGAAAGTTCACAGCATACACCCGATCTGTATGTCCCTCTAATCGCTGCACAAGTTCCCCCGTTCCCTGTAATGAGGATGTGGTAAGCTGTCCAGGTCTTTTGTTGTTGGACCATACAGGAAGGCTCACCTCTGTGCCCCCGACACTATATACATAAACAAACGGATCCGCGCTGCCCGTGGCAAGTAGCATAGTAGATTCTCCTGATCTGTCCTTCTCTTGGCTATTTTGCCACGTCAGTATGTCACACATTATCAAAACAAATGACGACTCTCCTCACCTAATATTGTCCGTCGAATTTGTGGGAAGCTCTCCTTTGCTGTAAATCTCATCCTGACTGCCTCCTCTTTTTAAACCTTGTTTTACTGATAAACAATTCAATTGCCCATTTCATGGGTTGCAAGTAAAGACTAAGCGTTATACCTTCTCTGAGTTGGTAAAAAGAGCTCTTGATGGGCCAATTTTTGTTTTTATACCCCTTCAAGGCATGAATCAGACGTTGCTCGCTATGCGGAGGAGAGAATCCACGGTCATAGACCCTCATGACTACCAGAGAGAGTTAGAATTGAGAACACAGGTAGAGGACAAACGAGAAATATATACCGTTATCGTAGCTATTGACGGTCATATATCGAGGCTCTTCATCTATCATTTCGGGAATGGAAACGAGTTATAATCTGACAATATAAGAGAGCCAAATTTCGGGCATACCTCTATCGCTGTAGCAGACGGTGACGTGGGAAATGGGCTTCTTCGTGGGTTCGTTCAAATAAGAAGAGATGCATTTTCCTAAAACAAGATTGATATGACAAAAGTTTCGGGATTTAGTGTTTGTGTACATGCATAGTGGGCTCATTGGCCTGCGCCATCGCACCTGTTCGCACGTCCCAGGTTTTGAGATAGCCAGCAGCATCACCTGACAGAACGCTCGTCCCATCCCTGTACACATATCTGCAAAAACAACAATGAGGTGATGAGACAAATGCCGACCCATTGTGAAAGAAGGTACGCATACAATGTGTTCACCATAGCCTCGTTTCGGAAGATAAGACCGGCATCGGGTTGTCGCCGATCGATCATACACAGAGTGTTCCTTGATGTCCCACTGAAGAAGATGTTGCGATCTGTTCATTCAAATAGGGGATAGTCCATCAGAACAGTTCGTTGCCGTTCATTGGTCAACTCACAACAAACCTTGCGGATTGAACATGACGCACTGTACAAAGCCTTCGGTCGCATATGAGGCCTCTAATTTGCCGCTTTCTACATCCCAAACTTTGCAAGTTTGGTCATATCCTCCTGAAAGCAGCTCAGTAGAGTCTCTTGACCACGATAGATCCGATATATTCAAGGAATGGTTCTTCAGGCAGTGGATCTGATTATCTGTCAGCAAGGTCGCAAAATATCAAGGCCCTAAAACATCACGAGGACATTTACCTCCTTTTGCGTCGCTACAGCATCCCAAATCCTCACAGTTTTATCAAATGACCCCGAAGCCAAGAGCTTCCCGCAAGGAGAGAATTGGACTGCGTAGACGGCCCCCGCGTGTCCCTTCGTGGATTTAGCAGATGCGAAAATCCAGCAGTCAATAACCGAGTTATGCAAACCTTTAATTCATGTTTGAGATAGAACTGTTTTCCGTCCTTGTGAGCCTCGCGGGACACCCCGGCTATTAGTGATCGCGAAGTTTAGAATTGCGGGGGAGGCCATAAACATAGTTTTCGCATGGAGTGTACCAAAGACATCCTGATCTTCAGCAGCAGGTTTGACGGCGTCGCTTACGGAGGTGAACGGAGCGTCAAATCCTTCCAACGAGTCGAGCGAAAATGGTGATATTTTGGGTGCCATGAGATTGAAGCGAGTTGAGAGCTCATATAAAGACTTTTTCAATGCCATATTCTCCTATTTAATTGACAAGTATGTATGGATTGGAATACGCTGGCAACCTTTTCAGTTCACTTTTCAAGTTGCTCTCGGGCACTAACCTTCTCGAGTGCGTCAACTTTCTGCTTGAGGAGTCTAGACTCCCTTGAAGCCTTCTCCTGCTGCGACTCCATGGCTATTGATGCCGAAACGAATTCCAACTAGATCATTACGTCAAATAAAAGGTTCTGTTGGTAAGGAAGATGGACCCATTTCGAAATTGTCCCGACCAGGCGATGACTCTCATCTATGACACGCCCAATGGCTTAGTTGACAATCAGGTCGTTGGCCAACCCATTGAAAGTAAAGCAACTTTCTAAACTGCTGCCTTGGGATTATCTTGAAGAGCAAGACCGCAACGGTGGATTTCCTGGCATGGACCGAGCGTCACAAAGCCTTGTAACTCTTGTTGTTCACAATTGCCTGTTGGGTATTTGGTGCACCGGGCAAAGATGTGTCATGGATGGGCTACTGAATACTCACCAATGTTTCTAGTGCACTGGCAATAAACGCCGGTTAAGGGAATGTCTGAAGTATGCGTTTATTCTGCTCTTTAACCAGTTGCTCCATGAACAGGATGACATCCCTTTCTAGCTCCGCTGATCAATCAAGTATGGTACAACAAAGACCAGAACCAACTTCCATTTGACTGGTACAGGTGGAGGATAGGCTTGCAATCACCCTTCTCCTGGGTTTCCAGCGTGAAAATTCGCCGTCTTCATTGCGGATTTTAGATTACCATGGGACCATAACAATATGCAATGAGCGCAACCACTCTTTTCCCAGCTACCTCAACGGTACTATCTGCCGCGGTTCAAAGTGCCCCTTTGCAAGGTGGGTTGGGAGTCTTATGTACATCATGATTAATTACTATCGCCGTCCTTTCTTTGTAGCTTTTCCAGCTGGAGCTACTGGCCCACCAGCATTTGCATGACCCGATCGCTTGATATGATCAAAAAGCTTAGTCCGGGATGGAAACCCCTCACCGCAGACATTGCAGGTTGTAGTGCCTCCTCCCTTCTCCAGAGCCACCGCAGCAGCCCGCTTTGCCTCCCTCTGCGCACGTTTTTCCTTCGCTCGGCTTTTACCCTTGACTGTACTCGAGTTTGATTCTGATGCCTGGTCATCTAATGATAGGCTCTCGGTAATCGAGCCCTCCAGGTTCACGTTTTCCACACCGGCCACCAACGCATCCATATTCTGATCCCGGGTTTCGCCTGTCTCGTTTGGCAAAGTTTCATCTTCAGAGTTCGACTGAGCCCAACCAAATCGCTGCGCCTGCTTTCGCCGCTTCTTCTTATCAGCCTTCTTGCGAGTGGAGATCTCTGGTTCATTTGCCCCTTCCTCCTCTTCCTCCGAAACATCCTCCTGCAAGTGCTTAAGGCTATCATCTTTCTCTGTCGTGATAGGATCCTGAGAGTCATTATCACTATCAGTTCCCTCTGTGCCCTCGCCACCATCTTCAAGCTCTTCTTCGCCACTAGCGGGATCAATGTCGTCCACTGATATCTCTTCATGCCATCCATTATTCTCCTCGTCCTCTAATAGGTGCTCACGTAGGATTTCCACATTGCGCAAATGCTTTTTGGATTGCTCATGGTTTTCAAACTGGGGAGAAAGACTGACTTGAGAAATCATTCGGCAGGAGTAGTACACATCTGCGAAACTAACCTGCTTCTCACTTTTGAAAGCTTTGTTGCAGGCCAGGCAGAACAATTCCTCCAATTCCAGTTCTGCAGCGGCTTCCACAACCGCATCCCTTTCCGCATCAGCAACCTTGGCCCATTCTGGAACCACGTACTCTTCTGCTCGTCGATCGCGCTCCCTTCTTCGTTCCTCCGCTCGACGCTTAGTTTCTTCCACGGCATTTTCTTTGCTAATTTTCTCTTGTTCATCCTTCCATGTTTTATATCGCGGATCTCGTTTCCGCACGAATGCTGCCAGATTACGAACGGCTTCATTGAATTCCCTTCTCGCAACTTCTCTTGCGCGTTTGTTGTCTTTTTCCATTAATCGTCGTACACGACGATCCGGGGCTTCCGACAGCCGGTATTTATCATGCCAACGAAAAGATTTGACACTTGCAAAGTGCAGGAACTTGTTGTAAAATAGTCGGGGTTGTTCATCATATGGATCTCTGGAGGTCCCAAAGTCGGCCCTGCTTCCTAGCAAGGAATCCTCATCGTCGACCAATGATTCCGAATCCATCCTAGCAGCTTCTTCCTCCTCTTCTTCGAGACGGCGAAAGATAGCGCCGTACAAAGCGTAAAACCCTTTGCCATTATCACCGTAACCACTATAGCAAGCAGCGCTGAAGTACTGCATCAAAGTCTCCACCGTTGTAATGTCCATGTATGCCGCGCTACCGCCAGCAGCGGCGCTTTCGTCATCGCCTCGCAAAATGGCCTCTCTGTGGCTGTCATACCTGGTGAAAATTCAAGTGTCAACTTGAACGCTGCGGACATGAAATATCAGGTGCCGAACCAATCATGTCGACCCGGTTCAAAAATACACATACCAAGCCCGTTCCTGCTCATCCGACAAAACCTCATAGGCTTGCTGTACCTCTGCAAATAATCGAGTTGCTTCTTCCACTCTATCAATGTTTTTGTCCGGATGAAACTCTAGTGCCTTCCGCCGATAAGCCTACAGGTTACAAACATCACGGATATTGTTAGCTGCAAGCTTATCGTCCCTAAACGACATGTTCAATGCTTCACCTTCTTCAAGTCATCGGCAGTGGCCTTTCTATCCACTCCCAGTAGTTCATAATAGCAGGTGCGCATACTTGAAAGACCAATACTCAAAGTGTACCTGGGTTCATTCTAGGTGCAGTTCGATAGTCAAGTCGTTCGCAAGGTGAAATGTCACTGTTCCACTCTGCTCGGCGACTTGTTGCCATGGAAACATATGGTTGATTTCTCGGGCAAGTCAAATCCTAGGTTTTGATCCAAAAAACCTCTCGACAACACTCTGCAAAAAACGAAGCAATGCTACTGCCTCGACGAGCATGTCGGACAACATTCTCCACATGCAAGGCCTTTGGCCTCTCTGCAAGTCAATATCCAACCATGCGATGCTCCTCAGCAACTCCTAGTCCTGAAGGAAGAATACCGAAACAGTTTGGAATTCCAAAAGGACAACCAGCAAGCAACACAGACCGACACAGCTACGAAGACCTCAGTGGAGCTACCTTTTGTCGACACGCAATATCCCGATTGGTATGCGACATGTTCTTTTGTGCTTTCGCCTCTGACTTGTAGCCTGACTAGTTTTTAGAAGGAGGAAGCATTGCTGGCGCACGATGTTCTATCTGTAACATACCAAACTCGTGCACTTCGCTTGGCGGGAGTTCTCGGAGGATATGTGATGGATGATGAAGACATGTAAATAGCCGCTGTTTCAAAACGTATCCCACCCTACGAATACCCATGGATTTCACCTTGTAACAAGCAGATGACAGCCAATGGAAAAGGAGCAATTCTAGTGACGACCAAACAGCCATACAAGAGATAGGAGGATGAATAAAATCATATGGAGCGATATACACAAATAGATGCATCAGAAAGTCACGGAAGGAATACATTATCTGGGAGAGTTCACGGCACCACCAAGAAAGGGCAGCGTCGTTTGAATAGATCCCCAGTTCTGATTGAACCAAATTGGGTTCAGTCCCAGTCAAATAGACGCACCAAAACCGTAAACATCCGTATGTATTTTCAAATCGACACTGAAAACGTCGTACCACCTCGCCCACTCTTGGCTTTTCCACCGACACGACTCAACACACCCTGTCCACGTTGCACTATTCTACCACTCGCAGGAACTGCCGGTCCTAACCTATCTGCGTACATTGTTCCACCGTTCGACACGGTACTAAAAAGAAGAAAAGACTGTTAATACCTTCTCCTGAATAATTGATTCACATGAGTCACGTACGTGCTGGTCGCAGTGTTGTTGGCCTTTTGTACTGAAGCTGCACCCGCAATAGTCAATTTGGATTGAAGCTCCGTTACCCTTAGCACTCGACCTGGTATCCATCGCCATTAGAATTCCGCAATTGCCGAGTACTCTGACATGCAACACGAATTACCATCTGCAATTTGCCCATTTAGCTTGTTGATTGCATTCTGAGCCGAATCTCTCCTTTCAAACGTCACAGTACACACGCCAGATGATCGCCCTTGAGCATCGAACGTGAGAGTGCAGTCCACAATCTTTCCATATGGAGACAGGGATGTCTGGCAAATCATCAAAACATGTTAGACGATGCCGTGGATCGCGTAACGCTGTCTCTAAAGTGACGCCTTACTTTGATGTCCTCGGGTGTTGCTGCAGGGTGCAAGTTCTCAATTTGAATGACGGCTGGACCAGCACCGCCTTTGATTGAAATACTTCCGGATGATCCAATGGGATTTTGCTTACTGGATACTGAGCGAACCGGAGGTCCGAGCCGATCCACCATAACTCCACCGGCATTGTTCCGTTGCACGGTTCGTCGAGGTGTGTCTATCGTGTCAGACACAAGTCCACGTACGCGGTCGCTAAGTGTCCCGGACACAGCTGGACGCTGAATTTGAGTCCTCAAGTCACCCGTCTTTCGTCTTCCACCTTCGAAAAGGTCATGTTTCCATTGTCCATCAGCATTTCCAGGGCGTGTTGGTCTCTGCCAGAGAACCTGTTTAGAACGCAAGAGAGCCGTACCTCCACGAGTTGATTCCCGTCATTCCACGCTTACCTGATAGGGTGCTGCACGTTGCGTACGGCGACCTCTTTGGTTACGACCTCCTCGCTGAGATCCCTTTCCTGGACGTTTGACAATGATCTCATCTAGGGACTGTATAACGCACAGGTTAATCTACTTTTCTGTGGCACGAGAGCTGTAGGCACCGTCCGCAGAAACCGATCTGTACCAGATCCATTTTATCCATGGCTGCGTAACTTTACGATTGACGGGGGTAATAACGTGTTTGCTAATGTCCTCCAGACAGACGGGCAGAGAAACGTAGAGACTTGTCTAATCCTTTTATTAGGTGCTCGTCGCGCTTTTGCAATCCGAACGGCGAGAAGCGTCGCAAGTCGACGGATGAGGGTTGCGCTTTGCCATGGTGATGATGAGTCATCCAGTAGCGCATACGGGCGACCACCTGCTGGCCACTGACGAATGAATAAACTACCGTTCGCCAAGATGACGACTATAATGAGCCCAGCGGAGGAGGTAAGGTGTCAGATAGACTTGCAGCTGGGAAAACCAAAAGTCATTGATTGCGTGCTTCTTCATTGTTGCAGCTCAAGTTTGCCACTCATTTCCTCCATCAACTAGCATCACAGCCAATTCAGTACCAACTCAATTTTGAGCCACCCCTCGCAAACTGCCACGCTACCCTTCCACCCGCGAGCCGCCCATTTCCACTAAGAGTAAGATCTTGACAGATTGAGATTCCCATAGGAATAACCAAAAGGGAAACCTAATACCAGTTCCGCGTACTCGTAGGAGCCTGACGATGTGGCCACTTCCCCTGCCGCAAACGAAGTAGAAATAAACATCAAACCATTAAAGGGTGGACAGGCTTTTACTATCCGTGCCGCACGGTTAGAACCTATCGGTGATATCAAATCCCGTATAGCCACTGAAGCTGGTATACCCATTGCGGCGCAACGGCTGGTCTATAATGGCAAAGGACTAGTGGACACAAAGACTTTGTTGGATTACGAAATCGTCTCTGGAGCGACCATCCATCTTTTGAAGAAGCCAGTTGCTGCATCGCAGGAGAAGCATGAGGAAGCGCCAACCGACACCGCACATAGTCGATCCAAAGCTACCCACACATCATCTACTTCACCAACAGATGTCTTTAAAATAAAAGGAAGGAACCCTGCTTTCTGGAAAGGATTACGGGAATTGACAGGGCAGCATTTCGGACCAGAACACGCTGGCGTGGTACGTCAAACTGCAAGTGAAACGTGAGGACTTGCTTGTCACTTACATTGTCTGCTCAAGGTGTTTGATGAGTTTGTAAAGTCGTATCATGGCTTATGCGGCCCATTGACGGTCCCCGAGCGTGATGCCCTCAAGAAAGCAGAGTCAGCATCAGTCTAAAACTTGTGTAGCCCCCAGTACATAGCGTAGGCCGTAGTGTCTGCCGGACAATGCGGTTTCCGGTAGGACGAGCTGGGACCTCATGCACATGCGCATTCCCGATAGTGTTCTGTAATGGCGAATCTAGACTTTCTATTATTGCTGGTTACATTGATTTACATCGGATCGAACATTTTCGCGTCCCACGTACACCTGTGTTGGTCCTGCCTTTTGACCTCCTGGCCCATCGCGTTTACTAAGAATTCCTGTGCTTTTGCTACTCAAATCACCCGGTGAAGCGGATGGCGGGATCTCATTCAGATTGTTGCTGGTTATGATTTTTCCCACGGGTTGTGTTTCTTGTAGTGGTAACTTTCCACGACCAGTAGCTAGGTAGCTACGCTGACTGGCCTTGGATATCGTTGATGCGTTGGAACAAATGGATGCGTCTGGGTCAACCTCAGAAGATGCGCTTGAACACGGCTTATCGTGCAGACTCTGGCCCGTTGGCAAAGGACCAGAGTTTTCCTGGTTGGAACTAGAGGTATTGTTTCCGTGAGTAGCATTCAATGGCTCAGATACAACGTCTCGTGATTTTCGGGGATCCTCTCTTGGAGGGCTTTCCTTATCATGTAAACTCTTCTCCACGAGACATTGTGTCTGGACACCGGTCGACTTGCTGGTCGGTGATGTATTAGCCCCAACTGCTTTGCCGTCGGTAGCCGCCTTGTCTGACCCCTCGGCATCCAGGCCCCGAGCTCTCTTGAACCTCGACTTCATTTCATCCAAATCAAACTTGATCTGAGCATTAATTGATTTCAGTCTTAAAAGCTCTTCTTCACGTTCTCTCAAGACCGCTTCCACGCTTCTCAATTTCTCGGTCTCAAAAGACTTTAGCATACGACCCGTTCGGGCTTCTCGTTTCAAATCGTCGTTCTCTTCAGTCAATTGAGAAACTCGCAGACGAAGGCACTCGAGCTGGACTTCATATTGACTTGGGGAGACTGTTCCCATATCTGGTCCGTTGCTCCCCTCCACACCGATTAAATCAGTTTCTATCCCTCTCCCCTTCTCTAATAGGGCGAGTTTTGCTTGCATCTCCCTCTTTTCGCTCTCTGCTTGCCCCAGAGCTTCTTCCAGTAAACGGATTCGGAGTTCTCCCTGTCGAGCACTTGTAAGCTGAGTCAACCTTGAAATGTGATTTCGCATTCGTTCCTGTTGATGTATTGTTACGGAATGTGCTTTAAGCAGCCCTGCGTGTTTTTGCGTTAGATTCTGGTGCCTATTTTCCAATTCTCGTCGCCTATCTTCAACCTCGCTAAAAAGAGTTCGGTCGCCTGCGTCCTCCGGCCCATCCCTGGCGGGCTCCAGGACGGCGAGACGTGAATGTAATTTAGCGATCAAGTCCCTTGATGACTCTAATTCCCAAACCAGCTCATCCATTCTAGCAGCCTGTCGCTCGCTCTCCATCCGGTAGTCCTCAGCGACTGCTTCCAGTTCCTCACATCTTTGGTCCACATGCCGTCGGTCTTGCAGAGCCTCGGCTAGCTCCGCCTCCATTTCTGCCCGTGAATGAGTAAGTTGCACCACCACCTCTTCTAATGCCTTGGACCGATCTCTCAACTCTGCTAGTTCCTCCAACTCCTTATCCCTTTCCCCTACGTCCTTTACCCGACGTAAGAGCTCCGCCTTTTCTTTTGCTATTTTCTTGCGTTCCTCTTCCAACTCTTGACACTTGGACACAGCGGCGTCCAAGTCTCGTGATATTACCTCGTTCTCACTCTCTAGACGTTGCGAACGACGCTCTTGTGCGCGTTCGGCGTCCTGAGAGGCGCGAATGTCAGCCCTCAGTCGATCCACGTGAGATTGCAGGTCCAAAATGGTAGCTTCAAGATCACCAATACGAGCAGAGGCCGCAGCCTCAATGGCTATTGTTCGACGCTTGGCCTCTTCAAGCAGATTGGTGCCAGGAGACGCAGAGATGGGTGTAGAGGACGCACTACCTGGTGTGGACGGTTTGTGGAGAGAGGTTGGCGAAAAAGCTGTTGGCGGATGGGCGGCTATGGCGACAGCCACTGCGGATGTCGATCGGTATTCTGCCAGTAATTTTGCACATTCAGCTTTGAGACGCTCATTGTCTTCCAATAGCGACGACCCCAGTTCAGCTGCAATGACTAAATCTGCCAGAACCGAAACGTTAACGGCTCATATCATGCTACACAAAACAGTAGATGAGGTACCATTATCCTTTTTTTCAAGTGCTAGAGAAAACAAAGGTTACTCATAAAATCGTATTGGACAAATCCAAACTCTTTTGCACCTTCGTCCTTTTCCCTGAGAGCCCATTGTGCTTCCCTCAATCTTCGCCTCAATTCTGCTGACGACGTATCGGGAGCAGGACTTGCAAGCAGAGCTGCATCTAGCTGTCCATGAGACACGGTAACACGGTATGGCGAAGACAGGCTGTCGTTGGATGGCCCCCTTGCCATTCTGTCGGGGATTGGAAAGGCGAGAACACTGGCTGCATTCTAACGTCGTGAACGAGATGCAAAGTTGACCAAGCGTGTCCGACAACGTCCGAATGTAAGCTTGGAATGCCATTCGAATGCATAATGCGGATTAATGTGTACACAAAGTTCGATTCCAAATCACGAAATTTCGCCAATCGCCACAGCTATTTGCGCATCGCTGGCGGAAGGCTTCCCCACACGGCCCGGAGGGTTTGATTTTTCAACATTTTGATTTCACCGCTTGCAAGAGGTTTGGGAAAAGGACATATAGTAGCCATGGCCGGTGTCGCCGACGGCGCAGAGACCGACCAACAGGTTGACGCATCAATGACGGACGACGTTGGTTCTATGGACAACACCGTCATATCCACCGTTCAGCAGAGGAGATACAAATGCTCAGACTGTAACCTTTCGTTTCGGCGCACGGAACACTTGGTTCGCCACCAGCTAACACACAGCGGAGAGAAGCCCTATCCATGCACAATATGCTGCAGAGGGTATGTTGCTGCTTGCAAAATGGATATAGTGCTATTTCCAGGAATCCTTATCTGGTAACTTGCAGGTTTTCCCGAATGGATGCACTTCAACGTCACTATCGGATACACAGCTTTCGTCCGAATGTTGTCATACCCTCAGCTTCTGGAGAAGCCCCAAATTCGTCTGAAGCACCTTCCCCACACGTCTTGATTTCAGCCTCCCGTTCCCGCACACGTCCCTATCCTGCCCTTCTTCCCTCACCTCGGCCAAGTGTCTCCATGACCTCAGAGTCATCACCGTCCTCTGTATCACTTTCACCATCGAAAAGTATTCCCGTTAGAGGTCCAGTTATATGCCCCGCACGCCTTCGAGAGCTTGCCTCGGCGGCGGTTGTGGTTGTGGCAAACGGAGACCGAGCATTATATCAGTGTCCAGTCAAGGGATGCAAAACGCTCCTCACCAGTCATCACTTGTCGCACCATTTAGAAGCACGGCGACATGCTCACGAGCCTGAGAAACACTCTCAGGGCTGTACAGCCATCGGCACTCGAGATTTGGTGACATTTGTTGACCACATTTACAGTCGACATGCGATGCAACAATTTTGTCGAGGTATGATAAGCATGGTCATGACAGTATGAAATTTTGGGGAAAAGCTGCTAACAACGATACGCTTCCAAGATTGCAAAACGGACCATACCCGTGGCGATTACTATTCTGTAGAAAATGCTCCGTGCGTGATTCCAGCTTGCCATGACCCACTGGAATCAGCACAAGTGGAACTCTCTCGTTCTTCTCTCCATGCCGTTCTTGCTGGTAGCATACAAGCGCCGTCGCCCAAATCAGCGACGGACAGCGACGATGCATCACTGTTGACCTTGGCACATTGTGCCGCACAAGAATTGGCTCGCGCACCCCAATCGATAGACATGGGTACTATCTGGGACATGGAGGAGGAGAATAGTGGGGCCAAGGCCAGCGAAGCACACCGATTCAGAATTCAAGATTTGCTAAACTAGTCTGTGTCCTTGCTTTGCACATAATATATATATATATATTTCAACGTTGAAAACACATTGTCCTCGTCGTCGTCGTCGTCCTCGTTGTCGTCGTCGTCGTTGTTCTCGTCGTTGTTGTTCTCGTCGTTGTTGTTTGAAAATAAAAACTTTCGGCTTGAAGGCAATTTTAAATTCCGATGGAGGGTGACACACGTTCGAGTCAAAAAGGTCCGCGTCTTTCGGGAGGATTAGTTCCGAATATAAAAAGAGACAAGCAGCTTTTCCCGTCGTCGATTTCAAACTTTTTTTAAAGTCTCCCATCTTGATTGCGGGGGACGCGCAGAATGCTGTTTCGTGCTCCATCGCAATTGCTATCACGCACATTACAGACTCGGACGACTCAGGTAAATGGCAAAATGGTCTCGGTTGCTACGGAGTTGCCCGGGAACTGATTTGTTTCTTTAGCACTCTTTTTCAGCTCTTTGCACCCGTTCAATTGCCACCACTACCGCCTTGAACATGCATCCTCTCACTCCCTCGGGACCAAACAAGCCCCTCTTTGCGCAACAGCATGCTGTTCCCAAGTTGCCGGTTGCTCCGCTTCAAGAAACTGCGACAAAGTACCTTCGCAGCTTGAAACCCATCTTGTCTGACGCAGAATATGCACACTCTGAAAAAGTTGTACGAGAATTCATTGCTCCTGGCGGAAAGGGCGAGGAATTGCACAAGCGACTGCAGGAGCGCGCTGCCACCTCGTCGACCAGCTGGCTGTATGATTGGTGGAACGACTGGTCCTATATGGGTTACAGAGACCCGGTCGTTATCAATGTTTCCTACTTTTTCGTTTTTAAGGATGAGTTGAGAAAGGAATGGAAGGCTCCTGTAACGCGTGCCGCTGCCCTCATAACTGGTGCGCTGGAATTCAAGCGCCTTGTCGTCGAGGAGGAGTTGAAGCCCGAAATGTTTAAAGGCGGCGCTCTGTCTATGGATCAATATCAGTGGATGTTCAATGCTTGCCGTATCCCTCAGATTCCCTCCGATACCACTCGGGTGTCGGATCCTCGTCAAAACACTCACGTTGTTGTCATCCGCAAGAATCAGTTTTTCACCTTTGATACCCGTCATCCCGATGGTCGTCAACTTTCAACCGCTGAGATTGAAAGGTATGTGCTGGGCGGTTGTTGCACGCTGATGACGGTCTCCACTCACATTCGGCCGATCCAGACAAATTCAGGCAATCTATGATCAAGCCGGTGATAAAGCAGCGCCTTCCATTGGCGTTCTGACCTCTGAGCACAGAGATATCTGGACAAAGACCCGGGAAGAGCTTGTGCAGTCCCCTAAAAATCGCGCCTCTTTGGACATTATTGAGCGAGCTGCATTTGTTGTTTGCTTGGATGACAGTTCGCCCGTCACTCGTGATGAAGCCAGTCGTGCTTGCTGGCACGGAGACGGACGCAACCGCTTCTTTGACAAGCCTCTGCAGTTCATTGTGTTTGAAAATGGCAAGGCTGGTTTCCTTGGCGAGCACTCGATGATGGACGGTACACCTACAAGCAACATGTGCGATTGGATATGCACTGGGCTTGATCGCAACAAGATCAACCATGGATCGCCCAGCGCTACCTCCAAACTGCCTAACCCACAACAGCTCGCGTTTGAGTTGACTCCTTCCCTCTCCAGCCGTATTGAATCGGCAGAAAATCATTTTGATTCCCTCATTGCACGCCACGATTTGCGCGTCCAAGCTTTCTTTGACTACGGCAAAGATCTTATCAAAAAGTTCAAAATGTCTCCTGACGCGTATGTGCAAATGGCGATCCAACTCGCATACTACAAAATGCACGGTGTTTCTAGACCCACTTACGAGAGTGCACAGACTAGAAAGTTTGCGTTCGGACGCACAGAAACTTGCCGGTCCGTTAGTATCGAGAGTGTTGACTGGGTCAAGGCTATGGAAGATCCTACTGTGTCACCACTGAAGAAGGCCGAGCTCGGAAGAAAAGCTGTAGGGTCTCACGTCAAGTACATGAATGATGCCGTTGAAAACAAGGGTGTTGACCGCTTGTGGCTTGGGCTGAAGCTCTCTCTCAAGCCCGGAGAACCAGTGCCAGCCTTCTTCAAAGACCCGGCCTTTGAGTACTCCAAGCACTGGTTCCTTTCAACGTCGCAGATTTCTTCAGAATACTACGATGGTTACGGATGGGGAGAGGTTGTGCCAGACGGTTTTGGTATTGCGTACATGGTCAAGGAACGCTCTCTCCACCTGAATGTTGCCTCTTTGAACGAAATGCGCGCAGACCGGATGCACTTTTATCTTGCTGAAGCACTCCGGGACATGCGGGCAGTATTTGAAGCCGAGTTGGCGGGACAGGCTAGTGCAGGTGCCCCGAAGGCCAAGTTGTAGGGCAGTTGACGGTTGCGATGGAAAGTCGTAGGATAGAGGTTCTTCAAGTTTTCATGTTTTGATCGTTTTTTTTTTATCCGAGCGTGAGACGTCATTTATTTTTATGCAGAAATTATGTTAGAATAACTGTCAGATTACACAAGAGTATTCCAATAGGCCAAGCGGACGTGGTTTGCGATGTGGTTTCTTGTTATTTGTGTGAAATTGGGGCCAGAAGAGATAATGGGCTCATTGCGTAGAAACGATGCCAAATTGGACAAAATATGATTAACTCTCCGTACACTGCATTGTATCGTATCAACGTTTCAAGAGTGCATGCGCTGATATTTTTTGTCTTTCGAATGGGATCTTTTCATTCCTCCTCCTCCTCTGGCACAAACTTGGAACGAAGCTTTTCTGCAAACTCCTTCACCGTCGTGCCATCTCTTCCAATCAAATGGCGCAAGTCACTTTTAACATCTTTCAAGAGTCCATCTTTCACCAACTTGAACATCTCCATCAGCTCGTGGGCCTCGGATAAGGGCACTTGATGCCGTTCCCGATGTTCTCGGTCCGGCGGAACGACTAGAGACTCGAGGTACTCTTTGCCACGGTTCTCTGGGATGCTACCGTCATATTGGATTTTACGGCCAGTAACCTTTGACAGAATACTGGCGATTTCCGGCCCGGACAAGCTTTCCGGCCCTAGATCGACCATTGGCTCCATAAGCAAGGCGCCTACACAAATCTGAGAAATATCGGTTTTGGTTACCTGTGAGTTCGTAAATATGCCGATGGTGGAATACAAGAAGCTCCGATTCGTTGGCTGTCAAAATGTTAACGGCAGCCTATATTCAAAAAGTCAATGCGTATATAGATGAAATGCCATTGAAATCATTACCTGCGCAACATCAAGAGTCGAAACCGGTGCAAACCTTGCTTCACTGCCAATCGGGAGATGTAAAAGATTCTTATTCCTGATCTGATCGGCAAATAACAGCTAGTCGACGACAAGTCTGATCAGTCGTGGCATTCACCAGGAAACTGTTAAAGTACGCTAATGCCTCACAAGGTCTTCCTGGTAAACATTGGCCCTCAGAATAGCATTTTTGACTTCTCCCTTGGCATCCGGTAAAAAGTCCTGGCGACGCAAGTACCGTTCAAGCTCCCTTTGCCGTGGTGGGCGAGACGATATGAACTCAAGCATTGATTTTCACCATAGACATGGCCATACCAATAAGTACGAAAATACTGAATAACCTTGTAGGGCTCTTTACGATCGATTTGATCAGCATTAACAGATGAACCCATCATGAGGACAAACTTTACTCCGGCCTTCCGAGCAGCTCTAGAGTCAAATTCCAAAAGTTACCATCTGCCGCCATGAAGGGCAGTAAGGGAAGCACGTACTCAATCATTGCTTTCTCTTCCCTAAACTGATGCTTCAACCCCGAATCGAATTTGGGTATGATAAAAGCCTAAATGCAACTCTCTGTCAAAAACAAAATATCCAACTAGCCTGAACAGAGCCAGCTAACCCTGTCCACTCCTTCAAAGACTTGTTTGAGTTGCTCCACAAAGTCGTGTTCGGCAATAATGACCTGAGCACCCAACTCTTCCAGTCTTTGCATTGTCTTTGGATGCCGCTGGTCGTGAACATGAGCAACTAATTCCACCAAATCTTTCTTTTTGGCTAGCTCGCGGCAGGTTGGGAAGCCTACGAGAGGTTAAAGGTGGGGACGGACGACCTAGAGGTGATTCGTAGCATCATGCCAAGGGTGCTCACCGATAATGTTTACAGAGTTGGAAACAAAGACCTTTGATTTGGGCATATTGTTAACTTTGATATAGTCAATCAATAAAGCTCTCTGCAATGTAGATGGAATGTATGAAAAGACAATTGGCTGCAATTCTGCTTAAAAGTGCAAAAGAACATGTTGGTCATGCGATGATTGCACAAGAGCTGTCAAGTCCCTGCACATACCGTTGTGTCATACGTGTTATGGTGGGGGCTTGCGACCTTTTTGTACGGCATGCTTGCTTTGGATATTTCATTCCTGGAGCGACTGATTGTGTGTGTATTTCAATGTGTATTTCAACGCTGTCTCTTCATAATCGTCCGAATCAGCAAAAGCGTCTTTGACCGGGCCAGTGGATGCTGTCTTAAAAGTCCATTTCCACATACAAGAGTTTCTCAGCATATAGACGCCGAAAGTATATTCCAAGTACAGGTCAATCACGCAGTCAAAAGCAGCATCCAAGAGCTGTGAAAAGCGAAAGTTACATGAGGGATCTGGCATGACCATATGCTACATTCCGTACAGAGTGCCATGGTACTCTGGGCTTCTTGCATCTTCCATTAACCCAAAGAACTCTTGGTCTGATTTATCAAAATGAATGCCTTTCGTATGAGAAGAAGACCCGAATAGGAGTGTTATCCGGCAAGGGCAGACAATATATGTATTTGAACTTGGAGAAAAATCGGGATCTTCATAAAGCCTTTAACAAGCAGAGTAGATGATCCTGGTTTTGAGCTTTCTTTTGGAAGGATTCGGACGTCTGCCTTTGTCGTAGGAACTTTGAAACTGGAATGCTTTCGATGGATGGGCGATGATACACTTTTCTCCATTTGCCCCGTATTTTGCACAAATGTATCATGAAGATTTCCGCTAGAACTGTCGAGATGCAACATGGTCGCCGACCTCAACTGCGTGAGCAAAAGGCAGAAATAATTGCACAGATCTCGAGACCACGGAGTATCTCGTCGCTACGTATTCTGCTTTTTAAGTGGGGCAAAATATGATTGTTGACTTAACTCAAACTTTCGACATCCACATGCGCGGTATTAGTGCTGGAGGCGAAGCATCCCACCTGCATCTGCCTCATGGTCCCCACCCCAGTCTGAATTGGGCAAGACATGGAAAGCCGCAAACGCGAGAAACAGAAATAGCACTGTATTGGAATAAAGAGGGTATTGAACATCCATGCGTGTTGCCCCTTGAAGCACTAAATGGAACCATCCTATCTGGCCACTCTATGCATCGTGCCGCTCATTGTGTCAGGTCCTCAAGTGACCTTTACATCGCTAAACGTGCTCGAATCTGACGGTGAAAAGGGAATCCACAATGATAGAAGGATGCGTACACTGCCGTTACACCGCTGCCACTGGAAACGCAAGAGCATACGCCGAGACCATCGATCGTTCTGCGTGGGTCGGAAGGTTTGGTTCCAGGAGTGCCACTTCGCGAGCCCTTTATATCGTCGGTTACTGTCAATGGGAGCTGCCGTCCTTTGATCGGGAGGTTGTACTGCTTAGTTAACGTCGAGTTGTCGCAGAAAATAGTGAGATAGTTGGGAGTATGTGGCAAGCCCTAAAAGTGAATCTGAACCATGGATATACCTGGTTCGTTAAGTGATGGGAGATACACGATATCACCTAGTATGGCGTGCACATGAATTTTGTTCTCGTTATTTTACTGGTAGGTCCGGCACCCCTGGCAGATATTATGCCCTTCGTTTGTAGTATAGAAATCGAACTGCAAATAGAATCTCTGTGATTTCACAAAACCAAATGTGGTCAAGGAAAGGCCCGTCACCCTCTTGTGTAAACAATTGTTGAGTTTTGGGGGAAGAAGTGTTGGCTTATGTTGGACCGGTAAATATGGGCAAGGGAAAGTCAGAGGAGGGTGCACGGCTGTGCGTCAGAACCAGAACCACAACCTGTCATTTATGGCATATCCGTGATTGCACTAGGCGGAAGGAACACACTAATCGACTTGCAACGCAAACCTTAGACGCCGCCTCGACGTGGCCTCTTATCCTCAAAAGTAGCGCTTATTGATGCCGACGACCCACACCATACTTGCAAGACAGAAATATCAAGCATGGCCACCTGCTTCGTATCCGCTTTGTCGATGGAGAACGCTGTGCGCTTTGCAATGCAGACAGCGGAAGGCAGTTGGGTGATTGGGTAATCTGCAATTTAATCCATATATGTTCTAATTGAATGACAAATGCACAGTCACATAATTGCACAGCCACCTGTGACAAAAAGGATTCCAAATTCTTTGAGGATCGCCTTGACCATTAAGCAAATTCACACTAGAAATCCGCTTTCGACATGGCCAACCTTGCGCCAGCTACTCAGGAAGGGAGTACAGAGGAAGACCTCGAGTATTTGAATGAAGAGGATGTTGGCGAGGTAATTGACGATGAAGCAGGAGAGCCTATGAGCGAGGACGAGGATGGTACGTCCCAGTGGCCCACCTATAGAAATTAGTGCAACTGCTGAATGCTATGCTGCAATAAGAAAACGAAGAAGGCGAAGAAAATCAGCTCCTTCTTGTGGATGATTCAATACAAGGGTTCTTTGACCATCGTCGTACGTAGCCTATTGTGTCCTTGTTTCCTCAGAACCACAAGTGTGACATGAACTGCGATTCTATATTGTAGAACCTGTTTATGCTGTGGCAATACATCCTACACAGGAAGCAATTGTTATGACGGGTGGAGGGGACGATAAGAGTTACTTGTGGCGCGCGGATACTGGGGAGAAGCTTTTTGAACTCGCTCGTGAGTTGTCGCCATTGGAAACTTGAGGCCCGTGAGATGACCTTCTGATGCACTTTCTCAATGCAGAGCATGAAGACTCTATCATTGCGGTGGGCTTTAGCGCAGATGGGCAGTTTGCTGCCAGCGGAGGAATGGACGGGAAGGTGAATGTGTTCACGGTGGCCACAGGGGAGTTGGTTGTGACGCTGGATGGCCCCACAGAGATCACGGTGGGTAGTGACGATGTTACGTCGAAACCCGACTGCTATTCTAACTTTGGATCATCTCCAGTGGTTGAATTGGCATCCACGAGGCAATGTGCTCCTCGCTGGTACGGAAGATGGAACAATGTGGATGTGGCAAGTTCCGTCCGGAAACTGCATGAATGTGTTTAGTGGTCATGTTGATAGCGTCAGCTGCGGTCAATTTGCCCCAGACGGTGAGCCAGCGTTGGTCAAAATGCTCTCTGTTCATCTACTTCCTGACACGGCATGAATTCAAGGCAAAACTATAGTGTCCGGGTCCAGTGACGGTTCCATTATCGTGTGGGATCCCAAAACGGCGAATGCGAATCTTAGAATAACTGGAGAGGATGCACGTTTCCACAATGCGCCTATAACAGCTGTTGCAATACATCACGACAATCAACTGGTTCTCACGGGCGCCCAGGACGGTACTGCACGACTAGTCCATATTGGCAATGGACGGGTAAGCCGCGATTGTGCATCGTCCTTGCTGTTGCCTTCGTGACAGTAACACATTTTGCCACCCAGATCTTGGCCTCCTTTGACAATCATTCCGATTCAATTGAAGCTGTTGGATTCTGTCGATCGTGAGTTTTTAAAGATTGAAATGGCATCCTTGACTTGGTGCTCACCTCTACTGGTCGTATTATCAGAATGCCATTGGCGGCAACTGCTTCTGTAGATGGCACAATAAGCATTTGGGATGTGACGGGTCTTCGTCTTCGCCAATCTGTTCGGCACGAGGTAGACGAGTTGTTGTATCTAACCGTCAATCCCGCTTTTTGCTAACCATAATGTACGATAGGACGCCGTGACACAGCTTCGATGGCATTCGTCTGAACCCATTTTTGCTTCTGCCTCTGCTGACCGTACTGTCAAAGTGTGGGATGCGCGAACAGGAGAATGTCTAAAAACATTCCGAGGGCATCAAGAAACAATTTTAGATTTTGCCATGACGCGGGACGGACGGACCATTATAACAGGATCGGATGATGGGACATCCTTGGTTTTTAGTATATAGATTCATTCCATAAGCATATTAAACGTGATAAAATTGGATATATTCCAATGTGTCATTATGCTGAAGGCTGGTTGACAAGAGGATTCAGCTACTTTCAAGTTCCGCTGCTCTTCGAGGGAATGTTTCAGTTTCCAAACGTTTTGAGCAGTGGCATTGTCGAAGCAACAGTTGCATAGATTAGGAGCATGTATCAGATAGTCCAGAGGAAATATACAAGTAAATAATACTTCATTGGTTTTCATAAAACCGGCATCCTGCTTCTTCACTTCCTTGCTGAGAATTAAGGCCCATTCCAATGGTCCATCGAGTGCATTTGGCAGCGGTTTACAGAAGCTGCTGTATCGATCGGCCTCCACATCGAACAGGAAGACATTAAAGCTGCAATGCTAAACATACCTGATTTCAGAGCAGAAAGCAGCGGAAAGTAATCTGTGCGACATGTCTTTGCTCCTTATACTTATTTCCAAAGGATTTGAGCTTCGGCTTATGAGCAAGCAACCTGCAGCTATGGAGGTCTCCGGTAGCGAGCATAGCATCGTCTCTCCTACTGAAATTAGCCATGTTTTAGTCATACCATATGGAGCGACTTCCGCTTGGCTTGGGAGTGACACCATGTCGACTCGTCGAGGACCTGCCGAGTGTGCCAAACTCCTCTCTGACCTGGTTCTCCTTTGTCTCCCGGGAGTTATAGTAGGTTGTCATTTTAGTATTGACGCTCTTTGCTGATCATAGCGCCTGGCCATGGATTATAGCGCTTTCACGCTCCCACAGTGCGAGCTGAGCCCGGCTGATGTACCTCACCAAAGGAAGGCTCCATTGAATGAGTACATGCGTAACCGCACACACTCAATGTCGCTCTACTTTCCGCGTTCATACAAATGAGCGATAGCGTACCGTCAATAAAAGCGTCACCAGGGTTGATCAAGCTACGCCCGTCAATGTAAGAGAGCAGCCTGCGAGAAGCAGTAGTAGGTCAGGCTCAGAGAAGGATATAAATGACGCTGTAATCCTGATACCACCAACCGGACGGAAACAAGTCCTTCATCTTGAACTGGGCAGTCCAGGAGTTCCGAAAAACCAATTCCATCCGACTCTTTACTTTTGCATCAAGTAAAAGAAGCATATTGCTCAGAGCATCATTGACCCGTCTTCTCACCTGAGAGCACGTATTGAAACGCTAGAAACGTTTGTCAGACTGCGACCAGTGTATTCTGACGCGGCTTGTGAATGGACATGGTATAACGTCGCTAACCGATGTGCCATCTTTGCAGTCCCTCAAGATGGAAAAGGACGTATCTTTATTAATGGCAGTATAGTTGCTGAACGTGTCATATTACTTAATGAGAGGGCCGGATTCCGGAAAAGAGTCCCTCTTTTTGCGCATGCAGACAAAGAGGCCCTATTCCAACGAATTGATGGCAAACTGCTCAAGACCAGTCTTTGCCTTTAATACCTCAAGATTCCCACGATCGCGAGGTGCATATATGAAGTCGGGCCTATTAAAAGATGACGATCGTCTTGAGAAGCACTTGTGTAAGACCGTATTGTGCTGTGGTCGAGGTGGAGAGCTCTTCCATAGATCCAGTTAATCAAAGCATTGCGCCTCAGCGGTTTGTCATTACCCGTACCCTGGGTATGCCTGTGTCCTGCCTGCTGGAGGATAGTGACCACAGCATTGTGCTGGCAGCAACAGCCGTTGTTGAGAATCGACGGGAAATAATGACAGGATTGAATAACGCAGATCATGGCATACCTTATTGACGAGATGATTAACCGCCGTCAAGTATGAAAGTTATATGGTAGGGATATATATCCTGGTCAAGCAATACTAGTAGACGGTAAGGAAATATCCTGCAAAGCAAAACGTCCCAAGCAGCAAAGTGCCAAGCCACCAGAGCTTTGGAAAGCTGTGCCACCCACGCGAATTACGACACTCGTCACGGGAAACTCAGCTTTGGGGATGTTGAGTTTTTGACGCAACAGTGCAGCCGTGCGATAGGAAGAGAGCAACACCATGTCTAAAGAAACGCTTGCAAAACTCAAAGGACAAGAAGCAGAGCTGGACTCTTTGACAGAGCGAGAGCTGGGGTAATGTACTCGTAGACGTGTAAGCAAACTGTCCCTACTCACAGGAAACTGTCCGCACACACAGTCGCATTCCCCGCGGTAGCCCTGCAGCAGCCCTCCACTCTGCTTTTGACAAGTACACTGAAGCCCTCTCTATTGCTGATCATGAGGATCCTCGCACAATTCCTGGTCATGTCCCCGCCGACCATTCTACCCATCCAGGAGACCCTGCACTTTCCACCCGGATTGCAGAGGAGATTGCTCAAATTGAGGACCCAAAGGCAAAGGAATATTTAGAGGCTTCCAAGGAGGCATATGATGAAGTCATGAAATCAATGCGTGGAACAGATGATTCTGTAGCCTGGGAGGCGGACACTGCGGAGGGTGACGATGTTGATATCTCAAAAGCCAATAGGAGTCGATCAAGAGGTTAAGCCGAGATAGTTGCAAATTGTGTTTTTACACTTGCTGTCGTTCCAGTTTTGTAGTTTTGCATATCGCATATTTTACAATACAAACCCCCACCCTACACACACATTGACAACTCGTTTGTTGCAGCAAACCATTCGATCTGAGGGACGCGTCTGGTGATAAGGACGCGGATGACAAAGACAGCAGTCAATCCCCTCAGTCAAAGCCATAAAAACTATTGTTTATAAAACTTGCGATACAAAATGCCACCACTACAGCAACTCGTCTCGGAGGTCGAAGATGCACTCGCACCTACGCCTCGTACTGAGAATGTGCCACTTTTCGTCTATGGAACGTTAATGACAGGTTTACCAAACCACAACCTGTTCAACCTCAGCGTTAATTCACTGTCTATCCAGCCTGCCACCCTTCCCGGTCATCAAATGTACTCGCTCAACGATTGGTACCCCGTTATCCTTCCCTCTTCTCAGCCCAAGGACGTTGTGTACGGCGAAATTATCACGCTAAAACCCGCCGTTCACAACAGTTTGATCATGAAATTGGATGGGCTGGAAGGATATCGCGGTGATGACGACCCTTCTAGCTCTTACGTACGAAGGAAAGCAATGGCGAGGACCAAAGATGGTCAGGAAGTGGCGGTAGAATACTATAGATGGAATCAGCCTTTAAGTGAGTACTGTTCACGGGTAGTGCATGGCGACTGGAAGCGGTTAATCCGAGAGATGAAAGAGGGGTAGCTGTTGCGTTCGTTCCTGTAAAGTTAGCAGCCTTTCTACTGTTCCCTGAATCTGCATGGCTGCATTCATCAAAAATATCGTACACACACTGCTCGCAATTTGTATCCGTGGCAGACGAGGCAACAGCTGCATCCCAAATAGATTACATTAAAGAACAAACATAATTTCAATTCTCTTGACGTAGGACCATCCCTCCAATGTTATCGTCCCAAACTAACATCCTTTGTGCTGTCCAGCAACTTGGATTTCAAAGGCTTTATTTCACCACCTTTTAGAAATACGTTAATGACCAAGTCTACGCAAGCTCGATGTTGTCTAAATCTCACCTTTTATTACAGTTCGAATCTCATCCAGATTCAGCGTTTCATGTTCCATTAATGCTCTTGCGAGTCGATGTAGCTCTTCTTTATGAGTTTTTAGGAGCTGAGTGGCACGATTATGTGCGCTCTATATGATTGATAAAAAGTCAAGTCATCAGAATCGAGTCACTCATTGGATCTGTTCCTTATTGCGTAGCACTTACGTCTAGGAGGCCTTTGACTTCAGCTTCAATGATTCCTTTCGTCACCGGGCTCATCTTTTCCCAACCCTCTTCACCGTACCCAACCACTCCAACCTTATCACTCATTCCATACACGAGAACCATCTCCCTCGCAACTGCCGTTGCCTTCTCCAGATCGGAGCTGGCCCCAGTAGTCACCTCCTCGCTCCCGAAAATGAGCTCCTCAGCTACTCGTCCTCCCATGCACACATCCAACATGGCGTGAAGCTCCCTTTTTGTATGATTGGTCTTGTCGGCTTCCGGTAACTGCACCGTGACTCCCAGAGCATTACCACGGGGGATGACAGTCACTTTGTGCAAGGGAGTAGCTCCCTGCGTGTATAGCGCGACAAGAGTATGACCGCCTTCATGATATGCGGTCAATCGTTTATTCTGCTCAGTCACGACAGCGCTTTTGCGTTCGCTCCCCATGATGATTTTATCCTTGGCCCACTCTAAATCTTCCATGCGCACGTTCTTCGCGCCGTCCTTGGACGCCTTTATAGCCGCTTGATTAATCAAGTTTGCAAGATCTGCGCCAGAAAAGCCCGGAGTCCCTCGTGCTATGATGTGCGTGTCAACGTCCTTGGACACACTGACGGCTTTCATGTGAACCTGAAGAATCTTGGCCCGTCCTTTAACATCGGGAAGCGGCACGGGAACCAGGCGATCAAACCGACCAGGTCGAACGAGAGCCTTATCTAGCGCTTCTGGCGTATTGGTTGCGGCGATAAAAATGACTCCCTCGGCTGAAGAAAACCTATAAGAGTAGTGCGCTCATCAGAAACAACACGCAAGTCGGGTTAACTCAGAGGGAAGCCATACCCGTCCAATTCAACAAGGAGCTGATTCAGTGTTTGCCTCATGTAGCTCTGGTCTTTAGCACTACGTTTGCTTCCGACGGCGTCAATCTCGTCAATAAAGACGATGCATGGTGCTTTCTTCTTTGCGGCCGCAAACAGCTCTCTGACACGCCGTGCGCCCACTCCCACGTACAATTCATCAAACTCGCTCCCGCTCATCTGAAAGAAGGGAACACCAGCCTCACCGGCAACTGCGCGAGCCAAGTGGGTTTTACCAGTGCCCGGCGGTCCATAGAGAAGAATGCCTGCATGGCAAAGTACGTTAGCGATAAACTTCCGTCGAAATTATGATACAATATATTCACGAACCTTTTGGGAGCTTGCCGCCAATCTCCATAAATCTCTTCGGTTCTTTCAAAAACGCAACGATTTCCTCCAATTCGTGCTTCGCCTCATCCACACCTTGCACATCGGCAAACTTTATAGGTTGCTGCATGCTGTTGGGCTCAACTTCTGCTGTGGCCATGCCTGGAGCAATAAATGTTAGCTCCACCACTAAAATACCGTTTTCTGTCACATCACACCCACCTGACTTGATAATGCCTTGCTGATCCAATAGAACACTCAATCCCGTCATGAGTAGAAGGCCGTACAGAACTTTCGACCCTAGCTTCCGGACAAATTTACTCCACGACCAAGCCTCACTGATGATGACCTGAATTGGCTCCATTTTTCCGTCCACATGTGGTTGTCCCATCCCTTGTCCACCAAAACCTCGGCCGCCCCGCATAGCACCTGCGCCCGCACGTCGTCCTAAAGCTCTGTCCCACTCAGCTATATTTGTCTGTACCCAGTGCTCCCTTCCTTCCCCTACTGTCTGCCGAATTGCGCCATCGTCACCTACACTATTAGACATATCGATGGACCTTGTTGGTGTGCTCCCCAGAGCCTGATTTATTGAGGACGTCCCAGTAGCGGCTAGAACTTTATCGGCCAATTTATCGATATTGCCTTCTTTAGCAAGCGCGGAAAGGTAGGCTTTCAAGCAGTCTGGATCGCGTTGAATCCGTTGTATATCAGCGTTTCGCGCGGCAACTGGATATCGACTCGTCGCTGGACCAAGTTGAGGCTGATTTTCATACCGATGCATCAGTGCATAGTGATTACTCGACTTTAGTAGCTCCTACCGTACATGCACGCGTTAGCAACCGATGTAATTTAAAGGTTACACATTAGAGAGGATGGCCCACCTTGTAAAGCTCACCCTGCTTCTTGGGATCTGCGCGAAATTCAGGCTGATCTGCCTCTGCTTCCACTTTCTGCAGCCTTCGTTCCGTCCAAAAGTGTCTCGTGTGTGCGGAAGCAGGATGATGCGACCGAGAATGCGACATTGATGCATAAAGTCCCTTCCGGGCAGTGGATCGATGAAATCCGGTCAGAGGCAGCGAACTCGAGACACTTGATATCGTAGGAATTGACTTTCGTCTTCGGCTACGCATTGACATTGAAGTGCTGCTCTCCAGTTCCAACAACTGTCTACTGAGACAGCGAATATTATTGGGAGAGAGCGCGTCTCTCAGTTGTAGTTCGGACAATGGACTTTCCGCTTTCAAATTTACGGCGGAGGCCAATAACGTTGGCACCAAGGCATCAGGCGATAATGATCGGACCTTTGAGTGCAGCTCACGCAGTAGCTCCTTGGTTTCTTCTGGTGACAACTGCCGAGTTGCAGTGGCTACCAAATCCTCGGCATGATCGGTGAATTTGAAAAGTGTAGCGTTCCAATCGCTAGGGAGTCCTCTTGAGTCTGCGGCTGCCACCTCCACCTGAGAACTCTGCCTTTTGCCCTCATCCGTAGAACCATATGTGTTGTCTCGAGCCCTTTGAGATTGTTCTGTCGTTGTCCATCTCGATTGACTCGATGCTGTCACAGCCGACGCTGCTGTTTTGAGCTCATTTATGAGGAGCGTTGTTTCCGCAAGGATATACTGCAGCTGTAGCAGTTTGGGAAGACAGAAGCAGAACGGCTGTGAGTACCATACCTTGCACCCGAACTTTAAAGCTCTATCAGCGGACAACATACCGGTCCTCCTGGGAGCAACGAGGCAGATGCCATTCTGGTCCAGGTTACTTTTGACGGGTGACAGCAATGGGACAAATGTTATGTTGAAAACCACAAGGGCCAAATGACCAACCCGCTCCCGAATCCCTTCAAATAAAATGGTTGAAATCTTCCAACTCGCAGTTTGAAGGCAGGAAACTTGGCCATCATCTCGGCCGATCGGAATATCACGTGGATGACTCATTGGACGCGTTCGATCCTCGGAAGGAACAGTAAACACGTTTTTGGGTTTTTCATCGCAAGTATCGATATTGGGCTGTATGCTTTTCTTTTAAAAACCACAGATACAGCCATCTCAAGTATCATAATATATATAGTTACAGTAGTTAACGCTTTTCTCAAGAATTGTCGTATCCCTATTGCAAAGAGGCAATCCAGTCGCCCAATCCGACGGCAGATGACTATGGATATAGAGTGCGAGGTCTGCAGGTGTGATGTCAAAAATCCAATAAGCTGAAGCTCCAAGTCAGTCCTCCTTTGCAAAACTATACCTGTTTCCTGCGACTGTCGCAGACCCTGCAGGATTAGTCTCTCCACTCCCATCTCTTGCGCCTCCTGCTTTTGGTAGAGGTGACAAGGGTGAAGGCTTGCCCCAGGACTTTGCAGAACCGTACAATCTATTTGATCCGCTGCCGCTTGTTGTAGTATACGCTCCAGATTGCGTTGTACTTGCAACTCCATAGGAGGATAGCATTGCACTCGTCGGTCCGCTACCGTGTAAACCAGTCGATGATGAACCAGTCCTAGAGTTCAAAAGTTCCTGTGATCGTCTACCAGAAGTGAGCTTGGATGTCATTGAATGGGAAGAGAGTAATGCCGTTGGAGATGAGCCGATTGCTCCAGGAGTCTTGGCACTGTTGAGAGAATATGGAGCGGGAGATGTAGGGCCTTGTCCACCTTGTCCTCCTCCAGATGGACGCCGTGTAACCCGAGGGGACGTCAGCCCTGCGCGAGTGGACCCCAACCCCGGCAATCGACCGTCGTTGTTGTCGTCACTGGGATCCCTCGGATTCTGACGACGGAGTGCTGAATGTGCCGATGTGCTTGCTAATCGCGCCACTCGCTTCGGGGAGTCCACAGGCGATGGAGACCCTGAGGCAACGCTACTCTTGTCTGTGCTCATTACGGCTGATCGGAGACTTGATCCAATAGGTCGCCCACCAGGTCCCCCGCTAACCCCTGTATTGCCAGTCGATGATAGACTAACGCCAGTCCCAGATCCCCGCCGGTCGCCCAAAGTCGCCCAAGTTGAGGAATACAACCCACCACCACTAGCACCCTCCCCACTCTTTGACATTGTGTTTGTTCCTCGAGGTTTGATGGTTCCTGCAGGTCCGGTTCCCGTATTCCTACTTTTGGCGCCAACTGTTGCAGAATTTGCATCGCCTCCAGGTTTTATTTTTACTTTCTTGGTCAAGTCTTTGTCCGTCAAGCGTTTCGCAAACTCCTGGCGTGCATCGTCCATGTCTCTTCTGCGTGCGACTTCCTCCATGTCCCAGTCAGTGTTAAAAGCACGCTGCTCTTCCTCCTCCTTTTGTTTATCCAAAGAGTCTTGTGATCGTGACAATGTATCTGCACCAAACATTGCTCGCTTGCCACTGTTGATTACATTGTCGCTAGAGGGAGCACCAAGCTTACACAGTATTGCGCTCGCGGCCTCTGTAACGTCACGGTCGGTGTCTGCAGTCAACAGTGTTCCCACTGCCTCGCTCACTCTTTGTAGAAGCGCAGAGTCAGCGGGCAGATGCAGTGTGCGGCGAACGGCAGGTAACAGGGAGACAAGTCGCAGGCGCACGTTGGGAACGGGGTCCTTTACCAACTCGAGATAGCTCGGCAGAAAGTTCTCCTTGAAAAACTTGTGAGAGAATACCGACAAAACCGTCTCACACAAGTCGAGGAATAAAAGTCGTGTGTGGCAGTTTGTTGCGTCCTTCAAATCTGAATTGTTGCATTCTCTTAGTGTGTCCGTGAAGTTTATAAAACGATGATGAGAGTACCTTGCATCTGTCGGCACAACCGATCACGATGCTCCCAACGTTTTGTCTTCCTTAAAGTTATGCACAAAGTCTTTATTGCTGTGTGTTTGATTGGAAGAACGACATTCTGATCAAGAAAGAGCGTCAGTGTCAATCTTAATGCTTGGCTTATCATGAGATACAGTATCCGTACTTCGGAGAGCAACTTGAATAAAAGCGGTACGCAATGTCCATAGAGTAGATCTGGCCCAAACACATCCGGAAACCATCGAAATTGCTCCAATAAATCATGATGTGTTCGCCAAAAGAATCGAGCGCTATTTGTAGCGCATTCTCTCTCTCGACGGAGAATCAAAAAGAGAAGGTCGTCCAACTGGGTATCCTACGGTAAAAGGGTCAGCTGCCCGTCGTCCACGAGCCATCTGCTTCCGCTAGCATACCTTGCGGCATGCATCATCCTTTGCAAATTGTACCAAAATTTGGCCTAAATGCTTAAAAAGCTGATGATACACTTCAACGTCTCCATCGCCGAAAAGCTTTAAGAATCCCGTTTTCAGCAAGGTCCAAGAGCGAGAGCCGAGAATCTCTGCAACTGCGTGAAGGCCAGATGCCATCCTGCGCCGTACATGGGAATTCGTATCATGTATCAGTTTATCGTAGACACCGTCGAGGCCATAGGTTTCGTACGCTTGCGCATTGCCAAGAGAGTTGACGATAGCCTGAGTAAAATGTTGAGGTAGGGACATCAACAAAGAAGCTCAACCGAGACAGAGTAATTATTTACGTACTGGAAAGTTAAAGGCGCACATCTCCCGGGTTTCACTCTCCGAACTCGTGGTCAGTGATTGGTAAAAGGTCATGAAGAACCGCAAGTCAGCTTCAGGCAACAGGTCTATTCAGAGCAGACATAAGGATGAGAATGCGCCAACGCTGTGTTTCAATAGCATCGTAGCCAAGACTCAGTAATACCTCGGGTTTGCCATAAGAAGATGCCTAGTTCACGGGCCAGACACGTCAAAAGCCTTGGAGCACGATCTTCACAGAGCTTCTTCCACACCGGGACAATGACGGTAGTCTTGGTGCCTACAGAGGTTCCAGCGAGCAGCCCACCATGAGAACTCGACGATGCTACTAGATACGGTAAGTGGAGCGAAAACTCACCACCATCGAGGACATCCACCAACTGCATGATATTTGTGATTGCAGCTTCTCTTACAACAGACTCTTCATCCATTATCAGCTCAACATATTCAGGAAGCAGCTCTTTCGTAGTAAGGTCCGGTCTAGCACCGAAGGAGGCTTACAAAGTCAATACTTTGAAAGCATTGGGACGTAGATATTGGAACATTACCCTACAGCTTTCGCAATGGCATTCAGCTGTCCGCACATGCATGCTCGGACTTCATAATCCGTATCCTGACATAGTTGCATAGCCTTGCGGAAGAAGAGTTCCTGAGACCTGGCACAATATTAAACCCATCAGCACTCTAGTTTATATCAGTAAATGGTCAGGTGCAAGAAAATACTTTTTGCCTTCAATCCTGGGTGCCGCAGCTCCTAGCACCCGAGCGCACCACAATCGAAATGGCGATGGTTGAGCCAATGCGCCGTCGATCAGTGCTTCGGGGAGAATCTATAACTGCACTTTAAGCTCTTGGTGGCGACTTGGGAAATTTGCAACTTTTGAAGGCATACTTCATTCTCGACCACATCCAAGGGCATGAATTGAATTGCCATAATCAAGACATCCTCCCATACCTCTGCCGTGCCTACGTTCTTGCTAAGTTAATGCGAACTGAGGCCCAGAGGTCTCGCTTGGGCGTACCTGGATCTTTTCGATCAATAACCTTTTTGGCTGCCGCTGCCACACTTTGAACCGTTTTGGGGGGAAGTAGTCCACTTTCCATGAGCTTAATCATCATTCGTCCAGCAGCTATGCGAAGACTGTGATGTTCGTTCGGAATGGAGTCCTATTAATCGATATGCTGTCAATATTGACCTATCAAATCTACTGTGCTCTTACGAACCAGTAAGACTGGTAGTACTCTGCTCCGCATCTCCGAATTGTGTTCTTGCAGGAGTTTGGGTAGCATACCAATGACGCTCTGCTTCTGGATAACCGCTCCATTTCTGATCATAAAGATTGAATAGAGAAAAGGAGAGAATTGTCTGAGAAGGGGCGTTGCAGGTCCGTCATGAACCACACGGCCGAGAGTCGAGCCTCAGGTTCAAACAGGCCAAAGTTAGACACCTTATTGGCACCTTAGAAGATGAATAGTCCGGTCGATATCATCAAGGCTCTCATCGACAATATACCGCTCAATCTCTTCGTCTGTCTGGATTTGTGAAGGCAACAACTCAGTGGGCGGTGGCTATACTTTGGAGGTTCTTTGAGCGTTTGCAGGAACTCAAAGTACCTTGTGCAGCCGATTCAGTATTTTGTGCTCGTCAACTCCTTTGATCTGGTTATCCAGAGACTCCTGAGGAAAGTCGAGGACAGCGTCCCAGTCAATCGGATCGGAAAAAGACATTGGCGTCCAACGAATACAAGGGAAAGCGACTTGGCTGCGGGTGTCAATGGAAAAGATACAGCACAAGGTAAATGTAGAAAGAAATTGATTCGGAAATGCTTGTGCATACGCAGCTGAACTATCGTTGCAGCGTCATGCATCTACTCTACTGGACAAGGATGAGGAACTCGTCGGAGCGCGATTGCCAGGGATTCGGATCGATCGAATCCTGAGGGTTTCTCGTCATCACAACATTTGGAGCTGCATATCCGCAAGCTATACGTATGATTATTAGGACATGAGATATATTTTTGTTTCCTGCTTCTATGACAAGTGCAAAGCGCATTGTCTCGGTCACCATCTTGGTATAACGCACGAGGCACTTGTAATGCTTTCTCGAACTCCGATGCATGGATATGATATGGGTATGATCAACTTTAAACCAATACAGCATTGGTGTTGAAGCGCCTGCGAGTTTGACCGCTTATCCTTCAACTCTGGGGCTACCGTAATTACTAAATAGCCATTCCTTGAACTGTCAAATGACGACTCGTTTTACTCAAACGAACATTGGGCAGTCGATATCAGCCTTGCCTCGAGATCCAGCAGTATAAACAATGCTGACTAAGCTGTTCATGACTGTGCTCAGTGACGTCCGCGATGCTCAACGCTCTCGCTTACCGCGGTGACATGGAAGGCGAGGATGAACAAACAGCCCAAGGACCGGATACCGCCTCTCGTGCCTCGTTTTACGATCTCTGCAGATGCTTACAGAGCGTTCTGACAAAGCGAGGAAACGATGCGAAGAGGGAGAGAATGAAGCGTTATATCGAGGTCTTTTACCCGAGATCTTGAAACTCCCAAACAATTACGCTGACGTTCTGGTTCCCTCCGTTGAAGGAATGGCGTGCAACGGGAGGAGACTTTTTTCCGGCTCTAAGGCTCATATTGCCTCATGTTAGTCTCCCCTACCATTACCAGCTGTTTCTTGCACCTTACCCTAAAACAATAGCCTGGCGGCATCCCATAGCTTGACAAAGCGCGCACCACGTATGGCATGAAGGATAAGGTCCTTGCTAAAACCTATGTGGAAGTTCTTGGACTTTCGATGAATTCACCGGACGCCGAAGGCTTAATTAACTGGAGAAATCCTGGCAAAACTGGAAAGGTCGGCCGTGCTCCTACTTATACGCTTGGGGGAGCAAAGCCTTACAGGCTTTTATTTATGGACATAGACGATGGCTGGCGACTTTCCTGGAGTTCTCCATCAAGTCATTGCCGGAAGGTCAAACGTACTCGGCAGAAGTAACGTTACAGTGGCCGACATCAATGACAAACTCGACTGGCTGAATGTTACAGATGACAGGTACATGACAGTGAAGTTTAGATGGATGATCCATATACATGTCTGATGCACGCTTAAATTTTCAGAGGAGAGCGAAGGGACATTATAAGATACTTTTTCCTTAATTGCACTCCAATGGAGCAGATGTGGATTGCCCGCATGATTCTCAAAGGTTCAATGGAATGTGTCAGCAGTCATTATATGATCCTGAGACAATACTTCATATTGTTGCAGACTTGAAACTGGGAATATCAGAGAATACGGTGCTGGGGTTGTGGCACCCAGACGCTTTGGAGCATTTCAACGTGACTAGCGACTTGGCCAAGGTGACCCACGACCTCCCAGACCCGAAGCTGAGCTTGACAAATAAAGTATGAGTGATTATCTTCATAATTATGACTTCCGAGCAAATTAACGTACGATGTTTAGGAAATCAGAATCAACGGCGTCTTCAAGCCCATGAAGGCAAAATCTGTGGAAAATCCACACGACATTCCAAGGATTATAGGAAACACAACCTTTTGGGTGGAGACCAAATTGGATGGGGAACGAATACAGATGCATCTTCAAGGAGGCAAGTTCAAGTGGTGGTCCAGGTGAGTTTCATTGGGCTGTTTCCTGTGGTTGAGCTATTGATTCCCCCTCTTTAGAAACGCCACACCATACACATCCATGTACGGTGCAGACCCCAGCCACGGTTCTCTAGTGCCATACATTTACGAGCAGTTTGATCCGAAGGTGCATAGGTAGAATGACAAACACAGTCTTAGCCGCCACTTTCATCAATTCTAAAACATCTTGTTCCGCAGTGTCATTTTGGATGGCGAACTCCTGGCATTCAATACCGAAAGCGGTCTATATGAGGCTTTTGGCTCCTTAAAAACAGCTTCGAATGGTACGCAAGTCGTTGGAGCTATTATGGTTCTGATAAAGAAGCGAGCTGATGACTTCTGCATGTAATTGTGACAGAGGTCTTGCAGAAAGGTGGGAACACTATGTTGGCAATCGGCAAAATGGTGAATTTGAAAGTTTTAAATGATCGCTGGTCGCGGACGCGATAGGAGTGAACGCAAAACTACATCCTTGCTTTGTAGTGTTCGATATTGTGTATCTAAACAACCAAAGCCTTGTCGACCAGACGCTTAAAGACCGCCGTGCTTATCTGCACCGAATTATCAAGGAGAAGGAAACATTCCTTGAAATTTTGCCACACGAAGAAGCCTCGACAGTTGAGGATGTGATCAACCATTTGGGGCAGCGAATTGATCGATCCGAGGAGGGTATTATTATCAAGAATCCTGCCTCGGTGTATACGCCCAATTTGAGAGGCGACGCGTGGTTGAAATTGAAGGCGGATTACGTGGACACGCTCGGTGATGATGTCGATCTGTTGATCGTGGGAGGCCTATTTGGTGAAGGCCGACGGGGTGGGCGTCTTTCACATTTCATGTGCGCTATTGCCGAAGATGCAAAACCAGGCGAAACACCACGGTTCATCAGCTTTTGCAAAGTGGGATCGGGCTTCAAGATCAAAGAGATGGACGAGCTCTCACGTTACCGTGAGGGCTTTTGGCGACCTTATGATCCTCGTCGACCACCGCCCTGGTTTGTTCATCCCAGCAATAGTAAGGAGAAACCTGACTTGATCATCTCCCCGGAGCACGGACGCATTATTCAAGTTCGGGCCGCCGAAGTGAATAAAACCGAAACCTATGGTGCTGGATGGACGTTGCGCTTTCCAAGATTCATTAAGGTCCGACATGATAAGGGTCTGGATGGTGTAATGACAGTGTCACAGCTACATGACTATATCCGCCAAACGTCTGAAAGAAAGTCCCAACTGCTAGCAGAAATGGATATGAAAGTGCAGGAAAAGAAACGAAAGAAGGCAGCAGTGCGGCGAACAGCGGCAGCGCACGCCTGGAAAGTAGCCGTTGATTTCCTTGGGGTGGATGCTAGCCAGATCACAAAAACTTCGGATCTCTTTAATAACATCGAAGTGTGTGTTGTTCCCGGCGCTGGGGAGACGATAGGACGGGACAAACACGCGATAGAAACAGCTATCGTAGAACACGGCGGAACCGCTGTGCAAAATCCCACCAAGGATACAACCATGATCATAGCCGACCAGCTTTGTAAGTTGCAAAACCTCTTCACGCAGTCGTAGTGGGCCGTGTTGAACGGTGCGATATTAGCATTGAAAGTCAGCAACTTCAAACGAAGCGGTCAGTATGATATTGTGCAATCTCGGTACATCTTTGATTGTCTCGCTGCAAACGAAGTGTTACCGTTGAACCCAAGGTATAATCGGGTTGTTGAGTGGAGACCAGACACCATGGTTTAGGTAACCCTACGCTAGGTACATGCTTTACACCACGGAAGCAACGAAAGAGAAATTCAAGGAGAGTATCGACAAATGGGGAGATAGCTACACGGAGGATTTGAGGACGTCGACAATGAAGGAGGTTGGTATGGCGCGCTATTGGTTTTGCATGAATGCGAGAGTGCTGAAACAGGCGACTTTGCCGCTGGAAGCTCTTCAGCAACATGGACATAGACGCACTGAACAAGAAGAGACAACGAAAGGCAGATGCAACGACAGAACGCAACGGAACGCCCAGCGATAATATAGCGGAGATTGAAGAACGATATTTTTCAATGATAGCACATGAAGGTTCATTATTCAGACGAGCCAAAGTCTACTTGGATCGATTCCACAATATCCGCATAACAAGAGATCTACTTTCCAATGACTTACCAGCACCTCAAGGGGTTACTATTGTCAATGCAGATGAACCGCCGCTTCCACACGAAGCAATACAAGATACGGCACTGGACGTTGTGGCGTTGAAGTTACGAGCGCGCGGAGCAGTCATTGCGGATGTTATTTCGAGCGATACAACGCATGTGATTCTGGATAGTGGCCAAAGCCAGGATTTACCACGTCGCACCCGCCTAGTAAAACATATTCTAAACACGTCCCCTCGTGGGCTACACCGACGATTTTATGTAGTGGTCAACAGTTGGGTGACGCAGGCCATTGACCTTGGGCGACTGCCTGATGAGAAGGACTTTGAACCAGTTCTGCGGGACGAGATTGTGACAATCGGCGGGGTGGGAGTCTCGAAGGAGAGCCTCAAAAGGGGCACATCGCATATTTCATGACATATTTTGTGAATATAATTCATTTACATCGACCATGGTCATTCAATACAAACGTCACCGATGCCACCACAATAGTCTCTCAAGCGCGCTAAGTAGTTCTAAGAGTCCCAAGCCCTTACTTAATACAGCTTGAGCTCCGCCATCAGGCACACATGGTCGCTTGGAAAATGTGGATTGGGAAGACCAGGTGCCAAATATTGTGCGTGTGGAATGTCCAAAACCTTTGATACTTGCGCAGCAGTCGGAATGCGTCGCTGGGTAGAGTCGCTCTCTGCCCCGCCAGTTGAACTTTTAGCCGACTCATCGGCAACAAAAATGTAATCCAAAGTTCCTTTCCAAGTTGAAAAATTGGTGTACGTCGGTTCGCCCTCCCACAAATCACCCTCTGTCCAATCCGGATTCACGGGATGATTCTCATCCGTTTCTCGATACGTCGAATAACAGCTATGTAACCTTGGCAGGTTTGAAATATGTGACACAAGAACAGGCGTTGGCACTGGGTTCTCCACAGGCTTTGCATTTGTGACAGCTTCAGATACTGGAGGTAGTATGGGCTCATCCCCTGCGTCTGATGAATCCTCTGAATTGTTGGTCGGCTCGAGTTTTGCACGCTGATCGGCTGTCAGCGGCTGCTTTGTTAGACATCGGTAGAGGCCGTCTTCCGGTGATGTGTTCCAATCTTCATGAAATAGAAGATTAGAGAGCCTAGAATTGTTGTTTTGCCCGAGCTGATTCCGGGACATACCTCCACACAAGAAAATAGGCCATGATCGAAGGCTATCACCCGCAGTCGGTCGTTCGCTCGGATACGGTTGTTCCTCTTCCTCAATGTTTCTCTTAAACCTCACTACTTCTTCCAGCAACACGTATGCCTGTCGGAGTTTCTCATACTGCGCACGAGGTCGCCAATATAAATGGCTGTTTGTGATAACCACTCCAGGGACGCCGCCGTGAGCCGCTGGTGCGGACGGCAAAAGAAACTTTAAAGCCAACAACTGCCCAATATTATGAGTCACCGGGGTGACCGGCGTAGGATGCGTCAACGGTGAGTCGTCAAAGAAGATCGATTGATATTTATGTTTAGAAAACCTGATCAATGATTTTAATGTCTGATTCATTTCAAGATATGCAGCACCTTCTGCATGGACATATAAGCATACCAAGGACTCACATCTCCTTCTTCCACAGGATACATAATCCATGCCCAAACTCTTTCTCTGGATTTTTCTTGAGGTATTCATAATCGTACCCTGCCGATTGCAGCTCGGGAGCAAGGAGATCATCAAAGTGATCGACTTCTTGCAGACACGCAATATCCGGTCGATGTCTCTTGGTAATCTCCTCAATGATCATGGGAAACCGGGTCTGATAAGAAGATGGGGGAACTGTCTTATACTCCACTTTTCCAATCGTACGTAAACATCCACCACCTTACCTTGCCTTTGAGGTCGTTCTTGCCACAATATGGATACAATTCCCTTCGACATAAACACTCTAATAAGCGCAGAAAGCAGCATTATAGTAAAATCTGCTGAGATATTAACCCCATAAGCGAACGGACACATACGTGCAAGGATGTTGTAGGTCATTATCGTCAAGGACCTCAACGGAGTAGCGCTGGCAGTAAGAGTAGTCGGTCGCGGTATGGGACGTTTTGTGACGGGTATCATTCTGCGGGGAGGCGGGGTAGGTGCTCGTGGCGGGGACGGAATCGGTATCGTATGCGTTCTGTGGCCTTGTTTTCTTTTCTCCAGTCTTGCAGCGCGGCGAGCATCTTTCGTTGCGGTTTCACTCATCGTTGAAGAGCTGGGAACAGTCGTATCAGCTTCCGGCTTCGCGACAGATGTTACGTTCTCTACTCCGGCCATTGTCCACACGGGAAATCGCTCAAGCGGTTTCTTTATCACTTCAAAGTTGGTTCAAAGCATCATGTTGACGTTTGGGTGACTTGAGATGCGCTATTTTTGCGGCTACCAACGTAACGCGGGGAGGCTGCCGGTCGTTTCGCCATCCTCCACAAGCGTCTTCCGTCCTTCTTCTTTTGTACTGAGCAGAAATTCAATGGACACTGCAAGGCGTAGGATCTCCTTGTTAAGTCGTACTATCACCCCACCAACGAGGGGCTTACACAATGCGCCCGACTTGAAGGAACAGACAAGTTTTGGACAAGAAGCTGGACGTGAGTTGTTGCGAACATGGTTTGCATTTTAACTCGCAACTAAACAGCAACTCTCAGCGTTCGTTCCGACGGTATCGCGGACGGAGCTTGATCCTGTAAACTTTCTGCGTCGTTCCGCCAATGTATATCCAAACAAGATTGCAGTGTGGCATGGTTCATATCAAATTCAACGAGATTCCTCTTTTTCTTGAATGTATTCATGTCCTTGTTGTTCCTTGTTAGAATCACGAAGCTATGCCTACTCTATTCTCGCCACTCGTGTCCTCAATTACGCTGCATCGCTTCTTCGTCTAGGCATCCGGAAGGGTGACCGGGTAGCTGTTCTCCTGCCGAATATCCCAGCAATGCTTGAATCACACTTTGCAGTGCCCCTCACTGGCGCAATTTTGGTCACCATCAATACTCGATTAAACAAGGACGAAGTGGGCTACATTTTACGAGACTGCGGAGCGCGGATATTGGTGGTGGATCATGAGCTGTTGGACTTGGTGGGCGGTGACCAGGCGAGGACAGGAAATCTTGAACATATCGTCAGAGTAGACGACACTGGCTCAGATATAGATCCATACGAGCAATTTATATATTCCAGTGCCAAAAACACTTTGGATAGGCCTCCGTGTTGGACAGATTTTCCATCGCGATCGGATGAGCGCGAGACAATATCGATCAATTACACGTCTGGAACGACCGGACGACCAAAAGGAGTAATGTACCATTCTAGAGGGGCATACTTGAATGCTTTATCAGAATGTCTGGAGATGGGAATGTCTAGTGAGTCTGTCTACCTGTGGACGTTACCAATGTTGTGAGTAGTTCCCCAGAGTGAGCTCCACTTTTGCGGCTACTGACGATGTACCCTTGTCTCTTTCTCTCTTCAGCCATTGTAACGGTTGGTGCTTTCCTTGGGCGACAGTAGCTGCAGGTGCAACAAATGTTATGCTCCGTAAGGCAAGTCACTGAAAAAGGTCTCTCTATGCACTTGGGCACCACCTTATACACTCTTGTAGATTGATTATGCCCAAATCTGGACGCTGCTAACGACGCTCAACGTCAGCCACTACTGCGGCGCCCCGACTGTTCATACATCCATTATCCATCATCCTGCGGCACGCCGTCTTCCCCAGCAAGTGAAATGCATGATTGCTGCCGCACCGCCAAGTCCTACTATGATTGCCAAGATGATGGAGTTGAACTTTGTGCCGGTACATGTGTATGGGTTGACAGAGACGTATGGGTAGGTGGTTGGGCGCCTTATCCTTTTGCGACTTGAGGGACTGGGCACTGACCTGCTCGCTGAAGACCTATCACCATTTGTGCGTGGCAGTCACATTGGAAGACACTCACTCCTGTAGAACAGGCTGCTTTATTGTCTAGACAGGGACAAAACTATACGGTCGCGGATGGTATTGATTTACATTCGCCTGAAATATATTTATTACAAGCTAACGGATGGCGAAAAACGTAGAGGTGCGTATTGTTGACGAAAACATGAATGATACTCCTTGGGACGGTGAAACCATGGGTGAAGTCGTGATGAGAGGGAATAATGTGATGACGGTAAGTATTGCCCATTACGTGAACCATTACATCGCGTGTCTCACTCTTGTGGTTCACTATAGGGTTACTACAACGACTCAGTTGGCACTGCTAAAGCGTTTCAAGGCGGCTACTTTCATTCCGGAGATCTCGGTGTTCGACATCCTGATGGGTATATTGAACTCCGTGACCGGGCCAAAGACATTATTATCTCAGGTACTGCTTCGTATTAGCCTACGGGCTGAATGCCATTGCTAAGTTCGTCCACTAGGTGGCGAGAATATTTCAACAATCTTACTTGAAAACACCATTCTGGCCCACTCATCCGTCTTTGAATGTGCCGTCGTCTCATCCCCACATGACAAATGGGGTGAAGTCCCTGTCGCGTACGTGGTTCTCAAACCAGATGCGTCCATTCCCATTGATCGGATCCCAGACGAGATTGTTCAGTGGTGCAAGCAAACCCTGGCTGGTTTCCAGGTTCCTAAAGGTGTAAAGGTCTTGAAAGAGTTGCCTAGAACAAGCACTGGAAAGGTCAGAAAGACTGTTTTAAGGGATATGGAGTGGAGTGGAAAGACGAAACGGATTCAGGGTTGAAGGGTGAGTATCAGAGGACATGTCGACAGAGGTGTAGAACTTACATAGTAATCGGAGGTCTTTGTGGAGAGTCGGAAGCAAATGCTGGTAGAGAGGCGTCACAGGATCATAGAAGAGGCATTGTAACTAGTCATTTTTTCTGAATCATTGAAAAGAGAAGTACGTTGTCATTGGACGCAGCTCAATGACTGCATTCATGTTTATGGTACATTCGTCATCATCCGACTAGCTACCTCGCTCCTAAAAGCTGCACGAGACGTTGTTGCTACTTTCCAACCCGCGACCTCAATGTATCTCTCCACTCTCCTACTGTCCCCTTCATCGCGCCTCGGTAGGTAGGATTCAAACAAAGTAGCAGCATAGGATTCGCCAAGGTATATGCGTGTACCATGACATATGCAATACGCTCCAACCACGCTGGAGGGGGCATTTGCACAAACAAATGGTGTCCAATGCAGATGTAGATGGGTAACATACAGGACAGATAGGCAATAATGTAACTCAGCGCCTGTCTCGCCAATCGAAAGGCGATTTCATCTGAATCCTTCTTGAATCGGGCATTGGCGCCTTTGCGGGCCTGTTGGACTTGCGACATGAAGGTTTTGGTGGGACTGTACTTGCTCTCTGATGTGGTCGTGTTATTGGGAGTCGCGGGTACTTGATCGTTTTTGGTCGTGCTGTGATCCTTTCCGGCTTCCATGGCTTTTTCTACCGTTTTGGAGGTCTGCACAAACGTAGTGTAGATCTGGTGGTACATGATGGCGATGCCAAAGACATTGAGGGAGATGAAGCCGACACCCAGCAAGCCCAGAATGATACCTTCCCAGGTTCCTCCCGTGCTCCCTAAAGCGCGTTATGATGGGGATGAGAGAGTCCAAAGGAAGAAAAAAACGAGGAAAACAAAAATGCAACTTACAAGGAGGAGTACAATACAGCCCAGAGGGATTTACCGAAGCCCTCCTCCCAAGCATAAACGGGAGGCCCCCAATAAACAGGGCCGCAGCCCAGACCGCCCCGCTCACCCACTTTGCTTGCGCCCTCGTTATATCCACGCGCCTTACAATAACCAGGTATCTCTCCAGCATAAAGCAAAACATGGAGCTCTGCCCATGGACACCCCACGCCGCGGAAAAGTATCCCGACACTTGACATGCGTAGTAGGTGCCGAGGTGGTAACCAAATACCGAAGGTGTACCCAAGATCCAAAATGCGTTGAACACACATTGTACGAAATCAATGAGGAGGATGTTGAGGATAAAGTATTTGGCGGGCGTCCACGCTACGCTCCGAGTGACAATGAAAAAGAATATAAGGAGCACAACAGTTAGTGCAGCCATGGAGGTTATCCCGCGCGCAAGGGCCAGCTGGGACGGATCGAGTCGGTAGGGGAGATAGTACCATCCTTGCACCATACCCAAGGGGATGGTAGAAAAGGTATAAAAGCCGTCTGAATCTGGCGATGGTAAATCAGGCGGTGGAATCCGTTCCTGTCTCATTTTTTCACTTGGCTTTCTGATTTGCCAAAAGTAGCAAGCTGCTACAAGTCGAAAAGCAAAATGATTTGCGTCTCCCACAGACGATATAAAGCTAAAAACCCAAATAGACTTTGAGTTAATTCAACGGCCTCGCCCCACGACACACAAGGACCGGAGCGTGCATTGTTTCTCTTCCAAAATCCAAATGCGCCGAACCAACAACAACAAGAGTCTATAAATAACATCTGGATACAGATCAAACGCCTCTAACGAGGGAAAACGATGGGATCATTGTCCGCGGGCCTTGCCTTGAAAGCTATTAATAGCTGCATGTATCGCTATTCAGCATTTCATGGAGGGTTGCGCAACAAAAAGTTACCTTGGTTTAACTTGCGTAGATCTCGGAGGTCCCTAAAGTTGACACTAATCCTGACTGCAACCACACTCCATTCACAGCGACAGATGGTTGGAACGGTTCCAATCCCTTAAATTTTTGGTTAACACTACATTAAATGCAAGCCACGTGCCTAAAGAATCTATATCACGTGCCTATATCGGAGGCTTTTGAAACTTTTTGGATTCTATTTTTGCAAACGTCGCAGTTCGCGGCCCGTTTTTTGCCACCGGTCTCCCCCCCGTCATCGACGATTGGATTTCATCTTGTGTTGGCTGGGATTGTGTTTCTGAACGTATTTTTGACGGTTGCTGGAACTACGACGAACGTAATGGCGGCTACCGAAATGTCCTCTGCAAGCGCAGGTAAGGGTCGGCGCCGCTTTGGAGAACAGAATGGTGAAACTCTAAAACAGACTTTCCTAGCAGACAACGCAAAACGACAGCATCCTGGCTCCCAGGTCAACCTGTCATCCCTCCGCAAGTCCCTCCCACCCCGCGTCTTTGAAAAGTCGCTAGCGCTCTCTATGGGCTACTTTGTCTTTGACGCTCTCGTCCTCGGCGGCTTGTACCTTGCCTACTCTACAACCCTCTGTAGCAAGGCGTCGTGGTCAGCACTCGAATGGTGCTTGTATGCCGTGTGGGTTCAAGCTGTTGGGTTCTTCATGTGGAGCTTGTTTTGTATCGGGCATGACTGCGGACACGGATCCTTTTCCGATAGCAAGTCTGTAAATGCAGTCGTTGGACACCTTTCCCATGGATACCTTCTTGTTCCCTTCTGGCCCTGGGCACGCTCCCACGCTCAACACCACGCATACCATAACCACAAAGACAAGGACATGTCGCATCCGTGGTTAACGCCCGAAGAAGAGACTCCCGGCGCAAAATTGTTAAAGGACCAGCCGTTTCTGGTCCCCTTTGCATACGGGTTTGGATATATTTTGGCCGGTATTCCCGACGGAAGTCACTTTGTACCATGGAGTCCCCTGTTTAGGAACAACAAGGAGCGGGCGCAGTGCGTCGTCAGTTCTGGCGTTGTATTCTTGTACTTTGTTGCGTTGAGACTTGTGGCAAAGAATTGGACCTCTTTTGCTTACGGATACGCGATGCCTTGGTTGGTGTACAACGCGGTAAGTTTGAGATTAATGTGGTATATAAAAAACGTTGGTTCCCATCTCATTGTTTTTGCAATGTTCAGTGGCTGTACATTGTCACCTACCTCCAGCACCACACCGCCGAGACTCGTGTGTACAGCTCGGCCAGCTGGACATTTACCACTGGCGCCGTCGAAACCGTCGACAGAGAGTACACCCCGTTTGGATTTCTAGACAAACTTATGCACAACATCACCAATGGACACGTTGTCCATCACTTGTTTTACACCAGCATCCCCCATTATCGCCTGATGGAAGCTACACCGGTAAGAACCGGTATCATTAATGTGTCCAAGAAAATGTTTGCTTACAATACAAATTCATAGGTGGTGGCAGAAACTCTCGGAAAATCCTACAGACGTGTAGATGGATTCCCGTTTTTAGAATTCCTTAAATCGCACTGGCACTCGACCCGTGCTCTCCTCACCTGGGTTCCTGAAGAGGGTATCTGGACCCTTCAGAAACAAGAGAGTCGCAAGAACTTGTAGATATCTATCTAACCACTGAGAATTATTTCCTAAATTATTAGGGTGGATGAATATGTCATTCTTTATTCTGGGTAGCGTCGCGACGTGTGGGAAATGGTTTTTTTTATCTATGTCTTGATTAGATGGAGACATTTGGTGTTCTAGAGCTTGAGTGCGCGAAATAAAGTTATTTACGCATTTTGAATGCACGTAATTCATGCAAAGAAAAAAACAAAACTATGAAAGGCGACGCCTTATTAATGCACATCATGCATGCAAGAAAAGAATACAACTATGGAAAGACAAGGTTCAAAAACAGCAACCCCCTCCATCGCATGGACATTGAGCCCATTTTCAAATATATGGATTTCCGGCTTAAATTTCTCCAGCAAACAAGGCAGCAGCCGGCTGCGCAAATGATGCAAGATAGTCTTTCCGATAAGGATTCACATCAGTTTCAGAGGATCGGTTCAGTGGTGTCCATTTCGGGTCCTTGAATATAGCATGTCAATACGCAGACGAGCAACTCCAACGACAACGGCCAACAAACCTCTTTAAACAATCTCATTGCCTTCAAGTAATTCTTTGTATCAAGGGTAAACCGGTGATACATACCCGCAGGCTGTACGCCAAAAGATCAACATCCTTGCTCCTCAAGCAAACCACACAAGACCAACCATACCAAAATGATCATATCACCAGCCTCACACGCAATTCGTATCCACCGATCACCAGGACTCCGAATATCAAAGTACCCTGAACCCTCCAGAATGAATCGAATCTCTTCGTCTTCGTGGATATGCTCCGTAAAGAATATTTTTAGTTTTTCGTCGTAGTTGGGTAATGCTTCTTTTGAGATTGTGATCTACAAAAGAATTGTTTCAATTTCGAAACAATGCACAGCAAACCAAAAAAATGACAGCGTACCTCATCCCGATTCTTGTATGCTCGTTCCTGGGAGATGCGGTCCACTGTCTCCAGGTACCCAGGCTTTGTCACATCAATGGTCCACTGGAGAACACCCACTTGAGCTAGTTGGTCCAGAGTGACGGAGCGGTTGGGTGTATATTGGTGAGGTTCACGGCCGTCAGAGGGGTCGGCATCATTGTAATACCAGGCTTGGACCATGTTGGCGTGCTGTCAAAAGTCAAAGGTGATGGAATGTATGCAGAGTGGAATGCAACGGCCGGAGGGTGTCGGAGGGCGGTCTTTTGCACAGCATCAATCTGCGGGAAATCTAAGCCACGTCTCCCGTTTTTGGGCAACGTTGACGGGCGTAAAGAACGTTGAAGCAGCCAAGAAGAACGGCGTGAGCAGCATAAAAGGAGCAATTGGACAAAGGCGATGGAAAGTAGCAACGAGGACGCACATTCGGGAAGAAGAATGACTAGTTGTATTTGGTTGGAGCGGACCCCAAATCAATTAATCAGAGGATATTCCTCCATCTTTTTTAAAACGCTTAACACCATGTGCACAGATAGGTCTACCCCAAGACGAAGGATTTACGGTTAGACGACATGACGGAAAACAATGAAAGCCTGAGTGGTAATTGGGTTGATCTGATCAAGCAGAACGATCCACAGACATCAGGCAGGCTTATGATCCAGATCACAGAGCAAAAGATGCGCAGATAGAGCATATATATGCGGGAAGAGTAAAAAAAAGTCCAGAACAAACAACACAATCTGCATTACATCCACCTCATTCAGCCTCTTCATACCGCACGCCCAAACTATCCTTGGGAACATAACCCATCTTCCGCAACCGATCCGCCGCAATACGCTCCTCTGACACTTTTTTCAATTCCGCCAGCTGGTCTTTTGTGAAACTCGGCTCTGGGAGTCGTCCAGCTCGGAGAGCCTTACTGTGTTGCTTTAGTCGTTCTTCATCTAAGATGGAGGATCAGGAGAACCTTCTTGTATGTGAAAGAGACGAGCTTTTTACCGTTCAAGATATTGAATTCGCCAGTGTCTTCAACCCCAGCTTCTGCTCTTTGGCGTACAAATTGTTGGCGCTCCCTATATCCATCGATTAGTTGCCATATTTCAGAGTGAAACAGCGAAGCACAACGTGCCATTGATCCAGATCATAATATTTGAGAGGAAGGGTTGCAGTGTTGTAGTCTTCCATGTATTCCGCAAAGTGCAGTTTCATTTTTTGGTTGTCCAGGACTTCGGGGGAGGTGTTTTTGACTTCGACCAGCCAGGTACGAAACTCTGCTTCCTTTCGATACATCTAGGACGGGTGTGACACAGTGAATCATCAGCATGGGAAGCAGATATATTCTTACATCGGAGGCAGTGATAAGACCATGTGCGCCCTTATATTTCGAGGACATTAGTCGAGCAAAAAGGTAGAGAAAGAGACTAGAAATTTATGACATACATATTGTGCGGTTACAGCTCCAGATTTTGTCTTGTCCTTACTGCTCTTTGATTTCTTTTTCTTTTGCGATTTCTTGTCCTGATACGGAGAATAAGGAGTGTGAATGGCATCCATTACACGCAAAGTTCCTACCTTTTTCGACTTTTTCTCCTTTTTCTTTTCCTTTTTATGCTTGGAGTGTTTTCTCTTCCGTCGAGACCGGTCGTCGTCGGAGGATGTCTCACTGCTACTCGTATAGCTCGACACGCTCGTAGAGCGACTCCTTTTCCGTCGTCGTCGCTTATCCTTGTGACCAGCGTCGCTCAAAGAACTAGTACTCGGTGATCTACGCCTATGTAGACGATCCTTGTCCTGTATGGGAGTGGCAGGTTAGGAATGCGAGACGTGTAGTACCGCGGTTCGCTTGACAGACCTCATCTCTCCGCGACGAGTACGATCGTCGCTCTGGCGAGCGTGAAATGGAGCGACCTCGGTCTCGCCGTGTGCGAGAGGTGTCCCTGCTGCCCATGTCTGCCCTCCCCAACGAATTCCAAATCTGTCGCCCAAACCAACCTTTCACCTCCGATCGCACTGCAACCATGACTAATTGGATTGAATGCTGACATGATCCACATTAATGACCACGTGATAATCGGGGCTTGTCAGCCGCCGTTCAACGTTTTGACCTTTTGGCCCAACAGACCCATCTACAGATTCGAATATCCAACTGTTTTCTACTTTAAACGCGCATTCATTGGCATGTTGAACGTAGATCATTGTCATGGAAAAGTCCTTTGCCACTAGATGAGCATCCATTATCCAGATGCAGGGCCATCGTCGTTCAGATTGATGCCCAGCTTTCAAATTGACCCTCCACCTTTTGTTGCTGTCCTTTTGCCAACCCCAACTTATAAACAAATGTGTGCCTCGTTGGACCTCTAGAAGGGCGTCGAATCAAACCCTTGCATCAAAGTCGTTGCGATGCAGCCAAATGGACCATACACTACAGATCCCCCACCAAAGGCCCCCAGTCATTTTGCTTGCGCTTCAAGTCACTGGTGGTGCAAAGCCACGTCATTTACCTTTAAAGGCAATTTATACTAAGCCATTCATTTAACAGCAATAATCCCTCAACGGCTTGGCTGGCCTTCTGCGCAATTTTCAAAGGTTTCCTCCCCATTCCAACTACATGCTCGGATCGGATTACTGGAACGACGACACCATGAAACTTACTACTCCTACGACTGCACAGATTCCCGAGTTGGACTCGATTGCCCAGGAACTGAATGACCAGATTGCAAACGATGTGGGTGAGCGGAAATTCAGTCCTCGTCCCGACGTTAAAAATATCCTTGTTACGGGTGGAGCGGGATTCATGTGGGTGTCGTAAGTGTGGTTGTGTGTTTAGGCAGCATGAATGTGACCGCTCTCTTTTATAGTGCATCCTTTATTGTCCGCAAGCTCGTCCTCTTGTACCCAGAATACAATGTCGTAAACTTTGATAAACTCGATTATTGTGCGTCCACCAGAAACTTGATGACCATCGAGCACAAGGACAATTACTCGTTCATCAAGGGCGATATCACCATCAAGGACATGGTCAACTTTGTCTTGCAAGAGAAGCAGATTGACACGATTTTGCACTTTGCTGCTCAGACGCACGTCGGTGAGTAAATTCAGTGCAAACCGTTCGTGTACATTTAGGATGAGCGAGTGAGCGCAGCGGGCTTGATCCGCCAATATAGTGAGTGCACTGGGTTTAACGCGCTCTGAGCGAGTTCTGCAAGCCTTGGGGTGATTGCGCAGCAGCACATAGCCAAGCGGCAACGCGCGAGATAAACCTGGCGGTCATGGCTGTCGCCTATACCACTGCGGTTCGCTGCGCGCTCGCGCGAACGCACATTGCTATCGCCATGTACAACACTCGCATGTCCGCCAGATGCTCAAGGCAAGCGCGACTCACGCACCTCTCCTAGACAACTCTTTTGGCAATTCTGCCGAATTTACCCTCAACAATGTCATGGGCACCCATGTCCTCCTCGAAGCGGCCAGAATCAACAATGTCAAGCGCTTTATCCACATTAGCACTGATGAAGTCTACGGGGAAGTCGAACACGGCGGTGACGAACTCTCCGAAGACAACATCCTCGCCCCCACCAACCCGTACTCTGCCACCAAGGCCGCCGCCGAAATGCTCGTAGGGGCCTACCAGAAATCCTTCAACCTTCCCACCATCATTACGCGCAGCAACAATGTCTACGGTCCATACCAGTACCCGGAAAAGATCATTCCCAAATTCGTTACGCTCTTGTCGGAGGGCCGTAAAGTCTTTATCCACGGTGACGGAAGCAACACCCGACGCTTCATTTACGGCTCTGACGTTGCCGATGCCGTTGAAGTCATCCTCCACAAGGGTGAAATTGGCCAAACGTACAATATTGGTACATCCTTTGAAATCTCCAACCTCGAATTAACCAAATTCCTAATCAAGCAAATGGGTCTATCGGCTCGCGAATCCGAGCTCATTGAATTCGTTGAAGACAGGCCGTTCAATGACATGCGCTACGCTATTGATAGTACAAAGTTGGAGGCACTGGGATGGAAGCCCAAAGTCGAATTTGAGGAAGGTGTGAAAAAGACCATTGCTTGGTACACAAAGTACTCGAGGAAATGGTGGAGTGACATTAGCGGAGCTCTGGTGGCCCATCCCTACAAGAGTGGAACTCAGCAAGAGTATGTCATTAAAAGTCAAAAGTAATACTGTGTGTGGAAAGTGTGTACAAATGGACTTTTTATCTATCCTGTGTGGTGTATATTAGAAAAATGGGTTATGGAAATAAAGCTATATTTACTTTAAATCTTCTGGACATGTTGCATAAAAGCTTTTAAAGAGTTTATTATTCCAAGGATTTCAAACGCTCACACACATGTCCACACGTAGGTAATCAACCAAACTACATGGCGGTTTAAATACAGACTTCGCCTATATACAGCAAAACATTACAATTTAAAAGGCAAATGACTGTCCACCACCAGGAGGACGAAGCACCCTAAATGAAAATCAACATCAGCTCCAGTCAATCCAGAATGAAAAAAAATTCGCAGCATGTACACACACCTGCTGGACGGCCTAGTAAATGCTTCCGTACTCCTAGCATTCGGATCCCTCTTCCCAGACCTGGGACGATTGGCACTGTTATCTGGCCCTCCAAAAATATCATTATCAGCATGCGCTCTGTCACTGTGCTTTCGTCCCCCCGAAACAAGGGGAGCAGCACTGTTATCATTCCCCAACGAAAAGTGACTTTGATTGTTCATTTGTCCAAAGACTTTTTTCCCAGTGTGGACAGAGTCGTCCCTCGCTTGGTCCAAGGACGACCAGTTGGGGTCCCTTCGAAAGTGTGCAGAAATGTCTTGGCGATCGACAGATTCTTCGGCAGCCACAGCCGCATCCCCCCCAAAATTGATGTGGGATTCAAATCGGCGGGGGTCAATCGGAACCGACGTCCGCAGCGGAACAGGCTCGTCAGCAAAAATGTTGGAAGGTTTTCCGCCGGGCTGGTGATGGATCCGTGTGGATGGACGGACCTGTTCCACAGGATCTTGGTTGAATATGTTGGATGTCTGGCGGGGGATGATCATGGATTTGTGATGCCGTAAGGCAGGGCTAGGCTCCTCTGCTTGAGGGACGATGGAAGAGACTGAAGTCCGGTGAAGGCGCTTCGCTTGCGCAAGGCGTATCTCCTCTTCATCATCGCCTTGTGGAATGATACCGTGGACAGGTTCACGTCCTGGAGCCTTGTCACCGTTTGCCTACCAAGTCATCCACGTCAATGTCACTCTTGGAGCGCATGTCACCACCCTACCTTACCTTGGTCACAACACCCGCAACAGGAGACTCCTCCCAATGCTCTCTCAAAATCAAATTAGAAGGCGCTTTGACATCTGTCAGTCGATCCACAATTTTTGGTCCCAAAACTGGGAGCGTCGTCTCAGATCCATTGGCCTTGCAAAACACCGATGGCGGCAATAGCCCAATTTGACGCATCACAGAGCCCTGGTCCCAATACACCCGCTTGGCAGTTATTTTCGCATCTGGACTAAATGTCACAAATGTCGACTGGGTAAAGGAATCGTTAGGTTGCTGTCAGTTCTGGATGGCATCAAAACACACTTACCATGGGGATCACAACGCGCCTTTTGGTAGGCTTCACATCGGGAAGAAGCCAATCTAACATGTCCTCATGCACGATCGTCAAAATACTTTCTTCCGCAATACTGTATTCGCCAATCACACGGTTGATAACCTAACATGTCACACATTAGTCTTTAAACCCAAATTACCATGCCACCAGAACACCGACCTTATCATCCGCAACACAACCCGCTTGCTCAACAACTTTTCTAAAGAACCCCTCAATATCCGCTACACCGACCCCACCCGCAGCAGTCGGAACATACACGACAGACGCTTGCTCATCAAAATGCTGTGACACGAGCGCAGCGGCTGTAGCCGGGGAAGGGTGAGTAAGCGAGGCCTTGTGAGCGTCCCAGACGAGAAGCAGGGACGCGACAGAGGGACTCGCAGTCGTCATCATTGTTTGTCTGGCGATTTGCAGGATGGAAATCCAAAAAAGATGCGAAAAGCTGTTTTTTGGGTCGTGTGCTCCAGGGGGGGAAAACACGAACGGAACGCGTACGAGAGTCCGATGTTTCGGATATTTGGAGTGTTCCAATTTCTTTTTGATTTTTGTTTTGACTTTTTTGATTTCCAAATTTCGCTCTTGATTTGAACTGAAGTTCTTGAAAGAAATCATGGAGCCATACGCTATCTCCCTCTACGACAACGTTCTCGCTCTCCCCACCGACCCACATTTCAAACCAGCTGCCATACTCGTAATACCGCTCGGCCTCGTCCCATTGGTGGCATTCAAACTAAACCTTTCACGCTAGATCGCCGGCTCAAAAACCTCCCATAAAGACTCGCTAGCCAATATGCTCGCTCCCTCTGATTTGGATCTGGAAATGTAGGTCATACCTCTTCGGATTCGTCCTTTGCCCAATTTAACCCCCTCTTTAGCCGCTTCGTTTCCCATATTGAACACATGAGCCCCAAAAGCTCCCGTCCCCATATTGATATCATCACATGTACATGTGATATGAGCTCTCGAACGTCATTTGATCTCTTACGGAGGAACCTGCAGTGTATATCGCCAGAGTACTTTCTGGGGAGGGTGGTGGTTGTTGGATTTTTCGGTAAATAGAATGGTCTTTCTCTGGCCTGTCGATAATGTGTGCTGAAATGGGGCATAGGTGATGAGATCAAAGTGGCGAGAAAGGAAGTTGTGGAATGGGTTACAAGTATATCAGAGGATGTGCCTATTTATTTTGTGGATGCGGAGGTATGTGGTTGAAATGGACTTTGTCGTGCAGTCCAACTCACTGCTACAACAGAACCAGCAGACTCAGCAAAATGTTGCTTTGCATATTCTTAAACGCACACGGGTCGCTGCGGGGTATATACCGCATGTGAGTCTCCTATTAATGGATGCTTTGGGAGTGCCAGAACAGGTGCGTTTACCAGAGGAGGCAGCATCTGATCCGATGCAAGTCTGCTAGGAATGCATCTTCAAAAGCTTTTGTGTAGATAAATGTTTTTTGTATTTAAAGTTTTTTGTATATAGAGACCACCAATAGAGAGAATCCGTATCGCAAACGGACTAAAAACAATAACAAAAAAAAGAAATAAAAAAAAGATACTTGGTGCCCATTAAGAGTCCTTCTCGGATCCATGACTCAACATCTTCTTCATTCGTCCAACACCCCACCCCTTACTGCTTCCGTCTCCGCCCTTTTTGCCGCCATCGTCGCTACTCCCAGTCAAAAGCTCAACCGCAACCGCAGAATCCTTCAAACTCTCCACACCGTCTCCAACAACCCCGTCATCCGTCCAATCAACACATTTCCCACCATATCTCTCAGGACAGTCCTCCCCTGACCACACTGTCTCCAACGTTTTGGTAACTTCCTTTGGCCCCACCAACGCAACCTTTTCGACCACAGTTACATCCAAAAAGGGTTTGACGACCTTCCAGACGGTCCATAGAAGCCAGTTGGTGGGGAATATAACAATCCGTTGGAGCATTTCGGGAAAGTGGGTCTGGAGGATTGACGTGAGAAGCCGGAAAAAGTGGAGGTTCTCAATGTTTTGTTGGGCGCTTGATGAGCGATCGACGAGAAGGGTGATACGGGATGTGATGGTCCTACACAAATTCTATTATTACAGCCCAACAACATACATTCAAAAACAAACGAAAAATGGCCTACCCTTCTCGGATCCCCTTATCCATGGTCCAAACAATGAATCGAACCGTCCGCTCACTCAGCTTTGGATCAGCGATATGCCTCGAAATCCTCCAAATCAGTACCGGTGTCCCATCGAGAGCAAACCGATGATAGTAGAGTTTGCCTGTCTCGTAATCGGCAGTGTAATCCTCATTGGGAAGGTCTCCGTATGCATAGTCGATACGCCATTGCTGCGAGTGCGGGTCAGAACAATATCAGGCATAGTAAAAGCAGGATAGATACACACCAACGTCTTTTCGAGCATCTTGCAGGCAACGTCCACATTCCCTCGTGCTCCGTCAAAGAATTTCATCAACCACCAGTCGGTCATGGTCGCCGATTGCAATGACAGGAACCGGTCTTCAGTCCGGACCTTTTGGCGAAAGGCCTCGAATCCTTCCATTGTCCCAAACGTCGGCGTCAACGTCATGGTGGTTGACGCTATTGCTGGTTCCTCCATGTGGGTATTTGTAGTTCACTTTTCAAGCTCTTTTCTAATAATAATAATCTAACTTGTCTACAAAGAGCACTTTCTATGCCGCTGTCGATTTCCACCTTTCCACCTTTATCCTTCTCCTGTGGTCGTTGCTGGCCCAATGGAAATCTCTTGAAAAAAAAAAAAAACCAAATGGGCAGATGGGGGAAGGCCAAACAGCCACCACTTCTGGTCGCGTTGTGTTTCCATTCACGCTCATTTAACCAAATGTGGCGCTATTACATTCATGCTTAGTTGCTTAGTCGCGTCATATCACGTGGTTTTGCTGATGATGATATGCATGTTTGCTTTAAGGAAAGCGGTACATTCACGCATGCCTATCCAGCTAGGGCCAGCTAGGGCAATGAGCAAATGGGATCTGGTTTGATGGCGTGCAGGAAAAATGTCGATTTTGATTTCGATACTGGAATGAAAAGGACAGGGGATGAGCAAGGCGAAAGACTCTAGACAGGGTCGTGCATGCTTACCTGCAAAGAGATTTGGCACCAAAGACGATACAATTTGCACTGGTCGGTTTGCGTCCGACTTTTGGTCAACGGCAGGTTTGCTAAGCCTCGGTTGATCTGGCCCTTGCTGTCCAAGGGATGAGTGGTCGACAGTTGTTGCCCAACCTCTCGTCATGATCAACCAGGTAACTCAGGGTATCGGAGGCTATGCAGCGCATTGGGTAAGCAGACACATTGCAACGTGACACCAAAAACAAGCAAGGCCCACCTTCTAAATAGCAAAGCAAAAACCTTCATAAACTCCTTGTATTCTGCCTCGCTCATCTGCCGAGGTCCAAACCGCAGCTGCTCGTAGCGATCAATATAATAGTGTGCAACATCTTTTCGAAGAACGGTTTCGGCAATCAGCATCTCAATATATCGCCTTGCGCTCACACTCGGATCTCGCCGGTAAAAGGGTGATATCTCCGTTGCCGCTTTTTCTGGTAAATATATTACTAGATTAATATCATTTGCGTCAGATATTTACGCCGTAGATCCTACAGTGGAGGCCAAGCTATGCGAAATGTGTGCCGCAGCATAGTCTTCACCCCCGTTTTATGATGACCCTTACCTAACAACTCAAATGTTTGAATGGCAGCTGTTTTGTAATGGATGGTCTCCAGCTGAGATCCTACACAATTGAACAAAAGAGCTTTGATGAATAGCAGTCCTTTAAAGCCGTCGTAGAAACTGGTGTGTACCACTCACCAATCTTGCCCCATCCAAGGTCAAGCGCATCCTCAGGTCGTGGTTTTGCTTCGAGTGAGATGTTGGCAACTTTGGAAAGATCGGCTTGGATAAGACGATATACTCGCTGGTGGAAGGTGTAATGTCAAGTCCAAGATGATCGAGTGCTTACCGAACTACAATGACCACCCTACCTTTGGCACATCTGAGGGATTGATAGGAACATACAACTTGGGTGTATCTTGGAGTGCCGAGCGGATAGATAACTTGCGGGACGAGATGATCAAGAGTGCACCAACTCCCTAGCACATGCAAAAAATCAACAACTTGTTAGAGTCGAACCCTATATAGATACGCATATCAAACTCACCAACAGACAAACACTCGACCCTGCACCAATAAGGACATATTTATTCTTGTAAATCCGTAAAAAAATGTCGAGACCGCATAATCCGAGTAGCCCAATTGCAATAAGAAATGATACTAGCCGCGTGGAGACAGCAAAAATAGTTTTATATATTTTATCAAACATGGTTTTATGCGACGAGGAGAGATGGGAGAGCGGTTATTCGCTTGGCACAAATTCGAGACAGATGCGCAACAGTATCCTTCTCGTCCCCCGTTTGTTCCTAGTGATCAGCGGTGCATCTTGTCGTTGTTCTTGGTTCTTCAAAAGCCTCAGATGTGCAAGCGAGATGCGCAATGGAAAAAAAACAAGAAAGCCTAGCGGGTCAATGAATTTCACGCGAAAGCTCCAAAATCCTCCGATGATAAAATTAAGGGTCCGATTATAAAGCCAATTAGGACGGGCTTTTTTGACATTTGATCTACTCGACAAATGACATTGCTGGCAAATCTCAAATGCCTGCGCTGCCTCACTGCTCGCCTGACAGCCCCCGAGCACCTGCTGCTCAAGAATGAACAGACTCTGCGCAGGCCATTGTTGTCACATCGAGGTTTTGCATCGAGTGCAAACAAGTACCAACACGGTGAGCGAAAACGGGGAAGAGGGCACAATAAGCAAGAAAGAAAAGTCAAAATCTTCAATGGGTCAATAAGACCAGAGTTGCCCGAGCGACCGCCAGAAGTGCGTTACGACTCTCGTCGCAGTGGACCACGGCAACAAAAAACGTGGATACCTACCAAAACCAATAACGATACGACGAATCCGGACCACGAGGCGGAACTCGATGCGTGGGAAGAAGGCTCAAAGGTGTATCCACCAGACATGCCCGCCTTTGAAGCCGCGCTAAAAGCTAATGACCGAGTCGGAGCCTGGTTAAAGTTCAGAGATATTATCGTAGACGAAGGCGAACGTACCAAACTGACTATACCGCAATTAACGAAATTGATGAAGCTCCTTGTTCAACATGATCCACCAAAGACTGAATTCATGTACCAAGTCTTTGGCATGATGAAGCAACTGGGTCTTTCACCGACTACTCAAACCTTCAACCTGTTGATGAGGGCCCATGCGCAAGAAGGCAAAGTAGCAGAAGCGAGACGTGTGTTGACTGAGCTGGTTGCGGCTGGATTGCAACCAGACATGCATACCTATAACCTGTTCATGAAGATGTATATCGAATCCGATAATCTGAATGCCGCTGTCAAATTTTTCAATCGCATGGTGGAAGAAGGCGTCGCCCCGGACGTAATGTCATATAATACGTTGATTTCTGGTTTTGCGGCGGCTGATCAGCCTGAGATGGCCTGGAAATACTACGAGGAAATGACAGATCTTGGTTACGAACCCAACGCGGTAACGTACACCCATCTGATCAAAATGCACACGGCACATCAGGACATGGAGGCTGCGGAGAGATGGTTTGCGGAGCTAAAACAGAGAAAGATAGCGCCTGACAGTTTCATATACTCAGCCTTGATGGGAGGTTATGCACGACTGGGCGATAATGAGCGAGTCAAGGAGCTCTTTCGTGAAATGGTCGACGCCGGATTAGCACCTGACAGGCACATTTACACCATTGCTCTTCATGCAAAGACAAAAGTGGGCGATGTGGAGGGTGCCATTCAAGATATTCGTGAGATGATAAAGGTGCAGATACAACCGGACTCTGTAACGTATCAATCATTGGCGTCTGCGTTGTGTAGTGCAGGTCGCATCTTGGATGCAGAGAATCTTTTGATAGAAATGCGACGAAACGGTAACCAAATCTTTCCGAGCATTTACCGGACAATAATAGAGGCGTATGCGAATGCGGGACAAGTCGAGGACGCTGCGCGAGTTCTGGAACAAATGCAGCTGGATGGGACACCAGTCAATGTGGCCATGTTGAACGTTGTGCTAGAGGCAGCCGCCAGGACTTTCAATACGGAAGTGATGGAAACCTACTGGGACAAACTCCGGCTTGGGATAGCGCCAGGTGTGAAACCGAACGCCAGAAGTTATGGCATCGTACTGGAAGGTTACATTGTCGTAAACGACGCTGTAGCGGCAACCCGGATCTTCAACGAAATGATACAGGCCAATATCGAGCCAGAACCAAAGATCTCTGTTGCACTGATCAATGCCAATGTACGCTCGAGGCGCTTGGTTCCAGCGGTGTCAGTCTTGTCAAGAATGCGCCGGTCAGCAAAGTCTGATGTACACTCGGTCGGACAGGCGTTCATAGAGCACCGGGATGAATTTGAGAAGCTGATGATGACATTGGGACAGGAGATTGAGAAGAGCAGAGTATCGGCGGAGAAGAAATTGGATGTATCGCCTGTCGAGCGCAAGGAGGCGTTGCACAAGTGCGACCTGGTGATTGCCCTGTACGAGGTGCTTACGTCTGGAGATGTCGCACCACCAGAGCAGGCTTACCGATACGCAATGGATGCACACAGACGGAAAGGTGACCCTATAAACACTGTACGCATCTTTACGGACTTGCATCGGCTCAAGGAAGAGTCGGTCATTGATATTACCGCTCCTACCGTCACTCTACTTTTGCGCACCGCCCTTGAGTTTAAACTGGACAAGGTAGCAAGAGAGGCAGTCAAGCTCGTCGAAAATGCAAAGCTACCACTAGACAAGGACGGTTATGCTGCAGTTTTGCAGCTTTTGGCTCGCAGCGGCATGACGAGCAAGATCATGAGTACAATGCTTGATATGGTTAACGCTGGATACCCGTTGGACGGGGTATTATACAGTAAAATCGTGAGAGCCCTTCGAGAGACTCGCTCCGTAGCTACTGGTGAGCAAAAAAAGTCACTTCGAAATGTTGAGGGTACCTTGGGCAAATTTGTGGAGGAGCACTTTCCAGAGTTGTTGGAAGATGTAGAAAAGGAGGAACTAGAGTTCCGACAATCACTTTTACCTTAGTGTTATACAAACCTTTCATGTATATTCTGGCACAATATGAATTTAGCATTTTTCTTCATCATAATCACACACCCATGGATGATTGCTTTTGTTTGAAAGACTGTTGCGCTCGTCCTTTCTATATTTAAGTACAATTGACTCGTGCAAAGGCTCCCCCTGTCTTTCTCATTACCATCATGATCACCCTTGGTTGAGTTTCTTCCAGTTGACTATACTTCGGAAAACAAACTCCACAATATGTTTCGCGGTGCGTTTGTCCGCATCTAATCGTTCCGTTACGCCCAGGATGTGTCCGCATTCTCGTACGTAGTACTCCAGATCGTCATCATTGCATTTGTTGGTCAGTTGAGCTAAACGGACGCGTTCGCTGGCAAATGCATCGTCTAGGTCGAAGAGCTCGAGAGCGGGTGGGGGAAGGTCGCGGAGAGTTGGAGGGAAAATAGCGGGTTGCAAGGGGGGAAGCGGAGTTTCAAACTGCAAAACGCAACAGATTTCATTCAATAAACATCATCTATTTGGAAAAAATCGTTAAGGGACACCTACTTGTGGTTGTATTAGCGTCAATGGCTCTTTTTTTAGTCGCAGATCCTGTGTAGTGGCGATCATCTCTTAAATAACCATCTTTCGCAAAGTTTAATCAATTCATGGCTGACGCACCTCGTAAAGCTGAACCGCCGCTGGTATCAAGCTCGTATCAAATTTAAATAGGTTCATATCGAAGAGGGTTGTAAAGTCTTTAGGGAGTTCTTCGCTTTCCTATGAGGAGAATCGAAGATATTAGCCTGCTGCTGATGGGGTTGTGATCCAATATTCAACACGGACCTGCAAACATGATCGGAGCGTTTCGGAAATCTGTGCGGTTTCGGGAAGGTAGTAGTAATCCGATATCTAGAGAAAAAACGTTTGGTTGGCATGGAAGTATGTCCTTTCAGAGAAAGAAACCGATTGCGTACATCTGGTTCGTTGGCGTCGATGCTATTCAGTATGATCTTATCTAGGACACAGACAAATGTGTTTGTGTGGGCGATGATGACACAGCAAACAACCTAAACTACCCCGTACCTGTCGTGCAAAACTGTATCAGCACATCCAGTAGCTTCCCGTTCTCCTCCTTCTCAATGTACGTGTCGCAGAACATTTGTGCCGATGCTACGACAACAAGCTTCCCCCTTCCATTCTACCAAACTAAACGAATCAGCATGAATGCAACTAGTATTTTGTCCGTCCCGCAACGCTTACCGGATTAATGTATGCAGCGCCAACTGGACGGTTCAACGGGTAAGAGACTGTACCAGATGAGAGAATGGGTATGGCAGGTTTTTGTACGTTGAGGGTGGCACCGTAAGGGTAGACGAAAGTGAGGGCACTGAGAATGTATTGTGTTGGTTAAAAAGGCCGGCAATGTGAACAGAATTCAGACTTTTAGTGACAACGTACTAGGCATTGAATTTGCCCGTTTCTGGCAATCCTTCCAAGGCAGTCGGCCCCACTTTCTTTCCTGCTGCCCGATTAAGCTCTCTATTCAATACGCCATTTGACACATAGACTTCTTTCGGATGATGGTACTTGTAGTACACCGTTCGTGTTACGGCATCTTTTCATGCGAGTAGTGCCTTAGCATTGGAGAGCATTCACTATTCTGATATGGGGTTGTTACCTGGATTCACCGTCATCCCGTACTCCTCTAAAAGATAGTTGAAGTTTGTCTCAAACGCGGTTTCCCCTCCTTCGCCAGTTAAATACAGTATAGATCCTCCCCGATCCATGTAAGCCTTCAAGGCGCTGAACTATTACACGTACATAAAAATATTGCCACATGCGATGATTAGTTCCGACTTCTTCTTCAACAATGGAGTCTATGGATGCGTACCTCTGCCATCGTAAACTTTTCCCTTGGAGCACCAAAGATCAAAAGGTTGGTATCCACTAGTTTGGCTGCGTTCATTTCTTCCTTGTAACTACACGTATAAGGATTAGTTTCCATCCGTTATTCTTGTTGACATACAATGGTGAAGAGACATACAGCCCAATTTTGTATCCGTTCCTCAATCTTCTCTGAAAGACTTTCAACCCATTATTTGGCGTGTATGCTTCTTTTTTGCTGATATTGAATAGTACACTGGAAGTTCCCTTGTCTCGCTCCTTTCCTGCGCCTAGCTGTGGATCAACAGAGGAAAGTCCAATGGCAGACGTTGTGTCCATCATATTGGTCATCGGAGGTCCAAATCCCTTTGCCGTCCTGCCAAACGAGCCGACATTGCCCAGGAGAGCTTTGTGACCAAGCGACATTGATGGATCTGAGGATAGCATCTACTCTGGTGTACGTGGATGTCAGTTGGGTGATGATGGTTTGACGCTATGATAGATTCCCCACCTGCAAGTAAATTAACAACAAACCCACCTTGAAAACTCACAGTGTGCTCACTGACAAAGCTTGTTTGCGACGAGTTGGCAATCTCAAGTGGGTATAATCCTTTCCAATAAGCAAAGAATGCCAGACCACACCACCAGCGTTTTCAAAAACCAAAAGCCCAGCAAGAAGCGGATGGACGATCGTTGGTTTCGCTTACGATAGAAACGCGTCCGACGGGCTTTCAGTTTATTGCCCTTTATAACCGCCTGGCGACGAGTTTTTTGGGCGACTTTCTTCAACGAATTCTTCTGCGGAATTTTGAACGCATTGGGATTCCAAGATGGCTGCTTCTCATGGTAGGTTGCACTGCAAACTTGAGAAAAGAGGCCGGTCTTTTTGTAGTGGTATGATCAGTAACAAACGCATCTGCTTTAGGATCACCCGACATTCAAGATACCGAAGCAAGTCAAGGGAACTGGGAGCGGACGATTGAGGACCTGACTGCAGGTAACTTATTCACGACGACATCACTGTTCTTTGAATATGTGTGTCTCCTGTATTCAATTGCTCGCCCTTTGATATGGAAAGGATAGAGCTGCAAAAGACGAGTTTGTCTGCTCAGGTCCTCCTCAAGCGCGCCGCAGCGTTCAAAGCGGTGAGCAAGTATGATGAGGCTCTCAGAGATATCAAGACAGCGCTCAGCTTGGACCGAAATAATGCAGACGCAATCAACGCGATGCGGGATTTGCTTAGGACAACGTCAGAGGAGACGGCGTCAAACAAGGTCTCGCTGAAAGGCTTCCTATTACAGGCTACCGGCTCTATATCGAACGATGATAAGGACCGACTAAAAAAGACGCGACAAGCGTTTGAAGCCGCACAACGCTTAATGGTGCTTTCCAAAGAGCCAGATGTTTGTGGGAGATTAGTGAAGGAAGGTGGAGTAGAGCTTTTGTTTCCTGCAATGATACGGGAGCGCGAAACCAATGGAGAACAGGGAGCCCCATCGCTGCAGGCTGCTTTGCTTTCCATCATTGGGAACATTGCAAACATTCCGGAACACGCTCCCCTGTTACTGCCATACATTACAGAGGAAACAATCAGCCTGTTTTTGGGTGAACAGGACGCCATGTCCGTGCAATTAGCGACCGATATTGTGTCAACTCTCGTCCTTCAAGCATCTGGTCAATTATCACAACTAGGCCTCACTGATAACGCGTCCTTCATCATCAAGACTCTCACGCGGCGACTGGCGCCATCGCACAGCGACGTTGTACGGGTTTCATCTTTCGGTGGCCTGATTAAGGCGATTGCCAATGGAGATCTCGCCATGGCATTAGTGCGAAGCTCTGAGAACGTTGCTTTATTTGGACTGGTTGATGACAGTAACGAGAAAATACGCGGCCTGGTCCCGGCCGCGCTCGCGCGCATCTTTGAGCAAGTTGACGACAAGCACGAGAAGGCAGTCCAGGAAGCGTGCTACAGACTCATTCGAGACTGGCTGGACGGAGAAAATTCTAGTAAGAAATCCAAAGGCTTACTTGCCCTTGCTGCGGTTTTCCAAGCTCGCAGCTCATACGGGAGTGCGATCTTGATGAAACCTGGCTTGTTGGAATCAATAATGGATTGCATCGAATTTGAGCCAGTAGAAATCCAACTGGCCACCATAGAAGTACTTTCAAGCGCTTGTGCGGAGAAGGATTGCAGGACCCTTGTGGCCAATACGTGCTCACCGTTTCTGCAGAAAATGATCAAAGAGCAGGATGGTCGGTTGCGGAGTGCTGCCTCTGTAACAGTGACAAAACTGGTTTCTGCAAATAAAGATTTGGGAAAGCTTGTTGACTTGAATCCTTTGACTATGGCTGAATCATTCGTCGTCACTCTCAGTGATGGCAAAGCGGATACTACGTCAAAGCTGCGGGCGGTAGAGGGACTCGCGTACTTGACTATGCAGCCTGCCATAAAGGAAAAACTGGCATACAACCTCTCCTTTATGAAAACTTTATTGGGATTTGTCACGTCGGAGGATCGGGCACTACATTTTGGAGTAGTCACCATTATCGCCAACCTCACATCCTACCGGCGGAAGCTTACCCAGGAGGAAGAACAAGTCCGCAAGTTACGGGAGATGGCAAAGGACATTTCTGTAGAGAAGCCTGACCCCCTTGACGATGATCTTCCCGTGGCCAAGCGGGCGCTCATGGCGGCTCAAGCTGGCGCCATATCCGCGGTGGTCCACCTAGCCAAATCAGATAGTCCCCGAATTCGTGATACAATATCCCAGATATTTCTAAACTTTGCAACCGACAAGCGTCTTCATGGCGTTATCGTGCAGCAAGGTGGGGCAAAAGCATTGGTTGAGCTCACAAAGAGCGGAACTCCAGAGGGCATCGCAATCGCCGCTCAGGCTCTAGCAAAAGTGGCCATTACCGTCGATCCGAACTTAGCCTTTAAGGGTCAGCGCGCTGCCGAGATCGTCCGACCGCTTATAGCACTATGTAATGGTGAAAATGGGCTACGGCAATTCGAAGCACTAATGGCACTCACAAATTTGGCGAGCATGAATGATGAGGTTCGCACAAGAATCGTACAAGCAGGCGGGGTAAAAGCCATGGAGTATCTTCAATTTTCTGACAATGAGATGATCAGACGAGCCGCGACGGAAGCGTTATGCAATATGATGTTTGACCCACAGGTATATAACAGCTACGCGAACGCGGGTCAATCTCATAGACTTCGAATGTTTGTGGCACTTTCGGATGCGGAGGACTTTGGAACAAGGCGTGCGGCAGCCGGTGCGCTGGCAATCCTGAGTTCAAGTGAGAATGCTTGTAGACTCATAATGGAGGAAAGTCGCGGGATCGAGGTAGTCATGGGCATGGTCAAAGAGGAAGAAACGCATGCGGAATTGCATCACCGCGGAGTGGAATGCTTGAAGAACCTTGCTAAGGCTAACGCGGATTACGCACGCCGATTAGAGGCGGCGGGTGCTGTCAAAGCATTAAAGAGATTATTGTTAGCCAATGATGAAGCTGTTGCCCATGGAGCGGCAGAGGCGTTGTCGAGTTTTCAAGATCAGGGCATTAGCATAATGTAGGGCTACTCATGGGAGCAGTTGATTTTGTATTATAGCGTGTAAGTAGATAAATAAATGGGATCTTCATTCTATGCCTTTTTGTAAAAGAGAAAATCAAACAGCTGAGGTTCTAGAAATTCCCCGCTGCGATCAACCATGAAACCCGTTCTATGCGTTTCTGGCTTTAGGATAATGTAGGCTCGGTGCCCAGCAACTTTGGAGAATGTTGAAGTCTGGCCCTTCCAGCGATCTGCTGGTGCTGCATCTGTGGATAGGCTGATGAGCGCACGCCAGCGAATTGTAACGCCCAACGTCGCTACTTACCGCCGTACTTGTAAGCCCGTTCCCAAGTTCGCAACCGTCTTGTTTGAATGACGACGCGGTTTTTGCCAAGGAGGTTGCTAGTATCTATCCCAATGTACTGCCCTCCTTTCAATACCGTCAGCGCTCGAACTCTCCTAGAATAAGAGTTATAGAAGAATACTCAAGGATATTACCAAACAATCAAGCGTTCATACCGTGAGCTCCATAAATGTACTGCAGCCGCAAACAGCCCCCCAATGCTTAGACAAAAAGCAGCAGCCCCTGTTCGCTCCAGTCTAGGCGCCAAGACGTATTCTTTACTATTCATAAAGGTACGATAGAGTCAATATGAGAACCAATGAAAAGTGTCAGCAAAGCTCACCAACCTGCCGTCCGGATTCTCCTTTGAGACTTGAAGCTCTCTCCAGCACCAGTCAGCAAACGTCAACCACAGAAGCAGTTGGCCCCCCGCACAAAAGTATGCCACCCGGTAAAACGACTGGTCGGGGTTCTCATATAGTAGTGTATCATTGGTGATGGGACGCGGTCGCCAATGTGTTGAAGCTTGTTGGGAAGGTCTTGTCGAGTGACGACGGCATTCTTGTAGTGACCAGGTCCGATATGGGACTTGTTTATGACACACTTCATGTAAGACAACATGCGACACGACGATGGCGAGTATTTGAACGCGCAAGTACCTTTGATACGCAAAGCGGCTTTGAAATGTAGAGAGGGACATGCGAGAATAGCTCCAGGTGTGGGTGAGCGAAGAACGTTGAGCAGATGCCTCATTTCTGTAGGTGATCTTGGAACGAGAAGGCAGCATCGCGCAGGTTGGATCGAGCATAGCAACAGCGTTGCTAAGGAGGGGCAAGTGACAAAAGTCCATCGTAGAGATCAGCGTGAGAAAATGGCTCTCAAATCGCCCAATCGCCCCGATGCGCTCCCACGACCACATTCTCTGCTTCTTCCAACTTCCTCACCGCTATAAGCAGAGCGTTGAAAATCCATACTTTGATCGCCTAAGTACGTTTTTAACACCTCGCATCATTTCCTACCGCGCAAAGATATCCAAACAATGGCCGCTGTGCAGAAATTATTGGACAATCGAGGACGGCGTGGTGTCAAAACACCCAAAAGGATGTCCAAAAGGAAGTGATTGTACTCTTCGGCATGATCAGCGCGCAGTTTCATGGTGTTCAAGAGGTCAATCCTGCAAATTGCGAGCGCGACGAGAGTGCTTTTTTGCTCACTCTGACAAGAGCGACTGCTTAAACCTGAGACCGCTAATGACGGAGATTTGGCGACTATGTCACGAGGGAAGATCGCGTACACCACGTCTTACGACGAATACCCGGTCGACTTCAATACCCGCAGGTGGAGGCAGTAAGAAGGGTGATACAACGTTGCTTGATCTGCCCGATGAAATACAGGCGCAGATATTGGCCTCTGCCATAAGAAGCTATGATGACAGAGGCAAGTTATCAAGCGTGTGCAGAGCATGGTATCGATTATGCAATGAAGAGGTCGTGTGGGAAAGGGTGTTTTGCGTTCATTTTGCATATGCCCTATTGAATGCTCAAGACCCAACAACAACCAATAATCGCATGCTTCGGCGAATGTTTTACAACGGTTTTAGGAAAGGTAGCGACGAGAAGGATGAGAAGAATGGGAATGTACCAAAGCGAGATCTATCAACGATCGCATCTATCGGTCCATCAAGGAATATGAAACTCTCGCCTGGCGTTTGTTCCTGGGCTGCCCATTTCAGTGACCAGGTTCGCTTTGACATGGGTCTGTTTCAAACCCAATCACTAGACAACGATCTTGCCTTCTTTGTCATCACGTCGATTGGTCTCTTGTGTTCCTGGACCTATACCTCGTATGAAGAGACTAGACCCACCTATTATCTTTTGGATTTCACGGGAACCCTGCGTTTCTCAAATTGCGTAAAGCTATCTTATCATGGGCTGGCGTTCTCCATCGCTGTCATTGCCACGTTCGAGCATGGGATTCTAAAGCACTGTAAGCTATTGCGCGGTTGACTGTGACCGTACTTTGTCGTCATCCCATGTATCTTCTTGCATATGTAAATAAAATCAACAGAGCGCATTTCCAAATTGATTTCATTATTGACCTTATTACTAGCGGACACGAGTTTAGCTGGAACGGAACGTACATCACTGCCATGTTGGCGCAGCACAAGAGGATGGAAATAAGATGCAAAGGAGTATTTCATGATAACAATGTACACAAATGATATTACAGATGTCTATCCCCGCCAGTTGTCAGACCGCATTCTATAAGGTGCTCTCATTCTTTATTATCTGGCTCATCTCTCTCCGACGGCTTGAAGGAAAAGCCTCCCTTACGGGAGGGGGTTGTCTTTCCAGTTTGCATTGCCTTCAGAATATTGAGAATGCTGCTACTTGTTGGGGGCTCGCTGGGAGTTGCATTCGAGGAAGCTTGAGAGAAAAGGCTCATGGAATCTCGCTTGACCTTTTGCTGCTTCAGCGAATTTTCAGGAGGGAATCCCAAGACTACCTCAGGCCGTCCAAACTCGTCAAACTGTGCATGTTCTACTACGAAATTCATTAGTGGATTCCTGTCTGCCTTATGTCCGCTGAACTCGTTGTTCTTTTCCCCTGGTTGCTGGCCCCTGTGCAGGTAAGCTACTATTCCACCCACACCAATAGCCCAATGCTGGTTCCCTCTCGCCGCGAAGGAAACTGTATTCAAGAGTCGGCCCTTCACAGGTTTCTCGCTCTCTTCCTTGGCGATACGATATGTCGGTGGATGTACCGGCACACCTACGGGAGTGTCTGAGGCGTAGGTTCCCTCGATCGGTCCGGTAACATTGAGGAACTCTGTCCAAGTCCCGCGATCAAACGACTGGGAGTTGAACTCTTTTCGTCGGCGTCGTGCTTCTGCCACCTTTTCCGCCCATTCCGCTGGTGTCATTTTCGCCACGTGCTGGGGCCTCGGCGTCCAGTCCGCAGCCTTTCCATTTACCGTCTCCAGACGTGCTTCGGGATCTCTTGCAAATGAATTCATTGCCTCTGCTCTCGCAGGTGGAATCTCCCCAACGGCCGGCATGAGTTCGTTCCATCGTTCCAAGAGTCTGACCCGATCAGAGGCGGACTTGTACTTGGGAGCTTTCGTCCAAGGATGATCATGCTGTGAGACTTGCACGTAGTGAATTTGGGTATTCTTTGGTAGGTCATGTTTGAGGCCCCAGTTTCCAGCGCCTCTTTGACTAAACGGTGTTTTCAGTGCCTGCTGACCGGTAGAGTCGAGCGCCGCAAATCCCGACGACCGAAAGAGGGTAGCAAAGCTTTGGCTCATGGTGAATGCAACAGGGGATGCAAGTAGAGCTCTCAGGCAGAGCGTAAATCTCGCCGCCAACCAGCTTGAGATCCTCCCGCGAACTTGGGTTGGCTTTGCAGATCTGGTTAACATGTCATGGTAACCGCAACGCCCAACGACCAACCTGACAACCGCGTTGCTATGGTCCTTCCCAAAACGCAGCGGAAGATGACATTTGCATCGCATTGCGACGCCTTTGAGCTGTGTGCGTTTTTGCTATGCCCCGTCTATGGGAAGGCAGGACGTTGCTCAGAACGCCTCCAGGAATTCACCAGGAATTCATGAAGTGGCTTGAAAGTTTTAACTAATAGATAAAGCATGATGGGTCTCTTTGCATGGCATACCATCGCCCTCCTTTGATGGAAACCAAGTTTGAGGTGAACGACAAGCATTAACGGAATGTTGGGGACCATGGGGGAAGGATTGTTTATTCAGACAGCCAGCAAATGCATTTGCTGGACCGGCACACGCGTAGCACGCGTTAGATGATATCTTGCGATCGCTCATTGGGCATTTTGGTGAGCAAAGCAAATGTCCAAAACATCCATTCCACCTGTCGGCCAGTTGCTGCACGCTATCCACTTTGCTGCATTGAAGCACTCGACTCAACGTCGAAAGGACTCTGCCGGAACACCTTATATAAACCATCCCATCGGCGTGTAAGACGTCGCCAAACCTGACAATGTTGGTGAACCCTTTGCTAATGTGATGCCGCATTATAAGCGCGCACATTCTTTGGTATGAAGGCGACGTGCAGGACATTGGTGCGCTGCAAGCGGCAGTGCTTCATGATACAGGTGCGATGTCACTTGCATAGTAGTATTAGTGCTTTCGTCTGACCAATGACTCGACAGTTGAAGACACCGATACTAGTTTTGAGGAGGTATGGCGAAAGTCAGGGTAGAACATTTCGCACAACTGACACGGGACTGTAGCTAGAGCTAGAATTTGGCAACGAAGTACGTCAAATCGTAGCGGAATGCACAGACGACAAAACTCTACCCAAAGCAGAGCGGAAGCGGTATGGTGGGGTAGCACGTTGAACTCGACACAATCATGATATTGATTATGAATACTGAGCAGGCTGCAAGTAGAGAATGCGCCTAAAAAATCGGACAAGGTAGGAACGAATGAAAGGAATCCCCTAAAAGAATGGTTTTCAAACACATTACGCTTCAGGCCAAACTGGTAAAGATGGCGGACAAGGTATTTGCATATTTTCTCAATTTATGGCTTCTAAACTACAACTGACATTCGCCTCATCTAATGGCAGATCTATAACCTGCGGGATCTACAACGGGAACCGCCAGCTGATTGGTATGTAATGTCAATTCGAATGAAACAAGAATCGTGCCTGCCACAGCTAACGTGCGCGGATGACAGGACGCTAGATCGAGTACGCGAATACTTTTTATGGGCACAGAAAGTTACAGATGGATGTCGTGGTGTCAACGGCAAACTTGAGAACATCCTGGAGGATATCTACCAGAGCGGGACGTTTGTCTACAACGGGAAACAATACCCATGTATTGCTAAATAGCTTGGCTGGCTGACTAATGTGATACGATCACGATAATACGTACAGTAATCTAACCCGCTCTTCCACATTACGGTCTATTGTTTATGGGATGGGGATAAATAAACATTGAAGACGTTGCGTGCATCATATCGTCTGATCCAGCTGGAAACTAGGACGATGCTTCTTCCTCATTCTCCGCGCACCCGCACTTCCAAGTTTCTGCGAGTTTTGCGCAGTCGAAAATAGGTTTCTTTAATCTTTCGTTGACCACATTGTGCACTTTGCAGGCCCAGTTTGAAATAGTTTCGCGGGTAGTGACATCGGGAGGATTTGCCTCCAGGACAACCTTGAAGTGCCGAGCGCTGACACATCATATTAGCTCGGGATACGCAAAGTTGGAACAAGTTTGCATCATATCACATACCAATCGCCGCAAGGATATAGTCGGGCAAACAGATAAACAAAATCCCGCATAGCTTCTTGTTCGTCTACTGTAGGTTCTACTGGAAACTTGCCAGCCATTGTATGCAGCAACCGCCATGCTGATCTACCCAGCTCCGCTCTAAGGATTGTTGGCCAAAAATATGAGATATCCACTTTCGCCTGGTGTCCAGAATTAGAATACATACTTTAAAGTTTCGTTCACCATTTTACTCATGATAACTTCTCCAGGTTTCCGTAACTCGGATAGCGAGCTTGATTTTCCGTCTATTTGCTCTGTCAAGTCCTGCGTCTGCATGTGAGTGCCTTTGCTCTTTGGCGTTGAAAGTTCCACAGAAGTGTGCTGCTGCAATCCCCGCCAGAGTCGCATACTATTCCGTCTTTCCGCTCCAGCCAACATAAAGCCCAAGACTAACATTGTCAGGGCAACCAAGGTAACAAGTACCCATTTCTTCCGCAAATGCAGCATGTTATCATACTTTCCATCTGCGAAATGGGGTCATTGGATATCTCGCAGTCATGATTCAAACTCCACATAACTGCTCGTAAGCGATGTGGTTGCCATACCAACAACTGAAGGCACAGCAAATTTCAACCTCCGTTCTGAGCATCTTCTCCTCAACGTTTGTGTGCAAGAGATCAGTAGACATGAGGTAAGCACAGCAGCACGATTTCAGTGTTTTTATGTATAGCTTATGCCCAATGTACCTACCTACAGGCTTATTACACATAACATGTTGCAATGCCACGCAAAAGGCTGTGACCCTTCTCAAAGTTATCCATTGGAGCTGAAGGAAGTCCAGCTCGAATCACTGGACGCAGAGTATAGTGAAGACTTTATTCGTCGGCTAATACCGAAATTGGACTGGAACGTGCTGGTTCACACTGCGTTTGCGGTAAGAGAACAAGTGCTTTTTGTCGTAGCTTGGTCAAGTCTCATTTTGCGCTTGTGTAAACAGCTGGGTGTGGCAGAGCTGCCAAAAGAGCTGCCAGATGTTCAGGACGAGGCATTTCTGCGAAAAGTCCATCAAGTTGCATTGGAGGTGGGTAATCGTTGGATATTGTCATTATGAGTGAGTCGCTCATTTTTCTTTTCAAAAGACCCGAGTGAAAGAGGCTCAAATGGTGTGCAATGGGTGCGGTCACGTCTACCCAATCAAGGATGGTGTCCCGAACATGCTACTTCAAGACAACGAAGTTTAAAATCTCCACACCTTACTCTGTATATATTATGAGACTTTCGGCAATGGAAGGAGAACGGGATTTGAGAGGGCATCAGATTGATCTCGCCACAAAATCGATATTCTGCTATAGAAATAGTCACTGATTGGTGCTGGGGTGGATTCATGATATGTATTTAATGATTTAGCTGATGGGTCTCGAACACGCACATTTAATGATAGCAATCGTCAACATTTAGCAAGCGTGTGATGTATATTTGAAAAGCAATGCGCAATTCTTCGAGTCTAAAAGGACGAGCGGCCATCTCGGGTGGGTGCAACCAACGGCGTCCGTTCCACGATAATTGGTAATCTGGCCTGCCGTATACCCCATGGCGTAAACGACTTGGGTTGTGGATATTCGATACGCTGTTCCTCTGCACGCTGCAATGGCAGAGCATAAACGTGTGTGAGTGCAGTCAGTCCCACGCCTTTTCGGTTCCGTGCTACTTACCAAGAAAGCTCCAATGCTCAGAAAGAAGCCCAACATAGCACCGTGTTGCAGCATGTACTTTCCAACCGTTGACATGTAGCCCCTATGAGAAATGTGCAAAATGTTAAAATAAATCTATAACTTTGCAAGACTGGAAGGGTATACCTACCTTCCAGGCTCAGGACCGCCTCTGCAATTTGCACGAAACAAGAACGATAAATCGACGAATCAGTACCGTATTTAACCCAGGCTGTGCTTCCATGAAGTAAAGGCAGGTCGTAGATCCACAGCGATCCGCACTTACCGTAAAACTGTCAGGGAGCCGTACAAGAAGCCAACACACATGCCCGCTGATGCACCCATCATGAACCCTGAAAAGAGAACAGAAGAATACGGTTGACATCGTACCAAGACTATCGACCAACTTGCAATGAGTTACACACCCATCTTGGCCTTGTCGACCCTTTCAACAGTGAAGTGTGTCAGCATTGCATTTTAGACCTCGCTACGATATATTACACGCTTAATAACTTGTACGTACCAGGAAGGCTCCCCGCTTCGCTGCATTGTCAGTTACCGTTAAATTGTAGATCTGGCGTACCAAAAGGTGGTAAGGAATGCATTCCCCTGTCGGGTCGCCAAGTGATCGAAAGTGCACGTGACCCCTGCTTGGTTTGTTTATAATTGCAGTCAAGAAACCAATGTTCATACTGTGGGCAGGAAACATTAACCAAAATCCGATCTACGATCTATTTGTGACATGCCAAGAGAGTTGAAAAGAGACACATTTTGGTCAATGTTTGGCAGGCTGTTTCCCAAAAGCCCAAGCTCTGCCATAACGTCCGGCTCGGTACTTTCGTCGTCAGTTGCGTTTGCTGGTGACGAAAGTAGGACGTGGGGTGGGGACACTCCCGAATTTGCAATGGGTAGTACCTTCTCCTGTGAAGGCCCGATTTGCGATTTCGGGTTGATAGTGCGGCGGAGACTGGCATGCCCCGTGCTCTTGGAAGACCTCGCCTGGGATCCCTGATGTGACATTACATCTTCTCCATCGGCTTCACTTTCAGTATGGTCCCGAACTTTGCTGCGCTTCTCATTTTCTGGCTCTGCAATGTCCAATCGTCGCTTGGTTACACTTCGCGCAGGCGTTGGTTCCCACGAACATAACGGGTGCTCTTCTTCACTATCATCCTCATGGTCAGACGATTCTTCGCCAGACTGATCTCCTGATCTTTCATTCTGAGCCTTTGCCGGAGAGCCGCCTTCTTCATGAGTCTGTAAGTGCTCGAGACCTAGCTTTCTCAGAATCAAAGTCTCGTGCTTGAGGTATTCGGTATCTGGGTCTTCCGCAAACCCATCATGAAGCGCATTCTTCATTCCCTCCACCCCACCGATTGCGGTGCTTTGCAAAGACGCCTCCATTAGCATGACAGCCACGACCGCGTCGCGAACCATGACTTCTGCTTGATTCAATAGGCGTGCGTGGGCCTGTGATAGTCTGATCAAACTCTCAAGCAGGCGGATTGTCGTTCGTGCCGCGTTTCGTAAGTCCGTCTTTCGCTGAGCTTGATAGTACCGTTTAAGGACGTCGTTGGCACCTTCTGTTAGGCGAGGTGACTGATGCTCTTTGACGTATGCGATATAAGCTTGTATCTTCTCTAAGGGCCACAATTCAGCCTTCTCTTCATCTGATGATGCAACCAGTGTGGTTTCAGGTAGTTGTGACTCCATATCCAAGATAAAGGTAGATACGGATCTGCAAAAGCATCAGCAGGTGAGTAAGAGCAGATCTTCAAGTACAATGCGATGATTCTGACCTATCCCAGTCCTCATTTTCGCGGTCCAAAAGGATTAACACCAGGTCAAAACGACTCAACAAGGGACTCGCCAACGCAATGTTTATCTCAACATCCCGCGTCGGATCATACTTTCCCTTAGGATTGGTCGCTGCCAGTATTGAGCACCTAGTATTCAATTTGCAAACCAACCCTGCCTTTGCGACACTAATGGTCTGCTGCTCCATGGCTTCGTGAATTGCAGTTTTATCGTGCTCTCTAATACTTCCAAACTCATCGATGCAACATAAGCCTCTGTCCGCAAGCACTAACGCCCCAGCTTCCAGTTGCCATTCACCAGAGTCCTTCACAGCGGCGCACGTGAGCCCAGCATTGGTAGAACCAATGCCGGTTGTTAACACAGAACGTGGGCTTACGCGGGAAGCATACCGTAAAAACTGTGACTTTCCAGTTCCTAGTTTAGGGAGTATTGCGACTAAGTAAGTCAGGAAAGCAGGATGTCGTCCCAATCTACGTACCTGGATCCCCGACCAATAGGATATGACAATCGCCCCTTATTTTCATTCCACTTTGGTGCATTTCTACGCCTCCTATCAGCACCAGCATAATCGCTAGCTTGACAATATACATTCCGAATATCTTCGGGCAGAAGCTTTTAAGTAAAAGGTCACGTCCTATATCACCAAGTATGATCAGCTCCCTCACTTCCGACATGCCCAACCATAGAATCTCACCTCGCAGCACTTCTCCTTCCTTGCGCCATCGCTCCCAAAATGACTCAAACTCTCGTCTTAATTCATCATCGGATGTGGTATTTGCCGGTCGCTGTTCATTTACCGCTCGTACATGATTCGCAACTAGGGCAATTTCGATATCGCATCTCTCATCCACTTTGAAGGGTTTATATCTACGTATGACCGTGCCAGTGACAAAGATATCATCCCCTGGTTTACATTGGTCCACAAGATCGTCCTCCAGTATCACCACTATTGAGCGAGGAATGGTCCCTAAACCAACTTTCTCTACTGGTTCTTGAACCTTTATTTCTTGATAGTCTTTGCACACGTCCGGTCGCGCACCTTTCCCAACGTCGACTTCTATTATTTTTGCACCGGCGCATCCCTGCAGCATGTTGCCATCATCGAAGGCGCATCGTCTTGGTTTTGGCACTAAATTGAACTGCTCTCTGTCACTTGGCACCTCCCATCGCGCACCGCACTTTGTACATTGGAAAACTTTGGCAGATTCCAACATTCTCACCGCACCCGTTCTCACCACTGTCCCCTTTAATACACGCCACTTGCCAACCTCGTCGCTACGAGGGACACGGTGAATGTTTGTCTCATTGGGTGCAAAGGGGGGACCGATAAATATTCGAACGTGGACCCGGGGTTTAAACTTGAGATGCCCGGCCAAAGGGGTTGTGGCCAGAGCATGCTTTTGAGCATGCTGAAGGGCAGTGTCGTAAAGAGGGAGCACCAACGTTGGAAACTCGCAAGTGTACATTGTAATCTGCTGATTGATCTCCCCGAGGTCCTTCATGTCCATCTCCACCGAGTAGTGCTTTGTAGCATCTTCTTGGGAGAGTATGGAGAGGATTTCATCGCGGTAATAGGAATAGAGAATAGACGCAATTTCTCCAACGATATCTTCCACATTGGCCAGCCCAATTCTGCCTGTTGGCTGCTCTGGCCCACCTTGCGACCGACCCTGGACGTTTGCTGATGGATCATTTAGGTCCCTCGAAAGCATGCCAGCGCCTCCGATCGGGCTATGCTCCCTTTCTGTCTCATCCACCGACGATTCAAAGTCGCGGATCGCTGCCTAAGTGTTCTGGTGGCTGGTAGCTTCATTTAATTTCCAGATCTACACGAGGTGCGAAAAGGTGTGCCGCCCAACTAGCCAAATTTCCACATAGATAAACTCATCAACGTCTATTTCTATGTTAGTGTGTAAGTCTGGCTCACAAATGCACAATTATACATGAGGGATAGAAGAACCACGGATATACGATAACTCGCATATAGCAGCTACAGATGTAATGAAAGGTGATATCCATTGAGGGTTTGCTGACTTTCATATCGTTTGCATATTCAAGCCCATCTTTGCTGTTGTATATATCTTATCCGCTAGCAGAGATACCGCCCTTCCTACGGCTGTATTCTTGAATCGTCGAAGGAAGCGCGAGATTGCCAGCAATAACAGAATGGCGAGTATGGCTGCTGGTACCCCACGGGTTATTGCCAACCAATGTCGTATAGTTGCACGTGTACGGGTAATGGAGTCGGTTGTTTGCGGAGAGGGCGCGCTCGCTCTATTCTGGCTCGCACTTTGCGTTGGTGCATCCTGTGGTTTCCCTCCAGTCTCGCTCTGAGCACTTTGTCCTGTTGACTGTTGTCCCTTTGATTGTGTATCAAGGCGTTGGTCTTTTTGACTCTTTGGCGCTTCATCGGAACCTTGTTTGCCTGATACTGGTGTCGTGGATTCCTTTCGCATCGCGGGTACGGATGATGGCGCATTTTCAAACTTTGGCTGGTTTTCGGCACAGTGTGACGCCTCCCGTGATGAGACAGATCGACGTCTTCGCTCCATCTCATCCAACTTTTTGCGATAGAGCTAAGAAGAACTCTGATGTCAGGGAAAGTTTCCGGTACTCTGGCATAATATCGGTAATACCTACCGCCCGCTTTCCAGTGGCAATGACTTCATTCCATTCCAGGAAGTCTTTGGCGCTTTCCCATTCCCCCAGGCTTGGCAGAACATGCAGACAATAGAGCTCCACTATTCTCTCATAGTTTTGCAGCGCATCGGACTGCGCTTCGTTCGACAAGGACAAGAAATAATCATCAGGGAGCGTAGCCAGCCATGTTTCAATGGCTTGCTTCGATGAGGAATGGAGCCGTCGTTTCTGCAGAAGAAGTATACTACAAAAACATGGTATTCCATATTAACCACATGCTACAGATGAGAGAAACACATGTTTTCCTGTAGTCTATTACGTCTCCGCAAGACTGTCAAACTCACCCAGCACACAAAACGTCCGCAGGAAGTTTTTCCACTGCCCCGCCGTACAGACGGAGCATGTAATCCCAGTCAGTCGGTCCAGCCTCCTCACTTTGTGAACTGTCTTCTCGTTGGGCAGCTATTCTCAAATACAAAACCGCCAGGATATTCCATAATTGCGCCTGCTCGCCGTCACTGCCAAACGACCCGAACTGTTTCTGGCATAGTCCGTATGCTTCGTCAAAGCGCCGCTGAATGTACAGACGAGATATACGCTTCAGCTCACGTTCCAAAGATGTCTGACTAGCGTTGGACTCTGTTCGACTGGGTGTGTTTGCAGGTTTCATTAGTGCAGATGAGTAGGTTGTTTTCGCTGTTGTGTCGGTTCACCTGTAGGACACCTCTGTTGCTATGCCAACAACCAAATGCGCAGCGCAACGGGGCTTCTCGCGCAAGGTTGCCCTTCCCTTGCCATCAGCAACCATGAATGAAAAGGCAACGTCGACTGGATAGCTTCAAACATGTCCACAAGTACCTTGAAGCGGAAAAGAACAAACACCGCCACCTCGCCTGACCTTTTACGGAGCGTCCGAAGAAGCCGAACTATCTCAAATTCCCCAACGGTTACCGTCGAACATGAGCAAGCACAGATAGATGAGGCGCAAGAAACGAGGTAGGAACTCCAGTCACGTCGGGTTATCAACTGGAGTAACAGGAATAGGGTGTCGGAAACTGTGTGGGCATGAATGGCAGTCGAAAGTGAAATAGGCACCACACACTTGTGACGAATAGAGAATGACCTCGCGCTTAAACCTGTTTCTGTTGACTTTCAGGTTTGATCCCTTTGCCTCACTTCTTGAGGATATCTCTCGTTCTCGCAAACTTTGGGCAACCTCCATGTTTCCGCCGTGTCCTTATCAATTTCCTCCAACACCTTTTGCAACCGACCCGCTCATCATTGATGAGGGAGCGTTAGTCGAGGACATTGGGACGGGTGACATAGTGGTCGGCCCACACACTTTCATTGATACAAAGTTTTACCGCATCACACCTCCTGAAAAAGATGTCAAGGAAGGCGAGGACAGAGGGGAAGATCATGCCGAAAGAATAGAGACATTTCTAGTTGACATGACGAAAGACATCCCCATTATGGAGCATAGCGTCGATACTGCGATCTCAAAACTTGGCAATACTGTAGTCGAAGGGTCTACTATTTCCACAACCTCTCATACAAACGGGATTGTGAATCTATCGAGCAACGGAGAAGCTTCAGCATCAGTACCATCCGGGAGCCAGACTAGCTCCGGAGATGCCGATGTCAACAGATGGTCACTGGTTGCCAAAAAGGAGGCCACACAGCCGGGCGAAAAAATGGGGCCAGTGATAGAACCCGATACTACCACAATGGTCAAAACTGAAACGATTGGAGGTTTGCCAGAAACAGCGAAGATAGGGCTGGCGGAAAATAAAGATGAGACTCCACCCCCTGTATCGGTAGTTCCTATGACAACTTCTGCACACCAGATGGTAACTGCAACCGAAATTGCACCAACGCCACGGGTGTCGGTACCGGCAATCAACGGCAACGCGCAGATCACCGTAACGGCACCAGATTTGTTTGCAAAATCTCCTCAGATGAGCGTAACAAGCGCCTCAAATGAAATCAGGCCAACAATACATCCACCGAGTGGACTTCCCAAGGTACTATCGAGAACCAACCGTGGCGTTGGTTGCTTTAACAGCTCGCAGCCGAGTCCCACACTTACACTGACTCTTGCTCATGAAGCCTACTACAGCAGCCGATATACTCCGAACCGTCAACAGGACTGGCTCCGCAAGTCAAACTAGCACTACTCAGTCACTCTACGCGAATCCCTATTTCAGTTTTCCTTATCCCTTTTGGAGTAGCAGCACGGATACCACGAGTAGCAGCGCTACTGCCAGTTCACCAACTGGGAGCACCCCCAAACCGCATTCTCAATCATTCATTACCACATCAAGCGTGAGAGACTTGCAAAATACGTCGTCAACATCTGGCCCACCTACCGAATGGACGCTGCAGCATTGGTCACAGATGAACAGCTTCCTCCATATGGTAAGGGAGAAACGCAAAGGGGACGCCATCCCTGTCCTACCTGGCATAGCATCTGGAACGAGTATTCAATCTGCTAGAGGCGGGAATCAAAGCGGCGAAACATCTACTGCCATGTCTAGCAAACCAGACGTTGGCAGCGCGAACCATGATGGCAAACCTGGAGAAATCAGCCAAACGTTGAACGCACCTCCGGGGAACAGCTCCGCAGCCACGCATCCTGCAGGCGCGCCTACATCGTGGCAAGGGACATCGGCAACTACACCCTCGTCCTCGATATTGGCCACCAATCAACGATCGACAGCGCCAAGCGGTCCAGTTCAAATGGATCTGCCTCGTGTTGGAAACCACAGGTATAAATTTGAATGGAACGGGCCGGGTACTCCCCCAACAGAGATGTTGCAGCATTATCTTCAGAACGTCGCGCAGAGAGCTCAGAATGAGGAAAAAGGCGACCCATCTGCTAAAAGGCAGAAAACCGCCCACGGAGGCTCTGCTTCTAGTCTAACCGTTCCGCAGGGAAGCTCTACCGATTTCAATGTACGGTTGGTGATGTCCACCTCGGGAAATCTTTCTGTCGCGCTCAACGCCGATCGTGGTTTTGATAAGGCCACCAGTATCCAAAGGATTCAACAACAAGCCGCGGAAAAGATGAAAGCAAAACGACCAAAAAAACTGAATGACGTTGGGACTGAGGGCATGTTTCCTAAAGAGCATGGCGGGATTCGTATCGGTGAGAAAGATTCAATCACTGGTGAAATAGGCAAAGCCAAAAGGCACCGGCCGCGGCGTCGAGTACGTCCTTTAGTTATATTCGAGTTTGTGGAGAACCCTGGTGTGCGATTTCTGTTACCCGCCGATGGAATGGCAGAAGTCGTCGCGACAACGAAGTTGTCTGAGACAGAGGAAGTCCACGAGGTAAGCAAAGAGGGTAGCAGGGCATTTTAACATCATCAATATAACGAGGTCGATCATTCATCTAGCTCAGCATAGCATTTTATCTACCGCCATATCGAGGTGGAAGAAAGCAACCCCAGCAGGGGGTTGTGATTGGGGTTCAGAACACTTCATTACGACTGGCTGACTGCATAAAAGAGGCGATGTACGAAAAGGCGCAAGCTGTGAGGAAGCTGCAGAATAAGGTGAGCCTGAATCTTTTGGCATGGCCTATCTTCAGCTAATTCATGATACCATGTAGATGACCCACTTAGCCCTTCCGGGATTGACTCCAGTACATTATAAAGATATCCAGAAAGGTAAAGAGTTAGCTACTTCCATATACGGGCCTATCGTCGATGCTCCGAAGAAGAAACCGGCGGCACCAAGGCGCCGCAGTGAAGCTGCCAGTAAAACTGCGGAAAGAGCACCAGCCAAGAAGCCTCAACAGGAAGATGGGCGACTAGAAATCGAAAACCAGCCAGAGATCCCGAATGCAAAGTCTAGCACCCTAAAGGAAGAGCATGTCGATGTGGAACACTCTGGAGAGCTGAATGATGTTGCAGTCAACACCCACATGGACATTACTCACTTGCCTTTGAAAGCCGTTGAAGATACAACCATGGATGGGAACCAGTCCTTGCAGGCAAGGCGACCTACTTGGATGGCTACAATGCATGAGTCCGAAGCTAAGCAAGTGGAGGAGGACGAGATAGGTGTACGCGGGCCTGATGCAGTTTTCACGGTTGATCAAGAGTCGTCAGGACATACGAAGCCGTCCGTGACTTCGACGTTGAACACGGAGAAGGAACTGTCCGTAGGTGGCGTCCTGACGTCGGCCTCTGCGGCCTTGACCTCCCACCTTGCATCCCTGGACACCGCTGAGGGGACCAATGTGTGGCGGGAGATTGCCGCTAGCGCCCCGAACACTCGAGCACCGAGCAGAAGCCCCAGTTCGCCTGGCTCGACTCCTGTTAGCAGAGCGCGAACACCCTCTAGCGGACCCGTTCATCTTACTGATCCATCAACCCGCCTATCTGCCCGTATCGCCACGCGACTCCAATCAGGACCATACACAGACCTCAAGCACACCACATCCCCTTCCAAGCGAACGCCAACTTCCTCTCTACAGACTCCAAAGCCCATGGCTGGACGTGCTCGGAAGGTTGTATCTCACTCAGCACCTGCAACCCCAGCTCCATCTTCACATCCAACCGGGGGCGCATTTCGTCGCCACGCAGAAACAGATCACAAGCGACGTTGCTTACGTTGCGATAGCGATGTCACCCCAATGTGGAGACGAGGACCGGACGGCCCAAAGACACTGTGTAATGCCTGCGGTGTTAAATTTATGCTTGGCAAGTTGTCAAAGAACGAGCAAGGAGATTGGGTTGAAGGGAAGCGAAGGCCTCGCGAGTAACGCATTTTCTACTTGTGTGACCTATTGTAAAGCTGAAATAGTACATTTAGCTCTATACTCTAGCTTTTTCCACAGACTGTTTCGATTCTTTGATTCGCAGTTTGATCTTGAAGGATACGATGATCGGGTCTTTGTTTATAATACAGGTCACACGCTACTGCGCCACTGGCCAAATTCCGCCCAGACCTGTAGAAGGTCCTTTGCAGATCTCACTTCAACCCACAACGCTTGACGGGTTCGCAGCACACATTTGCTCCTTGGTTTCTCGCCATGTTTCACCGGGCATCCCTCCCAACAAAACCAGCAGTATCTCACTCCTTACCAACCGCAGAAGCCATCCTCGCCGACCTTGCCCTTCTTGCAACCCTTGAACCTACAGTATACGAGACAAATGCCGAAGGTATGCATTTTACAGGTAGATCCCGGTAAGCAGCAATGGGCCCACTTCTAAAGGGTTCGTTTAAATGCGCCAGCCAATAATATCAACGCCGCTCCTCTCATGACGCGTGAAGCCCTCGAACGAGATCCCGAAGCAATTGCTGAATCCATTGTAGCCCATCAAAATAGTGTAAAGAATATTCAACAGACTATGAGAACAACAAGAGATGTAGTAGAGGAATCATCTGAAAAAGTGGCGGCTTTAATCCGCAAGAGCACGCTGGCGGTTATATAATAACGAATATCATAATGTGATGGTGAGATCAGCACAATTCCATCCCTACAGGGAGAATGCGCATCTTTACTATGCGGCCGACAAAGTGGATTTAACACGGCATGACGACCACGAGTATTTCTATTCAGTGTCATGGGCTTGCTTGCTTTGCGAAATCTCCAAATATAAACTACCAATGAAGGTCGGTCAAACATCATAAACTGAGAGTCAAAACAACAACTTGTCAATGAAATGTAAAAAAAAAAAGAATTCAATAAGAAAGAGAATAGATATCCTGATCTATGCACAAAATGAGAAAAAATGAGGAGGTTGCCCCAACCATCTCCTACGTGTGGTAAATCACCCCCTTTGCCCCTATCAGCCAGCACCAGCCAAAAATGTGTCGGACAACGTCAAATTGTCTTTTGCACTCTTTTCATTTCTTCCGGAGTAAACCGTAACAACATCGCTAATACCTGAATCAATTGGGACTATGCGAATCGGAGCAACGAGTGAGCGAGTGATTGCAAAGGATGCGAAAAAGTGTCGCAACTTACGCGCTTATCCTTTGCCTCCAAAAACTTTAGCAGCACCGCTTTTAGATACTCTGGATTTGGATCTGGTAGCGCGCTTCCCGTCGCGGCTGATTTCCCAGAATCAGTAGATTCGATACTTGATCTCGGATTAGGGTTGTTTTGCGAGGATGGTCGTCGAGGTGGAAATATTGAGCCCATCGTTGAATCTCTTCTGCCTGACCCATCGTCAGATGCGATTGAACTGACGGACCCATGATGGGAGTGTCGGCCACTGAGACTGCCCGTCGACGGGGGACGGCTGATGGGAGGTGGAGATTGCAGGCCAGCCGATGTGGGTGTCATGCCCATACCACTAGATATGGACGCGGTGCGGGAAAGTTTACGGACTTCGTCCTTTAAAGTCTGAGAGTCCCATATTATTCACAAGGACAAAAGAACGCGGAAATCATTCAGACTATCCTCACCTTGTTCAGATTTTTCAACTGAACCTCTCTCACGCGCATCTCCTCGAGAAGTTTATCTCGATTGAAGACAGCTTGCTGATTTTCATTTTGTAATTGGCTGATTTCTGCTTGTAGCTCCCCAAGGCGCGCCTTCACACGTAACCGTCTTAGCATTCCGTTTAGCTTCAGATCACGAGTAACTAGAAAGACCAACCTCTTGTGCGGCTAAGCTCTGCTTCCACTCGTGCTCCCGAAGTTCTGCATCTTTCATCTTCTTTACGAGATCTGCAAATTCCACCGTCCGTTCCTCCTCCTTTCTCTTGACCACCTCCAATGCCTCCTGTGCTTCCACAGCTTCCCTCTTACTGGCTTCGAGTTCTTGCTCAAGCCGCTTCAACTCCTTCACTCGTTCTCCCGCCTCTCTCCTCGCATCCCTCACTTCTCTCTTCAACGCATCCATATCTCCCTGATACTTGCCGGACGTCTGGCTAGCTTCATAGGCTTGTGCTTCCAGTTCAGAAATCTTCAGGCGGAGTTGATCGTTCTCAGTGGACTTTGTTTGGAACAGTCGCTTGGAGGTTTCGAGTTCATGTTCCATATTGACCATTCGCTCCTCTACTCCAGCCCATCGCGTCATTTCACCATTAAGCTGCGCTTCCCGTGCGTCCAGCATGCTCCGGGCGCTTTCCAATTCAGCTTGACGCATTTCAAGTTCTTCCCGGGTATGCTCCAGCTCAGTTCTCAAGGTTTCTTCAGCTTTACTTAGCTGTTCGAGTCGCGAATCTATCTGCCCCTTTTCTGCCAAGAAGTCCTGCTGTTGGCGTTCCAAATCACTAGCAGCTTCCTGTTGCCTACGCATTCTAGCTTGCATATCCTCAATTTGCCGTGTGACATTGGCCAATTGTGCCTCTTTTTCCTTAAGCTCTCGCTCTCGTGTCTCGCCTAACTCTTTTATTTCACCCTGCATTTGCACCACCGTCTCGTCTCTGCTCTTGATTTCTGCCTCCAACTTGAGAATTCGCGCCTTGGATTGTCGCAGCAGTTGAATAGATTTAGCCTTCTTCTCTTCCTCCTCCTTGAGTTGAGATCGTAAAGACGCCACTTCCGCTTCCTTCTCGTGAATAGCATCATCTCGCTCATGAACGGTTTGTTTGGCTAGCGCCAATGATTCTTCCAACGAATGAAGGCGTTGCTCAGCTTCTGTCTTGGCCTGTTCCAGTTGTCGTCGTACCCCTGTCAGAACTTTCATGTCGGCATCTAATTGTCGCGCGCGAGATTCTGCTGCCACAAGATTGTCAGCCCGCGCACGCGCATCGTTCAATTGTTTCAACAACGATGAGTTCGCCTTGGTCAAATCTTGAATATCTGCAGCATTGTCTGAAGATTGATCTGTCAGGTCTTTCACAGTGCTCAAAGCCTCCTCCCTCTCCTTCTTAAGAGCTTCTACTTCACTTTCGAGAGACGATATGACCTTTTGGCTTTCAGCCAATCGTCGTTCCCCTTCTTCCAGACTTTCCTTAGTAGCGATAAGCTGTTCATTCAGAGCGGCCACTTGTGCCCCAGCATCCCCCGTCTGTCCGAGTGCGTGTTCCAACCTTTGATCTAGCTCAGTGACGCGTGCTTGTGCGGCCAGAATTGCCTGCTCACCCGTCGCGTTGGCCTGTTGTGCAGCCGCGGACAGGGTCTCCAATTCTGCTACGCGTGCCTGGGCCGCTCGAAGCGTCTCCTGATTATCCGACTCTTTCTTTCGTGCAGCTTCCAGCGCTTCTTCCAGCTCGTCAGCTCGAACCTGGTTTGCATTGTGCGCATGATTTTTGGATTCAAGCTGCGCTGTAAGTTGCCTCAGCTCAGTCTCCCGTTCATTCGCTTGCTTTTTTACGGTTGTTAACTGGCCTTCCATATCAACTATCCTCTTCTCTGCATTCGTAAGGTTGGCTTCAACCTTTCGTTTGGCTTCCTCCAACTCTTCTAGTTTCTTCTGGTTCCCAACCTCGGCTTCGAGTCGATCCCTGTCCGATTGAGCCGCCTCAACCTGATGCTTTAAGTTGGCATTCGACGCTTTCAGTTCTTCTAGCTGCTGAGTCTGCTTATTAAGTGCCTCCACCTCATTTTGCAACTTTTTGCGTTCAATGGTGGCAGCTTCCAAAGATGCCTTTAATTCTTCAACACTTCGCTTGGATTCGTCGGCCTGCGCGCGATTTTGCTTCAATTCCTTACGTGCCTCGTCCAATTCTGCGAGTAGCTTCCTGGATTGTCCATTCAGTTTGTCTCGCTCGTCTTTCAGCTGGTTCACCTCTTCCTGGACGTTCTCCACTGTTTTGTGTAACACCGCATTCTTCTTAGCAGAGTCCGCAACCTGATCTTCGGCAAATTCTAATTTACTTTGCAGTTCGCTGATTTGCCCCTCCAAGTCTCGTATCCGTCCATTCTTTACGCGCATTCCCTCTTCTGCTTGGGAATCTTTGGTTTTCTCTTCTCCAGTACCAGCATCTTTCTCCCGCTCACTTTGCGCTGTCGCTAATTCATCACGCAATTCATTCTTCTCCCGTTCCAAATCTCCGATCCGCTTTTGAAGCTTTTCCCTCATCGCCTTCATCAGATTTTGCACGCGCTCGCTCTCCCCTTGCCGCTCAGACACTAGCGCTTCCAATTCCGCCACGTGCTTGACACTCTTGTCACGCTCTTGCGTCACACCGTAGAGATCATTATGCGCCTTCTCCAGATTTCCTTGTAAACTCTTCAGCTCCTGATCAAGCGCTTCAACCCGCACGAGCATTTCGTCACGCGCCTTGTTCGCTTCTGTTATTTGCCGCGATAGATCACCGATTTGCTCATCTAATTGTCTTCTCTCCCTTTCTACTTGCGCTGCGACATCGGCTCGAGTGGTCTTCTCAGCATCCAAATCTGCTACTGCTTCGTCACGTGCACGAAGGGCCTCTTCTATGCGTTCGTTGGCGGCCTTCAGCTGCTCCTTCACCGTCTCCAGTTGCCGTTGCGTTTCCTCCGAGGATCCATCAGCCGCTTGGCACTGTTTCTCAAGCTTTAGCACTTTGGTCTTGTGGTCTTGAATTGTCCGCTCCAGATCCGCGAGCTGTGAGGCCAATTGGTCACGCTCGTGTAAAGCATTGTCGCGCTCTTTCAGTATTGTTTCGCGTTCTGTCTCTGCACTTACACTAAGCTGTCGCGAATTTTCCTGCTCCTTCGCTAATGAGTTTGACTCTTGCGTCAGCTTTGCAATTACTTCTTGTCCTTGGCGTACGTTATGTTCCAAATCGCGTATCTGGTCTTTTAGGATTTGCACATCCTCTTCTACCAACCGTCGTCGATTGTTGGCATCCTCCAGTTCCCGTTGCAAATGTTCTTTTTCAGTTCGCATTGTCTCTATCTCCGTGGCCTGCTCCTGACATGTCTCCAAGCGTTGCTCTGCTACTCTCGACGCCTCCTGGACCTTGCTCGTGGCCTCTTCCACTGAGCTCTCCAAAGCTGATACTTTATTTGTCAGATCCCGTCGCTCAGATTCCAATTGTGCCAGACGAGCTTTATGTTCTTCTACAATACGCTCAGCCTCCTCGCGTCGCCGATCTGCATCTGTCATCTGGTCACGAAGTAGTGATATCTCCTTATCGTCCACCGCTCCATTTATACCATTTCTCCCTTCTATGCTATTTGATGATTCAGCGGATTCATACTTTGCAAGGTACTCGCTCAGCTCTTTACAGCGTTCATTTGCTTTGTCTCGTTCATCTTTCGTTTTCTTCAGCGCCGCAGCTGCCTCGCGCAATTTGAGTTTTAAGGCCAAGGTTGTTTCGGTAGCTAGAGGAGGTGTTGCTGCTTCACTGTTGGGAATAGACTGCGTTGCTGGGGTCGAGAGGTTCTGTACCATGGGACTTGATGGTGGTGTCTCCCGCCTTTGTATCGCGTGCTTGAGCCTGTTAATCTCCTGCCCGAGTGCAAGAAATTTACCAATGGAATCATGGTCGAAGCAACAAAATTTGAAAGGCTAACCTCTTCACGCTCCAGCAGTTTGCTTTGCAGCGCAGCAAACATGTCCGCTTTTGTGGCAGCCTCCAACTCCTGAACTTCTTTGATATCACTGACTTGACGTGACAGACGCCCAATTTCGGCACTACTGATCTATAGAAAATACAGATACAGCCAATCAGAGGACTGGCTCCAACCCAACAGTAATTTCTAAAGAACTCCAAATTAAAACTCACTTCTTGCTTTTCGCGAGTGGAACGCATGTAGACGTCAAATGCCTCGAGATCTGCAACTGTGGTGATTTTGCCAATGGGAGTGTAGTTGCTGATTATGGAATTGAGCTGCTGAAATCTCTCTTGGAGTCTTTTGCAGTGTTTGGCGACATCTTACAAAGAAGACAAAACTTTCAAGCAGCTTTTCATGGTTGAAGGTAAATATGGATGTATACCTGTAAACTTCGCTTCGAATCGTCTCAGACGCTGCAGCCTTTCGCCCATTTCTGAGACGTCCATGCTTAAAACCTCTTCGGGTGTCATCGACGAGAGTGCAGGTTGTGATTGTGGAGCGAAGATACCAGCAGCTTCGGCGTTTGCATCTGGAGGAGCAGCAGCAGTTGGACGAGGAGAGTTTCTCACATTCTGCTCAGTGGAGCGGCGTCCACTACTTTGTCCAGATTCTGAAGCAGAAGTTTGGTCTTCAGAAAAGCGCATGAGGTCCTGTGTGTCCGATCCGGTTGGAATTGCTTCCGTCCGCGGTGCTTCCAGCGGCTGTTCTTTAAAACCATCTTCATCAACACCTGGAAAGGTGAAAATGGTGCTGGAAGAACCTGCTTGACTCAAAGATGGTCTTAGCCGAGCCGCAACCCCGCCTAAAGGATCAAGGCCAGTTTGGTTGAGAGTGGTTTGAAGTGTGCCAATGGCATCCCGCGACGCTTCCACTGCTTTGCCTAGTCTTGACTGCAGATTTGAAAACATTGCAGGTTGGCCGAGGAGGTTGTGAATAATGTGTGTCGCAGATTGTGTGGTAGGGCGGGCGGTAACAAAAGTTGGCAATGGGAAGGATGGCTCAGTGAGGGCGTCGGCTACGCTCTGGACACATGAGACCCGAGGTGATGTCCAAGTGGGAGATTGCTGTGCGTAAACGCTCGACCGCGGCGAGGGCCGGGCTAATCCTTGTTCAAGGCGTACGGACAACCGTAGCGTCCTTCCTCGTGCCAACCAACGGGAAGACGTCTCAGCCGAACGCGTCTCAAAGTCAGAGGCCGCTGTCGACGTCGCCACCTGGAGGTTCGTTGGAGTTTCTCCCATTTTTATTTTGTAGTTCATGAGATGCTCATTTGAGTATTTCTGTTGAGATCAGCGAACGATTTTGTATTGAAAAAGATGAGGTTTGCGTAGAAAAAAAGAGATGGAATCGTATGCAAATCGCTCTTAAAATAAAGCATGAAGCGTCCACCTATGAGAGATTTGACTCGAGTATAGTTTACGCTCTTTCGTATGCAACAGCTCGTACATGTTTCTTTGATGGTGCTAGATATAGTGGTCTTGTTAAGCAACATGCAAAACAAACTAAAAGTTCAGCACCACAAATGTGTCACATTTTCTGATATAAACGGCAGTCGAGTCGTGTCGCTTGTTTTCTACTTGTCTTTTGCCAGCCGCTACGCTACCTTCCAGTTGAAATAAATGACCGGTTCTGAGCCAACGAAAGATCCGCTCGAAATAGAAGATATTCACAAGGCACCATGTTTACGTCCATGTGTTCCAACGGTATGTCTTATCATTCCTCGGCACAAAACAAGCAGGCTCTGAACAGGCTTGTAGTATGGCCCCGCGAATATACGAGGATTGCAAGAAGGCCAAGTAAAATACTGGTGCACATGCGGGTATGCATCATAGAGAGGATCTCATTGATGTTTGGCAAGACCTCATGCGTTCTTTAGCTTGAGTCGAAGCCAACCTTGGTGTGATGGTACGTCAGCAGCTGCAAACACTTCCGACACTTTGAGGAGCAAGGACATATGTTGACACAGTGCTCCAAACTTTTAGAGAGCCATCGCGGGACTCCTTTCAAACCAAAACGATGGGTAGTGCCCAAACAGCAATCAATGTATTCAATATGTAACTGCAAGTACACTGCGAATCCTCCTTATTGCGATGCTAAACGTAAGTTCGGCGATGGATGCAAACGACGTAAAAGTAGCTGTCCTTGACATCTTCGCATATTCTTCAGATATACATTTACCATTAGAGTACATCCGTGCACAGAAAGAGTGCAAACAAGACCATTCCGCCGTCGTAAAACTATGTGCTCACTGCGGGTATCGACCCCCAGCCTAATATAAACAAAGGGTTATGGTTCAAATGGGTTCCAATTCAATGACTGGTGGCACAGTCAGTTTTCACAGATCCAAAGCTTGTCGCTTCATGTTGAACTTTTTTCTTAACGCCTGGCTGCAGAAGGCGAGCCAATGGAAGATCCCGCGCAACAGCTCGAGCTGATTACAGCAAACTTTTTGGGGGATGACGAAAAAGTCCATACTAATCTACCTTGGATCTTAAACCTCTTGACGAATAATGATCTGCTTTGGCGACTCCACCATGTAGCGGAGGAGGCCAACGACCTGAATAACCTAACCAAAGGCTCTCTTGCAACGCGAGCAATCTCCGCACTACATAAATGGTCGGTACGGCTCAGCAGTCTATTGTCCTCAAAAGCACCGACCACACAATGGGCAGCGGCCTGCTTGATACGTATATCCGTTGAGCAAGCGTATTCGGCCTTCCAAAAGGAAGCTCGCTCTTGGTGCAATGGGCTTTTGACTGCTATGAAGACACCGAACAGTACCTATGTGGGGGATATCGTTCGCGCGGTCACCAAATTGCTGGTGAAGTCGAAGGTCTTTCCCAGTCTACAGAGGGATTTGAATCAAATGTATCTAGCGAAAGTTATTACTGGGATATGTGATATTATAGCCCGCTCGACTCCTGTCGAGGTAAGTTTTCAAGTCGTTGATGCGAAATAGGTCTATCTTTGAATGACGCGTACAAATCCAGCCCAACATCTTGGCTGATCTGCAAAACATCATCACCACCTTTCCAAATGGTGCCAAAGCCCACTCTGAAAGGATTGAAGTCATCTGCTTCGACATCATTATGCGTCTTCATGAGGAAAAACAGTCTGTTCGCGCCGCCACTGGTTGCATAGTCGTGCTCGCTCAGTTGAAGAGAGAAAAAGGGGGCGACTACGGAGAATCAAAAATCATCGACAGAGTATGCGCATCCGTGAAAGAACTGCTGGATGAAATCTTTTCTTCCATAGATGCAGGTAGCATAGTAGCCCTCCTTGAAAGTGTTTCCTTCCCTCAATTAAGATCAAACTTGTACAGAAACGACCACGCGCGAAGCAAGTAATGGCCTGATACTCCCTCCAGTCAGTGGTGGTTATCATATTGAGCTTCCGGTGCGAATCTCACAGCTCCAAGCGATAGTTACAGTTCTATCAACAATCCTAAGGTATTGTGAACTATGACAGGGAACATACCGCAGCCCAGTACTCACTTAAGGTGTGACGCAGCGTAACCACTCAGAGCTTTCGCGTAGAGAGTGTCGTGGCTTTGATTCGTCGGATGTATGCCGGTGCGGGGAAGGCTCAGGTATGATTGATTGGTTGTCCATCTTTTCTCAGATATTTCTCACCAAATCGCCAACACGCCCAGTGGTATGATCTTGGGAACGCGTTTGGGCCTAAGTATCTCCGACTTCTTGTGCCGCTTGTATGCATAACCGCGAACCAGCTGTTGACCATTCTACTATCCCGGTATCTATCATGGGCTTTGACACAGTTTTGCGGTCGGAATGAACACTAAATTCCTTTGATAAAACAGCAAAGTTTGGACTGACGTCGAGTTTACATGGACAATATGTGCCAAGGCTTTGGAACATTCACGATACCATCAGTGTGTAGCTACATTCGTTGGTGTTTTTCTCCTATGGTCTTCTGACGCAGTTACCGTTACCAGTACTCTACGACTGTCGGGTTACCAACTTATCAGCAAAGCGATTGCCACATTTGGGTGCGAGATCGTACGAATAGGAAGCTCTACCCTATCTAAAGCAGTATTACACGACATGAACGCCTATACCAAGCCGGTATCGGTGCGCGATCCGTCAACAGCGCAGCAATCAAAGGTAAATATTGCGTGAAGACTTAAACAGCCCAAAGCCGCATCCAACCGTTTTTATTGGATATTTTATTGTAGAAAAGGAAGCTGGATTCGGTGGACACAACTAAAAACCTAGAGGCTCCCGATGACTGGGATCTGAGAATTGCGGCCCTTAATGGTAACGTCGGCGCTTATATGTACTGTGTGTTGTTGAGGCTAATTATTGAGGCCAACACCATGTTTTCAGTCCTCGAACATTTAATACTCTTTGGACAAGCCGAGGCGAATCAGATCGATATTTCTCCACTGACACATAGTCTGGTATCCTGCGTATTCGCATCTGCAACAAGAAATGCGCCAGATGACGCCAAGCATGGATATCAATACCAGATGCTCAAATGTCTGCTGGCGGCAATGCAATCCTGTACTGGGAGGAATGGCGATGTCTTGGCACTTGGGATTAAGGTCTTTGCCAGCTTTCTTTACCATCCCGACGTCCGAGTGAGTACCTAGTAGCGCACTGTCAGCGTAACAAAATATACTGACAGTAGTTCACAGGTGCGAGAGCTCTGCAAACGAGGTCTAATTGTTTCAGACTTGATTATTCACCCCCGCTTGCCACGATTTGAATACACGACAACGGTGGAAAAGTATGCATCACCACTAGAGGACGAATTCGAGCCTATTGCTTCAACGTCCTCCAACGTAACTGGGAACCAACGAGATGTGGCACCGGATCGTCCTGTTACGAATCCTGTTACGAATCCTGGGGCGATACCGACGTATGACCAAGCTATTCCAGCTAAACGACGGACTAGCGTCACCAAAGTTCATGTTCAGCCGACAGTCGGAAAAGCTGTCGTACCAGACATAGCCTTTAAGGTGGGTTTTCAAACTAAACATTGTGTCTAGGGACCGAGTTGCAAAGGTTGATGTGTTGAAACATTGCAGGTGGTAGAAACGCAGGAAGTTGAAAGTGTAACGGAAACGGCTATTGTGAGAGAAACTCTTGTGCACTCTCGCGAATATCAACCAAATGAAGTGTCCATGGACTCCACAACAATGTCTAATAGTGATACGCCACCCGTGGAAAATGTCGGGCCAAAAGAAGGCCCATCCGACGATACTGCCGATCCCATGGACGCAGATGACGATGGCCTACCGGAAATCAGCGTCAATGATGACGACGACGAAGACGAGCTACCAGAGATAAATATAGACGAGGAAGAGGAGGAGGAATCAGAATAATTTTTCACCAACGGGATGGATCTTCAGTCTGCTACTACAGTGCAAGACATGTAAATAATTCATATTTATAATATATGGGTAACAGTTAAGGTGCAGACAAGAGCCCCGGTTCTCGTGATATTCGCTCCAGCTTTGCAGCTCGCAGATGATACACCTTTCGTACATCGCGGAACTGTTTCAAGAAATCATCCACACCGAGCTTTCCGTCCACAAATGACGTTGCAATTGAATCTGAGAGCTCATCAGACTGACTGAGAGCAGCTCGGAGTTTGCTGGTGATGTAATCAGATCCGAAACGCTAGACGAGCTGCTTGAGCAATCAAGATCAAACTTAGCTAGCCGAAAACAAGGAATTACCATGAGCTCATCTTCTCGAATCTTTGAATTTTCATCAAACAAGTTTTTCTGAGACCGCATCAAGGTGACTTGCTCTGTAAGGCTTGACTTGAGCGCATTTATTTCATTCTCCTTTTCCAAATTGCGTCCTGAAAGAAAATGTATGATGAGCGGACAATAGATATACTACAAAACGCCAGATGAACTTACGCGCCAAAGCCTCATTCCCCACGACAAGATCTGCGTGCACCTGTCTCATACTTTTCACATGCTCCATTTGTTCAAAAAACAGTCCCAAAGCCTCTTCATTCTTGAGCAGATCATCGAGTTCTTCGAGTGATAAATGATCCACTTCTGGAAATTCGGGAATAGGAGCATGCTGTGGGTGCATCAGAGAGGGTCCTGGTACACTTGTTGTCGTTGGGGAGTGATGGTGCTGATACGAATGCTCAGGTCGAGATGGTGGACGTATGGCAAACTCTTGGATAATCTCCCTCAAAAGTCGTCCTAGAACAATACCCTGACCGGCATCCCATCTCGCAAGACGTTCATGTCCAATAACGTATCCTGCTTTATCGACCCAAGCATGCTGAACAGGCGGTTTGACCTTTATACTGGGAGGCGTGTCCGGGAAGGTAGGCGGGAGTGTGATAGTCAATTGCAGAGTAAGGCTTGATGGTGTTGTTGTTGTGACTTCATAGACTGTGTCAGGTTGAAGTTCGCGGACAGCAAGCTGGTGGGTATGAAGGGAGGTAATCTGTTTGCGACGACTGTGTTTGGCAAAAAGTCAACTGGCTTTTCAAAACGAGACGGCCAAGAGCCAAGGCACGACCTTACCCGTCTTGCAGGGGGCTAGGTGAGGGGCCTTCACTTTGCTTTTTGGGCCTTGAAAACAGCGACATGGTATATCTTTCAGTTACTTTGAAATGTTTTTGGAAGAAGCTGAAAGTTGGTCAGAAAGGGCGCAACGCGCGTCAGCAATCCTTGCGAGTTTTGATTTGCTTGGCGTGTAGCGACACGGCAGCTTCTAAACCATCCTTTATGGCAAAACAAGAGGGGATCCCGACCAGACGGCATGTATGGCTGCCGCCTGTTGATGTATTTGAGCTTTGTTTAATTCTCTTGGAACATTTGGGGATCTTGTTGGCTATTTGCATCAGATGGACAAGAGGAAGGGCAAGCAACTCCATCGGGTGCTACCTGTTGTTGGTTGAGAATACCTTGTTGTGTGCAATTGTGAAGAGATGAGCCTTTGCATCGCATGCATTAAAAGGTCTTTCTTGACTATGGTCAAAACATGATGGTTATGAATCGAGCAAAAAAGACAGATAACTTGTTCCCCGTCAGCATGCCAAGACGTTGAGTCAATGTTGATTGTTCGCTTTCCGGTTTTGCGCACTGATTGAAAAAGTATGCTCAACTAGAGTCCCGTCGACTGGAGACAAAGGACAGGATACTTGCACTGATACCAAGGGATATGATACTGGCAGTGGGGGAAAACCAGGACTGCGGCAGCGGGGCAGCGAACCACCATTTGACTCTGACCAGTTGGTGTTTGCTGTTTCGTGGTCAATATCTCGGGCCCAAAATGTGACGACGGAATGGCTGCATCGGAGTTATCCTATATCTCTCATGGGTCGCAAACAAAACAAAAAGAAGAAGCGATAATGTCCAAAAGCAAAAACCGTCTGGCACACCTCCATAAAATGTCACTTGGACCGTAACAAACGCGCTCTGCCTTGAAACTTGCCAACCAGCACTTGTGTCATCTCTTTTGCCCATCCGAATTTTACTCGCTCGACATTATGCAGCCGGGAAACGTTCTCTTTCAAGGGGGCGGAGACAATTACTACAGTCCCAGCACGAACCTCGAGTTCCAACAGTTTTCATACGCAGAGAAAAGCGGGACGCAAGGAAATGTGGGGTCGAGTAACTACGCCCAAGCGTATCCGCCTTCCACCTATGCATATCAACAAACGGGAACGGGGGAAGTGACTTGGGCATCCATACGAGCAGCGTTCACTACTGGAGGCTTTGCAGATGAGCCACCGCTTCTTGAAGGTGCGTCGGCCTCTAAGAGGATTGCTGGCAAGGAACGTTGTGAGATCTTACTGTTTGCATTAGAGCTAGGAATAAATTTCAGTCATATTAAGAAAAAGGTATGAATAACTCCAAGAAGAGATAACTGAGAGACCTTTTAGGCTTGGATTTACAGACATGCCGACTTTTTTTCTTCACAAGGGAGTAACGGTGTTGAATCCCCTGAGAGCAGTAGACAAGCACATTATGGATGATACCGATCTGGCTGGCCCGATATTGTTCGTCTTACTGTTTGGTGGATTCCTACTACTGGTGCGTAATGTATTTCCGGCTGGGACCGTTGATGGCACTCTAAATGTAATTAACGCTTTGCAGTCGGGAAAAATCAATTTCGGTTATGTATACGGCGTGGCAATGTTGGGTTGTGTATCAGTCTATGCCATTCTCAATCTGATGAGCGAGTCGGGTATCGACGGATACCGTACCGCGAGTGTTCTGGGCTACTGCCTTCTACCGATGGTTGTACTCAGCTCAGTCGCTACTTTATTACAATTGAGGTATGAGGCAGTCTCCCATTCGAATATTCAGATATTGAACCCGCATTTTCCTTCGCCTGCAGTGGACACATTGTCGGTCTCATACTCAGCGCATTGTCAGTGCTATGGTGCACATATTCAGCTTCAAAGATGTTCACCACGGTTCTGTCAATGAGCGAGCAGCGACTTCTCGTAGCATACCCTGTTGGGCTCTTGTATAGCGCGTTTGCGTTGCTGGCCATTTTTTGATATTTGTAGATACATTTTCTAATTCTATTTTCTGAGCCATATTTCATGTTGCAGTTCCTCGCTAAGGGACATGGTTGCAATGTTGGGAACGAAAATACAATAGGCGCATTCCCATCTTCCAAATGCTATCGGCTATCCTATGGTTTTTGAGCTTGTCGTATAAGAGCTTCTATTTCGTCCCAGGACATCACTCTGAAGAACCGCGATGCACCATCCGTCGCTGATAATGATTGTCGGTCGGGCACCGCTGCTGTCTCATTCGCAGCATAACACAGAGCTACCGGGTGCAATGGATCAACGTACGATAGCTCAAATTTGAACTCCTTTTGAAGCTTTCCATCTTGTAGGACGACAATGTCATTATCAACCGCCTGGATATCAATGGCGTTATTATCGCGGTTCATCAACGAGTTGTAAAGGGACAATCAAATCACCTGCACCCGCTCATCAGATAATCTTTTTGAATTCGATAATCGGAACTCAATTCGTTCCAGCTCCAATCCTAGTCCGACACCCAATGCCTTGACATAGCTTTCTTTAAGACACCATTGTTGACAGAAACGGTGTAATCTCTCCTCATCACGATTCCCACTCGTCAAATCGTTTATATACTCCCATTCTCGGTGGGTAAAGTACGACTTGAATATGGCAAAATACTCTTCGATTGACTCGTTGTCCGGCTTTTCGACTCGCGAAACGTCTACCCCTAGATGGATAGCATATCCCGCTGCTACGACGACATAGTCCCCATGGTGCGAGATATTGAAGAGCAAATCTGGGATTTGAGGTGAGGCCTGATCTTTACGGTGCTTGTATTAACGCCATGGATAAAGTAGCGGTGACAACCCACTTGGTTCAAAGTTCTTGACTTACCAAGTATGGTTTCTGATATTCTGTCCGGCGGATATCAACATCATTCCAACGTACTCCTTCGGGAAGGAAAGATAGCACCGCTACGCGCGAGAGTAGCTGTCCTATGAGAGCACGATGGCTGTCTATGGGGAATCGGAAACGCTGAATGCGTTCTCGTTCTGCTGGTGGCAACAAGTCGCATAACCATGAAATTTCCTTGAGATTCAGTCAGATTCTCATTGGTGTAGATAGGTAGATAGAAGCCTCATATCCATACTTTATCTGTAGGTTGCCACTTTGTTACGTTGAATGCCCATCGTTTAACTGTCATCGTGAAGGTCTGATCTGTTGTAAAATATCTCGAAAGTGCAAGCATCTATCGAGTAGCCACGTGATCCGCTCATGGGAGGCAAATCCCAATACAAGGGCTTATTCCTCCTCGTTTCCTACTTCTGTCTCCTGCGGCCCACCTAGCCCCATCCGCAGCTCTCCCAATAAAACAGTAAGCTTCTGTTTTTCTAAAAATTCTTCTTCGTCGTGATGCTCTAGCTTGTCCTCCTCGATGTCCGCAATAAATCGTGCAAATCTGTAATTACATCAAGATCATTAGAGTTGGTTTTTGTACCAACTGGGCACAATTCCGTGCTTGGACTTACTTTCTTAACCCAATGAGCACCGGAGAGTTCTTGGGAAGCGCCTACTCCGAAAATGCTTTGGTTATCGCATTGTCTTTAACAACAAAGGCGATGACATACTGACCTCCAAGAACGAGCATAGCAACTCTGCGATTTGACACAACCGTCTTATACCGACAAAAATGCCAATATGCAATCTATTAAGCAACTGGCAGTAGATCTTTTGAGTACCTAAAGAAAAAGAGAAACGAAATGTGTCATGAAATGTTGGCAGCACATTCTTAAACATGAGCATACCAGGGTCGTCCTCTTGCACGGCGGCCTGCAGCAACTCAATCGCCATATCGCCATGCAGCCCTTCGTCCATGGTTTCTTCTTTCTGTTCAAATCTGGCATTCCAGGGATAAGTGCAAAGGTAACCCTCGCAAATTTAGTTATTAACCATCTGGCAACTTACTGTACGACTTTTCTCACATCTGTCCAATCCACAAGTTGCTGCCCAATCTGGGTTGGCTGGATCATGGCATCCTTGCTCACTGCGTACTCTTGTATCAAGATCTGCAGACATGGCACCACAACCTTCAAAAGGCGAAAGTGAGTGTGCCTGTGCAGGTGCCGAACAACAACGAAAATAGTCTACCGTCTGCAGAAGTGCTTGATTAGCATGCGACGCATGTGCAAAGACAGGCAAGAAGTAGCTGAGGCATTGTCTCAGTCTATTCATAGACTTCGTATGTGGGTGAAAGTACAGGACCACAAGCTGCTGCAACACCTGAAAAGCAAGAATAGGCAGGTTATTGCGCATTCGAATGCATCAATGGATCTTGCACGCAATGAGACCTACGGTTTGATTTGTCAAATAACGGAGCATCATCAACTTTGCGGCGCCCTCAACAGCCAGGGTAAGTAGCTCTTGATCGTCGCATTGTAGCGTCTCGCTGATCAGCTCAGTTAAAAGCTAATAAAGCGTAATGATGTTAGGTGGGTGATGCGTTGTGACATTGTACTGAAGATAACGGACCCCCTGATCTGATAAAAGATCGGTCCCGAAGAGAATAGTAAGGTCGAAGAAAACCTACCAAACACCATGAGAACATGCTACAAGAAACGTTATTGAAATAACAGGATACGTACCTTAAGAGCCAAAACTGAAAGCTCCTGCCGGCTGTCGTTGAACGCACTCATAAACAGAGGAAGATGAGCTTGGGCGAGTGACTACTATCGACTTGCGGTGAGTAAGGTCGCGTAATTTGTCGCCACGAGCTAGGTTACCTTATCCAGGAGACAAGCTAACGAAAGACATTGGAGACCCGTTTGCTGTATCGCTGGATGATCACTTTTTAATGATGGTAGGATGAAGCTATCCAGAATCCCATTCATCGATGCGTTATCTCTGAGGTCCTGTTGAGCCACAATCTTTTAGGTCCGTATTGAGATCAACATAACATCGTGCAATAGCAAATTTCACCTGTTCGGTGCACTCCAGCACGCAGCCGATAATATCCAGGCATTTCAGTAATAATACGGACTTTTCAACCTCATCCATGCCCTCCGTTTGCGATGTATCAGCTTCCTGCTGTGATTCAATAACTAAGTAAATTCACATGTCGGTGGATTGGAGCATTTAACTGTACCGTGGACTGGGGATCAGTCATATCAACGTCGTATATTGTATACAACACTTCGATGATAATCCTAGCAACAGAACTAATGAGTTCATCACGCTATTGACGACAAATTAGTACGACATGCACCTGGTAAAGTCACTCTCATTCAACGACAGCGTCTTCAGTATGCTGACAACAATGAGTATATTGTCTTTCGATAAATCGATAGAGCTGAGCATGTCCCCTGCAATCAAGGTTAATCTGATATTCGGTTCTGAAATATATGGAGTGCTCCTTACTTAGACTGACAAGAATTTCCCGTCGTCCCATTTCATCAGTGAAATCCTGCATCTCCGCTGTTAGCAGTAACTGCTTAAGAATGAAGCTCAACGCCATCCTCTCTTCTGCATCTTCTGATTGCGCCAGCAGAAGGCCGTATCTCTGAAGCAGCTCCGAATGATGCAGCAAGGGTGGGAGTGCTGCCTCCAGTTCCTCCTCCATCTGAAAACCATTGGGGTTAGTGCGAATGGGGTGATTGTTCGTCTTGGAGTTCCTATACCTTGTTCTCCGCAAAGAAACCTATCGCGGTTCGCAGAAAGAAGGCTTCTTCCACGTCCAGGTTACTCCAAGTTTCCTCTATTAATGTCGAGAAATCAATACCAGTAGAGACGGATCTTTCACTTCTGAGCAGCATTAACATACCATCATATGGAATTGTTAAAGAGGGGTTTGCCAAGAGATATGCTTTAGCTGCAGACTCCGCCGCATGGCCATTGATGACATCCATTCGACGAAGGAACTACATGAGCCATATTCAGTATTGCGCAAATCAGAAGAATCACACCTCCAACATACGTCGATTAAGTCATCGTTACATTCAGGGACCCATCGTTCGCAGAGCATTTTCAAACAGCTCTTCTGTACGTTGGTATCTCTAATACAACCTGATGTCAGCGACGGCGCTATATACAACCACGTATACAGGGCACACCAACCGATCAGATAAGCCATTGTGCAAGAGGGAGTCTCGCTCATCGACGGTAAGGAACGTCATCTTTTCCACATCATCTCCCACTTTTGAGAATGCCAATTTTCGGACCTGAGCATCAACGTCTCGAACTCGCTGCAAAATATACGGTAATGTGGCACTGTTCACTTCTATATTCCACAACACTGCCTTTCGCACATCGCTTTTTTGCAGAAAACATCGGCTGGTCAGCGAGTCTTCACTTTCGTGAGCAGAACCAGACTCAAGAACTTACGCGCTAGTGTCATACTGAAGCATATTTATCAAGCACTCCCTAATGACCTTATCTTCTTCCTCATCTCCACCTTCCTTAAGATCATGTAGCGATCAGTACATGTTGCAGTTTGCAAGGACATCGGGTTGTTGTTATGCGGACAGCTACCTGAAGCCGTGAGAGTGCAATTGCGGCCTGCATGCGCACTGTAGCCTCCTTATCCCGTGTCCTCTCCATAAGCTGATCCCTCACAATGTGAAATGTGTCGTCGCTAGATAGGTGATAGGTTGGGCACGGCCGTCTCGAAGCAGTGGCTTGGAAAGACTTACTCCAACTCGTCCATTGGGTTCAACAAGATCCCGACGATCTGACACACGCGATATCGTACTACTTTATCCTTTGCTTTAAATCCCTTCAGCAACAGTGTCAAAAGCGTGTAAATGAGGCTGTCGGCCAACTCCTTTGCGTTCTCCGGGACTAAGGCACATGTGCGATTAAAATCAGATACATTGTCTGAGCATTCGGGATAGCATTTAGTATACCTTCTCCATTGACTTCCGCAGTAACTGCGTCTAGATAGGCGGTCAAAAACTTGACGGCTCGTTCAGCCTCCGGGTTTCCCTTCTTTATCGGTAGAATGTGCAGGACACATTGGCAGAATTCTTGCTCCAGTGACCGACCCTTCCGCAGGTGCAACTTTCTCAAAGCGACGGTATTCTTTCGATGATTGGAGCTTGAGCGTATCGCATCCTGGAAAATATGTGCGACGCTAGTCATGATGCTTGCAGGATAAATTCTGTGAAAATCGTCGTTCTTGGAGTTGAGCGAGTCCGACGCGGATTCCCGTCCGAAAGTCCGGCCATCCGAATCAGGCATCATTGCAAGATCGGCTTTGCCTGTCGTCGTGTTTTGAACTTTTTGGAGGGTCGCTCTATGACGATCCTCATTAGCATTGATTGGAATGACGATAAGTTAACTGACGCAACGAATAAGTTGGCAAGCGTCGGCATCCGAACTGGTACATTACTGGGCGAGATTTCACAGACGAATTCCATTACTTACTACCTTTTCGGTGCAGTCCGCGACCTGCTCCTCGCTGATAGACAGCTATTGTGTCGAACCGGACTCAGTAATGAGGCATGACCATTTAACTTTGCCAGTCACGAACGTCATGGAAGCTGACATAGGTCATGTATTTACTTTTCTGACAGACCCTGAACTTGTTAACGGACGCAGTAGTTGAACTTTCCCAAAGTAAACCGACGCCAGGTGACGTGGCTTTGGAGGAACAGAGAGCACAGCACAAATTTCTGTCGACCGGCTGTCCTGGGTAAGGACTGCACCATGGTGTTGTGCTGTAGTCAAAGATTGAAAGTTCATACTTTACCCTACCAGGATCGATCAGCTTTTGGAAGGCGGTTTGGCTTTGGGAGAATTTGTAGAGTTTGCCGGCCCGCCAGCCACCGGTAAAACGCAGGTGATCTTTTGGATTGTTGAATATCCTTGCGGTCGGGTGAATATCATACTAAAAACTGTCGTTTAGCTATGCTTTTTCACAGCAATTACGACAACCGCGGATGACCCAACCGCCACTGTCCTTTACATTGACTCTGGCAACGCATTCTCCGCTTCCCGCCTGAGTGATATGTATACGTACAGCGACCGCTTTCAGCAGTCGCGTGAATCGGGAATGGTAACGACAGATCCATCGACGCAAAACGGTCAGACTACCGTGGTACTCAAAGTTTGCTCGATAGGATACCAAAAACATTTTGTCGCGGGTGCGGTGTATTCCTTGCTTTGATGCGTTCTCTCTGGTGGACATTATGGAGGAGGTACAAAAGAGTTTGGCGGACAAGGTTTGTGATGGGTTCCGATTTGTAACTTGATACTATTTCCATGCTGAAAGTTGTTATCTTCAATAATAGACGACAGACTTCTTCTCCATGGTGCGCTTGTTGATAATTGACTCTATAGGTGCTCTGCTGTCCCCCATGGTTGGATATGGACAAAGTCAAGGTGAACGCCCAGCCCCTAACGACGTACATAGCTAAAGGCTAAATGATTAATCTTTGTGAACAGGGTATGTCATTATGATGACCATCGCCCAAATCCTCAAATCGATAGCGTTATCACACGGTATATCCATACTGGTAAGCCTTGTCTCTAATTCTACTTACATCTGAAAAGTTATGGACAATCGCCCCCGTCCAGGTAACAAATTACTCGGTTTCATCAGATTTCAAATCTACCGATGTTGGAAGACCATTCTCTGGGGGCAAAGAAGGGGCACGGAGAGAAAGAACGAAACCAGCTCTAGGAACGACATGGAGCTACGTGCCCAACGTACGACTCTATTTCACTCTTGATGAAGAACCGAGCATTGAAGGGAAGGAGGACGATGAGGTCCTTACATATCGAAATCGCCAAGGCGACATCATTCCCCTAGTAAAAAGAAGAATAGATATATACGCTTCACATCGTTTGGTATGTTTGTACTCTTCCTCATATCCGTGCACTCTGATTTAACCTCTCAACCTTAGCGAGCAGGAGATGGCTGTCACTTGTATATTGGTAGTTCAGAGCTACTGAGTTTTCCGTCACAATAAATGGGTCTCGATTAGACAATCCTCGTTTGCATGCATGAAATTCAAATGTATTGACAGACAACATGAACATGCCCGCAACACCATAAACAAAATAAACATCCTGTAGCCATTGTCATATATCGATAAATAAAATCAAAAAACGAGCGAAGGTCTGAACCTTCCACCGGCATCACCACATCAAATCCCATTATTCCAGCTATCCAACTGCCGCGCACCGCGAGGAGTTTTCCCTGCTCTGTTGCCAGCCTGAGGCGTTGCCCCCTTCTTAAACAACCGCCTAAGTCACCTTCCAGTGGCTTAGGCTGTTGACGCTGCGCTCAGATTGGACTGAAATGAAGATGTTGCTATGGAGATGGAACCCGATGAATGAGTCATCCCTGAACTCTAGCCGCCCAGAAGTCTGGCTTACAGGCATTCACCAATATGCCCGGCTGGAAAGACGGAGATCTGCGTTGGCATTTATACGCGTCTTTGCAATATTTCTTTGCGACCGCGGGATCAGTGTTTCAGATGCACGTGTATGGCACAGTCATTTGCAAATGTCACGTGGCTGCGTCAGCACTTTAGTCCGCTTGGCCTTCTCACGCACTGCCATCTTGGTGGTAGATCATCTACCGAACTGTTCAAGATGGCCACCACTACGGACACGCCTTCCCTGCAAAATAAGCTCACAAAAAGCAATCCTCTGTCCCGCAAGCTGAGCAAGACGCTGGACATTGTATGAGGATACGCCTTGATTCTCACACGTTTAGTAGACTGTCCCAGTAACATTTCTCAAGTCACTAGAGGACCCCGAGACTCAAGAGGCATTGGTGGCTCTATCGGAATTTTACAAGCATAATACTCTGACGGCGCGTCGAAATTTGCGCGGTGACCTTGAGCGTAGAGTCATGGCGACAAATGAGAGGTTTTTGGACGCTTTCGACGTGGTAGCACAGGTAGGTAAACAAATGGTGACCGACGGTCTCGCGGATACGTATCGGTGCTTTTCTGACGGATCTGTAATATTTTAATAAAGCGCGTGCGGGCCATGGAAGCGGAGATGAAGTACATGAACGATTGTTGTTCAGAAATGGAAGAGAGGCTGCGATCGACGAGCAATGAAACAGCACATCTAATGAAACAAACCCACGAGCTCAAGGAAGAAAGGTGTGAAAGATTGTTGTCGTGTGTCGACATGCCAATGACTGAGTTGGGTCGCGTAACAGCAAGCGCTGTACAGTTCGAAAGGCGATAGCAGACGTTTTCCTTGCAAGATTCACTCTGTCCGATGCCGAATTGTTCACTCTCACTTCCCCAAATCAATATGTGGGAGCTGAATTCTTTAATGCATTGAAGCATCTTCAGAAGATCAGTGACGACTGCAAAGCGCTTCTTGTCACCGAACATCAAGAAGCGGGGTCTGTTGCCTCATTCTCTGGACACTTGTTACTTTGAAGAATGGACGTGTCTAATTTTATGGCTTTTAGCTTGGAGATAATGGAAAGGATGGCTTCGTATCAGGAAACCGCGTTTGACAAACTCTTTCGATGGGCACAATTTGAATGTCGATCATTGAACCGAGACTCACCAGAAGTCACGCAAGCACTGCGGGACGCAATGCGGGCCCTCAAGGAGCGACCTGTTTTATTCCAGTAGGTTGTTCCATACCGCCTTCATCAGTGCAACGTGTAAGCTTAATATAGATATCAGAACTTGCACAGACGAGATTTCCAATATTCGCAGCTCAGCAATGGTGCGATCCTTTCTGGATGCATTGACTCGCGGGGGACCTGGTGGCTTCCCTAGACCTATCGAACTTCATGCCCCTGACCCTTTGCGCTACGTGGGTGATATGCTCGCGTGGCTACATCAAGCATCTACAGAGGAGCGGGAAATACTTGAGGCGGTGTTCGACGTCAAAGCTACAGGTTGGCCGGCTTGGCTGCTTCATTACTGACTTAGATTGGGGCTACATGACTGATATCGCGCTAGGCCAGCGAGCACAACTCAAAAAGAACTCTGCTGTGGGCGATGCTTCCGCGATTAGCAGTCTATCTTCCGTCGATGACGAAGCGATTGCTCGTGTACTTGACAGGAATATGGAGGGTACTTGCCGCCCTCTTAAGGTGGGAACATTTCGTGTCCATGATGAAACGACCTGTTGCTGACTGGCACCTCAACAGGCCCGGATTGAGCAAGTTCTTGCGTCACAGTCCGACTCCATTGTCGCGTACCGCATTGCAAACCTTGTCAAATTTTACGAAGGCATGATAATAAAAGTTCTCGGCCCTACTGCTCAACTATCTCGGACCATTCACGAGTAAGTGCCAGGTTTGTGCCATCTTAGCTTATCTTAGAAGACTGATATCACAATGCATATGCAGTATCACAGAAATTGCAAACAAAACTTTCTTTGAGACCCTCAACGCGAATGCATCTCAGCTACTTCGCTTTGTACAAGTATGAAAACCACGGCCATTGCTGATGTTGCTCACGTCAGAAGTTGATCATTTACATCTTTCGCAAACGACTAGACTCCTGGAGCCGACCTTCTGCCACCACCAGCAGTCCGAGAAACCGTTCTGCAACTGGTATTTCATGACACCTAAGTAACTACGGAAACAACTGACTGACAAGGACTTGCCATATAACAGAGGGAGATCATGGCCATATATGATGAATCCCTCGTGGGATCCGAACAGAAGGAGGAAGATTTCGCTGATATACTGACGGCGCTCCTGGATCCATTGTCGCAAATGTGTGTCCTCGGTGCAGCAAGCTTGCCTTCGATTGAAAATGCCATCTACATCATCAATTGCTTACACCATATACAGGTATGGTGTGCGCAACTCATGTTCTTTCAACACCAACTCAACGCTGTTGTGTTCCAGGCAGCGTTGAATTTGTATCCATTTACAAAAATCCGGGTTGACGACATAGAAGCGCAAGTCGACGCGCAAGTGGACGTGTTGGTAAACGAAGAGGTATGCTCCTTGCATCGGAAATTTTTTTACTTTGAGCACGACTCACTCGGATCAATGAATGCTCTCATACGCCCAGTTCGCGAGCGTGTTGAAACAATCAGGACTATTGCCCCTTACACATGCTGAAGCGGCAGATATCACGGCTCCCATGCTTCAAGAAGCAATGGCACAGCTTGATGCTTTCCTGTACGGTGCCACAATGGAGATATCATCCTCGCTTGCAAAACTAAGTCGGAGAAAGCTGGCTGCACGTGTAACACAACGAGCGTTTCGCATGTTTGTTGAAGCATATCGAGAAGTGTACACAAAAGTCACCGATCCAGCCATTAAGGTAATTCATGCATCAAGCATTTAGCCTAGGGTTATTCTCATTTTTTATTGTGCAGCATGATCCACCATTACCGACACCTCGTACAGTGGACGAGGTTGAGACACTATTGTCGCTGGAACAGGACGATTCTTCAACACCCTAACAGCGGCAATAATTCCTTTTACGTCAACCTGAGTCAACAATCCCCAAGCCATGTCTGCTTGACTTGCGACTCTCTGCGACTCTCTACCAGGGCACCCAACGCTTTTATTATTATGTAGTCTACTATACCCTAAGTAAGAGCTCAAGCATCCGATCCTTCATGGAGCTGGGATTCGCAGAGACTGTAACGTCTTTTTCATGTGGGAGGGCAATGGCGCTTTCACCTCCAAGTCCGCGCCTGTGCCATACCAGTCCTGGATAAACAAATTGTAAAAAAGATATTCATACAGAGATTCGACTTTAGGGATGTCTCCCACCCTTAAGATGATGCTTCGCATATGCAGATGGAGAGGAACTCGTCTGGGATCCGATACGAATCCCTACTCAATGCATTGATCAGTGTGACCGCTTCTGACATTTACCGCAAAGTAGCGCATACCGCAAAGCTCTTTGGACAGCCTGCTCCGTATTTGTAATCTCCCAATATTGGTGCTGGAGGGGATTGCCCATTCAGTATCCATGGGCCCACGGCGATAGCAAGCACAAAAACTCAATTCACCTTTCAAGATTTTGGCGCAATGGAGACGTAACTGATGCTTTCGCCCGGTAGATGGCCGGAGTTCCACCAAGCTTGCCTTTAATGCTGCCATTTAACATGTTTGTACAACACCAGCGTGAACATTAGCGTAAATACCTGTTTTCCGGAATCCAGGATTCTATACTCTGTTACTGCCTTCTTTATGCCAGCCTCCGCGCTACTAGCGGCATCGATGTCATCTGCCTTTGGGGGTAAGGATGCGAAGGATACGCGCTGAAGACTGATTTTATTACTTACACCACTCGACGGTTGACATTTTCTCCACACCCGGTTTCCCGACCTGCACTATTCCTGTGACGATCTGAGTGAATTCAGATTGCGAAGTGAAGGCTTCTGGTAGAGAGCAGACAACCGCCAAATACTTCAAACAGCAGAAATGAAGTAAGGAACCTGATTAGAGCGCTAGACTCATCGTAACTGGACGTACTGATTTTTGGACCCCGTCCCCAGCAGATTTGAAAAGGTTGCTCAAGCGCACTGCAGCTTCTTTTGTCCGGGCAAGCAGGAGCGCGCCTGTTGTGTCCTTTGACGGTATTTAATCGCAGTCTGTCGAAGATCGATACCAACATACCATTAGTGCGTACCTTATCTAATCGATGAACGAGACGGGGTGGCTCCGCTGCATCAAACTGTAATCCTGTGCCAGCGGAATTTAGAATCATTTATTGTGGGGTAATAAATAAGCGCTTTACCATCGAGTAGCTTGTCGAGATGAATGCCCATTTTGGATCCACCTAGTATCATTATGCATGTAAGATCACTACCTTGCAGACTAAGCACATTATAGCGGTTTAGCATTTTCTTACCTTGTACAGCCAACCCGGCGGGCTTGTTTAGGACTAATACTTGCTCGTCTTTGTAGAGTACGCTAAAATATCAATGGGAGTTGGTTCATTTAATGTTGTTATCAATGGAAAAGTAGAGTCTGATCACTCACTTGGAACGAAGAACCTCAATCTCGTCCTAACAGAGATCCACAAAGTCAGATATACCATCCAATCGATAGCCCAACGACTCCCTCCGCCATTCCCCACCTGCAATTGCTCCTCAAGAACTTTTTTCTCCTTCTTAGTCATTTCTGCTTCCGGCTTTCTTCGTTTAGGCATGACAACGACAACAACATCCCCAGCATGAACTTGACCGGCCGGCTTCAAATCCACAAATCGAGCGTGAGCAGACCCTCTTACGGCAACCTCGTGATTGAGGACTTTGAGTCGTGCAAGGTTCTTTCGAATCTTTAGTCTCTCCTCGAGGAACTCGTCCAACCTCAGTCCATGCTCTTCAAACTCGACTTTTAATTGTCGCTCTTCCACTTCGGGTGCTTCGGAGGAGACGCTGTCCCTTTCCTTCACGAGAGGTGCGGCCACTTTGGACCACCGCCTTGCAGCATTGCGAGACATTGACACAGGAGGGTTGTAGTCACCAAAGCGTGAATCCCCGGAACCGGCGAAGCGACCATTGTGTTTGGAAATGTGGGTAGATTTTTGCGCTGTTGCTCGACTATGTCGCAGGCGAATAGGGGTCGCTGATGATGATGCTGGGCCAACCGGTAACTTTGGACGATACAGGCTCTCCAATAGAAAGGAGAAAAGAGAGGACGACTTGAAGGGACGAGGCCCACGTAGGCAGTTCGTGCAGTACATGTAAAGTCTAGATCACTCAGGAAGACTCGACAGTGAGTCCTCCAAGAAACCCAGAGTTTGATGGGTTCCAGCTGCGCCCACAGTCACGAAAGCGTGCGGCACAGTTTTCGTTTGGTTTCCTCGTCCCAGTTCCTCGCAAGCTGCAGCTTTTGGCGTTGGACGCAATGATTCGCAGCATCAACTTGCGACGCTGTACGGCAAGATGCCGTCGAATATTCGCATGTCACTACCGTTCCCTTTCCGCAATCCCTCGACCAGCCGCCATGCCAAGTTCTAAAGGCTGGACTATCCTCGGCGTCGTCCTTCCGCTCCCACTTTTGCTCATATCACAAGATCGCTGGCTAGAGTGTTCACCAACATTCAACGGGGTCCCTGTAGCAGCGACATTCCTCATGCACCAAGCGCTCCCAAGGTTCGAGAAGAAATTCCCTGGTCTCGAAATCTCGGCCGTCTACGATGCCAACCGGCCAGAGGAATACAAATATGAGGAAACTGGACTGTTCAGTTCTCTGATGCCTTCGCATGCAATCGTCGAGGTACCTGTGTTTGAGAAGCTGTCTGAGACGGAGGAGGCGAAATTGGGAGTATCGGGTATAAGGAAAAAGCCCGTGGGAAGAGTACAGTTGAAGGGCACCTGTAGTATTGGATGTGCAAAGGTAGAGTTGACGGAAATAAGAGTGTTCAAGAATAATGGACAAGTTGTATGGGAATGGAAGAAGAAGGGTGCTTGAAGTGCTTTATGAAGCATGCCGTTTATGTATTTAGTTGGCAAACATGTGAGGGCTGATCTCAAGGGAATCCCAGGCAGGATGGTCATCCTCCATCATACTCGTTTGATACAAAATTCCACGCAGAACAATAGATGAAATAATTAGATTTATACATTCAGAACGGCGCTTAAGCACTCCCTTTCCCTTTGGCCTTGCCCTTGGCCATTTCCATCGCCTCTTCCACGCTCATCGGATCCCATCCTCCACTTCCGTTATCAACGAATATAACCCCTTCATCAATGTATCCGATGAGTCCGCCGGTGCCAGTGGCGGCTTTTGCAGCAGGTGCCAGCCGGAAGAGCGCTTTTCCGGTTGTAGGATGAACACGATTGGCAGGCGCAAACAACAGATCACGCTCACTCGCCTTTCGCTCGACATAATCTCTAAACGAATCCATAGCGGACATAGCAGGGGCTGCTGCACGCCGAGCTGTACCGCTACCCACTTTCCCACCAGCCGCCGCCGTTCGGGACATGGATGCAATAGGCGGCGGAGCTGCCGGCATAGGGCCTCGTGCGCCGCCCATTGCCAGACTTCGGTTCATCATGTCCAGTCCCGCTCTGAACTGGTTGACGATACCAGCTTCCTTGACCAATTCTGGTGGAAACACGCCCTTCCAGCTTTTATACCACATTGTGATTTCCTCATTTTTGGCCTGCGGACTGGAGAGCCACGCCCAAAGGACCTTGTGCCATTTCGGGAAAAATTCTGTCTCGAACAAATGTACCAGAAGATGGGCCGGTACAACTGAGCACCATGCAAAGACCCATTGCAGTGGCTCAAGGTCTTGCGCCCGCGGGTTGACCTCGAAATCGTTACGTAGCGTAAGAATCAGCTTGGGAAGTATGGCCTTGGCAAGCAGTGATTCCATGTCGGCCTGCTTAAAGACCTGAAGAGAAACAAAAGAGAGATGAGGATGATGCCATAAGAAGACAACTTGGAAGAGTAACTTACTTCCTTCCATGGCATCAAAACAAGCAATGCGCTTGGGTCACGCGGATACCAGTCTTTCAAGGACCCCACCAACTTGTGTCGTATAGTTGTAAAGATTCCTTCCATGCGATCGACAAGATGTGGTAACCATGGATGCACCCATGTATGAACTGCGACCGGATCTTGACTAGGATTCCAATTATCCACTTCATGAGTTAACTTTGGCAGTATGAGTTGTTCCAATATGTTTTGATAAAGCCATGAAGGAAGAAGGACGTTCTGGTCGCCGTCTTCAGTAACCCCATTCCGAATCTGACTCTTTGTGCTTGCTGATTGGGGATGCCATGCTTCCAGCAGCGTAATCACTGAATCCGGTAGTTGAGGACTCCACTCATTGTTGATCGCCTGCCGGACTTTGGGAAGCCATATATCATACATCATCGCTTCGTACGGTGTCATTTTCCTTGAAGGTGCATGATCGGCAGATACTGCTCCCATGTTCACATCCTGGCCCTTCCCGGAAGGTTGGGCCGGTACCATCAACAGCTTTTTCCACTGCCGAAACGCTTCTGCTCCGTAAGTTGGGTCAGCTAGCGGCTGCCATTCATGAAGCGTCCTCTTCACGATTGGGGCCAATGAAGCTACCACCAACTCATCCAGACCATATGTTTGATACTCCTCAAAGTGTTCAGTTTGAAGCTTTTGGAAAGGGATAGAGAACGCTTCAATAAGCTCGTCGAGGTCTAATTCACCGAGCCCAAAGCTAAATCGCTTAGAGGTGCGCTCGCATTCATTCGCAAGTTCCACCACAGCCTGTAATCGAACGATACGGGTTTTCTCATCGTTCACCTGTTGCGAAATGACCTTCTCCTGACGACCGAGCTGCTCCTGCCGCGTTTTCTCAATGCGCATCTGGCGGCCGACATGTAAGAGGTCGTCCTGTGCCAGATCGGCTAACAATTTTACATTATGTCGCAATTCCGGCAATCGAGCTGCCGTGATATCAAAGGCGGCAGTAGCGGACGTGATCTCTGATATGTCAGAAAGCTCTCGCACTTCGCGCCCTGTCATATCCAAGATTTTGGTAGCTGTTGGTACCGCCCCCACCGGCGGGCCCGCCCCGCTTTCTTGCTCTGCAACTAGCTCTTCTGCAGACTTGTAAGTTTTTTTCTGCTTCCTTGCGCCTTGTTTCCATTGCCCTGTGCGCAACTGAGTCTTTCGAGTGGGTATCTCTTCGTCTTCGTCCAAACCCTCTGATTGTCGCCGCTCCCACTGCTCGTTCTTTATGGCTTCCGTCCGCTCATCCACCATACCCAGACCAGCACCTTTTGGTCGCAGCTTGACATCAATTGGCGCAGCAATACCTGTTCCTTCCTTTCCCAACCCCATACCCATTCGCCAACCCATCTTCTCCAGTAACTTGGACCCTATACCCTTGGTGCTTCTTTCAAACCTTCCAAAATCTTTATCGACTGGTTGATATCGCGGGACTGGACTGTTGCTAGACGACCTAGACTTTGTTCTAGTCGACCCAAAGGATGTTGGCAGATCGGCGGGGACATCCGCAGAGGCCTCACTCAGCCCAAGGCCGGCCCTGGATGACCTCCCAAACCCAACCCCACCACCGCTGGCACCTCCAAGACCCATACGAGTCTGTTCTCTATCTGGTTCATCGTCTTCCATACTACCAAGACCTCGTCTTCCACCGAAATTTGTACCCACGCCAGGCCGTCCGGCGCTCCAGCCGTCGTCGCCGTCTTCGTCTGCACCCGTTGCTCGTAGTGACCCAGAGCCTAATCCCCCTCTAGATACAGTATCTTCTTCGATATCCATAGGGTCTTGATTCTGGCTTGGTCCATTGTTATCCTCTTCCTCACTACTTCCGTGTTCCGCTGAGTTATCGTCGTCACTGTCGGTGTGACGACTACCGGCTATATTACCGCCAGATACGAAACGAACTCCAGACATGTAACGAGAATTCTGCTTTCGTCCGTCACTGCGCCCATCATCCTTATCGTCATCGCCAAATATGCCGTAAATGTTATCTTCCTTTGTTCGTCGTCTCTTCTTACGACCGAAAGTACCATATGGGTTCGCAAACAGTGCGGCTTCCTCCGCCAGATCTGCATTGAGACCGTGAGCTTCTATACCATCCTCCTCGTCTTCCCCGGGTCGGTCTCCTTCTGAGCTATCTCCATCATCCTCAATAATCTTCTTTCGTCTCCCCATCTGTAAACATGTGTGAAAGGTTGGTACTGCAGCAGTCGCGGTTTATGTGTGATCACGTGCGCTTCAACAAGTCAAAGCGATCTGGGCAGAGATCTCGGACATTTGCATTATGATCACCAGGAAGGGCAGGACGATGAAGCGTAAGAGAAACCCACTGCTGGACCTAGCAGACTCGGTAGAAGGGGGCGGAGGAACCTCTTCGCCATCCGACGAGACAGAGGACAGCAACAATGAAGGCCCCTCGTCGCGGTCGGGCAAGGCTTCTGCTTCCAACCCGTCAAGGGGCGAAGTATTCCCTGCCCATCTGGCACTTCCAGCCCTTCCAGCTTCGCTAGAAACACACTCTCACGAGGAACTTGTTGGATTTATTCGTCGTTATCATTCCCTTCTCAAACACCGCACATCCCGCCTGTCAGCACTCGATTCCCATCTCCATTGTGCTATATGCACTTCATATTTTGTTGGTCCGTACAACTTGGAATGCGGCCACATTTTCTGCTACCATTGCATTCTAGCGTGGTTCAACAACTTGGAGCAGAATAGCAGGTAATGCTTTTTCAGATGGAAATGTGACAATGTCTATTCTGATATCCTCGTCTTGCAGGCCTAAAAAGTGTCCGACCTGTAGAGCAGACACTACTTGTCGGCCCCAATATGAGAGAACAGTTTCTAGATTGGTGGAAGATTATCTGACGGTAGTGAATGACGAAGAGAGTAGAACTGTGAGTGTCTGATATCCATACCCAACGACCCTTTGGTCCTTGTCCGATCGCTTATCTAAGGATGGTACCAATCAATAGATCCTTCAAAACATCAACGAATTGCGAGATAGTCATGCAGCTCTTACTAATCACCCGTTTCATGAGCACTTTCCAAACGATTTTGGAGATCGTATTCTCCCAGATGTCGACGATGGCGTCGTGTATGTGAAAAAATGCTGCTGCAGTCCTTTTTTTTTGCAACAACTTATGATAAATAACATGTTCTTAGACGCTGTTCTCGGTGCAACTGGGAAGTCCTTAACGGAACATGTCAAGGGTGCGGGAATGTGTATCGTGATGCCCGGGATTCCGAAGAATCCGAGGAGGAGGTAGACTACTTTGACGAGCCGGGCTGGTCAGATTCAGAATCTGATCTATCCTTCGTTGTTGATGATGGCGATGGACCGGAATTGGGTGGAGGTCCCTACTTTTCAGATGATTACGAAGGGTATTCAGGGTGGTATGACGAAAGCGATTTTTACGACAGTGATTACGGCCTTGATTACGACAGTAATTACGGCCTCTCCGATCTGGATGACATGTTGGATGGGCTTTCGGACACCGATATGTTGGGAGGGGACGATGGATACCCATGGCATGATGAAGACAGTATTTCGCCGGATGATGACGACTATATGCGCCGTCATCCCATTAACAACCGCCATTATGATGACAGCGATTGCAGCGGCTCTAGCTTCGATCGGATGTTTGGGGATTCCCCGGACGCGGATTCGTCGGGACGTGACCGCAAGGATGCTAACGTTGGTAGAATACCTCCCACCAGAAATTCTCCGCCGATGTCATCCTCGGACTCCGAGTACTTCACAGGATGTGACGATCAAAGTCAGGATGAAGGATTTGAAGTTAATCCCATAGGAAGACGTCGCAGTGGACGTCCTCTTCCAATATCGGACTCGGAATCTGACGACGAAAACCAGGAGCGAGAACTTGACCACGATCATACTGATCAGAGCCGTGATGTGCGTAGGCATCGCAAGGTATCAGGCGGCTCATCTGACGATAATGACGCGTCGCCGGTGATCAGAAATGAGGAAGAAAACGAAGATTCGGAGGAGAACGAGAAGCATTGTACTGTATCAGGAGGCTTGTCTGACGATGATGATCCGTGCCCAGTAATCAAAAAGGAGGAAAAGAGCCGAAGTCCGGTGAAGGACGAGAAGCTTCGTCGTTCAGTAAGGCTGGACCACACTTCCAATCGTAAAGGAAAGCAAGTCGCTTCTACTGCGAACAAGAAAGTTGATACAGAATCGCAGCTTGATCAGCGACGTCGTTCAGTAAGGCTGGACCGCACTTCCAATCGTAAAGGAAAGCAAGTCGCTTCTAATGCGAACAAGAAAGTTGAAACAGAACCACAGTTTGATTGTAAAGAGGAAGTGGATGTACCAGGAACATCCGAAGCACATCGGCAGCGCAACGGCAAAAAGTCGCAAAAGACTTCTGATGTGAACAAGAAAGTTGAAACAGAACCGCAATTTGATTGTAAAGAGGAAGTGGATATACCAGGAACATCCAAAGCACATCGGCAGCGCAACGACAAAAAGTCGCAAAAGAAGCGAAAGTTGCATGATATCTCTAATGCCGAAGTTAGACTGGCGGAGGTGGGAGCTAAGAAAGGAACGGAATCTTCGCGGCCTGCAGTAGACCCTGAGAGGAAGAAGCGAAAGAAGAGACAGAAGAGCAAGCCGAATTCAAATTGAAAGCTCTTCATGTGTACCGCGTATGATCAGCTTAGAAAGTGCACTAGGCAGTGTACTTGATTCTGCAGATAACATAACTTTTGCCGATTGGAGATGACCATTGATATGGGATCCAAAGTATAAGTCATGACACGCACACGAAAGAGGCATATTATTCAATACCATTGCGAGTAGATCTTTATCTTCAATCTTCATACTGACTAGTGCTGACCTACAAGTCAAGTGAAGCTTCCTGGACTTTGCCAAGTGACGACCCATTGACCCCACTCGAAGCTGTCCATCAGCCTTGTGCTTACTCTCGACAACTAGGACACCTCAACCGACAGAGCAAACCCACAGAGGAAAGTCGAAAAGATTATTTTGACAGTTCCGTCCCACAAAGGACCTCAACGTCCGGTCCATACACTTTGGCCAAGTTGCTGTGAATATAGCCGTAAGGAAATCGTAATCTAATGCTAACGGAGCTGGATTTATGTCCATTGAATTTGTTCCTTGGACGAATCTCGGATTGGTGGTAAGACTTGTTTGATTGCACATTCCAGGATCTTTGCAACAATGAGCCATAATGAGTAGAAGAATGATGAAGCAGTCTCAACATTTGATGCAATGCAGAACTCAGATAATAATTAAATAAAAAGTCTTATGTTTGCCGAGGCTTCGCCGATACTTTTTCCCAAAAAGCATCATCTGATGTTTCTCGCTCTCTTTCATCCTTATCCACCTTCTTTTTCAAGTATTCCGTTTGAAGGTCTTTTACTCGTAATAGACCAAAGTGATTTACCTATTCAATGCATGCACATGGATAAAAAGTGTTAATCCTTTGGCACGACAGCGTAACGCGCTTGTAATTGTACTGACCCAAGATGGTAAGCACTCCCTGTCAAACATCTCCTTCATATCCCGACAGGCGAATAGTCTCTTCCTCTCCTCCTTTGTCAAAGACTTGTCACTCTCTGAACTCACAACCAGTCGTTGTGGGTCAACAGCAATGATCTCTTCGTGGGTCCTCGGCCCCAGACCTTGAAGCCAGAGGTTATGAGAGTCCAGACATGCAAAGTAGGCGTCGCGTGCTGTCCAGCACTTTGACCGAGCGCTTCGGGAAGGAGGAAGTGAGCCGAGCTTTGGTGTTTCGTGAGCGGGCATTTGCAGCATCGGCAATTGCAGTGGGGGAATGCCCAAGAGCTATCAAGTGCTTGTTGCTATGGTGATGTCCTGGCATTTCGGACTTTGAGCTCATCGTGTTCCTTCCCTGCCCGCCTACGTCTGCCCGTTTTGGCTGTGAGCGCTCGGCAGCAGTCAAAATGACCAACGCCACGACGCCCAGACGCATGCGGCGCCTTCAAACAGGTCTTACAGTGTCCCCTAGCAGTAGGTCTAAAAGGAATCGCGAGTCTTCAGACGACAGTGATCTAGATATCGATAAGGATGCCCTCACCGTCCTGCAGGACAGCCGTATCCACAAACGGACGGCGGACGAGGAGGAAAAGGAGAATGGTGGGGAAAGGACACCCGGGAAGGACTTGTATTCATTTGCAAGGAAGCGTAAGAAAAGGTTCAGAGATTTTGTTGAAGAGGGGCGGAGAGCCATTGAAGGCGAAGCTGACGAGGAGAGCGATAACGATGACGCAGAGCCCGTTGCTACACCCTCAAAGTCGGTGAAAAGAGTAACAGTACTGGAGCCTGGCGATCTGCAACCAACTCCAACACGCGCAAAAGGAAGAATAAGAGATATGTTGAGCAATACACCTAAAAAGACGCCAACACGAGGAGGGAGGGGTGCCAAAAACGATGAAGAATCGGAAGAGCAACCGGAAACTCCGGTACCTGTTAGACTTGCACGGCGACGACGAGCATCCAAACGCCTGACTTCGGTGAAAGATGGCGGGAGTAGTAGTGAGGATAAGGATGCGACAGATGACGATAATGAGGAGGAGGAAGATGATAGTGGCCTGGAAGATGAACACGAAACGTCTCTTAAAGAAGGCACAGATCACGAGCAGGACACTATTGCGGATGAGTATGCGGAAGATGCTCCAGCTTATCAGCGCTATTTTGCGAACCTGCATGATACCCGTTCGAAAACTTCGAACAATACCCTTTCGAAGCTACCAGCACTTGATCACAAGTCTCTCCTATCAGCACTTGCTCGAGCACCCGTCAAGCACGAACGCTTTATTACTCTTTTGACCTCCCTCCATGAAGATCAATTTCAGCAGTGGTACTTTGAGCTCATGGGCGGGTTTAATCTTCTGTTCTATGGCTATGGGTCAAAACGGAATTTGCTCAACCGATTTGCAACAGAAGTGTTAAACGATGCACCGCTGGTGGTGGTAAACGGTTTTTTCCCAACGCTCACTATTCGAGATATTCTATCCAAAATCATCGATGGCGTACTGCCAAATCACACTGGTCCAGTTGGGACGGTGCAAGATCAAATGAATGCTCTCACAACTTACTTCACAAGGAGGCGATCATCCAAACATTTCTACCTCCTTATCCACAACATTGACGGTGTCCCTCTTCGCGCGCCGATAGTACAACGCACCCTTAGCGCTCTCGCTTCCCTACCCACTTTCCACGTCATTGCGACGATAGATCACATCAATGCTCCTCTTTTGTGGGACAATGTACAGTCAGCACGATATAATTGGATATGGCATGATGTGACCACATTTGAGCCATACATGAATGAAACAACGTTCGAAGGGTCACTGATGATGCAACAATCAGGAGCTGGAGGCGGGCGAACAATGGTTCTGGACGCAAACGGTGTTATGTGGGTATTACGGAGTCTGAGTGGAAATGCTCGTAAAGTATTCAAGATATTATGTGAGCATCAATTGGCCTGTGCAGAGGAAAGTGATGGTGAAGGGGAAGGATTAGCCTTCAATCTGTACTATGCCAAGGCCAGAGAACACTTTTATGTGTCGAACGAGATGACTTTCCGGACGCAATTGACAGAGTTCAGGGATCATTGTATTATTAGATCTCGAAAGGCGGCAGATGGAACAGAAATTTTATTTGTACCGCTTGACAAGCTGTTTGAA